TGGTGTGCGCGGTGCGCGCCGCAGAGCCGGAGCGGCCGCCGGCGGTGGCGGTGGTGGCCGTTGCCGCCCGCGACGGGGTGACGCTGCGCACCGGTGTGGTGCCGCCTGCCCTGGCCGGGGTGCCGCGGCGGACGGCGGCCCCACCTGCGCTGCGAGCCAGCGGACTCCGCCCGCGCACTCCCCGCGTGAGGGAGGGGCGGCGCGGGACGGAGCCGTTGCTGCTGCTGTCGCGGCTCGCGGTGCGGTGGCGCATCGTGGCCCCACGCGAGGGGGACGACACGCGCACAGCCGTCGAGGCGGGTGAGCGCGTCGTGCGCGGCCGCGAGAGTCCGTTGGGTGTCTGCGCACGACGGGCTGGCGCCTGCGCGTCGTCGGGTGCCGCCTGCGTCTCCGCCGCGCGGTCCTGCTCCTCGCGCAGCGCCGCCACCTCGCCCTGGAGCTTCGCCATGCAGAGGCGCAGGCGGCGGGCCTCCTCGTCGAAGCGGGCGGCGGCGGCCTCGACGTCGGCGGAGATGGCGCTCGCCCGCAGCTGCGCCGCCACGACGGATCCGCGCTGCACCACGACGTCAGCTAGCCACGGGTGGTTGAGGGCGGCGTAGAGGGGGGTGCGCTTGCTGGGATCCTTGTTCAGAAGCGACTGCACAAAGTCCCAGGCAAGCGGGGAGATGCTCGACGGCTTCGGTAGAGGGGTGTCCATGATCGTGCGGAAGACCTCCTTCTCCGTCGCGTTGGATCCGGGCGAATACGGGAAGCTACCGGACAGCGTGATGTAGGTCACGACACCGATGGACCACGTGTCCGCGTTGAACCCGTCGTAGTGCGTCTGGGTAAACTTCGCGTAGAACATCTCCGGTGCACCGTAGCGCGGAGTGCCGATGACGTCGGAGCACACCACCCTCTTCCCCAGCAGACGCTCACACCCAACGTACGGCATCATGAGAGCCGTCACATCGAGGGGATCTTTCGGAGCATCGCCGGTGCACACGCCGCGGGAGCGCTTCGCTAAACCGAAGTCGGTCAGTTTGATTTTGTCGTCCTCGCTCACGAGCAGGTTCTCCGGCTTGATGTCGCGGTGGATGATGTCGTGCAGGTGGCAGTGCAGTACCGCTTTGATTATTTGATAGGTGTATTGCTTCGACTTCTCCTCAGCGAGCTTGCCGCTAGAGGACTGCAGAATGAGCTCGCATAAGTCACCGCATTGCACCTTCTCAAAGAACAGGAGGAACTGCTTCTCCGTCTCGACGTACTCGAGAAAGGTGACGACGTTCTCGTGGGGCGGGATGTGGCGCAGCACGTCGATCTCGCGCTTGATTTCCGCCATGGCCATCTCCACATCGCCCTTAGCCAAAGAAATGAGGTACTCCTTTTCGATGATCTTCACGACGTACTTCATGCCAGGACGCGAGCCCGGGGGGAGGTAGGATCCTAACGGTGTGCACACCTTCACCACGCTGTAAGCTCCACGGCCCACCACATCCTTGTCCTGAATGCTGTACTTCCCTTCTACCACGATGGTGTCCTCTCCATCCGCCCCACTGTCGCTCGCCGGCTGCATTTTGTGCTTCACCCTTTGCTGTGTGTGTTACCGCCAGGCGGAGAACGTGTCACGCGCTTGGCCAAGCCACAACGGAAAACGGAACGGAGCACTCGCAGGAGGTGCGTGGAAGGCAACGAAACAGCAGTGCCGAGAGAGGTAAATGGAAGTGCGGTGGCGTGCGTTCGTATCCGTGTGTATGTATGGCACAAGCACTAGAGAGGCAACAACGCTCGACGGACAAGAACACAAAGCTCAAGGCAAAAAAAAAGGGAAGATTATTATATGAAGAACCGGCCTTGGCGGGTGGCACTTCTCCAATGTGTTGCCAACTAGCAAACGCGGGAACGGTTTCCTTTAGTAGAGAAAGCCAAAGAGAGAAGAAGAAGGAAAGGAATGGTATAGAAAGCAGGTCACGTCAACGATAGAATATGGAAGTGTAGCGCTACACAACACAAACAGAAACAAACAACCTGCGGGTGTGCGCACACGTCCTTGCAAAAACAAAAACCTAACAGAAGAAAGTACCGTTTGCAGCGAACGGTGCTTTCACTCAACAGTATGCGACAACTGTGAAGCGTCGCAACACACACACTCTAGACGGTGCAACTCTGTCCGCGGAAGGCGGAGCACTAACGCGTTCAGGCCTCCGTGCGCTTCTTTCGCATCGCGTTGTTTTCCCGTTTTGTTTTTCGAATGATAAACAAAAAGAACAGGAAAAACAGGAAGAGAAAGCAGACCTGCCTTCCTGTTGCAGCTCCCCAATTTTACAAAACAGATTTCCTTGCCGTTGCTTTTCTCTTTTCCTTTTAGTACCAATACCTGTTATCCCTTCCTTAAAGGGGAATAGCTTTGATCACGTGCGCAACAGGCCCAGTGAAGAGGAAAAAAACATGTACAGTGCTTCGTGAATGCAAAACAATCAAAAAGGCCCACTTTTGAAGAAACACTTGATCGCATCGCCAACAAACAAAATAGCTCCTTCCCGGAAAAACAAGAGGCACCGCACCCGGAAAGGAGGAGAGACAAGAACATAAAACCCCGCCATCCACGCAACAGTGAACACGAGAGCAAAGCAAATGCAAGCTGCGCTGCAGCAATCACACTTACACACCTACGCGTCTCGCTTCTTCAACGTGGACACCCGTGACCTTTTTATCTCTTCTTTCGCGCCGTCATGCATCAGAGCGATACGCACGCCGCCTGCCATAGTCGGAATAGGTCCTGAAGAAACACCCACTCGACCACATTTGCAGGTGCGTCATGCTTTACAGCGCGGCCCCAGAACACCAACAAAGGAAGAAACACATATATGAAGCGAAACACTTTTGAGCCCCGCGTGCCGCGATCATCGTAGATCAGCACGCACAGACGCATCCCAATGCACATGGCTCCTGTTGAGGGGAGGAAAAACCGTCACACGAGCGGCAAAGCGCGAAAATCCATAACAAGAAACCCCTGGGGTTTCCGTTGGCATCGACAGATTCGTTCAACGCAAGAAACTCACTGCAGCACCCGCAGTGAATTGCGACAAAAGAGACAAATTCAGAGACGAAATCAAACCAACAGAAAAAAAAAACGGTTTCATCGACAGAAGGAGCCGAAAAAGCACTGCCAGGTAACGTGAGAGAGACGAGAACAAGGGGAAGCCCACGGACTGAACAGCGTGTATGACGAAAAGCTGAAGAAAAAAGAGGCTACCGTGCTCATCAGGAGACAAGACATGTCACTATGTAATAGCGTGCAAATAAACAAGAAAAAAATATACAAAATCGTGTGTACATCTTTCGCGCAGCAACACGCATTTTCTCTTTTAGAGACCTCAGTGTTCCTCTACTGTCTTTCCTCGATCCCTCGCCAATGCAGTTCGTGTCAATGGACAAATCAGAATGTGGGGGTAAAGCATCAGCTGCACTACCGTCCTGTGGAACCGAGTTCGCGTTAAAGAAGACAGGAAGCGAGTCCATTTTTTGTCTGTGTCGTCCGCCTGTATACAACAGTCGAAAAAAAAAAGGAAAAGATACACAAGCCTGGACTTCAACTTGTGCGGAGGCCAACCGTTTACCTCACGCGCTTTCTCTCTCTCCTCATTTTCTGCCCTCGGCACCGTGCACTCTCGATTATCTTTTTTCGCTTTTACACCTGCAAGAATGGATGCTTGAGAAGGGTGGCTGCCGGCGGCCGCTTCGAGACGTTGCGCTCAAAGCACAAGTCTAAAAAGTTGTACGCATCCTGCGACCCGAGAACGTTGGGGTCCCTCGGCACCGCGTCGGGCCACCCAGTCGAGAGCGCCAGCTTATTCATAATGTGCATCACGTTTGCCATCGGCGTCCAGGGCGTGCGCCCGGTGATCATCTCTGCCACGGTGCAGCCAGCAGACCAGATGTCCGCCTTGAAGGGGTCGTAGCCGTCCTCGTCAGTGATCACCTCTGGCGCCATCCAGTACGGCGTGCCCGCCAACGTTGCTGTCGCCGCCTTGCGCAGGGTGCTGTGCGTGTTCATGATTTTTGCCTGGTCAAAGTCGGCCAGCTTAGCCGTGCCGGTGTCCATCGAGATGAGAATGTTGTCGCCTTTAATGTCGCGGTGCGCCACCTGGTTGCTATGCAAATACTCCAGTCCGAGGAAGATGTGGCGGGCGTAGACGCGCACCACCGGGTACGGCAAACACGCGTGCGGGAGACTCTTCATCAGCGACGTCACCGAGCCGCCCGTCACGAACTCCAAGTAGACGTACAGCTTCTTCGGCGTGCTCTCGGCATCGATGCGGCTGTGCAGATAGCGGATAATGTTAGGGTGCGCCAGCTTGCGGTGGATTTCCACCTCCGTGTTGGACGGCGCGTCGTCCGACAACTCCAGCACCTTCACCGCAACAAAGCGTCCGCTGGGCAGGACACCTACAAAGACGGAGCCGAAGCTACCGGCGCCCAGCTTTTTGCCCAGCGTCACCTTGAGCAGTTCCTCTGTAGAAATTGCCGCCATAATTGGCTGCTTTTGTAGGTGCGTAGGTTGCGTCGTGTTCCGAGGTGTCTTTGCGGCCTTGCCACGATGCAAGTCACAGAAGGAAGCGACAAGAGGACCTCAAGGAATGAAAAGAAATAGAAGAGGAGAACGATAAACCTCACACACACGCGCGCACACCGAACGTGCGAATATCTGGTAAACAAAGTCTGACTGTTAGTATATATATATGTACGTATGTGTATCTTCGAGAGTTCAACCGTGCACGTGGGTAAAGAAACCGCCTGCAGTCGAGCGCGTGTGGATGTGTTTGCGTCCTCTCGAAACGTCAACTCATGTGAGAGAGCGAGAGAGCACAAGAGACGGACAAACGAAACAGCAAGAAGGGGTGGAGAGTAGAACAACGGCTACGCGCCTTGCGTTGCACCGCAGCGAGCGTCTACCAGAAACGGTTAATCACCGCACGAAGACTTGAGTTTTGCAATGCCACCTTCATGTGTCTTCTTGGGCAACTGTGAGAGAAGCGTGGTCAGAAATTCCAATACTGAAGCCTCGCCTCACCTTACCGAACTCCGCAACGTACTACGTTAGAATGTCACGAGTGCGCTCGAGAGAGGGAAAGAGATAGAAAAGAGTTAAGACGAGCCAACACGACGGCGCTTCGCCTTTCATAATGAACGTTGGACAACGTCAGTAACCGAGTGACGCGCTACTGTTCCTCTCCACATCACCACACCGCACCTCCCATTCAGAGGCGTAAGTCTAACAATAACTTGTGCACGTTCATGTCTTCATGTTTTATGTACCTAACAGTGTCTTCTTCTGTCTCCTTTAGAGACGAGGCATACACAGCGAAATCGCCACAAGTTAACCAGACGACTACGTTCAGTCGCAGAAAACAAAAATAAGGAGAAAACGACACATTTTCATTTCTTAGTTAGACCTTTAAAAAAAGGGGGGGAACACCGTTGAGAAGAGTGGAGCGCCGTGCCGAACCGAACTGAAGCGAGAAACCGCTCTCGCCTCACACAAAACACCCGCACCTTTCGTGTGTCTGTTCCCTCCTTGCATTCGTCGCAAATCACAGAAGAAGAAAAAAGAAGAGAAAGACTTCGTACACCCTCCCCATCTCCGGTCTTCTTTGCGCTCGCCCTTCCTTTTCCGTTTGTTGACCTGTCCTTCCATTAACCTCTTATTCTCTTCTTTCTTTTCTTTTTGCGCCAAGGCAAATGGCTGCTTCTTCCTCCCGCTCACTCGCCCTGCGCGTCCGCATTGGTAAGACCGGAAAACGAGGGAAAGGGCGTCACAGCTTGGAGGCCGGTGCGTCCCCGCCCATTTCACACACTACCAACGGAAGGCAAAACGAAGAAACCACGCGTCATCGATCGACCTTGTTGGTGCACCTTTCTGAATGGGACACAATCTGCCTGGTGTTGAAAGCGATCGCAAGAATGGGGGAGAGTAGACCCTGCCGCCATAGAAGCGCCGCCGCTGCGTTACTCCGCCGCCTTCTTTTTCTTCTCCTCCAGCGACAGAGACAGCTTGTTCGTTGCGAGGAGCAGCTCGTCCGTGTACGGCTCCAGCGCCGGGGCCGTCTGTGCCTTCAGGCCGGTGATCGGCTCAATCTTCTTGTTGTTGATGAGCAGCGTGATCTTGAAATGCGCGACCACCTCACCGTCCTTCTCAAAAAGCACCGGGTACGGGATGACGGCGTCGTGCTTCGCCATCTCGTTCAGACCCAGACGCGCCTTCTTCGTTTCCAGATTGCGGATGGCAAAGGGGAAGGTGGCGTACTTGGAGTCGATCTCCTTCTGCAGCTCCTTGGCGCTCTCCATCTTCACGGAGTAATTAGAGTCTAGCGCGACCTTGTACACGCCCGGACGCGCATCGCGCTCCTTCAGCTTGCCTTTACCGGAGGTCATGACAATGTCTACCGTCCACACCTGCGCCTTCTCGAGGTCGTAGTCGTGCACCATGTGCTCCGCCACCTTGCGCTGCGGGATGCAGCGATAACCATCGATGATGTAGCGCTTCATCATGTGCGAGAGCACGCCGTCCACCGGGGTCACCTTGTAGTGCTCCGCAGCCTTCTCGATGACCTCCGTCACCTCGTAAACGGTCGCGCCGGGGCGCATCTTGCGTATCGCCGTGTTCAGGATGTTGTACGCTGCCGCAATCACGCGGGCCGCCTTCTCATCCTTGCCGAGTTCGTTGTCCTCCGTCACCTGGATCGTGTGCGCGACGACAGCGCAGTAGCCGTCAACGTGGATGCCGAGGTCGTAGTGCACGACATCGCCAAGGTGGATCTCCTGTGGAGTTGCCTCGTCCGCCACCCCGGGGCTGTTGTGGCAGACGCAGCTGTTCACGGAGATGCAGGTAGGGAAGGCGATGCCCTTCTCAGCCCCCTTGAACATCGTCTTGACCTTGGCGGTGATGGTGTCGTCGCCGAGGCGGCACAGGTCGCACACCTTCACGCCTGGCTTCGTGGCGTCGATCAGGACACGCAGTGTCTCATTGCACCACGTGGCCGCTTTCTTGTAGCGCATCACGACATCGGAGTTGTTAATGGTGGTGTCTTCCTCCTCCTCGTCTTCCTTCTCCTCACCATCGTAGTCCTCCCATTCCTCCTGGTCGACGTTCTTGGACATCTTGTTGTGGTTTTTTTTTAATGTTGCCGCTGTAATGTAAAAGAAAGAATGGAAAACTGATGTAATACTTCCTCTACTACTATGACAGGTACAGGGCCAGGCTGCTACGGACGTAGTCAAGCTAGATTAGATGCACCTGGGCCCTGTGTGCGTGTGTGCGTAGTGGCAATAGCTAGCCTAAAGAAAGGACTTGATGTTGCGAAATGACACACACGTATCAGTCATTATTATTATTGTTGTTGTTGAGCGATGTGTCGATGAGTGTAAGTGTGCGTGTCGCAAACAGAAGTGTTCAAGGTAAGGAGTAGCGAAGAGGAAAAGTAGAACCATCAATCATGAAGAGAAAAGAAGAAGAAAGGAGAGAGCCCGGGGGCGTCGACGAGGTTCCTCCACAACGGTCCGTCAGCTGTATCAAAGGCAAACGAAAAGCACTAGCAGCCATTGAGCCAGAAGCACACTAAGAGAAGGGGGTATACGCACACGCTCTACACGTACCACGTACCAATGAACCGGAAAGGAACCAGCCTATCCGTCGATCCTCCATTTCGCCTCTGTAAACTTGCGCGCTTTGCGAGCATCGTACGGGAAGCACCAACAAAACAAGAGAGCACCTCTTCGAACTCAAGTTGCGCCTCTGCGCTTTCCATTTGGTGCGTACGTGTGCTGTACGCACATCAACGATAAACCACCGTACGTGGTATACACCCGCGTGGACGCCGAAACACACAGCAGACATCAGCACAGCGTGCCGCTCTGCGCAAAAGGGGAAAAAACGCCTCATCAGAAACGACGCAATCCCTGAAATAAAGAAATGAAAACATCGCACGGCAGCGATGGACGACGCGAGAACAACGCGCGAGCCAAACTTGAAAGAAAAAAAAACGAAGAAAAGCTCTGTTTCGTTGTGTCTCGGGGAAAGGCAACGGCAGCGCAACTGAGGTATCCCCGCCGTCCCCCCGTACGACACGCATTCACACCAAAAGAAAACAAGACAGAGCCGTGACCGGTATCGAAGGTACGTAAGTACAGAGCAGAGCGTAGTGAGAAGATGCGGAAACAACGTCAAAGAATGCGTGTTAAATGCTGCTTTCGTTGCTGCCTTTCGTTGTTTCGTTCCAACGACTTGAAAAAAAAAAAGATGCAGAAAGCAGGCGTGTGCTTCAGTGAATGAATACCGCGCCGATACTCAACGTGCAAACAGGAGCAAATACTAAGGAAAGCGGAAAATGAGGGGGAAAGCGCCTCGTGCGGTGTGTATAAATAGCAAGCGTGCATGGGAGGGGTGGCAACAAAGGAAAGATGAACAGTGCAGAAGACCAGGGCTTGCATGGGCAACGAAGAGAGAAAAAAGGGGGTGCAGAAGAGGAACTTCATAGGGGGCTCCTTCTCTCTCTCCACGCACGTCCCTAAGCACCCAGAAGCCCACTTGCACAGCACACCTACTTCAGGTCGTCATCGCTCGCGGAGGAGCGCGTCGCGGGCTTCTTGTTCTCCATGGCAAACGTATCGTTGCGCAGCGGTGGCGAGCTGCCCATGTCCTTCGCCTGCCGCGTCGGCGGCTCGTCGTCGGAGTCGTAGAGCGGGTTGGCTGCCGTGTCCTCTGCGCGTGGCACAACGGAAAGCGGAATGTCGCTCATTGGCTCCTCCTTCTTCGGGCTGCTTTCCTCCATCTCCTTGTCGCCCGCACCGCCGGGATTGCGCGGCGGCGGCGAGTCGCCCGCCTCGGGGTACACCTGCGACTTCTTGTCCCCCTTGGAGCGGGTGAGGGTCGGAAGGGTCTGCTGTACCGAGAAGGCCACAAAGCCCACCGTCGTCGGGGCGACCACCACACAGAAGAGGGCGATGCTCAGCCCGGAGAGGCTGTTCACGGTCGTGCTCGAGCCCGACGTCTTCAGGCCGCGCACCGGGTACGCGGCGATGGGGCTTTGGTCCGCGAGCAGCACGCCCTCTACGGTGGCCAGCGCAAACACGGCGGAGGTGTTCTCCTGACTGTACGCGTAGAGGGGGAGATCGGTGTCTGCCTTCAGCAAGCTGTAGAGCTGCTGCGTCGGTGCTTCCGTCGACTGGGGTGCCGCACCGGTGGCCTGCGTGGGGTGGATAAAAAGCTCAAAGGCGTTGTTGCCGAGTGAAGCGACCAGCACCGTCGCCTCCGGCACCTTCAGCACCTTAGAGGCGTACTTAACCAATTCCTTCTTGCCCACCGCGTACTCTAACAGGTCCGTCGAGGTGTTCAACGGGAGAAAGGACAGACGCAGCGCCATCGGGGCGTCCGTCAGGCTGGTACCGACCCTGTTCAGGACGAAGAAGGCGTCCACTGCCACGAACGCAGGGTCGATACTGCTGGAGGCGGTGGCGCACAGCTTCACAAAGACCTCATCCGTCGCACCGGCGGCAAGGCTCTGCGTCAAGGTGGCGGGCATCGTGATCCAGCGCTGGCCCAAGTCGTCCGTCTCCACCGTCAGCACGGCCGCCATGTCAGGAGCGGCGCCGCACTGCGGTGTGTCGTCACGGCTGCTCCCCTTGTGCAGTGCTACACGCGTGATGGGTGGGCTCGCGGGGTCGGTGAAGAGCACCCGCGTGTCTTCCGGCGCGGCATAAGAGAGGGCGAACTCCGGGAGGTAGTACAGGGAGGCGAGGGTGAGCTGCGTGACCACGACGGAGCGGTGGCGGTGCTGCTCAAAGGGCAGAGGCGACGCTGTGGCGCTAGAGGTGCCGAGGGCGTAGCAAGGGTAGAGGACAGCGTTGGCAGCATCCGCGGGTGCCGCAGCGATCAGCGACGCCTCGACTGTGACGTTGGCGGTGCTGGGCGACACATACGTGAGCGCCGTCGCGTACGCGGGGCTAGCAGTGCACGTCTCGTCGTTCCATACGAGCTCGAACACCATGTCCGCCGACGACCTAAAAGTTCCGATGACCGACCAAATCGCTGTCTGGGTCTGGTAGAGGTGAATGCGGTTCTGGTTCGTCACCGTATCACCGGTGTTGATCGCCTCGGCGCGGTAGACCTTCACGACGCCGCTGATCACCTTGATGTAGGTGTCGGTGATACGGGCCCAGTTGATCCCGTTGTAGGTACACACAGCGTAGTAGGCCTCCGTTTTTGTGTAGAGGAAGTTGCTCATGTCTATCACCGACACCCCATCCGCGTTGCGGGCCACCATCACGTCAGACCCGGAGTGGCGGTCCTGGCACGGCGCGTCCCACGGCACGAAGCCGACCGCTACGCCGGAGACTTCCGTGGAGGGGGTCAGCGCCACCTGCGGGTGGTTACCGAGCACTACCGCGCCCGGCCCGTAGGAGGCACCGTCGTCGGCTGATATCGCCCACACGCCGAACTCCTGGCACTGCGAAGAGGCCGCGTCGATGGCGACGTAGACGTGGTTCATCAGCGCCAGTGCCGCCGCCTCGTATAGGTTGCCGGACATGCGCACCGTCAGACTACCAGGGAGCTCGAAGGCGCCGTCGAGACGCGCCGGCCAGACGTTGGTATTCACGGCACCGTTGCATACCTGAATGTACTTCTGCTCCGTGTGAAGGCCGCACATCGACACACTGCCGCACGGCGTCCACTCGCTGCCCTCGATGCCGGCGTCGAGAAGCCAGTTGCTGCGGGCCAACTCGTACGGCGCCATGGAGACGGTGGCCCCGGTAGACACGAACATCGAAGTCCCCGGCAGGCTGTAAATGCCCGCGCACACTGTGTAGACGCCCAAAGAGGAGGTCGGGTAGGTGATGAACTGCTGAGTGCCGTAGGAGCTGATGGGGGAAGTGTGGCCGTAGGCGCAGCTGCCGTCTGCGGAGAAGCGGACGGCGATGTTGGTGGCGGCCGACGAGGACGTGCCGCTGTGCACGGTGATGGGGGCCGCGTCTTGGCTCGGGCCGGAGGAGAGCACAAAAGTGTGCGAGGTGAACTGCGTCGTTCCGGCCACAGACACAAGCCAGTGGTCCGGCTGCACAACCACGTAGTCGACGCGCAAGTACTGCTGGGCGGCGCACAGCACACCGTACGCCTGCCGGAGGTACAAGGGGTAGGACACCTGCATCACGCTGTTCGACACACCCTGCGTCGCCTCAGCCGACTTCGCTTGTTGGCAAGCGGCTGCACGCGCGGCTGCAGTGGCCGCGGCGCCAGCCTTGACCGGAACGAAGCGGACGGCGACGTAATTTTGCGCCAATGTGGCCCTCACCGCTGCGTACGCTTCCACCTCTGTCGAGTCTGCAGGGGCGCGGATGAACTCCGTCAAATTAACCGAGCCGCTGCTGCCGTTGAAGATGGTGAGGACTAGGCCAGCGGTGGTGACCGTCCTCACCGGGGCGGCGCGGACGATGGTGACAGGTGCGCCGTTGTACGTGACAGCGAATTTCGTCTTTGTCAAAGCGCGACGCATGCACACGTGGAGACCAATGTGCGCCTCGTCCGTCGTCACGAGCAGCGCGCTGGGCGTGCCAGCAGTGTCGACGGCGCTGCGGAAGGTATTGAAAGGAAGAAGTGATATGTCCGCTGTGACAGAAGAGCACGCCGACGACGACGACACAAAGGCGGTGTACGCGCCTTTGGCGAGAGATGTCGTGGAGCCGCCCAGCAGCGTCACGGGAATAGGCGCGGAGACAGGAAAGCTGGCGGCCGTGGTGGTGGCGCCGAGGCCTTGTATGGAGAGCGCGGCGATCACCGTGTTCCTGCCGTTGTACGATGCACAGATACTCTTGCGGCCGGAGTTGACGCGGCTGACGTACGACGCAGGGATGACAAATCGCAAGTCGTGGCGCGTGAAGAAGTACGGCAGCGGCGACGGCGACGGACTACACGCGCTTCCAACAACGCCGTTGTTGATCATTGTGAAGCTAAGCGCAGAGGTGAAGGCGAGAGAGACGTCGGTGGTGTACGGCACCGTCGTCCCCTCGCCCGCAAAACGGACGGTGGTCAAGATCTTGTCGGAGCTTCCACCCGCCTCCTCGCGGATCGTCACGGCAGAGTGCATCTGCTGTAGAGTGGTCACGACCGGCATGATGCGCAGTTGCGCCGTGACGGCGGTCGCCGTGGCCGTGCCATCAAGCGTCACGAGGTGCAGGGCGTAGCTGGCGATATCCGAAACGTTGTACAGGCTGTATGGCACGTGGAAGCCAACCGAGACGGTGGTGGAGTCTGTCAGGAGAGCCGAGACCGGGCCTGACGCCCCGAAGCGCAGTGCGATGACGCTGTTCTCGGTACATAGCGTCCGCAGGTTCTGGACGAGGCTGGCAGTGCCGGGCAGGTAGACGACGTTGGCCGTGAAGTCCATCACACGGATCGTGGTCACCGCATCGAAAATGGTGTTCTTCAGCGCTTGCATGACAGAGGGCACGGTGGGCCCAGCGGGTGGGGTTGGAGTGGTAGTCGTCGTGGTGGTCGTCGTGGTGGTCGCGGGAGCAGCGGTGCTGGTGGTGGTGGACGTGGTCGTGGTGGGTGCTGCGGTGGGCGGGACATCGTCGCTTGAGACCGAGGATGAAGGGAAGGGAGTCGTCGTGGTGGACGTCGTGGTCGACGTGGTCGTCGTCGTGGTCGTCGTCGTGTCTGATCCACCGCCGCTAGTGCACAGAAACGTGAAAGACGACACGTCGCCGGAGGCGAGTCCCCACTTTCCGTTGTACCGCAGCAGCACTTGGTAGTTGCCGTTCGCAGGCACTACAAACGAGCTGGGCTGCCACGTGATGGCGTCTCCGCTGTCCCACGCGAGCACGCCGCTTGACACGTGGGCAGGGAGGACGGCGCTGCGGATATTGTTTGCAACGAGAAACTGCGTCGCCTCGTCGTTTTCAGCAGAGGAGTGGACGGTGTAGCCGGCGGTGCCGCTGCTGCATCCACCAACCACTGCCACAAATGTAGCCTGGCATTGCGCAGCCAAGAGGATGGCAGCTAGAAGAACCGCGAGCGTCCTTATTAGCATCATCTTCGTTTTCACGTTTGTACGTCCGATGATGCCTAATGCGTTCGAGAACGGCCGAGCAAAAGACGGATTTCTTTTGATCGCACGGCTTATATTTATATATATATATAAATATGCTTTTCCTGCCAAGCGTACTCGTCCACGCGTCGCGGAAGCTGAGACGAACAACACTGTGTAGATGTGCGCACAAATCCTCTTCTTTTTCCTTCAAGGCAATACTCGGGTCCACAAAGCGAAGGAAAGCAAGCCCGCGAAGAGAAAAGAGAGAAGAGCGCGAAGATAAAATGCTGAACACCTGATGTGCAACGCAACCGCGCAGAATATGAAACCGGAAATGTGGGCAATCTGTCCTGAAGATATACGTATATCCGCTTTTTAAAATAGGGGAGAAATAAATATGCGACGAACCACTCAAGAGTTCCCTTCACTCTACACAACTCTCTTCAACCAAAGAAAAAAGAAAGATCCGTTGCAAAGGCACACACACACACATTCGTTTAATGGGGAAGACGATTGGAATTGCGGCTTGTGAAGTGACGACGTTCGTGACCGATGGAAGAGAAAACAAAAGGAGAAAACGTCCGGTGCGTTTTCCGTGCGCTGGGATGACTGGAAGTCGCTTGAGGAAAGAAGAAGGAAAGAAAAATCTTTCGCTAGTCGGTGCAAGAGGCCAGGTAAGAAAACGTCGCTCTTTTGGTATAGAAAGCGCCACGTAGGTCGTGGAAACGCGTGGTGTCCACAGCGATGATAGGAGCGAAAAGGACGTGGCACACGGAAAATGCGGCTGTTGACTCCGTCTTTTCCCCCGACTTTAACTATAAAGTGCAGCGCAGCTTCACCGACGGACAAGTTACCGGGCGGCACCACCAATAACGATGACACACAGAGTTGCCGTCCTCAACGTGGAAATATCGATTCGTTTTCTTCCCACGTCAAACACGTTTGCATCCTTTCCGTGAAATAAGCCGTCACAGTTTACGCCCTACTTTGGTGCCGTTGTGTAACGCGGATGACGAAGAGTTATCGCTTGTTGTAAGCAGCAGCGCTGTTGAGCCAGCTTCAGCTCCCTCAGCAACTATACGCGATGGTGGGGGGGAGCAAAGGAAAAACATAGTGGTTCAAGCAGGGGTGTTGCAAAGCACAAAGTTGAGATCGCAGAAAGGCGAAGAAGGAGAAGGCCAAAGGGTAGTATTCGGGGAAAAAAAATACGTTTACTCGCGTTTTCTTTTGCATTGGCCTCCAACAGGTAGCCCCTTGCGGTGAAGAAGGTCTTAGTGGCCCCTGACAAATGAATCGAAGTGTTGACGTTTGCCCGTGATGAAAAGCCCTGACGCCGGGTAAGATGGAAGTGCGCCACGGAAGGCAACCATGAAAGAGCTTGTGTGTGTGTGTGTGTCCGTGTGAACGCTTACCCGACAAGAACTCTGAACTGAAGCAGTAGCCAACACAAACAGTTTTTGGTTACTTAACCTTGTTTCCCCGTTGGTTCTTTAGCCGCTTCTTGTTGCTGACGTCATATCCGTTGCGAAAGAAGAAAGGCTGCCCTCTCCCTCTTTCTTCGCTGCAACTCATGCATCTTTACTTCTTTTTGAAGTGATTTTTCCTCAATACCACGTCGTCCAAACATATACTTATATATTTAGGAGAGGAGCAGAGAAACACGCGCACGCACACGCACACACGTCGGCTGTGTGGCCAAACCTTAAAGAAAAAAATGCAGGCAGGAAAGATAGAACAAACAAAAACATCACCATGATCATCAAAATAGCCGAAGTTCGATTAGCGCATATGGAATCGATCGGGAACGCTTCCGTAACCACGTTTATTCACATTTTTTGTTTTAAACTGCCCTTGACGTCCATATAAGCAGAAACGCGTAGGAGGAGGCAAACACCAGACATGCTTGCGTTTTTCTGTCTTGAGACAAAGGATGGTAGTTGATAACTGCGGGGCAGAACAGATGACCCAGAATAAAAAAAGGACGGGAATGGGATGACAGATCCGCAAACGCAACCACTGTGGATGAACATCGAGTAGAAACAAGAAGAAAACTCACAGTAAATAAGTAAAAAAGGTTTCGCGAGTTCTTGCGTGTTTACTTTCATTTCCGCATTAAATAGGAGAGAACTCATAAAACAATGGAGAAGCCAAGACCTGTCATACATTGCATCGAACAATTCCACCGCCCGAACTCAAAGGAAAAATAAATATGGAATCCGATACACCCATCAGAAGGCGGTCTTTGAAAGCAACAAAGGCAAGAAGTCGTACTAGCCGGTGTCACCTCGACGGCGTTCATCAACACACCGGTGACGCAGACGCACACGCCTTGTCTAACGCACAACAAAAAAGGAGCACATTTTCATCCAACACAACCGAAGTCAGAGGACAGCGAAAAGGGGAGAGCGAAACTGAACGAAAAGCTGCCTTTAGAAATTGAACTCATCGTCACTGTCGACGGTGTTCGACATGGAGGACTTGCGTTGCTGAGGAGCGGAGCGGACAACGTTGGCGCTGGTCACGCTGTTCTGCAGCGCGCTACTCCCCGCAAAAGGGGTGATCGTGCTATTGGATGCGATGGGGCTGCGGTTACCCTGATTGAACAGGTTGGCGTACTTGAACAGGGACCCGTTGGACGTGGTGGGCGGGGGGCTGCTGGTGCTAGTGAGTCCCACGTTACTCGCTACAGGCCCGGTGGCGGCCCCACTCGCGGCCATCTGAAACGGATTGTGCGGCTGGCCCGTGGCGATGCCGGAATAGAGCGCGGAGCTGCCGCCGCTGCCGGTGAAGTACGGGTGCTGCAGGCACTGCGTCGCCGTCGGCCGCTCCGCCGGGTTGAAGCGCAGCATCTGCTCCATCAGGTCCACCGCAGCCGGCGGCGCCGTGGAGAGGATTAGGTGCAGTGGGGTGGGGGCCACGGTGGGGAAGCGCATGTTCATGCGTCGGGCCAGCTGGTACCCCTCATCCCACTCACTGGGCGCCGGAGAGCCCAGCACGGAGCATATCTTGAAGAGCTGGTCGCTCTCCGAGGTGCCGGGGAAGAGAGGGCGGCAGAGGTACAACTCCGCGAAGATGACGGCGCAGGCCCAAATGTCAATAGGGGAGTTGTAGTGGGTCGAGTGGAGCACCAGTTCGGGCGCCCGGTACCACCGCGTCGACACGTACTCCGTGAAGGGCGGCCGTGAGCGAATCTCTTTCGCGAGACCAAAGTCAGCCACCTTTACCACGTCGCCAGAGATTAAAAGGTTTTCTGGCTTCAAATCGCGGTGCATGAAGCCGGCCTTGTGGATCGCCTGCACCCCTAACAGGGTCTGGCACATGATACTACGAACCTCTTTGTCACTGAAAGCCATAGAGCCACTCATCTGATCCGCACGTTGGCGCTGGATTTGGAAGATGTTCTTCTCGCAATACTCAAAAATGAGAAAAAGCTCCGTCTTTTCGCGCACCACTTCTTTCAGCTTCACGAGATTGGGATGCTGCACCCTCCGCAGCGATTGGATCTCACGCAGTTGCAGACACTCCTCCCAGTTGTGAAAGCGCTGCTTCATCTTTTTAACCGCCACAATTTCGCCAGTGGTGGTGTTCTGGGCTTTGCTCACGGTGCCGAACGAACCGTCGCCAAGCTGGCCAATTACTGCAAACCGATCCATGATTCAGTCACGACAAATGAGGTCTTTTAAACAGGGTGCGAAAAAGCTCTCCGACGCAGTTGCTGCGGCAAGTGTCGTGACGCCGCCTGAGCGTATCTATTTTGCTGTCGTCTACAACGAACGCCTCGTTGCCTCGACGGCACGACAACTGAGGAAAAGGACAGAGACAGTGATACAATATCGGTGCTCTTTCTGCTATTCTACGTCCGGACTGCACTGTGCACGAAGCAGGTTGCGTTGTGCAGCAATGACGATTGTGTTGATACTTTACTTTTAGGGGGTGTAAGGGCAGCAAACAAATGCGTTTCGACAAGAAAAGGTCCCAAGAGAGCGGTCCCTCGTTGTGACCGGCAGGAGAGAAGGGAGGCCAGAAAAGAGAACTGCAAAAGAAGCAATTTCCATTTCCTTCGGCACAACAGGCTGGAAAAAGTGAAAAACACAACAGGCTACAAGCAGGCAGTGTACAAGCCATGGAGACATTTTTTTCCTCCGCCACCCCCACGCAATGAACACGATCGTCGCAACTGCGGCCCACACACGCAACACTCTTAGAGAGGCACTCCTTCCCACTTGTACTCCCTCTGTGCCAACTGTTGTCGCGGTGTTGGCGCACCGTTGCCTTCGTTGTTGTCGACATTTTGGAGGCCTTTTGAAATCCTGCTTGCTCTTCCAATGATACGCAGAGACAAACGTATGGGCAATGATGACAAGCAAAGTCAATCATTCACTGAGAGAGCGGGAGCCTAGGACAGAAAGGAAAAACAATGTGTATATACGGCATGCGTTGAGACCGCGGAGAATCAAAAGCGGGCTGCGGAACAGGAAGAGAAGAAAAGCCCTCTCCACCGCGCTTTCTGCACCGCACCCACAGACGTGACAACACAAGCGCATCCACCGATTATAAATGTAGGAATTCCCTTAGCTCGGTGTCGTCTCACCGACGGGCGCACAAGACGTTTCCCATTACAGGAAACGAGAAGCGAGAGCGACAACACACGTGCAATCGATTGCACATCATTGCAACCTGCAACACTTTTCGCCACCCATACACGCACGAGATCGCAATAGCGGATGCGCGTTCCCTTTGCAGCGCAGCACTTTGGATGCCACACTCGGACGACGACAATAATAAAAAAAACGCGCGCGCCAAGCAAGCGATCGGAGGGTCTCGCTCCTCCGTTGTCTCCGTGTGCGTATGCGGGTGTGTACACGCTTTTTATTCCTGTGGCTTTGGAGTAGGACGGATCTTGCCCATCGGCTCGCCGGCCTTCGCGCCACGCAGATGCATACCGAGCGCCTTCTCCATCTTGACAATGACACGCTCATCCGGCACCGCCTTGCCGTTCTCGTATTCCGCCACAACAGAGGCGCGCTCCGAAATTCGCTGGGCGAGGTCTTGCTGAGACCAGTTGAGGCCCTGGCGTGCCTTCATGATGCGCACACGCAGGTGCGGGTCAACCTTCTTCACCTTCAGCGATTCGTTATCCTCATCCAGCTTCTTCGCGTTGGCGCCGGCGCTCGCGGCTTGCTGGTTCGCCTGCTGGTGCTCCTTGCGCTGCACCTGCACCGCCTGCCCGCTTTGAATGGCGCGGCTGGCGTCGCGCTCATTCACGACACGCGGTTTTGCCGCGGCGCCGGCGCCGCGCTGCTGGAAGTTGAAGCGCTGCTCCTCCCAGTCCTGCCCGGCTGGTATCGTTCCCTTCGGCATGTTGGCGGTAGGAGACAGCTGAACGTCACGCACACAAGTAGAAAAAAAGAAACGTTAATTCAACTTTCTCTGAAAAGAAAAAGTGGTAGATGGAACGGCGGCAAAAACACTTTTCGACAGAGAAGACAGTGATGAGACGGGTATTCTAGCAGCATTGCAGCAGAAGAGGAGAGCGCAAGAAAGAGTTGTCAATACCTGTTACTGTACACGCCGTGGAATTCAGCGTTAGGGATAGAACCATTCAAGCACTTCTTCACGTCATTTTTCAGCTGCATTAAATCCCTGTTGACACGACAAAGATGATCATGATTTTGATTGCGTCGCAGGGAGAGCCCTATTGATGCCGCCATCCACATTCGCGAGTGAGTGCCCTCGGCGCATAACATGTGTGATGCTCCTTCTCAAGGAAACTGGCATGAACACGGTAAGTGATGATGAGCGTGGTTCTTGAGCTTGGCGAGACGCATCTGTAAAGGAGAAAAAATGTGAAGGACTAGGCCGACCACTTTTTTTCCTTCATTTTGAAATGTGCAACTTCGTATTTTTAAAAATTCCTTTTCTTGTATAATTCTAGTGATCACTACTATAATGACGCACGACAGAAGGAAATAGACAAAGAACCAAAATGACCAGTGCGTCACAAACGATATGGTGGAGGGAGATCGTCTTATCCTGGCGAAGCGCACGGTGCGTTCTTAATCTTTTTTTTTATCTTTATTCTTCAGAGTAACCTACTTTTACCTATTCATGCTATCTTTCCCCTTTTCAGCGGAAATCTCTGCATCGGACTCGTCGTGCTCCGTCTACCCCGCAGAGGACTGTGTTGTTCATGGAAGAAGAGAGAGCCTGAACGTCTCTCGTGCAGCCCTATCTATTCAAACATCGCTAGTTTGGCAAATATAGAATTATTCAGCTGCACGTCAACGTACACAGTGAGTCGCCCAGATAAAGAGGTTGTGATGCGCAATTGCACGACGAACAACGTCAAAACGAACATCATAATCCACCCACAAAAAAAACTCCGCGAACACGCACGCGGTGAACTCAACAAAACGTGCTGCTTATAAGGCTTTTAGTTAAAGAGCATCAACGGACAACAAAAAACGGAGTTAGAAAAGGCAAAAGAAAGTGACACTGGTGGGGATGTGCAAGGACAAAAGAGCGGAAGAGACCGACAACCTGGAAAGTGCTTCCGTGCTAACATTACCGACACGATATTCTAGACGGTTGTAACGCGGTCAAAATTTGGAGGATGTGAGCTGGAGGAAAGACTCGTTGGATCGCACGTAACACCTTGTGACGCTGAAGCCAGCGGTGAGGAGAGGAGGAGAACCGGTGCTTGCTGCGTCTCACTCACTGGCACCTCCCAAAGACGGTCGACTGGAACGCACTCATCAAATTACACACTCGCTTAATCCTTCTTCGCGCGGTAGCGGATGTAGTACGGCTTGATCGCGTCCACGCCGGACAGCACGAGCGCACCAGCGATACCACGCAGAATGTTCGCGCCAGCACCGCGGAACAGCGACATGGTGCCCTCGGTCCGCACGCACACGATGAAGCACTCAAACGAGTTCTTGTAGTTCTTGCCGGTGCCGGACGTCATCATCATGCGTCGGCGCACCGTATCCAGCGGGTACGAGATCAGGCCGGACACGATCGTCACAATCCACCCGAGCAGGAAGTTCACAATGAAGTTGTTCACCGGCAGCATCGGCTGCAGTGTATCGTACAGGCCGAAGTAGAAGCCGCGGTACGCAACGATGCCCACGCACGACACGCAGAAGCCGCGGTACAGACCCATCAGACCGTCGCTCTTGAACGTCTTCACGTAGCAGTCCACCATTCCGTTGTACTGGCGGGCGCCGCCCTTCTTTGCAGACTTCGTGTCGTTTGCCAGGCGCGTACGCACGTAGTCCAGCGAGTACACGAAGCACAGCGACACAGCGCCAGCGAGACCGCCGGACGCCATGTTGCCCATGAACCACTTCAAGTAGCCGTCCTTCTCCTTCTTGAAGTTGAACATGCGCTTGAACTTGTCCTTGAAGGCGAAGTTCAGCGCCTGCGTCGGGAAGTAACGGATCACGTTCGACAGGTTACCGCGCCACAGCGAGTACACGCCCTCCGACTTCAGCGTGCGCGTCAGGCAGTCCACGACGCCGTTGTACGGGCGATCCAGCGTGCCCTGCTTGATCATCTCACCCTGGTTCTGCACGAGCAGCTTCACACGCTCGATGGGAGCGGCGGCCGTCTTGGCCACGCCAGCGGCAACACCGCTGATCATGAACTCCTCCCAGAAGCCGATCTTCGGAAGGTCGTCACGAGACATCTTCTTTGGCGCGGGGGCGGAGTTGGCAGTGGACATTGTAAGCTGGAGTGTATAATGTGGAACAACAGAGTAAGAGAGGTGAGAGCTGTCAACGTTGATGCCGCAACGAGCAAACAGTGATGTAAAAAAGAAACAGCGAAGTGGTTTGGGCTTACACAGCAACAAAGAAGAAGTAGGCACACACGACAACAAAAAAAGGAAGCGAGATGCGTTGCCCATTGTGTAATACAGTCGCGTGAGTTGCGCGGAAAAGAGAAGGCGAGAGACGTCAAGGAGAACAAACGGCCGATGGAAGTGCAGAGGATAGTGATGGAGCAGAGAGGCCAAATCTCCCTTTGAATCACACGGGAGCCTGAAAACGCACGCGAAGCGGCAACATCCTTGTATCTCGCAGATATCCACAACTGATGGACAAAGCCGAGGCGCACCCCTTCCAGACCTCTATTGCTTTCGTTGACTAAACGCATTTAAACCGAGCAGACAACACGGTGTCTCACACGCTTGATTCATGTACGTTGCACGCAGGCGGAGTTTCAACATTGGCTTCTTTTCTACCTGCCCTTGCTTTTCTTTCTTGGATGTAGTACTTCCTTGATCGCCATCTCGTCTTTGAGTGTCTCTTTGCGTAGACGACGGGTTGCTCGGAGCAGCGACACGGCCGTCTGCCCCACCCATGAAGACGTCGAATGACACAAATGCTGTTCGTAAGTACTAGAGCGCTGTTCGAGAAAAAAGCAATGCCTCTCCTTTCTTTTCCCTTTCACTTCATTGAAGGAGCTAGGTGAGTGCTGGACATGTACAGATTAACTCGAAGGTACGGTAAAACAAAGTTAGACCCGTCAGCGGAAGAAGTCAGGGAGCTGGACACAAGAAGAAGACTTCGAAGAAAAAAGGATCGAAGAAACAACGCACCACAGCAGAAGATTCGTTTCGACTGCTTCGGTTCGAAGAGACAAGAAAGGAGAGAAGAAGAAAAAGGGGCGATTGCGTTCGTGAAGGAAGTGCGCGATTCCGACTTGCGAGGGGTCGGGGAACACGCGCAGTACAGCAAGATGGAAGAAATAGTGTGTGTTAGTGCAACAGAAACCAAAGGTTAGAAGGTGGTCACTGAAGTTAAAAAAAAAAACTCTCCAGTAGAAGTACGTTAATCGCTGTTGTATAAAGGAAATGGGAATAAAGCGTTTCGTAGTACGGGTGGCCTTTTGTGAGGTCAGCTCAGAGCTGCTGGGGCCTTTACTAGAGGGGCAAGGTCGCCACAAGCAGCACCAAAACGTGAACAGAAAGAACACCGTGCAGCCCCGGCGTGTCGTTGCCAGAGTCGACTCTTTCAGGGTCTGCGCAAGAGGGGGGCCACGAACAAACCGACGCACAGGTGTTCGATGCTCGAGGAATGGTGCCGAAGGCACTGAGAAGTGCCTCTGGTAACACGTGGCCCTCCAGCCATCTGCTTGGCGCACACGCACACAGCCCCGCATTTCCTTCCAGGCTGAGCGTCGTGAGGCCCGATGAGCCGAAGGAACCCCACTCCTCGCTCAACGCACCAGCCAGCTTCGAGTGCGAGAAGTTCATAGAACGTACAGACACCAACATATTGGCCGACCATGGAGGAAGCGAGCCGCACACCAGCGTCTGTGCGACGGAGAGGTGGCGAAGGTTGTGCATGCCCTGCCACGACGTTGGGATGGCCGACTGGACGGAGGTGTTGCTCAGATCAAGATACAGCAGATTCGTCAGCATGCCCCACGACGGCGGAAGCGTACCGGTAATCCAGGGATTGTCGGAAAGGTCGATCGTCCGCGCGGCGACGCCGCCCCTGAAAGCGGACGAGAGAGAGGGCAGCGAGCCTTTCAAGCCGACACCCTTGAGGTCCAGTGCAAAGCCGTTGCTGCCGTTGTGAAAGCGGCATGAAACACCTGCGTAAGAGCAAAATTCGTAGTCGCTCCACGTCGCGAAGACCTTGATCGCCTGGCTGCTGGTCGCGGCGTCAAGGTCGACGCTCAGGTGCCTTTTCATCAAGTCGAGATAGTTCCAGTTGACGTCCATAAAGTTGAGAAAGTTGTCGTGAAGGAGCGTGCACCGCATCGCATACCGCCCGCACGCGTTGGAGGCTTGCCCACACTGCGCCGTTGCGGCGTCGTTGTCTACGCCAGCCACCAGCACGTTGTACGGCTTCCAGCTGCTGGGGATGCAGCCACAGAACTTATTTTTGGTGACGTTGAAGAACTTCAGTTGGGAACCAAAGCCGCCGAAGCTGTCGCTGAGCCCGCCAAGCATGGAGTTCGCGCTGGCGTCGAAGTATTTGAGGTTGGGCATGTTTGCGGCTCGCCAATTTGGTAGTCCTCGGCACAGCCTCGACCCGGCGATGAGCAGCGTCTCAAGGCTCGACATACCCTCCCAAGTCTCGGGAAGATCGCCGCGCAGGGCGCAGCCGCTAAGGTCGAGGGTGCGGAGGTAGCTCAGCCTCCCCCACGACACCGGAAGACTGCCCGTGAGGCCGCGGTTGTTCGACATGCTGATCGACGCCACCAGCACGCGCGATCCGACGATGTTGGCGGGGAGTTGCGGCAGAGTGCCGACAAGCTGTGCGCCTGGCAGTTGAATAGACAACTCATTTACACCGTAGACCGACCGAGCGCAGGAGATCCCTTTCCAGGTGCCATCACAGTAGTCCGCGGACGCGTCCCAGCTGCTCAGCGGAGCAGGGAAGCTGTCCCGTAGCGTCTTGAGAAACTCCGCCGTGTCAGTCGCCGCAGGTCCGTCAGCTGTCGCGTCGCACTGCTGGTTCAAATTGCCGCAGCCGTTGAGGAAGGCACAGGCGTCGGCCGTACCAGCCGACAGCACTGCACTGTCCAACGCGCGTAGCAAGACGGGTTTGCCACGCCACGAGTTGGGCACGCAACCGCAGAAATTGTTGTTGCGCAGATCCAGCGTCTCAAGCGGCAGCGCCGCCCACGACTTGCTGAGTGCACCCCCCATTCTGTTGTTCGACAGATCGGCGTACCGCAGCGGAGGGTAGAAGGTGGCGTTCCAGGCAGGCAAGGGACCGCAGATGCGCGTGTGGGTGATGGTGAAGTACTCCACGTAGCGGAGCGAAGACCCCAAGATGCGGGGGAGGACGCCTACAATGGCCAGCGAGGACAGCTCCACCCGCCGGGCTAGCGACAGAGCCGCCGCCAGGGACGAAGGCAACGTGCCCACCACGCCGGAGTTGCCACGCATGATGAAGGAGTCAATGAGCACCGACGAGTCACCCACAGCCGCAAAGGCGTCTGGAATGGTGCCGGAGAGGGGAAGCGCAGAGAGGTCCACGCTGATGCCGAGACCGCACGCCATGGGACAAGAAACGCCCGGCCAGTTGCAGTAATCGTCACCGCGCCAGAGCGAGACGGCGTGCTGCATGAAGTGGCTTGATTTCAAAATGTGAAGAAACACTTCGGTGTCATCGTTGAGTTTCGTGGGAGACGTGCAGGTGTAGGCACGGCATTTGGGTTTGCTCATCACAAGCCCCACATTGGCGCGTCGCGCGGCCTGCATGAGAACCGGGACAGCACGAAATGAGTCCGGCACGCACCCTGTGAAGCCGCAGCCTTCAAAGCCAACGTACTCGAGATTCTGCAGCCCGGACGCCCAGACTGCGAGGTCGCTGGGAAGCTCCTGCGTATCGGTGTCTCCAGGGCACGAAACATTGAGGACGCGGAGACGCGGAAAGTACGACGGGCTTGACAGCTGTTCCAAAACTTGCTTGGCGCCCGTCTCGCCCAGCTGGAGCACCTCAAGGCCTCCCATGTCCCCGCCTAACGTATTGACACTCATCTTTCCCACTTGGGTGTTGCGGAGGTCCAGTACAACGAGCTTCGTCATGCCCCTCCACTCGTCGGGGATGTCGCCGCCAACTTTGGTGTTGCTCAAGTTGAGAAACTCCAGGTTGTGGAGGTCGCCCCAATCGTCTGGAAGGCTGCCGTCGGTGTGCGTGCCGCTAAGATCGAGAACGCGCAGATGAGAGAGCCGCCTCCAATCCCTACGCAAACCAGCGGCGAAGTGTGGGTTGAACGAGATGTTGATGGACTCAACGTAAATCAGCGACCCATTAAGTTGGTTCACCTGAGGGTACTGCCCCGTCAAGTTCAGCTCAGAGAGTTCAAGACTCGCCATTCCCGTCGTGGTGTTGCATGTGATAAAACGCCAGAAGCAGAAGGAAGAGAGGGGTGTTGTCCATAAAACGCCAAGCTGAGGAATCTGCTCCCTAAAGTCAGCAAGAAATGCAAGCGTCGAGTCACTAGTACCCGCCTGCGCGAGAGGCGCACACAGAAGCAGCTCTGAGACAAGTACAACACATAGGGCAAACGCGTTCGCAGCAACCGAGGAAAAGCATCTTCGAAACAGCATGCTAGTTGTTTGCGCTAGCGATATTTCATAAGTGGACACTCTCGCTCTGCGTGTTTCGACGTGCAGGAAAAATAACTGACAGAGTTTTAAAAAAAAGGGGAGGGAAAGAGTGTTTTTTTTTCCTCCCCCGGAGCACGGTTCTTATCGTTGGGTGTCAAAAGCGCTAAGACTCGAGGAGATGAGGGGACGGTGTATAATGTTGATGAATAAGGAAGGACACACCGCACAATACGTCCGTCCGTTGGGGATCAGAAACAACATGTTTACGTCAAACCCAACAGAATAAAACAAAAGAAGAGAGAGAGAAGGGAGTTAAAAAGAGTAGCGCAAGTAGAGTAGATGTTCTCGGAATCAGAAAAGAGAAGGGACAAGCATAAGCACCGCTTAGAGGACGGATGCGTGCCCAACAGCGAAAACTCGTCAACGCCAATGCACTGTCAAGATGCAAAGTGCGTGCGGTCTTCGTTGTTCTCATCACATCAGAAGCTGCGCACACCACCGCATGCAACTTGACAAGCGTTTAATCCCTGAAGCACAGTAGCACCTTCCTGGACAGAGTTTAAAAAGACCCCCTCCAGGTAGGAAAAGAAAAAGAAAACATCGCCTCACAGGCTGCATGTCAGAATGATGGTGGCGACGTACAACACGGTGAGCAAATCGGCACAAAGCACCGTCATCGAATTGTCTTGTATGTTCTGCTTGTCAGCTTTCGTTTTGCCCTCAGCATTCATTAATAAGCATTATTACAGTTCATTAACGAGAATCACTTTTCGCTTTCAGATCTTCTGACCGTAATAATGCGGCATTGAGTAAGAGAAAGGTTAGAATTGTTTAATGAAACGTACATTTTTTTCCCCACTGTGAATGGTTAGAGGTATAACTATATATGTGTGTTTTTACAGGGTTCTCCACGAGCACAATAAAAACGTCCGTGTCTTGTTTTTCCCGGTTTAGACAACGAAGGTAAGGTGAGCGTGGGAGAACTGAAAAGAACCATTTCTTTCACTAGATATATATTAATTCTACTTCAACTTCCCTACTTCAACACCGAGGACTACTGTGACCAAGCAGGCACAAGAAAAAAGAACAAAGCAAACCACTCAAAACCCGAACGGTGTCATTACCTATCATCAACAGCAACGGACAGACGACGCCAACTCAAGGAGCATTCACTTAATCCTTCTTCGCGCGGTAGCGGATGTAGTACGGCTTGATCGCGTCCACGCCGGACAGCACGAGCGCACCAGCGATACCACGCAGAATGTTCGCGCCAGCACCGCGGAACAGCGACATGGTGCCCTCGGTCCGCACGCACACGATGAAGCACTCAAACGAGTTCTTGTAGTTCTTGCCGGTGCCGGACGTCATCATCATGCGTCGGCGCACCGTATCCAGCGGGTACGAGATCAGGCCGGACACGATCGTCACAATCCACCCGAGCAGGAAGTTCACAATGAAGTTGTTCACCGGCAGCATCGGCTGCAGTGTATCGTACAGGCCGAAGTAGAAGCCGCGGTACGCAACGATGCCCACGCACGACACGCAGAAGCCGCGGTACAGACCCATCAGACCGTCGCTCTTGAACGTCTTCACGTAGCAGTCCACCATTCCGTTGTACTGGCGGGCGCCGCCCTTCTTTGCAGACTTCGTGTCGTTTGCCAGGCGCGTACGCACGTAGTCCAGCGAGTACACGAAGCACAGCGACACAGCGCCAGCGAGACCGCCGGACGCCATGTTGCCCATGAACCACTTCAAGTAGCCGTCCTTCTCCTTCTTGAAGTTGAACATGCGCTTGAACTTGTCCTTGAAGGCGAAGTTCAGCGCCTGCGTCGGGAAGTAACGGATCACGTTCGACAGGTTACCGCGCCACAGCGAGTACACGCCCTCCGACTTCAGCGTGCGCGTCAGGCAGTCCACGACGCCGTTGTACGGGCGATCCAGCGTGCCCTGCTTGATCATCTCACCCTGGTTCTGCACGAGCAGCTTCACACGCTCGATGGGAGCGGCGGCCGTCTTGGCCACGCCAGCGGCAACACCGCTGATCATGAACTCCTCCCAGAAGCCGATCTTCGGAAGGTCGTCACGAGACATCTTCTTTGGCGCGGGGGCGGAGTTGGCAGTGGACATTGTAAGCTGGAAAGAGAGAGAACTGTTGACGAGATGTGTTTTTGTGTGTTTAACGCGAAGTTTTGACGGCGAGTGGCCGTGCACGGCGCCGTGAACGCGCAGAAAGGGGAAGAGAAAGAAGTGAGTTAGACGCTGGGTTTGGTACAGCGCGATCAACTTGAGAGACCATTGGGACACAAACGTAGCCCGGTTTGCGACTCTCGTGAAAAGCTAGTGTGAGCCAGAAGAACAAAACCTGCACTTCAACTTCAAACGCCCAAAAAGGGCGTTGCTACGAGCAACAACGCTAGACTGTAAAAGATATTCCCAACGATGGGCCACCGCAATAAACCGCGGAAACGCGCTATATAAAAACGGTTTCGCTTTCTTTCCCGCCGCTTCAGCACGCACACAGGGGTCGAGGAAGTTGGCGTGCGCTGAGAGACGCAAAACTGAAACGTTCGTCTGTCCATCGCCAAAGGAAAATAAAAAGGTGGGTACTCGTGACAGCAGAACACTACGTCGCAAAGGACTTAAAGAACAGCGTCAGTAAGAACAGACAAGAGAGCACCCTCTGCGCTGTTCTGTACGGTTGGTGCCTGTCAAGTAGTCAGCGTTGCCTTCTGATGACCATATCAAACGTTCCACAGGCCTCGAGAGAGTCGATCAGGGAAACATCCAACACGCAACATAAGCACCGGGGCCGAAATAAGTTACGTGACAAATATTAAATCAGACCATTATTATTGTCCCGTCCGAAAGACACTAGCAGCAAGACACACATGACAGCAACGCTCACCACATGTATCACAGCATTGAAAGAGCGAGGAAACAAGCGCTTGGGGCAGAAGGGAAGCAGAAGAAAACAAACAGTTATGAGGACAATTGGAGAACCGTTAAAACAGATCGTCTTCTTTGCAATCCACCTGATACAAAAACCAACTAAGAAGAAAACAGCGTACGTGAGAAGGGGCCACGGCAGCCGCTGCGGCCCGTGTGTTGTCAACACAGATGGGAGCACCGCGGCCACGCTAACTCCGCGCCAGACACAATGAGTGACGTCAGATTAAACCACAAATGCGGAAAGACTGCGGCGCTATCCGATACCAGAAAAGAGGCGAGATATTCGAGATCATACGGACGCTCACAGCCGATGCTCCACCAGATACGTACAGAACGTTCGCAACATCAATTTGGGAAAAGAGTCTTCGAGGAGAGGGTCCAGCTTTTCCCAGGTGTCACGGATGCGGCGCTGCGCAATCATGAGGCACTCGTCAACAGCACCCACCTCATTCAGCAGGCTCACAGCACGCCGCACATCCGCATCCTCTCTCGCCTCGCTCGACAGGATCGACCACAGCGCCTCGCGGTCGGCAGCCCCCAGCCGCCCCATCGCAACGGCGATCGGGTACGTCACCTTCCCCGCTTTGATGTCCTCCGCCTTCTCCTTCAAGTCACCCTCGAAGCCGGAAACGTTGAGCGCGTCGTCCACAATCTGGAAGGCGAGTCCCAGGGCCACACCGAAGCTCTCGAGAGCAGCAGATACGTCAGGCGGCGCGTCACACAGCACGCACGCCATCAAACAGAGCGTCCCTGCCACTCCACCTGACTTGTACGTGTGTACGGCGTCAAGTGCATCGAAGAGAGGCTCCGCGTTTCCGCTCTTCACAGCGGCAGGCACCAAATAATGAAGGCCGCTGATGTCCAGACCCTGCCCAGCGTGTCCGGCAATCATCACGTCAAAGTAGAGCTTGTATATCTTCGCAGCCTTCGCGTCGGGAAGGTCTTGGATCCCGGCTGCGTGGACGGACAGGAAGTAGCAGGCGCAGCCGACGTTGATCGCGGAGCTGACCCCGTAGACCAAGTGCGCGCACTCACCGCCACGGCGGAGAACGGAGTCGTCCTGAACATCGTCGATGATCAGCGACCCAACGTGGAGCAGTTCCGCAACGGCGATGTAGCGGCTGCAATCAAAGTGCTGGCGCGAGAGCGCGTTGCAGCAGCTCACCAGAATCAGACTGCGCCACGACTTCCCACCGCGGTCGATGATGAGGCGCGCAGGCTCAAACAGAACCCTGCACAGCCGGTCCGCCGGCACGCCGCGACCAATGCAGTGACGCCCCAGGATGTTCTCCGCCACCCACTCGTCCGACGCCGTCAGCGGGCACGCCTTCGCAAGCATGTCGTGAACGTACGCCCCAACGCACCTCAGCAGCCCCGACGTGCTCGCGTACGGCAGTGCATTGCGCTTGTGCTCGAGGAATCCACGGACCGTCACAGAAGCGCCGTCCACTGCGCCAGTGCCCTCCATCACGCCCTCGTAGAAGCCCGCGCCGCTCACCACCACGGTGCAGAACTCCTGCGCAGCGAACGCAGCGCGCACCGCCACGTCCAGCCCGATCGACTCCACCCGGACCCGGCACGCCACCGGGTAGCTCGTGAACGTCACCATGCTCGTCCACGTCTCAGTCACCTCCAGCTGGCCGTCCTCGCACAGCACGCGCGTCCTGTCGGCCCTCGTCAGCACAGTCGTCACGTCACGCGTCGCCTGCTCCGCACCCTCCGTCACATGGCACACGCTCACCTGCGCACCACTGGACGCCTGCAGTGAAAGCCACGACCAGCCAAACTGCGCGTCCTGGCTCGCCTTCGTGGCAGCCCCGTCGAACTCGCGATCGTACCACCCCGTGCCACACACCTCGTGCCGCACCCCGTCCACCTCAACGTAGCCCGAGGCCCTCATCGACGGGTAGTAGTAGTAGTACATCCCGTTCACGCGCCCGTCCTTGCCTTGCAGCACAGGCGCGCCTTCCGCCTCCAGGGACACGTGCACCGACACCTCATCCACGCTGTTGTGCATCGTAAACGTGTAGCGGCGCGTCAGCCCGTCCTGCTCCGTTCGCAGCTCACAGTGGTTGGCCATGGTGATCCCAAACGGCTCCGCCGTGTACACCGCAGCCGTCTCCATCATGTGGTCGGGACGCGGAAGTCGACCCTTCTTCACAAGCTCCAGCAGAGCACCTTGCACGTGCTCCGTTGGCCTTCCTGTCACCTCCGGGTCGAGACCCTTGCGGATCTGCGCGATCGCGTCGGGGTCCAGCACGCTATCCGCGTAGTACTTCTCGTTGCGCAAGTCCACCAGCGCCCACGCGCACGCATCGTGAAACACGGAGGTCGACGTCGCGCACTCGTCCTCGCAGCGGCGAAAGAAAGAGCCAAAGAAGCCGAAAGAGGGTCCATCCTCCCCCTTCACGTTCAGATGCGCGTTGCCGTACCACCATTGGAGAGCCGAGGCATCGTTGCACTGGTCGTACACCGCCGGGTCGGGGTGAACGCCTCTGGGAGGAAAACAACTTGGCCAGAAATCATACGGCATTGAAATATATGTTCGTTAGGTTTCTCACCGTTTTATTGTCTAGTTGGTGCCGCTCTTGACGGCGGTTGATTACGGATAATTGATGGGGAATTTCGCTTTGGAAAAGAATCATTGAAGAAAAATGTGGTACTGTTTCAGAAATATGAAAAGAGAGTAATCCAATACGAAATTAAAATAAGTTTCGTCTGCGTAGAAGCACTGAAACAGGAAAAATGGATTGACTCTATAGTCTTTTTTTAAGACAGTTAAAATGGTAAATGGGGAAACGAGGTCAAGGGAGGTTGGAGACGTGGTGCATAAAGCCTAAAGTATATGCAACCTGCGCTTGACCAATTACAAGTTATGACAAGGGAAATTGGTGTGAAGGATGCTCTTTTTGTTGTTATGGTTTTCGTGTGTGTGTGTAACCAACGTTCTCCGATGATTGTAGAGATCCTTTAGTCAATTACGCGTTCTACAAGGAAATAGAGAGGAAAACTGCCCGTTTTCGAGCAGTTATAACCTCGCTTTTGCTGCTACTGTCAAAAATGATAGTGACTATTTGCAGCTGTTTAAGGTGAAAGTAGATGAATTTACGGAATCTGCGTAAGCGCTCGCATCTAACTAGCAGGCTTTGCAGTGTTTTTTGGCAACGGTTATCTGTGACGGCTGTGCAGTCCAAACTTTGTCTTTCTATTCCACCGATATCGCTAAACGACAAGAAAAAATTCTAACCACTTGATGAGAAAAGCAATTATACTAACGCGAGCACAAACAAGAAAACTGTTTCAGTTTTTATCAGCAGCACGGAAGTTCTAACTTACCATTCGTGTCTTTTACCCACTTGGATTGTTATAAAGCTTTTTCCTTTTTTACTAACTGCGCGTCACAGACAAACCAAAAGAAATGACATTCACAACGGAAAAAAAATGGAAATTGGATGTACTCGTTGAGTAAGATGTTCTTCTTGAAAAGCTCGGGAATTGAAACACATAAAAAAAGACACTATTTCAAAAGGAAAATATATATTTATGTAACACCGGCAAAACTTCAAAAAAAGGTAGCAGTGCCGCGCTTTTAAAGCTCGAACAGTTTTTGCTTTAAAAATACATAACGCCGAAACCGGCCAGCAAAAACAAAAAGATAACTTATCGTCTTGAAAACCAGGCTTGACTTTTAGAGCTCTCAGTTGTCATCCATGCCAATAAGACTGTTAGTGAAGAAGAGCAGTTCACACGAGTTCCAGTGTGTTTCAACGTCTACCGCCTTTCAAATCATTCCACACAGTGAACTGCAGTGTCTAAGTCTCACATTTACTGCTAATATATGCATTATTATCTGCGTATTGTTACAAAGAACACCCGCCGTTCGACAGTCCAAAGACTCAGTAATTTGACGTTTACATGCCTTGCTTTTATTAGTGGCTGGAAGATATTTTTTTCCCAGAGACCGTATCCTTAACGTTAGTATAAACAAGAAAGATCTTGAGTCCACAGCCGTACAGAGTTGGTCACGTTCAAAAAGACCCTTCAAAAAGAAACTTTGAACCCAACAAAAAATAAACTTTCGACGGCATCATGCGAGAGAGAAAGGAGAGAAAACACGTTTTGATTAAGTAGTACGCAAAATAAACCAGATTGATTGCAGAACGTTTGAGCAGTTTCATGTAAACTCAAAAAAGGGGGAAACCCATTATTAGGAACATGTTTAAAAAACGAACGCTATATTAGGACGTTACAAAACGCAGTGCTTGCAGTCAAAGAAGACCTCGTTCTTTTCTGTTGCTTCTGCGAAGAAATCACTTTCGAAAAAATGAAAAGCTAAAGTGCAACTCAAATTTTGCAATAAATTGGACAGAAAAGCGGTTGAAAAGAAACGTGGAAGAGAAGAGATATTGCCCTGTTTTTAATCCACCTCCGTCTCTAACCTCATCATAGCGATTTTACTTTCGAACACAACGAAAAAGAAGACGGTAAGTGTTGTTCTACTCTGCGAAACCTACTTTTAAAAGAGCATCAAGCAGAAGAAATTTTGCAGCTCAAACGTTCAGTATGTACGTCCTCGTGCATATCAAAAGCGAGCGCTTGAAAACTAGTTATGATACATTGTCATAAAGCAGTCGCATTGACGCGTCTCACTAAACTTGTAAAAGAAGAAGAAACTGACTAACTCCGGGAGGTACAAAGACTATTTTGGTCTTCGCAACGCATATTAGTAGTAACATTGAGTTACAGTTGTCTCTACTCTTCTTTTCCTTCCTTTTTTAGACCATATTGTGGCACGCGCTGACAAGACCTCTATTTGACAAACAAGCTGGGATAAGCGCAGCTACAAAAATCACTCGAAACTTGTGAAAAAAAAAATAATCTTTTACTGTTGTTTGCTGTTGCAAGCGAACAGCAGCCTCAAATCAAGTTTTCCTTTTCGTTTGTCTAGTTCAGACGAACATGCGCGGAAAACTCCACGTCACTAACAGCACCAGTACAGGTGAAAGTGAGAGTTGACTGTTAAAGCTGTGTAACCCTTCACAACCACACATTACAAATAACCGAAAAGAACAAAACATGCCAATAAAAGCGATCCATTATTTATTGTTAAGTATAAATAGCGAAACCACGTGACGACACCTTCCGTTTTGGGGTGCCTTAAACAGGAATTTCTTCCCGTGAGTGACTTGAGGTAGGAGAAAAGGCCACCCTACATAAACAAAAAGACACAACCATATAACGCAGACCGAAAAGTACGAAAACCTGAAAATAAGGAGGAGAGATATAGCAGTTTTCCTTTGTTGTAATGTCTGTCACCTATTAAAGTGGTTTCGAATATATATGTATTTATTTATTTATTTAAGCGACGCAAGGAGAGTTGTAAACCAGCAATAAGCTGCGACCTCCTCTGACGAATAACGTGTTTTTCATGAACTGCACCACCACCGGATATATAATGTGTGAAGAAAGAAACACGTGAAGTTCGTTTACAACGCACACTGGGACGGAAAGACGCATGTTTCATTACAGTAGCAAGACAAATCTCAACGCGAAACAAAGCCAGCAAAAGTGCATTTGTCTGGAAGCTGAAAATTGTTTCTCAGATTCGGCAATATTACTTCACCATAAAACAAACCGCTGTCGACATCGATCTTCGCCGTTTCACAATATCACCCTCCACCGAAGAAGTTCAGCACAAGACAAAGGACGATGCTAAACGTGACACCGGTCCGTGTCATGTTCTCCACTTCATATTGTACCCAGTGCGCGTGATACGACTCAAAACAATAGTCGGCTGCGGATTTTTTTTTTGGTTGCTTTCCGCTTCCTTTCCCCCCCCCCCCTTCCTCTGGCTGAGCATTTCCTGCGCTTCGAATTTCGCTGAAGCCCCTTTTCTTCTTCTTCCCCTACATGGAAACACGAGTGAGACGTCTTCGGAGTACTGATTACAGCGTTTGCGTTCGTTTTCGGCCAGTGAACGGGGGAGGCATGGTTTTTGCACCGAGTACAGAACGAGGCGGCAGCATCTGGAACGTTGTGTCACCGAGGAGAACAACGACATATCCTAGCTTCACGCAAACGCTTTTTTTTCATGTTTCTGTTGCTGCATTGGTAAACTATGTCACCGGTCAAACGTGAAGCAACAGCGTTGAATATGCTTCCTGTTACGCTGTCAACCATGCCTCGGAACTCTCCTTACAATTTGATGCAATTTATTGCTTTGCTTTCTTCTTACCTAGCGACGTAGCGTGACTTTTCTAAAGCAAAGGTATCAAATGACTCGCCAATAGGAACTCCTCCTTCTTTTTGCACGTTTTCGACCGACCACTTTAATGCCTGCACAATGATTTTGCTTCTGTTGTTGTTGATTGCTAAGAACCTAGGGAAACTTGCTTTGCCTGCAAGCACAGCACGCCTTTTGCGACCACAAGCGACGATTGTCTCTGTTCTGTTGTTTTTATGTTGGGAGAGGCCGTGGTTCAGTTTTGAAAACCGTAGCGCTGTAAATAATGAGAGAGAGTATTCGGTTGTGGGCAAGCGAATCGAGATTACGCTTTAGACGCGTGTGCGCCTAGATGTGATGATAAGTGCTGGCTGCTGTACAACAAAGTGTTGAGTTTGCGCATGTGTGTGTATCTGTGGGTTCAATTGTGTTCCTTTTCGCTGCCGCGTTGAGAGTACCATGCTTTAATTGCTTTTGAGAGGTGGCCCAGGCATATACAGACTCTCTCATCCGTAGCAATACTCTCGGAGATGTGAATCACCCTGAAAGCTAATAGTATCGTTGGCATCGTTGACAGCAACCGTCAGAAACCCGTAACTGTACGTTGCACTATAACAAAAGCTGGCATGTCTGATTAGGCCGCAGAATTCGAATTAGCACCTAAAGAGTGGGCCCCGGTGAATCAGATTTTTTTTAGTCAATCACTGACTCTAGCGCTATGGGTTGATGACTAAAAACGTCTGCGGCATCAAACTTCTGGTCGTTGTTTGTGTCGTTGTCATTGCTGAAGGACTTTCATCAGTAAAGATTTTTTTTGTGTGTTACCATTCTATCTGACAGCTCGCAAATTTATGTCGGCTCACTTTCACGACAAATTGTGTGTGCGTTATCGAAAAAAATAAAATATGCATGTCTTCTGCTATTTAGCTGGTTTTGTTCTCTGTTGATGATCTAGAGGACATCTCTTCGTCGGACTTTTGTTCTATGTTACCCTAACTGCTGTATACAGATATGAAGCCGTGCTTGGAACCACAAACGTACTTGGTGACTTTTACATTTTTGTGGGTTGCTTCGCTATTTTTTTTTTTCTTGCTCTAGCGACCACTGCAGATGCATCATAATGAACAGATCTTTTTCTCCGAATATGTGCTTAGCCGGCTACAGTGTTAAGTAATACTGTTAATCTTGAAAGGAGACAAAGACAGTTCAGAGTTTTTTTAATCTGCCGCTGCGCGTCATTTTCGGTCTTCATGAGCTCAAAAGATATGTTTAGCGCTGTTTATCGTGTGCTTTTTCAGCTGAGGCGGTTCTAACCCATTTTGTATGTGGTAAAAATCTAAGACAATGTAGCCCAGAAATATAGTTTCCCTTTGCACGCTGAATCGGTACAGTTTTAGCAACTCTCGGAAAGAGTGCTACTACTGCAAAGAGGTTGCTTCCACTTCAATTGCAGTGTAGCACAGTAGCTTTATTTTCAGTAAGAATCGCACATGTTCCGTCTCCTAGGGTACTTCTTCCTTTATTTGTGTACATATGCTTCAACATTGCGAGCGACTGTTCAAGAGTTAAACTTTTTTTTGGTATGTTGTACGCGTCCACCACTGTTTCAACTACTTGCTCCGTGTGTTCAAACACTTTATTTAAGAGGTTAAATTATTTTGCTTGTAAACCACATGTTACAATCGGAAATGCACACCAGTCTCACTTCTGCGGTACATTTTTTTAGGTACAAACTGGTTAGAAACACCTTTTTTTTTGCACACGGGCCAGTCCTCGCTTTGATTTCGTTTCGACGGTTAGCTTTTTTTTTGTTTTTAGAAGCGCTTCCTGTTCTTCTTTAAACAACAATTTTGCAGGAAGAAAAACGAAACGAGGGTGAAAACGCAAAAGCGACTTCTTTTGTCTTCGCTTCTTTGAGCCTCGCTTTTTTTTTTCCGAGAAGTGGACAAGTGAAAACATGTGTCGCTATCAAACAGAGATAGGGGTCCGTGCAACTACTGTTGTCGTTAGTGTTGGCTGCGCGTGATCGTGTTGAAGCTGCTTTCTCTCTCATGGTCGAAAAGAGTGCTGTTCAGACTTCCGTGGATGCTTTCCGTTATCTCAGTGAAGGTGTTCTTTTTCGTGTCGCCAACGTCTTGCAACAGGCGTGGATGATTTCATTAGAAGAAGATTTCCATTTAGGTGTTTCTGCTTCTCGTTTGTGACCATCATGATTCTGATAATCTCTTTTCCAATTTGAATCAAAGACCCAGTTCATTTCCTTTAAAGCAGTGCAAGCGCAGACTTTTATTGTGTTTCAGTACATGTGAATACCTGTACTTTTAGAGCTTTTTTTTTTCTTCTAGTGCGTTAACAATCTATTAGAGAAGATGCCGCGTTTTATGTATGTGAGCCGACCATCAAGTTTCTATCTTCACATACAAAAATGAGAAACTTCCGCATTTTACAAGGCTGTTGTGAATTAGTTTCCTCCCTTTTTCAGTAAGTGCTTAACTTACTCTTTCCCCCTGATCGACCGTTATTTACACCTTCGGTTTACGTTTATATTCATTATTAAATGCAAAGCACATCTAGCAGATTATTAAGGATTTACGAATAACTTGCTTTAGTTCAAAAGGAAAAGATACACCATCTAATCTGTAGACGGGCACAAATGGCTTTTTCTATATGCGACTGACCTGCTTTGATACGATCGTCGAGCTCTCACGTCGAAATGAGGCAACAACTGCTCGTAACACTGTTCTATTGAAATAAAAAATGTGTTGCCACTCTATCGTAACTTGCACATGTGGTGTAGTCCCGATTGCGTGCGCCACACCAAGACTACGAAAGATGCTGTTGATACAGAGCTGTCTTTTCTTCACCTTCTCACCGACTATCTTTTTGGGTGTTTAGATTTAACTTCAAAGAGGCGACGTTATTCTCTACTACTAGCCGTAGAATCTGTTTTTTTAACCCTTTTCTTGGCTTTCTTCTCATTACCTTCCTGCTTTTTACCCTATTTTTTTTGTGTGCGCGCGCGTTGCATGAATAACTGTTTGTACTTTTGCTGCGAACCATAAATGCATTTACTGGTTCTCGGAATTCTCAACAGATGCTATATATGCATGTGAATATTGAAGGGATAGAGGATTAGGTAGCAATTCAAACAGAAAGAAACCTATCAATTATGCTTCGTCGAGTCTGCGTGGCGTTGCCGGCAGCGACCGGCGTGCGCTTCGTCGCTTCCGGCACTGGCCAGTCAACCGGATCGAATTCAGACTACAGCGGCCCCATCGACAACGTCACTGGCAAGGATAACAAAGCTGGAATCTACAGTGACAAGAAACCACAGACTTACTTTGAGGAAAAATACCCGAATCGCAAAGACGAGTTAGGCTCCCGGCAATTCACGCACCCTGGCGACCCGGAGGGGAGGTCTGACAACATCAAATACCCTGAATTTGACACGTCCCTGGGCAAGTTTGAGCAGGCACCGTACTTCACCGGCGGGCCGCCGGCAATGCGTTACCACGGCTATAAGCGCGATCCTGCCGACAAGGAGTCCGTTGATTACCGTGATGTGATGCCGGCCCCGCCGTTCGAGGACCATCACCCCGAAAAATCGTACGGCAGTGTCACGGGTCGCCGCGAAGGTAACACGTTCCTGCTCGCGAACTCCACCATTAACTACGAGTTCAAGGCCGCTATCATGTCGCTGTACCATAGCATCCTCAAGTCGTTACCAATAGTGAAGCACTTTTACTTTCTACTGATTCCCCTCCCTGACATGAAGAACAAGATCCGGGAGCGCTTTCTACAGAACCAGCACACAAAAGACCCGGATGCTATTCGCCACCTGATCCACAACGGCTGGATGGAGTTCCAAGAAGTAGTCATGTTCAGACGCCACCGCGCCACGGTTGAGAAGTTTTTCGGCTTTGATAGTTTAGACACGATTGTAATGCAATACTCGAAAGAGGAGGGCATGATGAACAACGAGCGCGCCTTTTGGAACGGCGAGGAACAGCGCCGTGAAGGCCCTTACAACGGCCACTGGTCCTGGCTAGGCCAGGAGTGCGAAAAGGAGTTTAGCAAGATTGCCGGCCGCATTCCAATGTCATGGACGACCTCGAAGGGGTACTTTGAGAAGGGCCAAGCGGACGGTACCAACTACTGGGAGAAGAACTTAGATTACGAAGGTTGGTACATCAAGAACGTCGACCCCGATCGCCAGAACGCGCGGCGGGAGATGCAGGGCTGGGTTGAGAGCGGCTATAACCAGCCGAAGCACTACGCTAGCAAGAACCGCCGCGGCTATCGCCGCATGGTGAAGGACATTGAGACACTGATGGAGACCTCGATGGAGGATCTGTACACGCACAACCGCGAGCAACTATTCCAGTACCTGATCCGTGAGACCCACCCCGAGTCCAATCGCATCAACGCCGAACGGACCTTAGCTCGCCAGGATGACGACTTCTACTCTACCCGCTTCGAGGAGTACGAGAAGTATCTGAAGCAAGCAATGCGCGAGATGCCTAACCCACGACTCTGGAAGACTGACGCGTTCTACTTCCGCCTCCGATATCTTCTAGCTCCACTGGAGTACAACTGGGCGAAGGTTCCCATCGGCGCGGCGCAAGAGAAGCTGTTCAACGAGTGGATCTCTGACAACGTCAACTACGCGATTTACACTAGTGATGTGTTTGCGAAGATCAAGACAGACAAAGCACGCAACCCGATGGCGAAAACCTGGGGCGACTTTTACACGGAGTTCGACCCTGATGTGCCTGAGACACGCAACCTGCCCTGGTACCACAAGGACTTCGACTACGACCGCCGCCACAAGTGGGATGAGCGCTGCATGCGTATGAAGAGGTGGGTGCAGAGCGGCACTATTGACTGCAAGTACGCGTTTTTTGACAGCGTCATCGCCGAGTGGGAGCAGTACGTCAACCGGCCGGAGCGCTTCCGCGCACCAGATAGTGCTGAGCGCCGCTATGCTGCGCCGCGCATGGTACAACTGTACCGCTCGCTCAACCGTCTGATGGATGTGGCGCTGGCAAACCAGATGCGCAAAGTGGTTTCGAAAGATGGCGACCTTAGCCAGCTAGCCTTGGAGGGTGTACAACGGAAGATTGAGGCGGCGGACTTCACAAACTTCCGCTTCGAGGTCCCAGTAGTGATCTACCCAGACGGCTTTGCCCAGCCCCAGCTGGGTGTTGACGGCCGCAGCGAAAGTGCTGTGGTTGACGCGCGTGCTGCGGCCATCGCTTAGCAGCATTAAACAGGTGAAGTAGCTGTTTTTTTTCCCCTCTCTCCGCCGGCGTTTCATTGACTTGCATTGTATGCGTTCTTGATCTTTTATTTTCGAGCATGCTTGTGCGAACGTGGTTTTGTTGTCCTTTCCTAACGAGCTGCGTCCTGAATCTCCCTCAAGGAGTATGTGTCCGTTCTTTTTTTTTTTCTTATTCACTGCTTAGTAGTCAACGCCTGTCCAATTTGGTGAGAAGCTCTGCATTCGAGTTACGAATTTGCGTTTCAGGTGAACGTCAAAATTCGTTGCGTATTTTTCCCCTCGCTAGACAAATTTCGGGGATTAGATGACATCCAATACTTTCTGCGTGTGTGTCTTTCTTCAACTGAAACGTGTGCGCTATCTTCATATTGGCTTGCGTATTTAGCGTCTTTCATTTCACTTTTGTTTTCCATCAAGGCGAATTTTTCTTTTTCCACGCGGAAGGGGTAGTTGTAGCTAGTAGTAGTAGTGAGGGGCACACACACACACTCACACACACACAGGCAAATGCGCCAAATGTGGCACGCTGTGTATCGACAACAGAAGCAAAAGCACCCCCTTCCCCAACACACACACACAACAAAAAAGAACAACGACGTCTCTCTTACGAGTAACTGAAGTCTAGGTCGTCTTTTGCTGGGCTTTTCTTTTGTTTTTCACGGTAGGCATGAAGTCGATCAAAAGAAAGGAGATCGCACGTTGCAACATTTTTCGGAAACTTCATGAGCTCATGAAGCAGATTTGACGCACCGCGCCGTTCGTCGTTATCAGGAGGCGAAGAGCACTGGAATGACCTCCAGTTATCCGAAACGTTGAGATAATTACCGCTGTTAAGAACTACGAAACGTCCGTCTTTCCATAACTTTCTCTCTGCACACTTCCCCCCCCCTCTTAATTGCTTTCTCAACACTGGAAAGCGATTAGTTTCGAAGAGGACTTTTCCACCGCACGCATTGCATTTGTTTTGCACGCGTTTCTTCTCTTCAATTCTCTTCTTTTGTTTTTGTATCCCGTGGAAGCTTACCGCTTCCCTCCGCGTTAAGAAAGGAAAGATGGTCAAGGTGAAGGCTTCCAAGTCGAAGCGCATGTCTTCGAAACAGCGCCACAAGATCGACCGCAAGAAGCGCGAACACAAACGCGACTTGAGGAAGGCAGCGAAGGCTCTACAGAAGTCTGGCATGGCTCCCAAACGGAGCAAAAAGTCGCGCGACCTGGCGAAGCTCGCGCTGCAAGTGTCGAATCGACACCCTGACAAGGAGCAAATTTTGAACCACGTGCTGCAGGCTCGTGAGGCGGCTCGCGTGGTGAAGGCCGAGCGCAAAGCGCGCAAAGGCACGGAGCACGACGCGGACGACGCTGAGGAGGGCCAGACCGAGGCGGTCGATGCCCGCTCCAGCAACCGTCGCCAGCTGTTGTACATCTCCGTGAAGGACTCGAATCAGTTTAGGGTGCAGTTCAACCGCGCTCTAACGGAACTCGTCTTTCCGGCGCCACGCGCAGCTAACGCTGAGACGCCGTCGCTGGAGCTGCCATCCGTCGCGTACGTCGTGACGCTCGATGCGCGCTTCGCCGTGCAGTCGATGCCGTGGTCTCTGGCAGACGCCATTGTGGATCAGGCTGCTGCCTACACCGGCGGCCGCAAGGTGCTGCTGCTCTTCACCCTCACTAAGGTGGACCTCATCTCGGCACCTGCCATGGTCTCGCAGGTGGCCCTCCTGGCGCACGCGCTGCAGCAACGCTACCCCAACGGCCTCGGCGATAATCTGACGGCCACCATCACCCCATTCTCCGTGCACAGCGAGCGGGCACAGCGACAGTTTCTGCGAGTGCTGAACCAGTTCCGCCAAAACCCAGGCTGCTCGTGCAAGAAGATGTCCTCAAACCTGACGGGCAAGATTTGCGCCTTTGTCGTAGGGCTGCCCAACACAGGCCGCCGCACGCTGTCCCGCACGCTCTCCAGGGAGGCCAACGAGAGTAGCGTGAGCACCGTCCCTCTGCGCGCTGCGCAGCTGCAGCTCATCCGCTCCGGCCTCTCTGCGGAGGAGACTGTGCACACCAAATTTGCTTTGCCGAACGCGAAAATGGTAACGCTCGTACAACTGCCAGAGGACGCTGGCATGATCAAGGAGCTGCGCACGCCGATTGGCAGCGATGTCCTTTTCCGCTCCTTGGCGTATGTGGAGCGTGCCCCAGAGCCGGAGGCGATGGGGTGTGTGCTCTTCGACGGCGTGGCTGACAAGGCTGCTCTCGCACAGGCCTTCTGTGTGCGGGCCGTGGCGGAGGCGGACGCAGGGGAGAAAAATCCGCTCAAGGCCGCGGAGAAATTCTTGCGCGAGCTGGGCCGCGCGGTGCGTCGCGACGGCGGCTTTCACGTGTCCCCGCTCTTCGCCTCCGACGCTGGAACGCTGGGCAAGGTGACAAGCAGCAACCTCTCCGGCCACGTCGGCTTCACGTCGAACCAGCAGCGGAGCCAGTCCACCCTCTTGGACGCCACCTACAGCAACGCCACTCCCAGCAAGCTTGTGCACATCTCTACGGTGATGAAGAAGGTGAAGGGAAAGAACAACAAGTACCAAAAAGTCTCCCGCGCCGACGCCAAGAACGCCCTTCGCCTCGGCGCACGCACGTTTCTGCGCGAGATGTCGGAGAGCTGCCACGTGCCGTGGGCGGTGATGCGGGCGGGTGGCGACGTGACTCTCACCCCTGCCCAGGTGGCCACCGCGTCGGCACTCTTCAGTCTGGCAGCCGCGGAGGGCAGGCGGAGAGCGGACACGGGCGAGATGAGCGGCAAGGCGCACCTGGATGCGTTGATTGAGGTGCTCGCATCCGCCGTGCGCGACATTGCGGTTCTCATGCCAAACGACGTGGTGGAGATGACCCCGGAGTTTCTCGTTGCGCCGCAGTACAGCTTGGAGGCGGAAGAGGCAGCGGAGGATGAAGAAGAGGAAGTGGAAAAGGAGGAGAGCCACGACGCTGGCAGTGATGCCGAGGCGGTTGAAATGGAGGAGGAGGAAGAGGGCAGCGAAGAAGTCGACCTCGGCGATGACGAGGACGACGAGTGATTCGAATAACTGTCGAGCTGTGTTGGCAAGGGGTGCACTAATAGCACTGTTTAATCCGAACTGAGTACATCTAAATAACTGCGTATAAACCGAACGTAAGAACGCAGAAAGGAACGCAAACAAAGAAAGAGGGAAGTATCGCGCGCCGCAATTGTGAGCACTGTGGGCAAGAAACGATGCGCTCCGCCATTGTGCACAACAGAGCTTGCTAGCGTGTATTAGAACAGGCGTCATGCGTCAATGACAACGCCTTGCTTCGCTCTGACGTTGCATTCATAGCGATTTGCGGCACACCTTTTCAACGGTCTTGTTTTTTCCCTAGGCGCTACGATTTAGGGGGAACGTTGCCATTGTTAGCATTCGCGGAGTAGACGACCTTTTTTTCCTTCTTCAATGTGTTGTTGCAGAGGCTCAAGGCAACGCTGAAACATTTTTGCAGGCACATTCGCTACTATATCTGCTCCATCTCTCCTCGTGTTTTCTTTCTCATCCTGTTGCTTCGTCACCATCACTTATATATATGTGTCACACTAGATGTGATTTGCACCTAAACACCTGTACTCATCAGCGCTGCGACGGTGAACATCACAATTTGTTAGTTGTTCGTCCCTTTTTTCCCCTTGGCGTTGGCGCACGTCGATTTGGGGACGTCGGCGTGCTACGGATCGACGAAAGCATTGTCTTGAACGTTGCACGGCGTTGAGGTCATAAAAGAAAAAGGCACTAGGAGAGGGGGAATAGGAGCATCGTGCTTCTCGTCTGTGTTGGCTACTCCCAATTCTTTGTGACTTCAAAAAAGGAAGGCATTTGTAACTGCAGATACTGCCTCAATTGTATTAACCACAGTTGCTGAAAAAAGAAAACGAAGCTTGTGAGTTACGGGTGTGTAGCAGCAACACTCGCTGCCACGCATATAAGGGCTGTTGAAGCTCCTTTTTTTTCCCCCTTTCTTCTTTCCTTTTTGGTGCACATACATATATGTTTAGTTCAGAATTGAAGTACGGGTCGCGCCTGCGCGTGTACCTGTGCTACGTTAGCTCTCAAGACGATGCCAATCCCGCAGACGGACTGTGCACGCAGGACAGGTACGCGCGCGGATGGGTGTCTGGCAAGCACGTCTCCTACCCGCAAGAGCTCGGGTTTCGTTTTGACGGAATCGTAACGGTTGAGTCGCTCCGCATTTTGGCCAACGAGAGCAAAATTTCCTCCTGCATCGACGTTTACGTCGCAGAGCCGACCGCGCAAGAGGAGCAGACTGGGGTGTGCAGTCCTTACAACAAGGCAGTCTACAGGCGTCTCGGCCATATTCGTTTCTCGAACAACGCGGCGAGTGGATACCGCGCGAGGGAGCTGAAGACTGTGGGCCTGCGGCGTCGCTGCACGTACCTCAAGTTGGTCTTGCGCAACCCGCACGTGAATAGCTACAACATGTTTCAGCAGGTGGGCATTGTGGCGCTGACCGCGCACGGCAAGCTGCTCAAGACCATGCAGGAGTGGATGAGCACCCCTCTTTGCCTCCCAGTGGGCGAACGTAGCGTGGCGCCACTGGAGGAGATGCTGCCACCGCCCAACGCAGACGCGTCCCCAAGTGGCGCCGTATCGGTGCCCTCCACCATCTTGCAGCGCGTGGCGGAGCTGAACGCGCTGAAGCAGAAGGCCGTGGCGGAGGAAGACTTCGACACCGCCGAGGCGTTGAGGCAGCAGATCGCCACCATTGACCACAACGAACGACAAATTGCAATGTTAATGCAGGAGAAGCAGCGCGCCATCGCCGTGGAGGATTACCCGCAGGCAAAGCAGATCAAACTGCGTATTGAGGCGCTGAAGGCAGAGACCGAGAAGCTCGCCAACGACCACCTGGGAGCGGTATTGTCGCCCCGAAGCGCCAACGCCGCCGCCGCGCCCTCAAATGGCAGCGCCCCCTTTAGCGACAACAAAAAGCTGGTTTCATCGAACGGAAATGCCGGCTTCAGTCCCACGGCAGCGGCTGCGCAAGAGCCACGAGTGTCGCGAGACGGGGCTAACACACACGACGAGGTGGCGGTCGGCGGCAAGGGCTACTACGACTTCAGCGACGCCACGGGAGGTCTGCAGCAAACGAACGATCACCGCGACAACGGCAACGAGGTTCCTCTGGCCGGGCGTGGGGAGGAGTGGGAGCGCATCCTCAACGCCGCCATCAAGAAAGTGTCCACCGTGATGGGCGGGCCTTCCCCCCTCACAGGTGATGAGGCGGCTGCCGCGAAGCCGTACACGGCCGACTTGGGCGAGTACTGTGTTGCCTGCCTCTTCAGCCGCAAGGGGCAGCAGCGCGAGGGTGCGTTGCGCGGTGTCGTGTCAAGCGACGGCGGCCGTGCGCTGGCCTCGCACAGTGAGGCGGCGTGGTCACAGTTGGTGCTGTACATGTCGGAGAGGGGGCACGGAGTGGGCGACCCCGTCCCGGGCGCGGCAATGGCGGCGTGCGGTGCGTTGGTAAAGATTGTGCAGGGCAAGCTGCCTGGTGCGACGGCAACTCCGGTGGCGGAGGCGGTGGCGAAGGTGCTGCCGGAGCTGGTGGCGCGTATGGGCGAGGCGAACACGCGGCTACAGGAAAGTGTTGAGAAGGCGCTTGTTGGCGTCGCGCGGTCGCCGTTTGGGCACCGCCGGGTGGTGGAACTGCTGCTGGTGGATCCGGACAAACTGAACAGGAAGCCGGCGAGCTTCCGTGCCCATGTGTCGCGCATCAACCTCCTGAGCACCTTGGTGGACGAATTCGGCCTCACCGCGGACAACCCAGACGGCCTCGACACACGCGTCCTGTGCACCTCAGTGCTCCTGCCCAGCCTCCAGCACTCCAATGCCGATGTACGCGAGGCGGCCATCAAGCTGCTCGCCAAGCTGCTGTGCCTCGACCCCGGCTCCACCAGCGGCTACGTGCAGACCATCAAACCTGCACAGCAGGCGCTTGTGGAGGAGCAACTGGAGCAGTACAAGGAGAGTCTGCTCACTGCCCACAGCGTCGCCCGCAAGGCGTCGGACATACCGTCCGATAGCATCGCCGTGCAGCGGCGCTCTGGCAGCGGCACCGAGTCCTTCCTCCTGCACCAGCGTCCGACACCGCAGCGCCGCACCCCGGCGTCGTACGTGATGGACGCCAACACCACCGCCGAGGACCTCAACTCGAATGCCACCGCCGTAGAGCCGCCCCTGAAACCCGCTTCGGCTTCAATCGGCGAAATCGAATACCGACGACTGCGTACGTGCCAGTTTTGCAACGAGTACAATCCCAGCTTTAACGAGCACAACTTAGATCTGCACTACGTGAGCGCGTGTCCGATGCTCTGCCCGTGTCCGCTGTGTGATCAGGTGACGGAGATTTGCCAGCTGCAGCAGCACCTCGTAACGGAATGCGAGAAGCGCCGGATGGTGCGGGAATGCCCGCGCTGCCACGAGGCGGTGCGAGCGGCGGACTTCAATGAGCACGTGGCGGCAAAGAAGTGCATTGAGGCAGTGCCAACGCACAGCGTCTGTCCGCTGTGCCACGAGCGTTTTAAGAGCGGCATGGAAGGCTGGCGCCACCACCTGGCCTCCAGCCCCGGCTGTCCGAACAACCCACGCAAATACGACGGCTCCGGATTGGCCATGTAAGGCGGCAGCAACACGAACACACACGCGCACACAGAAAGGAAAGAATCCTCGCAGAGATCGCAAAGCCAATCAGTGCAATCGAAGAGGTTTCCCCTTTCTGATTTCCTTTACACGTTCGGTTTGGCCGTTGTGCGTCGCCGTGCTTGTGCGGCATGGTTTGTTTCTATAACAGGGGAGCGTACGAAGAGGGAAAACAAGAAGGAAAGACCGCCGGCCAGCGAGGGCAGTAGTAGCACAAACGCTGTGTCCCCCTCCCCCCATCGTTCTGCTGACGTTTGTTCTCCGTCGCTCGTTACTGCGGTGTGCGTAATATTCTTTCTTTTTTTCCTTTCTGGAAACCACACAGGCCGCGACTTTCCCTTTCTTTCTCATCTCTACTCACTTGTACTACTAAAACACAATTTCTTTCGCTCTCCTCAGTTTTTGGCTTCTCACTTGGCACCTGTTTTTTTTCCCCCTCCATTTCTTTTTGTTAGAGGTGTGTAAACGGACTTCAAGGTCCTTGCTCAGCAGTCACACGCATATATATGCTTTCGTGTGCATTGATGTATGTGGTCCAGCAACAACAACAGAGAGGAGCTTGAAACGGAAGAAGAATACACATGACGGAATGAATGCACTTTTCGTTCGTGAGGAAGCCGAAGTGGAGTGAGAGTGTTTGATGTTTGTCTCTGCCGTCACAGTGGCAGCACTTCTTTCACAACGAGTTTCTGTGCATTCGCTGCAAACGTGGCTGCGTTGAATTCGGCACATGTTGCCTTTTGATACGATGAAAGGGGACATGCGTGCTTTGCTTTGGCCAGCCTGGATGCTGCGCAAACAGGCGTACTTCTGTGTCTTTGTGCATTCGCTTTTCCCTCCCCTCCCACGTACTCCCTGCAACCATTACCATTCTTCTTCATTGGCATATCCCCTTTCGCGCACACACACACACACACACATGTTCGCACCTTGCGCTCATCGTATCCATCTCTGTAAGATCAAAGTCTTCCAAATCCGCTCGTCCGGTGTGGTATTTCAGCATTGTCGCTTTCGCCATTTGATAATATTACTTATTGCTTTTTTATTTTCTTTTTTTTCCTCTCTCTCTCCGCTTTGCGTCAAGGTTCAACTTCATTCCGTTTTCTGTGAAGGCGTTGCGGGCATTATTTGCTGGGGTTGTCGTGACACGTATCGGATAGACGTAAACCGCCGCGTAACGGAACGCAGCAAAGAGAAGGTTTCACACGCGCACGCACGTGCACCCTTTCTCGCGTGTTTAACTCGCTGCGGCAAAACTGCGTGCAACGTACACAGCTGTGCTCTTTTTCGGTTTCGTCCTTATTTCCCTCGTCCGGTAGAAGCAAAACAACGGCGCACAGGATTCGTTGACGCGCCGCATCGCAAGCTATCGTAAACCTCTTTCATTTCCTCTTTTCCCTTTTTTCACTGCGAAAATGCTGAACCCGCAGTTTACACGCATGCCCCCGACGTCGGCCGCGCCGATGGGCGGGGTAGGGGGCGACGTGGCGGAGCTCATTCGGCGCGAAATCGCCAGCAAGCAGCCCGACGGCGACGCGGAGGCCACCGCACGCCTCGTCGAGCACATCCGCCGCGGCAGTGGCGACATCGTGTTGCAGGAGATCCGCCAGCACTTCAAATACAATCCTCCCGCTACGCAGATCCGCATGATGACGGTGATGGACCAATGCCTCATCAACAGCGGCCCCCAGTTCGCCGTCATGCTCTCCTCGGAGAAGTGGACAGACCGGCTGTTCAAGGTGGCCAAGACGACCACCTCGCCCGAGGTGCGGGACAAGATTATGCAGACCACCATCACGTGGTACCAGCGCTACCACACCAACGGCCACCAACGTCTGCTTCACCGCTTCCAGCAGAGCCACACCCTCGGCGACCCCTTCCACCGCATCGCCGCCAAGACGGTCAAGGAGCAGCAGTCGCAGCGCAGTGAAGAGCAGCACCGCCAGCGCAACTTCGCCAACCTCGACACCGCCAACCGCAACGACATCCTCGACACCGAGGACACCATCCTGCTGCAGTGTCAGGGCGACTTGGCCTCTCTGGAGTACGCCCTGGAGCACCCACACATCCTGCCCGACACGGAGATCGCCTCCGAGTGCAAGGCGCACAAGCTGGTGTGCATGCGAATGCTGGAGTCTGGCGAGCACGAGCGTATTGCGGCGGAGCTGATGAGCCTCATTGAGCGCTTTTCCGAAGCACTCGACCTCTTCGAGGCGATGACGGGCGTGGACGTGGGGGAGGGGGCGGCGTCGAAGATGCGCGCGCTCGAGGACGACGACCTCAACGAGGCCGACAGCGACGACGACGACCAGCAAAAGCAGCTGCGCCGGAAGCGTGCGTGCGGTGCCGCGGGCGCTGGCCAACATGCCGACGCTGCTGCGGTGATGATACAGGCGCAGCAACAGACAGAGGACTTGATGAACCGCGAGCGCACCGAGACGGAGCACCTGCGCCAGCAACTGGAGGAGCTGCGCCAGAAGCACGAGGAACTACAGAACAAGTACAAGGATGCCAAGGTCAAAAACAAGGAGGTGGTCAACATGCTGAATCAGTACGCGGAGCGCGTGGAGGTGCTCGAGAAGGGCGGCAGCGGCGCCGGCGCTGGCTTCTCGCCTCTCCCCGTCTTCGGGGCCGTTTCTGTTGGCGCCGGCAAGGCGCCTGGCAGGGCAGCGGTGTCCGCCTCGGTGGTGGCGGAGATGCGCAGCAACTTGTCTTCGATCCGCAAAGGCCTGCGCGAGATTCGCGACATGCGCTGCGCCGACATGGTCAAGGAGAGCAGCTACTTCGCCGCGCAGATCTCCAACGCCATGGCGGCGATGGTGCAGGCCAGCGAGAACGACCGCCAGGCCGACCGCAAGGCGCTGCAGTGGACGCAGGAGCTGTACAAGCGCGAGATGAAGCTACGCAAGCAGTACTACAACACGATTCAGGAGCTCAAAGGCAATATCCGCGTGTACTGCCGTGTGCGGCCGATGCTGCAGAAGGAGCTGGACGGCGGCTACACCGACGTCATGTCCTTCCCGACCGAGGACGAGGTGAAGTTCACCGATGCGAGCGGCCGGCCGAAGTTGTTCGAGTTCGACGAAGTTTACTCGCCTGCGGATCCGCAGTCGAAGGTGTTCGAGGACACATCGCCGCTCATCGACAGCGTGGTGGACGGCTTCAACGTGTGCATCTTTGCCTACGGCCAGACCGGCAGTGGCAAGACCTTCACGATGGGTGGTGGTGAAGGCGAGACGAAGGGCATCAACACTCGCGCCCTGGAGCGTCTTTTCCAGATTATCGAAGACCGCAAGGAGACGGAGGTGTCGACGGTGACCGTCTCCGTGTTGGAGATCTACATCGAGCAGATTCGCGACCTGCTGGCAACAAAGAAGGAGGCGGCGGGTCTGACCTACGAAGTGAAGCAGGGCGGCCCATACGGCACCTACGTGACGAATCTGAAGGAGGTCCCGGTGACGTCGCCGCGCGACATTGACAGCATCATGGCAACTGCGCAGACACACCGCAGCGAGGGCATGACGAACATGAACGAGCACTCGTCGCGCTCGCACATGCTTCTATACATCATCGTTCGCACGACCAATAAGCAGACGAACATGCAGAGCTACGGCAAGCTGTCCCTCATCGATTTGGCCGGGAGTGAGCGCCTGGACAAGAGCGGTGCGGAGGGCCAGCGGCTGAAGGAGGCCGTGTCGATTAACAAGTCGCTCTCGGCCCTCGGTGACGTGATTGCCGGATTGGCGCAGAGCTCCAAGCACGTGCCGTTTCGCAACTCCGTCCTCACCTTCCTCCTCCAGGACTCCATGGCTGGGCAGGCGAAGGTGCTGATGTTTGTCTGCGTGAGCCCCGCGAGCTACAACGCCAGTGAGTCGGGTAGCTCGCTGTTGTTCGCCTCGCGTGCGCGCGGTGTGGCCTTTGGCCAGATCAAGAAGAACGCTACCACGGAGTCGAAGGATGAAAAACAGAAATGACGATGTCAGGCAACGAAACTAACCGAGTTTCCCTCTTCTTCCTTTCCTGCGTTCTCAAGTGGCGCATTCATTTTTTTTTTCTGTTGCTGCTGCTCCTTCTATTTCGCCTGCGCCGACGTGTTGGCGCGCTCACACCGAATTCGCTCCTTTTTCGTTCCTGATGCTCCTTTTGCTCCTCATCGTTGCGTGTCGAGGGCGCCCGTTAGAGAGGACTGAAGGGAGACCTTTCTGGCCATTGTCGAGTGAGACGTGCTCTATTGCTAGCCATCCTAGCAGTCAACGTTTTTTTTCCTTTTCTTGCTGTTTGAAGGATGCGGTGGGTTTGATTCTTTTGTTGTTGTACTGTTTGTGGTTTACTTTTTTCGTCTCCTCACGCTCGCCCTTCACCGCTGCGCCAGAAGTGGTAGAGAACACTCTCTCTGCGAGGAAGACGGAAAGATGAAGGAAACGGCCACGCGCTCCCGCTCTCCGTCTTTCTCAAGCCGGGGAAGTGTATTGAAAACAGGACCTTCTCTTTGTCTTCTGTGTCACGTGCCGTCTATCAGCGTCACCTGGCAAATGCGCTACTCTGTTCCTTGCTTTTTCCGTGTGTAATACACCGCTTTGTTTTTCAGCGTGCTCCTCTCTCATTTTACCTTTTCGTTTTTTAGCGAGTCCTTTTTGTTTTTGTGTGTTTTTCGCCTTCGTCTTCGCGTTTCTTTTTTTCCCCCGTTTTGCCGTTGCCGTGCTGCGGTGTGAGAAATGCTTCACGTCTTAAGTTGAGATAGAGAGGGAGTAGGGTTGGTTGCCACGCAAAAGGAACAGTGAAGGAGTGAAGTGAGGCGAGCACACGCGCTGTTGCGTGAGAGCGCTCTAGAGACGGCATGGAAAGAAAATGCTGTGGAAGAGCAGTAGAAACAAAAACTTGTGCTCTCTCTCGCGCGTTCGTGCCACGCATTAGTATCGCCACGCACGCAAGAGTGTACCGCACGGTGAAAGGGCTGTTTAATGATGGACCTTCGAATCATCGAAACCTTCCTGCTCCTTGCCATTCATCGGTGATCCGCATCGTTGTTCTTTTACCTTCCCTGCTGCAATCTTTACCGGACGTTGCAAGGAACGCATCTGATCATATTCGGCTAAAGAAGTAAAAGCTTGCCAACGTGTCTACCGTTCTTCGTGTGGAAGCAACTGCGACAAAAGCACATACTTCTTTTTCCTTGGTCTCCTCCCTCTTCCCTCTTTCCCCTTAAAAAAAAAACTTAAAAGAAATCTGAACGCCTTCACTACGTGCATTTTCATCGACTGCTGTGCCTCACACAACTCAGGGCAGTCGCAATTCGGAGTCCAATATACAATCAAAAGAAACACAGAGCGTTTCTATCAAAGCTTCTTGGCCGCAATAAACGTTCCCAGATCCGCATCTCTACCAACGATTAAGGAAGACAAACAGAACGGTGTTGTGCAGCTGCAGAGATACTGGGGGACGAAGAACCCCGTACAGACTGCTTGCCTTTAATTTTGTTGCGCTTCTATTTGGTTTACCACTGTTCTCGCCAGTGTGATAATTCTATTTTGCTTTTCTTTTCGTTCCCACTTTTGACTTGCGGTGGAACCTGTTTCTCGTGTGTGTGTGTCTTCTATTGTTTTCCATCTGTGCAGTGGCCGTTTAATTGGAGTGTCTTTTTTCTTGGCGTCCGTGGTATAGGCACTCTTTCACCACCGCATCTGACTGCTTCTCCTCCTGGCTCCCTGGCGTCTCACGCACACGTACTCACGCGACACAGATAGTTTGGTTACCGAAGAAAGAAAAGCACGCACAAGCACAATCTAGTAGGGTGGTACAGCTGTCCCTGGCCCAGGAAAGAACGTTGGTGCAATTCCGTTGAGATATCAACAAGTCGTGCTTGGAAGACACGTCTTGGTTCCCTCTCGACAAAGCTTTTACTGCTCTTCCACCGTAAACAGTATTTCCCTTTTTTTTTCGTTCGATCTTTTGTATTCAACCTGCGTCCTTCTGTCTCGAACGTATTTACCTGAAAAGCATTCGCTGTGCCTTTACATATATATACCCGTACTGTATGTGGATGCGCGGGGGCTCTCTATTGTGCGGAACTTGAGACAATTGTCTCTCTCTCTTTTGTAGGCTTCTCTGTTTTTGTGAGCGCGTCTGTTATCAAGGTAGGGTAATTGAGTTCAGACTCCTTCATTTATTTTTGATTAATACTCTTCGTCTCCTAAAGCTTTTGGCTTTTCGTTAGCTTTCTTCTACATCGTCTTCACGTCTCTGGTGATACAGCTCGCGTTCTTCAGAAGGTAGCAGCTCTTTGATAGACTACAAACCCTTCTTTTATCTGATCTCTTTCGCACCTTCTTTTCGATCTTCTGGTAGAGCTTTTTCGCCTTTCTCTTTTCATTTCCTTATCTTCTGCGGACTTCCCCCCCCCTTCTCTTTTGTCGAGCTCATAATACTTGCCGCTTTGGACGCAAGTAGCTTCCGCGTTTCGCTTTTGTCTCTTTCTTTTTAACTATCGGCGGTTTTGTTGCTTATGTTGGTTAGTGTGCCTTTGCGCCGTACGCAGCCGCAGCGTTGACACGTCTGTTCTTTTTTTTTTCTTCTTTCCTTTTCCCCCGGTTGTCTTAGAATACCCGTGTGTCGCTTGTCCTGCTGGCCGTAATCGCCGCCTTCCATTCACCTTCAACACCCATTGCACGCAGACGAAGGGAGCGCGTCGCAAGGTGCTTTTTTGAAAAGGGAAAAAATAATAATCACTAGTTGCGAAGACAGGCGAAGGCGGAGCAGAGACTTCCTGCCGTAAAAGTGAGGCGCATTTTGCAGCGCGATAAGCCTGTCAGCCGCTTTTCTTTCCCTCTTTTGCTTCACTACCGATACTACCAATTCATTTCATTTTTTCTTCCCCGGCTGGTCTCCTCACCTCTGCTGCGCCTCAGCTACTCAGCTTTTGTTATTGCACACCCGAAGCGGACCTGCATCAAAAAAGAAGAATAATCCTCTTTCAACTTCAAAAAAAAACTCGTACGCCGCCCTCGCACGGTGCTAACGAGCAGTGAAATATATACCCGCCTGAAAAGGAGACATTGGCGACAGCAGAAAGAAGGAAAGAGGAATCGCGGAATAAGTGCAGTGCTTCTCCTCTCTTTAGCTGCTCCTCCCCCCTCCATCAGCAAGAACATTTTTCTGTTTTTCCTTCTGTGCTTTCTTCGCGCGTTCCATTTTTTGTTTTGTTTCTGTTTCCTTTGAAGAAGTTATATACGCTGGTGTTGCTTTTTGTGTTTTTCTTATCTTCGGCGATTTATCTTCTAGCAGCGTTGACGAAGACGCGTGGCGTACGCAAACGCGTTTGGTGAGCGTCCTGCACTGTTGCTACCCTTCTGTGTAATGGAGACTAACCGAGTGTCTCCAGCCAAATGGGTGAGCCGACGGACCCTCGATAGCCAGGCCCACAATCGCGACCACAGCGCTGGCATGCAACCCACACGCGGCCAAACTCCGCAGGGCAACATCGACAACGCTAACACAAGTAATAATTGTAACATGGACCGGCGCAAGTACGGAAACACAGACGCCGCCGCGTCCAGCGCGGCCAACACGCGTTGTGGTGGCGGTGGTGGGAACGGCGGCAGCGGAGCCTATCGCACCAGCTCCGGCAACCGGTTTGGCACCTCCAACTCCAGCAGCAGCGCCAACGGGACGTGGAGCAGTATCACCTCCAACCCGGCTAGCAGCATCAACAAACTCAACCACCACGGCATGGGGTACGCCGCGAGCACACTCAACTCGCACCCGCCTCACAACCCCGGCAGCCACCACCACAACGGCGGCAACGGCAGCGGCAACGGCGGCCGTCGTGCGTACGGCAACGGCGGCAGCGGAGGCTACGGCGAAGCTGCCGAGGCAACGATGCCGCCACCACCGCGGAGCGTGCAGATGAGTCAGGGCACCTTGGTGTCGCATTCCTCCGCCACCGCCCGCGACCTCATCCCGCAGCCCCGCCACGCCAGAGGGAACAGCAACACCGCAGGCAACGCGCCGAGGCCGATGGACAACCCCGCCAACTCCGGCGCACTCGACACGACCACCGGGACACGGCGTTGGGCGTCCTCGACGTCCACTCCGACGCCGCGAAGCGGGCACGGCAATCTCGCTGCTGTCGCTGCCATCGCCCATCACGACCCGCACGCCAACATGGCTGCGCTGCGGACGTCGCCGTCTTCGCCGTTTACCACGGTGTCGAGCGCGGACGCACGAAGCCCTCCCGCCCTGCCGCTTCCGCCGCCCGCTTCGGCTGACGTGGCGGTCCTTGGTGAGGGGGGCGCTGTGCGTCGACCGGGCAGCAACCTAAGTGCCAACACTAGCAGCAATGCGATGCCGCTCCCTCCTACTGTACCGCCGTCACTGAACAGCGCCGCGTTGGCCACACAATCGTACTCCACCGGCGGCAACATCGCCAAGCCGGCGCTGGCGTCGCCCCTCGATGCCCTCCACATCAGCGAGCACCTCATCTTCGACACCCGCGACTTCGACGAGCCGGCGGCCATCCAACCCTCGGAGATCGAAGCGCTGCTCGGGCAGGTGGAGCGCAGCACTGCGGCTGCCGCGAAGGCGCCGAAGGAGGCGTCCATGGGCGGCTCGCTGCGGGAGCGTCGCTCCGTGGCCGACTGGGGCATCGAGGAGGCGATCAAGTCGGTGCTGCCCGGCATGGACGAGGACGACAACTCTGACGACATGCAGGGCCCCAACGTTCTCACCGGCAGCACAGCGGCCATCTCCGGCAACTGGCACACCTCCGGCGAGCCGGACGCGCAACAGGCGGTTGGTGCCGGTTTGGTGGCCGATTTCCCGACCTCGTTTGCCGCCTCCTTCTCGGAACCCGTCAGTGCCGTGCTCGGCTCGCCCTTCTCCGGAGAACCGGCGCCCAACACGATGGACAACTTGAGCCGCGCATTCAGCACCGCGGTGCGGGTCGACTCCTCCTCCTTCACCACCTCCCCTGCGACGACGACGGCGGCCACCCCGCTGCATCTTCCGCAGTATACGAGCCCGGACGAAGTCATCACGATGCCGCCCTCCCTCCGCGAGGTGTCCGCGCCACCCAGTGCCTTCAGCCCTCAGCTGCACTCCTCCTCGCCCGCCCACGCGCCGGCGGGAGCTGCGGCATCCCTGCACAAGGAGCCGGTGGCGGCGAGGGCGGAGACGACGCACGACGGCGCCAGCGCGACCGCCGATCTCCTCTCCTTCTTCGCGCAGGCCCCACCGGCGGTCACGTCTCCGTGGCTGTCCGCCGGGACGGGCGAGGGAGGCGCCGGCGCCGCGGCAGGCGTCGATCTCACCGTCCCCAAGGCCCCGAGCGGCGGCGGCGCTGAGAAGCCGGCGGAGACGCGACCCTCTCGCCTGCAGTCGATAATGATGAAGAACGGCAGCATCGACAGCAGCTTCGGTCTCACCGCGTCCATCAGCGCTAGCACCCCCTCCGTGCCCCCCACCCGCCAATCCACCGTCACCACGTCGGCCACGAATTCACCGTCGCTGCGGAAGGAGGCGTCGACGCCGTTGTCGACGACCCGCGCGCAGGCGTACACGAGTGGCGGCGCCCGTCCCCAGCGCCCGTCGCTCTCCGCGCCGCTCGTGAACCGCCAGACCATCATGCAGATCTTCCGCGAAACGCCACAGTCGCTGCAGCGGAAGGAGCGGATGGTGTACAACCGCGAGCACAGCCCGCAGGCGCTCTGCAAGGACCCGCACTGGCCGCCGCGGAACAACATCGAGGCAGAGGACATGCTGCGCGCCCGCAGTGCCTCGAAGTTGCAGCGCCACCTCACCATCGTCTGCTTCTCGCGTCAAAACGTCGCCGGGGTGCAGGAGCTGTTCGACACGTGGGCGAAGAACGGAATCCCGGCGCCGGACATGGGCTTTGGCGCCTACTACTACTACGTGAAGGAGAAGAGCGAGAAGCTGCTGTGCATGAAGCACAACGGGCGCGGCCCCTCGCCGGGGCACGGCTATGGCCGCTGCGACTTCGAGAGCCGCCGCCCCTATAGCACGTGCCGCTACGAACACGTGTGCCTCTTCTGCCGCTCGAAGGAGCACGGCTGGTTTGAGGAAGGTAAATGCGATGGGTATCAGCAGCTGCTGGCCGAGATGGAGAAGCTCGGCGTCGTCGAGGAGGACGTGGTAGTGTTGCTGAATGCGCTGGAGAAGAACGTGAAGCCGGCACCGCTTCGCTGAGGTCGCGACCCTTGTTGGCTCTTCAGCCATTGAAATCGATGGTCTGGAGAGTACGACGTACCTCCTCGTCTCACTTTCTCACGTACTCGCCCCCCTCCCTCCCCCTCCCTGCATGTTTACATGACGTGGGGAAAAGGAGAGCGATGGTGAGAGGAGGTAAAAAAACAACAACAACAACACCGTTGCGTGCTTTCATTCTTGTACGACCGATTGAAGATCTCCCCCCCTTCTTTTCTCCCCGTCGCTAATAAAATTTTCCGTTGACTGGTAGAGCTGTTCTACTGTCTTTTTGTTTTGTTGTGAGTGCTGCTGTCTTGTTGCACACTTTATTAGCCGCTTGCGTGGCGCGTAGTCCTCCCTATTTTTTCTTTATGTTTGATTCGTTATACACTTCGCCGTCCTCGTATTGCCTTCAGATTGGTTTTGCCTGTCTTGTCACAAAGCTGCCTTTCTCTTTTCTTTCCTCTAAAAAAAAAACCTTTCTTTCTTTACTCGTCAGCATCGTGTTCCTCTATCTTCCTTTTCTTTGTTCTTTTTTCGTCTTTCATTGTTTCTCGCTTCACTTTCCGCCGTTCAACTTCTGAAGAGCGCGCGTCTGCTTTCGGCACGTTCCGCTAATTCTCCTTTTTCATGTTTTCACTTCCGTCTTTTAATTCCCTTCGTTGTATTATTGTTATCATGTTTCTCTCGTTGGTGGTTTGTAGTTGTCGTTACTGTGCTGGTCGCAAGGATAAGCGCACTTAATACTGACCGTGCGTGGAAGCATCTCTTTTTTTTGGGGTTTCTTTCGCTGCGAACTTCAAAGGCTTTTTACACTTTACTTTCTTTTTGTTTTCCTGCCGCGGTGGGGATGCTCCAATGGGTAATGCGCACCGTATATGTTTGACCACTGTCTCAGCACAGTGACGTAGCCAGTGCGCACGAAAAGGAAATGTACGAGAGTAATGGGCCTTCCCCGTGAAGGCCAAACTGCAGCTGAATCGGTTTCACATCTTTCTTCTGCTCTGCGTATTTTCTAGTTCTTCGTAGGCGTCTTCCTCTCTCTACACAATGCCGCACATGCTTCGCTACAGCATGCCGGTCGTGGACTCTAATTGGGCAGATAAGCACTCGTAACTGCAGGAGCGGTTTTGTGTTTTGCTTTTGCAAGCCATGCGTGCGCACCCATTACCCCATTTGCCAAAGCGTACTCCGCTACATATTGTCTCTTTTCTCTGTTCTCTTCTCCAGTTTTGTTTGTCTTTTTAAAAAGATATTTGTTCATTCTGTTTTCGTTTTGTCAGCTTTTTCTTTTACCTTTGCTACAATGCTCCTTATGGTTTCAATTTACCTGTTCAATTTCCTTCTTTTCGTTTTTCCTTTTCTGTTGCTCTCTGTTGTGGTGACTGCTTGTCTCGGGGCCTTTAATTCTCAAGCTCCTCCTCGTTTTATGTCTCACTACTCCTTCAACCTACATAAATAAACTCCATGCAAGCATTTTCCTGGTATTGAGTCCATCGTTGAACCTACGCACTTCTGCTTTTTGATGTACAAGAAATATGTATCTCGGTCTATATATAATTGCGCCCGCCTGTCGACGCATTTGCGTACATTTATTTTTCCCTTTCCTTTTGTTTTCGCCTTTGGCCTCGTCTGATTGGAAAGCCCGGCAGGTTTGTTTTCCTCCCTCTGTGTTTTTGTTTGTTGGTTTTTACGTTGCCGCGCACGGGGATCGCCGATTTACGGCTGTTGCCCGCATTTCGCTTTTGGTGCTGCGCGTCCACGCGGAAGTTGTGGTCGTTGTTTTTCTACTTTCCGCTTTTCTGTCTTGCAGCTCATGAATTGCGTCGCCGTGTTGTCTGCTTTCGTGTGTGTGGGTGCGTGTGTGTGCTTTCCGCGCTCTTTGTGGCAGTGGTTTTGCTCGACGTTGTCGTCATAGCGGGAACTCTCAAGTACGAACACCCAACGATGGCATCTTTTTTCCTTTGGTTGATTTTTATTTGCGTCTGACGTCGATGTTGTTCGCGATCTAGCAGACTCTCCACGAAAGTAAATCGAGAGGAGGTGGAAGTGAGCACCACACGGGTTATATGTTGTTGCTTTGAGAAGAAGAAATCACAGCTGCGTGTTCGAGCACATTGATTTGGGTGGGTACAAACGTTTTTTTTTTGTATGTTTGACGACAACTTCGGTGCTTTCGGTCTTTTTCTTTTCAATCGGTTGCTGTGTTGTGGCTGCGTATAAGCCTGTTCTCGAGTATCGATACGTTGATCCAACGTACACCTGTGCTCTTTTGGGCTCACCTCGATTCCTCAGATAAATATATGTTCTTTCATGCTCTCCATTTCATTTGATGCCGCTCTTTTTTTTTTTGGCGTTTGTTTTATTACTACTCTCTTTTTCCTTTGGTGCTACTCTTTGTCCTGCTGTTTTGGATGGCGTGGCGGCAACGAAATTTTAATATGGCGACAGCTTGAGATGTAGTGTGGACAGAGCCGAAACTACCAGTCTCTTGCTTGTCTACGTCTTTGGAGACTTTCTTTACCTCTCTCACATATCAGCACACAATAACTCGAGTTTTTTCTTCCTTCTTATCTTGTGTGTACATCTGCTTTCTATGCGCGTCTGATGAGCGTGGGAGGAGGTGGCTGCTGTTTCTTCCCCTTTGTACGTGGCGCTTCTGTTTTCTGTGTTTTCATCATTACGCGGTGTTGTCGTCGTGGGTCGCGACTTTTCTTCCTTTCTTCATTTCATGGCTGTTTGGCAGTTTTGCCAGCTCTTTACACTGTTATACCCCGCTCTTCTTTCGTCCTTGCTATTTAAGGCTCCTCTTTTTTTTCCCCTCTCTGTTTCATGACGACGCATTTTATTGTTGCTGTCGGCGGCGATGAAGAGAGAAGCGGATTCCTTTTTCCTGGCTTCCTTCTTTTGCACTTCAACAAATTTCTTCTTGGGCGTACGTTGCTTTAGCACCTTTCCTGTGCGTTTGTTTCTCTTGCGTTACTTCGGGTTTTTTCTTTTCTACTCTGTGATTTACTGTTCTATGCGTTTCATGGTGCGACGGCGTGAGAGAAAGACTCACGACGTCCACGTCCACAACAAACACAACAAAGAGATAAAAGCCCACGGCTTGCATGCAACGCAGAGGGCGATTTTTGTTCGCGAGACGAAACAAGACTTCGCCGTACGTCACGTGGGCGGCACCAATGATGGCCATCACAGCTCGAAAGGGCAACTACCGCCTGGGAAGAGGACTATCACAGGTGTGTTAAGTGGAAGGGCGTCTGCAATGAACTCAGCCAGGGAGCAGGAAGAAGAGAGAGACGGTGAACCGTTTTGGTTTTGCGTTCTCTCCGCACCCACGTGCATCGTCAAATGATGCGGCTTGAAAGAAGAACCAAAAAGAAAACCACCGGGCTCTCCAACTCTCTCACGGCTGCGGAAATTCATGTACTGCCCTCGCGGTCGCCGCTCCACTTTCGGTTTGACGCTGATGTTCTCTCTTTTTTTTTTGTATCTGACCTACATCACCACTGTCACCACTTTCTCGCCCTTTTCTTTGTTTTGTTCCCGCTGGTGTCCTTCATTCGCACGGCAACCTGCTGCACCACAGAGGTGCCGCTGCTGTCACACATCCCTTCCGACAGTCTTTGATCGCAGGCAATGAAAGGACACAGTCGAGGCTTTTGTCGTTGTGTTCTTCCTCTATTTCTTTCCCCTCTTTCCTCCGCTGTGTTTTTGTCGCATAACCCGTTCCTTTCCATTTTTTCCCTTTACTGTTTTGTGTGTTGAAGGTTACTCCGATGGCAGCAAACGCGACGCAGCCTACTGCAGGCCCTCCGCGTCTCCGTGGGACGGAGAGTGGCGGCGATGTCCCCGGCAGCATGGAAGTCCTTATCAAGAAGCTGCACCCCCTCTACACAGAGCGTGTGCAGCCGCTCGAGGCGATGTACAAGTTCGACGTCTTCCGCCCCAGCTGGTACGAGGAGACCATCTTAAATCAGCGGCCCTTCGTCACCCTCTTTGGGCCGTGGTCCGCTGGCAAGACGACCTTTATCAACTATCTCTTGCAAAATAATTATCTGTGGACGGGCCCGCAGCCAACCACGGCGGAGTTCACCGTCGTGATGTACGGCAAAGAGGCGGGCCCAATTGACGGCCAGGCGCTGGCCAATTCGAAGGAGCTGCCGTTCAAAGGGCTTCTTGAGTTTGGGGAGTCGTTTGTGGGCAACCTGAAAGGTTTCCAGGCCCCACACCCGCTGCTGGAGCGCGTGACGCTCATCGATACGCCTGGCGTGCTGGAGAGCACACAGGAAATACATAAGCGCAAGTACGACTACGTCAAAGTGTGCCGTTGGTTTGCGGAGAGGAGCGATTTGATGTTTGTCCTGTTCGACCCTAGCAAGCTGGACGCCGGGGCGGAGCTTCGTCAGCTTTTCAAGACGTCCTTCAAAGGGCTCGAGAGTCGCGTCCGCATCGTGTTGAATAAGGCGGACTCCATCTCGACGCAGGAGCTGATGCGGGTGTACGGCAGCCTTTTTTGGAATCTGTCCAACTTTATCGACACCACGGAGCCGCCGCGCGTGTACGTGGGCAGTTTCTGGGACCAGCCCTACAACCCCGAGTCCTTCCGTCTTCTGTTCGCCGAGGAGAAGGTGGACCTGTTGCAGGAGTTACTCGAGGTGATACCGCAGCAGGCCAAGGACAAGAAAGTCGCTTCGCTGATTCGCCGAGCAAAAGAGGTGCTGGTACACGTGCTCATCATTGGTGGAATCCGGCAAGACCTCCCAGCTCTCTTTTTCAAGGCCAAGGCGAAGAAGAAGGCGTTAGCGGAGCTGCCGAAGCGGTACGAGTTGATCGGCTCGCGCTATAAGATGAACCACCGCGACTTTCCCCCAGTCGAGGCCTACCGAACGTTTTTGGAGCGCTTCGATGTGGAGAAGTTTCCTGAGCTACAGAAGGTGGAGAAGTCCGGCCATATCAAACGCATCCAAGAGCTCATTGACACCATTCTACCATCCATGCTGCGCCCGGTGGGCAACACGACCGCCGCCAACCCTTTCGACGCGGAGGAGCGTTCCGCGCTACTGGCGGTGTACAAGGACTCCATCCGCTCTCAGTACAGCGGGGCAGCCGGCATTCAGGGCAGCACTGACATCGTGGCGTCCACGGTGCGCAAGGGGGTCGCGGAGGCGTCCTCTTCGCCCCTATGTCCCCCACCGCCCTCCTCTCCGTCCCCTGCAGCGGCGGACGCCTCGGCTGAGCAGCAGCAAATGTGGCGGCAAATGATGGGCATGATGCAGCAGATGATGCAGTCCTCGGCGCCGCCGGCGTCGGGTGGGCAGCAAGGCGGGGGCAGCGCGCTGCCCGCTACAGTCATGGCACGGCCTGCGCAGCCTGCTCCACCGATGCCGGCAGCCGGCGAGTCTTCAGCGCCGCCCACGCCGTACGCGTTTGAGTCGGACAATGAAAACGATGGAGGACCGCCGACGGTGGCACCTGCGACGATGGTGCCGCCGTCGCAGCAGTCAGCAGGTGTTCCTTCGCCGGTGCGGAATACCTGGATCAGCGCAGATTGCTCAAAGCCACTGCAGTGAAGCGCGCACTAAACCAGCCAAAAAAGAGACACCCGGTTTTTGTTGTTGTTTCGCCTCCTGCAGTTCTTTTTCCTTTTTATGCGATCGCTGCTTCTTTTAGTATTTCGGAATTGATTGTTAGAACTCCTGCGAATGAGGTGCCAGTTCTCCTTGACGTGTGTGTGTGTGTGTGTGTGTGTGTGTGTGTGTTGTGATGCCGCACGTATCCCAGTGTGCATCGGTGATGATGGTGTGTTCCGCTATCGGGTTGACGTCTGCGATTACCGCGACTGTGCTTCCACGTGTTTATTTGCCCGTTGCTCGGCATTGTCTTGCGTTCTGTGTGCTTTGTATTCGCGTCCAGCAACGCATCGAGATGTATGTCTCGGAGTCGACGATGTGTGTCGAGAGGAGGAGTTGTGCTGTGGACGCTGCAATAATTGCCTGTGAATCAACAAAAGTGCAACGAAGAAGGTGCGTTCTACCGACGGTGGATTGATGTGTGACGGCTTTGGTGTGTTTTTGCGTTTGGCGGGAGAGGTGCCGGATGAAGTTCTTGCTGCCGAAAGTAAGAGTGCTGCTTTTCTGCCTCACTCCTGACCTGACCACAGAGAACGTTTCGCTGCGTTTTCTATTTGCTGCCCCTCTCTTCTCCTTCTCCGCTATCTTTTTTCATGTATCACTTCCTATTGCAGACAATTCAAATGCTGTCGCGTTGCGAGACAGTTACCCTTCCGCTGCTAAAACACCCGTCCACATACACGCACGCACATGCGTTCGCCTTTCCGAATTTCACAGACGCTAAGCTCATCCTTCTTTTTTGCTCTTTCCACCGAAATCTTCTCTCTTCACCACGTCCGTTGCTTCCCGCACCGACAACCCTTCTTGTCTTTCCTTCTCAGAAGCTCCTCTTCCCCTACACGGTTGCTTTCCAGAGCTGACCCACTGCGCTGTCCACGCAGTTGCCTGGTCTGTGCGCGGCGTTGAGCCTTTTACTTTCGTGGTTCGTGTCTCCGTGCTGCCCACCTGTGCGGCACACATATCTTCCGTTTGTGGTGACTCAGCGCGGAGATGGCCAGCACGCACACACGCATTCGCCCCACTTCCTTCTCAACGGTGCGAAGTCGCTCCTTCTTCAATTTCCCTCCGTGTTGTCGCAGGAGGCGGCGACGCGTGTAGCAAACAGAGAAAGGGAAATAACGCCGAAGAAAGAGTTTCCCATGTCAACAGACCGTCCTTCGAAACTACACGCGCCGCTGGCCGACGCATCCGCTGCGTGCGAGCTGCCGAGTGACTCGGAGCTACTGGATCAGCTGGACATCGATGCAGAGCTCGCCAACTTTTCGCAGGATCCCTTCCACGGTGACACCACCATCGCTTCCGCCTCCACTGCTCCATTCAAACCCGCAAATGTGCAACAGAACGGCAGCACTCTGTTCACCCCCACCCCACCGCGTTCTTTTCTCATCGGTGGATCTCTCTTCGAGCTCCGTCCCGCTTCTCTGCCGCACCTACCTCGCCTTCCCCGTCGCTGCGGCTCGCCCGTCGTGTCCACTGTCGCCTCCGCCGTTTTCTGTCCCTTCACGCATCAGTTCGTCTCCCTGTCCTCCCCTCACTGGGACCATCTGCACAGTGCTGGCTTCGGTGTGAGTCCTGACAGGCACGGCACCTCTCGCGTGCAGCTACGCGATGTGGCGAGGCTGCGCGGGTACGCGCGCTCACTGCAGGCCTGCAGCAACGCTGACGCAGAGAGGAGGGCAGACACGGGCGTGCCGTCGGCTGCGCTCGTGCGTCGAGAACAGCTGTTTCGCTCGTGGCGGTGGAGCTCATCGCTGCAGCACACCTTAGGGACAGTGTTGAGTGTGGCACCGCTAAACAGCCTGCAGGCGTTGAAGGCGGCGGTGGAGCGGGAGTTGCTGACGAAGCACAACTACGACGCCGCTCGCGTCATCAAAGCTGCAGCGGAGAGCGCGCGAGAGGTGGCGGCGGACGGCGATCCTCCGTGGCGCACGCGGTGGAAAGACCTCCAGTGCCCGGTGTTAGAAGTTGATGGGGGAGCGTCGTTGCTTGCGGAGGGCAATGAGGCGAGGGCTGTAATACGGTGGGCGGACGACCCGCATTCAACGGCAAGCGAGTCGCTGCCAGTTGAAGGCTGCGCCGGACAACGACCGCCATGTGCCGCCTCTGTGTGTTCGTCGTCTGTTCTTCCTGCTTGGACCCGACGTTACACTGAGCGGCGCTGCTTACCGCTGCTCGGTTTACCCGCCGACGTCCGCGCCGCGTTACTTGAAATTCCCTTTGCTGGCGAAGTGGACGCGCCACCGTTGATGCCGCCGGTGTGCGCCGCGGTGTTGACACGGCTTGCGCAGGAGTTGGCGGAGGTGAGGCGAGAAGGACTTCACAGCGCGCGTCCAAAGCTGTACTACTGCCCGCTGGCGCACGGCGTGGATTACAACGGTGTGTTGGACCTGCGTGCGTTTCAAGTGGCGCTGCGCGACGACAGCACGAGCGAACACACGCCACGGGCGGTGCTGACGTCGCTCTCAGAGGGGCGTGCACACGCAGCGGAGGCGACGCCGGTGCTCTCGCTCGGTATGGAGAGCCTTGACGGTTCGGGTGACGATGATGACGGCCCCGCCGCAGCGCCGCCGCTGCGTGTGGTTGTGTTCGACAACGCCCACCTGCTCTCCAAGCGTGCCATCAGTCGCCTGCTGGATCAGTGGACTCGCAACGGCTCCGCGGCGCAGCGGCATCGCGAGCTCCGTGCGGCGCAGGGTTACAAGCTACAGCAATCAGGTAGTGCTGGCGGCGCGGAGGGAGCGCGGCGCATCACGACAACCTCGTCGCGTCATTGGCAGACATTAATGGGTTCGCAAGTGCCAGTTGGTTCCGCGCTGCCAAGTCTGCGCACCCTGGCCCCACCCTTTGGAGATGTGCAGGCTGTGTTTCTCAGCTATCGGCCGCAGGAGGCGGGCGAGAAGTTCTCTGCGAAGAGCTCAACAACGGTGCTCCACGACGCACCCCGGCAATCGGGGCCACAGCACAAAGAGAGCGACAATTCGGTCTTCTCTGTGAGCGTGTGCCCTGAGCCCCGCTCAGACCTGCTGTACGTGGAGGAGTCTCTCGCGGCCGCGCTGCTGCGTGTGTCCGCGCTGTGTCGTCTGCGCCTCAGCGCCCCGCAGAGGAAGGAACTGCTGGAGGGCGTAGTGCGGTGTGCGCTGGGCTGTGCCGGCGACGATGTGCCTTGCGTGAAGCGCGTGTCAAAGCGGCTGCCCTCCGGCAAAACCGTGGCGGAGTCACTGCAGTTTCGCCTCGGCACCCCCAGAGGCCAGGCGCTGCTGTACGAGGCCTGTGAGGCGGTACTGGCACTGCTCTCGCCGCTCGATGCCTTTCTGGAGGGCGCCGGCAGCGACGGCATGTGCCAAGCCGATCAGACGGTGCGTGTCTTGACGACGTACCCCACGCTGACCACGCTGCGCTTGCGCCACGTGCTGCTGAGCGTGTACCACCTGCGTGTAACGCAATTGGCAACGGCTACCGCTCCTGCTTCAACAGAGGCAGGCGCGGAAGTGCCGAAAGGCGACACGGCGGCCAGTGCACACAAAGGTTCTGCGAAGCAACCGCGCGTGTCTTTTCTGACTTCCAAGCAAGCCGCCTACGCCCGTGAAGCGCAGGAGCAACAGCAGCTGTTGAGGCGGGCCCGCGTCCGTGCAGCGACTGTCGCGGCATCCTCGTCGTGTTCCTCCCTGTTGCCTTCGTTTGCACGGCCTCTTCTTTTCTCCCAGACCTACTCCTTGTACCCGGAGCCACCGGTGCTGCTGGGTCGCTGGTGGACCGCCACGCTTCTCTTTTGCACCCCCACACTGGCGGACGTCGTGTCTCTGCGATCGTTTTTGCTTGACAGCCTGCGGAGGAGGCGTCACCCTCTCTCGGCTCACAAGCATCGTCGTCATCATCACTGTTCCGCGTTCGATATGCAGCGAGATGGCGATGCTGTGTCAGAGGGGGAACTCGCGGAACTTCGCCGAATGGAGGTGGAGGACGTCGACGTTTTCCACACCGACATCGGCGCCAACGCACCGCGGTGCCGTGCGAACTACCGCGTGTTTGGTGTGCGGGCGCTGGCGCGCTTTGCAGCCCCGACGGCGGTGGAGCCGCGATGCTGGGGTGCCACCAATCGCACTGCCGCAATGGCCTGGGCCGTGAGGGAGTTGGAGCAGCAGCTCCAGCGCTGCTTAAAACGGTGCGCCTCCAAAGCTGTATTGTTTCCACTGTGGACCTATCGAGGAGCGGGGCGGTCTGCTGAGGACGCCGACGCCGCTGCTTCTGCCTCTTCCAACGCTCCCGAGATCGCGACGCAGGGCGACCGCTCGCCAACGGGCCAGCACTCTTGTAGTCAGAGCAGCGGTGGCCGCGGACTGGGCGGTCCAGCGGCCGCTTTCCCCTCCTTCCAGTACGCGACGCTGCCGTGCTCCCCTCCCCGCCATTTTCCTGATTTCAACACCGTGAGGGAGTGGCACACGTTGTGGATCCCCGCCCTGGTGGAGCGCCGCCTCTTCACCCTTGCCGTGGCGCAAAAACCGTCCATGGTGCTCACGGTGGGTGCCCGTGTCGTGCTGCAGGAGGCTGTGCGCGTGCCTGGCAAAGGGAGTGGTGGGGGAGGCCAAGACTCCTCCTCCTCTTCCCTCACCACGGACTCCTACCCTCGAGGCTGCGTGTGCCGCGTCGTTGGGTTTGTGACGGTGGAGAAGCTCTTTGCGGAGGACACAGCGTCACCGCCGTCTTCGCTCCCCCCCTCGATCCAACGACAGGTGGAGGGGTGGACATCGGCCGAGCGGCTGCAGGTGCGTCGCTACGTGGAGCAGCAACGAGGTGCTTCGGCCCTGCCGCTATTGACGTGCGTGTGGAACACATGTCCGCACCGCAGCGACGAGGCTTTCCTGCTGACTCCTCGGCCGTCTCTCATTGGCGGCTATCGGTCTACACACTATTATGGACTGCCTGTGCTGCACCTTCCTGTTTGCGTGCTCATCGGCGACTCTCACGGCTGTCAGCGGGCACACACGGGACGCGTAAACCGCCGCGCCCACCGCACAGAAGGGTCCACACCGTCTCCCTCGCCTTTGCCGACCTCCCTGCGTAGACCAAGCGGAAGTTCAAGGACTTTTCTCACCTCTACGTCTCCCAAGATTTCGTTCGACTTCGTCCTCACGGATGTGTTTCACCCCTACCATGCTGATTTGTCAAACAGCATGTCCGCCTTGTGTCTCACGCACGCTGAGCGGGCAACTGCCCACCGCCTTCTATTTACGCTCATGACGCACAGAAGCTCGTCCCAGGGCGGTCCTCCCGACGCTGTTGCCTCGCAGACGGAGGCGACCGCGCCGATCAAGGATCGGCCATCGCACTCGCCGGTGTCGTTCATGGAGGACGTTCTGTTCTACGATTCCGCAGAGTTGTCTCCTCAAAACGCAGTGAACGCCGCCGATACAGCTGCCACGTCCAGCACTGAACCGATCAAGTGTCCTCTGGTGACGGAGTTGGCGCTCTACGCACGTGTGCGATCGTTGGAATAGCTGGGCATGTGATGGGAAGAGGAAGCGTTGCAGCGTGCCCTCCGAGGGTGTTCCCTTTCCAGCCTCCTTTTTCGCTTTGTTCCCCCTTTTCCCGCTGCTACTGATGGTTTTTTTTTTTCCTGATTCAGAAAAGCCGCGTCAGAGCCGTACAAACGAACAACAGCAAACATTTTTCCTTTTGAATGCGTGGTAATGTGCAATAGAGCACCGCCACAGGCGTCCGTTCTCCACAATTGCGTGCACGTCGGTGTGCTTGCAGTGAAGAAACGTGAAGCGAGCGCACAGTTTACTTGACTACGGTGTTTGAATGCGTCGGATGTCGTATCGGTTTCGCACTGGGCTTTCTTACGTGCGTGCAGCGTTGTCTCTCGCGCAACCACCACCACCGCCACAACAATGATGGAATCGCTTTCTGTCCCTTTCCTTTTCTCCTTCACGTCCATTTCTTCTCTCACCTCTTACGTACGCCGCTGCGAACGCACTCGAAAACGCGTTGTTTTGATAGTCTTGTAGTAGGAAATAGTATTATTTCTAATTTAGTTAGCGCTAGGGGATTCCTTAGTGTAGTGATTCACAGACACACGGACACACATTGGGTGTAAGGGAGTAAACATAAATATATATATATATATATATTTACGTCATACCTTCATTTCACATACAAAGACTCCTTTCTTGTCGAAATCGCCGCTGTTTTCATTCCCTGCTCACGTTTTGCTGGTTCCGCCCTCCTCTCTTTCCCTTTCTCTCTCTCTCTCGCCGACTCGCTTCACTTTCGCATATTTGCCACAAAAAGGAAACATCGACCTGACTCTCCTTTTCCGATCCAATGAAGTCCAACACGGAAGCCGGTGGGGCTCTGTTCGGCTACAACGGCGGCTACGACGGTGGGGTGATGCAGCCAGGAATGAACTCGGTGGAGTACCCGCAGATGGTCTTCAACAACACGCGCGACCGCGTCCTCGGCTTTAACCAGAGTCTGCAGATGTACGAGCAGCAGATGACCCCGGCGCTGGAGGAGCTGCAGCAACTGATGCAGGAAGCCAACGCCCTGCGAGCGCAGTACGAGGAGGCACTCGCGGAAAAGCAGTCGATCGAGCTGCTCGCCACGCGGGCGGAGAAGCGGGTGCAGGAGGTGAAGGAGATTGTGGACCGCTACGTCGGCGTGAAGGACGCGGTGGTGGCCAGCGACGGCTTCACCTACGAGCGCGAGACCATCTCCTCCTACATCGACGGCTGCAAGGAGGCGGGTGGCACGCCGACGTCCTACCAGACGGAGAAGCCGCTCACCTCCCTGCTCATCCCCAATCGCTCCCTCAAGACCCTCGTCGACCGCCTCGTCACGCTGCAGAAGGCGGAGCTGACGTCGAGCCCGGCAGCGACCGACGGCGTGCCAGCGCACCCGAAGCCGATCGCGACGGGTCGCTCCAACGCGGCCGGCGGCAACACGAACGACAGCGCCCCCCGCCGCAACGTGCACGGCAGCAAGGAAAGCGCCGGCGCGGTGGAACTCAACGCGAAGGGCGAGCGCGTGCACCCCTGCATCCGCGTCTACGGCTACTGCAACTACAATGAGAGCTGCGCCTACGCCAAGTACCCGTACGATGCGTGCCTCTCGAACCTCAAGAACAAGTGCCGTTTCAAGAATCAGTGCCACGAGCGCCACGTCGAATTTCGCGGCCCACTGGACGACTACGGGAACCCGATTGCGGCGAGCCAGGGCGCGAACAACCACCACAACCACCACCACCACGAGAAGAACGCGTTGGCTGAGGCCGCAGAGGACTCTGCTGTGAGGACGTAAAACGCAGTGCCATTTCTTTTCCGCCTCCCTTCCGCTCACGTGTTTGTTGCCAAGAGGGGCATACGAGGGCAGCGGAGGCAACGCCGAGCCAAAGAGGCGCTAACAATCGGGCAAAGAGAAGAAAACACAGCTTCCTTTCTTGTTGTCGTGTTGAGGTCCTCCTCTTTGTATTGGGGGGTATACCTTTTTGTTCGCTTTGTGTCTGTTACGTGCCTGTGTGCACATGTGGACTTTTCTCTTTCTCTTCTGTTTTTCTTTTTGGTTCCGTCTCTTAAGTTGAAGCCAATGCTTCTTTTTGCGGTGCTGATGGCGGTTGGGCGTGGGGTATACGCTTGGTGACAATGCGCTTTACATGTATGTCCTTGTGGGTGGCAAGTGAGCACTTCGTTCTTTCTGGTTTTGCTCCTTGCTGCCCTCCGCTTTCATTTGTTGGTGTAAGCGGGACAAGTGCCTCTAAAGGTGTATTTTTTCCTTTCCGCGTTACTGCGATTACATTTTTTGCTTTTATTTTTTCTGTCCCCGCCGTTGTGCCGTGAACGTATCTGTGTGAGAACGGCGTTTTTTTTTTCCTTCTCTCTCTCTCTTCCTCTTTCTCGTTATGAGCGTATTGCTGTCTTTGTATTCTACTCCACAAACCTTTTTTTTCGCCTCCTTTCCGGTTTCCTTTGCGCCTTTCTCTTTTTTTCGACCTCGTGTACTTTACTCTGTTTGATGGGCGAGTGTCTTTCGCCGTGCACGCGCGTGCGTGATTGTTGTTGTCGTGTTTTCTTCTTTGCGGGCTCTGTGCGCTTCGGCGGCAACGCTGCGCCGATTGAAGGTACTCTTGTTCACACTTTTTTTCCTTCTTGGTTCGCTTGATGTGCCTGGTTTGGTACCAAGTGTTTTGTGTGTCGGTCTCTCACCGCCGTTTTGTTTTTACATTTCAATCCGTTTCTTTATTGCTGGTTTCTTTTCACCTCCATGCGAGTTTTATTTATTTATTTTGCCTACTCTCCCTCCCCCCATCATCATCACCTTATCATTGCACAAGTACTGTCACAGTCGTTGTGGTGGTTGTGCTGTAAAGGCTCGAGCAAACGCCTCAGCGACCCCCCCCCCCCCCCCACGAAGCACAATCGTTTCTCGATACTCTAGAGCTCTGTTTTTAGAGCTCAAGGGAAGATCGAAGAGGGCTATACACTGGATGGCGAGGCAATCGCGCGGGAAAAGGCGGGTGGGCGATAGCAAAGGCAGAACTCGACGGAGATCAGATTCCGCCGACTATTCTTCTGTGTTGAAGAGACTGAACGAAGGAAACAGAATGGAGAAGACAAAGCCAACAATAATTTAAAGCGTTTTGTTTTTTTGTTCTACGTCAACTGTTGTCTTTGATTTTTATCTTCTACATTTGTTTTCCGTTTTCTACGGAATCGACGGTGCCGAGTGCGCACCGTGGCGTCGTTAACGCAACCAAAACGTCAAGGAAAAGGCTGCAATTCCAACTTAAAAAAAGAACCCACACGGTAATACAGAGGAGCGTTTTACGCGGCTGCTCTTCCACGGTCGTCTGTTTGCGGTTGGGGGGGGGGGGCGGGTTTTGTGGCGCCACAGTGAACTGATTGGGAAACGGTTTCTTTTTTGTTGTTCCAGAAGCAACTTTCAATTGGAAACAGAAGCCATGCAGCTTAGCCAACGGAAAGCACGCTTTTCTTTGCCTCAACAACTGTGTTGCTCGCACGGTGTTGTGTGAAGAAAACACGGCAACGTATGCTTCTAAAAGAGTTGTGTTGTTGTGATGTGTTGATCAAGACAACTCTTACTCCGTTTTTTTCACCATGTTTTTACACGTCAATGTTTCTCATTAAAACCACTTTTCAACCACTAACTCCTTCGTCTCCCTGCTTGCTCGTCTCTCCTTTATTTTCCCTTTCCTCATGCGGGTCCATCCACGGACATTGTGTGCTGTGTTGTCACTGCAACGACTAACACCTCTTCCACATACCGCCGCCGTAGCTGCGAAATAGTCACTCTGCTGAAGCGCAAGTCTTTCTTTAGTGTTTTTTTTTTTCTTAGGTGTTGTTGTCGACAGGACGCACATCTCGCGTTGCCATCTACACGCCGAACTTATAGTTTCCGATAGCTATCTTCTCTCACAGAAACGCCGATCTTCTAGCATTTTTATCTCTCTTTGCATCCCTTTTTTTTTCGCAAAAATGAATGTGATGTCCCCGCCGTTTTATGGGAAGGGCTACTCCGCCCAAAATCCCCTGCTGCTGTGGGAGGTGACGCAGGAGCTGCAGGACGACATGCGCGATCAGAGCGACGACCTGCGCCGCCTCCTCGACACCGCCGGTTCCCTCCAGGGCGTGATGGAGAGTACACGCGACATGTACAACACCGTCCTCAAGGAGCGCGACGAGGCCTACCGCCGTCTGCAGGATGCCGACTCGAAGCTGCAGCAGGTGGAGCACGTGGTGCGGCGCTATGCCGAGGTGAAAGACCCGGTGGTGGCCAGCGACGGCTACACATACGAGCGCACCGAGCTGACTCGCTACCTCAGCGACTGCAAGAAGTCGAACAGCAAGGCCTACTCCCAGCAGACCAAGGAGGAGTTGACGGAGGTGATGGTCGACAACGTGTCGTTGCGTCGCCTCGCGGAGCTGCTGAAGGGCGTGCACACGGTCGAAGTACCGCAGCTGTCCAAACGCGTCCCGCTGTCCAACGGCGGCGGCAGCAACGACGGGCGGCGCATGCGCTCGCGCTGGACGGACGAGGATCCATCTATGGGCGGCATGGCGCACGCGGAGATGGGCGCCGGCACTGCAGGTCCGATTGGTGGGGCAGGAGGCCGTGCAGGCAATGGGATGGCGATGAACGCCAGCCACGGTGGGCGCCGCTTTGACCACGCCGGCAAGTTCAACAAGACTGGAGCGAACACGGAGAGCAAGGGTGGGCTGCACCCCTGCATCCGCGTCTACGGCTTCTGCAACTTCGAGGACGACTGCACCTTCGCCAACTACCCCTACGAGGCCTGCCTGAATCATATTAAGGGTAAGTGCCGCTTTGGCTCTACCTGCAAGGAGCTGCACGTCGACCCGCGCGATCCGGCCTACCAAAACCCACGCAGCTTTGCGAACCACCAGCACCACCACGGCAACAGCAACGCAAACAGCGCTGGTGCTGCGGCGGCACAGACCGAGTCGAGCTCGCAGAAGTCCGAGGCGGTGAAGTCTGCGGAGCCGGTGGAAAAGACTTCTGCTGAGGACGCGGCCGCGGCGGAGCGGACAGCGAAGAAGGAGGAGAGCAACAGCAAGAAAGAGGAAGCGACTTGCGCTGCGCCTGCCACCACTGACAACGCCAAGTCGAAGGATGAATAAAGCAAGAATGGGGCGAGCAACAAAGTCATTCTCCGCGAATATACTTCGCACTCTCTCTCTGAATTGGTAGTCCTCACGCTTACCGCCTGCCTGTTGGATGTGCTGTTTTTGTCATCACAGCGCGGCGTGTGTGTGTGTGGGAGGAATGGGGAGTGGTGCCACATACCACTGCTGATGGCGCTGTAGCGTTGCTTCGGCATTAATCGCGCTGGCTGGTTGTCGGCTGCTCATTTTCGTGGTGTCGTTCTCAAAGCCGTTTTTCTGTTGCCGGAACGCACGTTTAGACTCGACATTCATGTTTTTCTTTTCTTTTCGTTTTTCGTACCGTTGTTGGCGACTGCCGTCTGTCATCCCTCTGTGTCGTTATGAGCGGGGAGTTTGCGAAGAGGAAGACGAGTGAGCGGGAGAGAGGCGCTCGGGACGTCAGTGTGGTCGGTGGCCGTTGTTGTTATATCTGTTTCTCAAGATGTGGGAGAGACTGTCCTCTTCTGTGCAAACGCCGCCTCACGCTCCTTCACTAATGATGCCGGCTCGTGCAAGTCAAGAAAAAAAGAAGAAGGAATGGAGGGGGTGGTTTCTTTTACCCTTCAGAGGTCATTAAAGCTAAAAAAAGAAACATGTAAGGGAGAGCTTCTTTGTGCTCGTCCTCTTGTAGTCGTGGGAGGGAGGACAACACCGGTGTCCGTGGCGGCGCGTGGTTTCCGATGCGTGCACGAGCCTTTTTGCCTCGCATTGCGGAGCTTTACGCGTCGCTCCGTAGTCTTCTCGATTTGCGCCTTTTCCTTCCGTGTGCGGTGTTCTTCCCAGCTTCTTCGTGTCGCGCTGGCCGATGCAGCGAAATCCCCCTTTTCTCCTACCCGCATGCGATTTCACCACCTTTCTTGGCTGATTTCTCCCATTTGCGTTTTTTTTTTGTTTGTGCGTGCGTGCTCTTCGTCTTTTCCTTCTCTGGTGTTTGCCACCCCAAAGGCTGTTCATCATAACGCACCAGTAACTGCGCGTAGCAACACCCACCCGCTCATCGTTCTGCACCCTCGCAAACCGCCAGCCTGTGCCCTCTCTTCGTGTGTGTTCTCCAACCGTTGGGAGCTAACCCGAGAAGAATAAGAAGACAGCTTCGACAGCCACTCTCATGGTGGCCTCGCTTGCTTCATCTTTTGTTGCTTCTGTTGTTTTACGTGGTGCCCTGCAGTTACAACGTGCCTGAACTCGGAATTCGTAGTCATCCTCCCCACAGAGGCCTTTCGTCATTCAAAACAGAGGAAAAGAGAGATCAGTGCGCTTTCAAGATGGAGTTCGCCAAGTCTTCTAGCCTCTGGGACGGCTTCCTGTCCTCGCTGTCGATGATTATCGTGAGTGAGATCGGAGACAAGACGTTCTTCATTGCCTGCCTGATGGCGATGCGCCACCCACGCCTAACGGTGTACCTCGGCGCCATCTCCGCGTTAGCTGCCATGACGGTGCTCTCCGCGCTGATGGGCGTCGTCGTGCCGACGCTGCTCTCCGTCTACCTGACGCAGATGCTGGCCGCGGTTCTCTTCCTCGTCTTTGGCGGCAAAATACTCTACGATGAGCTCGTGCGCAAAAAGGCGGAGGATGAGGAGAGCGAGGACGAGATGGCCGAGGCGGCTGCGGCGCTGCGCCGGCGTGACCCGAGCGACCCGGCGGAGACCGGCAGCGTTGGCTCGTCCGTCTACGCGAGCGCGCCTGCCCGTCGCTGGCGGAGGCTTTTGAACCCCGTCATGGTGGAAGCCTTCACGCTCACCTTTGTTGCGGAGTGGGGCGATCGCAGTCAGTTGGCAACCATTGCGCTGGCGGCTGCGAAGAACCCCTACGCGGTGACGGTCGGTGGTGTGCTTGGCCACGCCATATGCACCGGCGGCGCGGTGCTGTGTGGCAACCTAATTGCGCAGCGTGTGTCCATGAAGACGGTGAACGTGGTGGGCGGCTTGCTCTTTATCTTCTTTGGTGCGGCGACGTTGTACGAGCTGCTCACGCGGCAGCACGACATTGAGAAAACGCACAAAATCCCCGCGTCGAATGCGCCAGCCAAGTTTTTCTGAGAAAGTTGAGTAATATTAATCATGGTGAGCTAATCAACGCGACATCGAGTGTTTTCTTTTGAATTGCCACTCCTTTTACTCTTAGCATTGTTTCGTCGTGTGCGTTTGTTTTGTTTCTCCCCTATTTAGCCTCTCATCATCGCCATTCCTAGTGCTCACATCCTCTCTTTACCACTTATTGTTTTGTGTTCCTCGTTCCCTTGTTCCTTTACGCATATATATGTTTTTTTCCTTTTACATGTATCTTCATTTGTTTCTAAACGAATTTTCATCTTTGACGAGCACCACTCATTTGCGGAAGGAGAAGACGAAAGGATCAATCAACGTGAGCGATTCCATGAAATGCTGTACATTATCGTGCGTTGTTGCTTATCTAGCTTCTCTCTCCTCCCGATGGCTCCTCGTCTGAAGAGGATGCGTTCGTTACCTTCCCTTCTTCTTTCTGTTCGCTGTGCTTCCCTTTGGGAAAAAGAAATTTGGGGAAGGGAAGAGGGCGATGAAACAAATGTAGGCTGTCTTGTGTGGGCTTCACAAGTAAATACACAGCACGAAATAACAATTCTACGGTTTAGTACATCTGCGCTCGCGCACTGACACGCACACGCGGACACAGTCAATCACAGCTGCTGGTTGTTCGTGTCGTGTTTGCCGTTGCTTTCTCTAATGTTTTATTTTCTTCTGGCGGGTGAGTGTGTGTGTATGTGGGTGCGTAGACGCCCTGGATGACTCTATGATTTTCTCCCCCGCGTCTGCCTCATCCCTTTTCGTTTCCCCCTCCCCACTGCGTACCCCTCCGTGTTGTGTTGTTGTACCTTCGAAACGTATTCGGGCAGGAACGTTTTACGAGGTAGAGTTCGGGACTTTTGCTGAGAACCTGCCGTGACTGGTGGTGTTCGCCGATGACTGCGCGGAGGTGTGCGCATCCCCTTTCTGCCAGTTAGCGTTCTCTTCTTTTGTAGATGTATTCTGGTGTTTGGGCAGCTTCCGATAGTGCTTAGACACTTTTGTTGTTGTTGTGGTTGTGCTAGGTTCGCGCGGCGCCGCTGCGAATTTGGCGACACCCCGCATCTGAATCGGCTCCCATCTTTCGTTTCCTTCTTCTCTGGGATAGAGGGCGGTAAAGGTCGTTGGTTTGTCTGTCACGCTGTGATGACGGAGAAGGGACGTTAGGTAACGCAGTGGTCTTCCGTCTTGAGAGAGGATGGTAAAGGTAATAAAAGGAATGATGAGTGCTCGGTGCCTTGTAGGCTGAGCAGCACCGTAGCTCCCTCCCTCTCTCCTGTTGTCTTCCCGTTGTGGTCGCTGTGCAGCACTTGCATGGCGGCACTTTTTCCGTTTCAAAGACCGAGAGCGTAACGTGCAACGGCTCTTATTTTGTGTTTACACCCCAATGATTTGTTCCGCTGACGCCAAAAGCAAGGAATAAAAGAAAACAAAATTGAGCAAAAAAGAAAGTACTAACAACGTGATAAAAATACGGAGGTGAGACAACGAGATTTCGGAAGGTGGAGAGCCACGGTGCTGACGTGCACGTGAACGTTGTCCAGCTGGCGGTAATCGTGCCAGCATGGATCAAGGACAAACTTGATATCGTAAAAGGCAAGTCGAGCTCTTTTTAGTATTGATAGAAACATGAATCTCTGCGCAGAACTGGCGCGAAAAACGATACTTCTTTGGTTTCTACCTATTGTGCCTCCTTTGTGTTTCCCTTCTCCTCTTCTCGTTTGTGGTGCATATGCTCCCACAGTCACACACACACACACACACACACACACACGCCTACAAAAGAAACCTAAAACAGACAAGTCGCACAGTTGCACTAGAGCGGAACACCTGCGTGTTTTTTTTCTGTTTGTGTAGTGGACGCCATATTTAGCGCCATCTTTCTCTTTCCATCTTCTCTGCTTAGTAAGCAACATACGTGGCGAAAGGGAAGATACGCAATGACTGAGGTTGCCGCGGCTCGCCGCAGCCGGGTCAACGGCGAGCGCGTTGCTTCGCCGGCGGCCGACGCGAAGGCTGACGCCGCTGCTGAGGCTCCGGCGACGCAACAGACAAAAATATGCTTCAACGTATGCCGCCAAGAGCAGTACCACCCGAACAAGGGGTACCGCCAACTCGCGCGCAAGATACGACAGAGTGGGACGATAGAAATGAACAAGGAGGACATCACTCTCGACCGGCTGTCGCCGCACGACATCGCCATTTTCCCGGCCCCGCAGACGGCGCTTTCTGAGGAGGACCTCGCGGTGATTCGACAGTACGTGGAGGGCGGTGGGTCAGCCATGCTGCTGCTCGGCGACGGCCACGGTGGCCAGTACTCGTACCTCAACAAGGCCCTCGAGGAGTGGACCGGCATCACGCTCAACGAAGACTGCGTGGTGCGCACGGTGCTGCACAAGTACCTGCACCCGAAGGAGGTGTGCGTCACGAACGGTGTTACAAATAGAGCCATCAACGCCGCCGCCGGCAAAAACGTGTTCGGCGCTGGCGGGGCGGCCGCCGGGGGTGCGCGGAAGGGCACGGCTGACCTGCGCAACGGCTTTTCGGGGACGAGCGGCATCAGCGGGACGCGCAGTGGCACGTCGATGGGCATCGGCTCCACCCTGATGACGCTGAACCGGACGGTGGGTACAGGCCAAAGCGCTAACGCCGCCTTACTCGCACAGCAGCCCGCTGGTGGTGCCCGCGCAGAGGCGGAGGAGACGGAGGCTGAGGCCAAGAGTCTTGTGTTCGTGTACCCGTATGGTTTGACCTTCAACGTGCAGCGGCCGGCGATCCCGTTGCTGAGCAGCGGCTTCATGGCCTACCCGCTGAACCGGCCTATCGCCGTTGCCTGGGAGTGCCCCAAGGTGGTGGAGCACCTCGGCCGCCGCAAGCAGGGCAAACTGCTGCTCATCGGCACGGCGCAGATCTTCGAGGACGCGTGGATCGACAAGGAGGAGAACAGTACGTTGGCCTCGGTGATCCTCGATTACCTGGACCATAAGCTGAAGCTAAACCAAATCGACGCCGATGAGCCAGACCTCACGGACTACCACCACCTGCCAGACACCGCGTCGTTGTCCGAGCGGCTGCGCGTCGCGGTGGAGCAGCACGAGGAGCTGCCGCGCGACTTCACTCAGCTCTTCGACCTCGAGACGTTTAAGATCGATACGGACCACATCCCCGACGTCGTCGACACCTACCAAAAGCTGTTGGTCAAGCTCGAGCCTCTCACGCTGATCCCGCCAGAGTTCCAGACACCGCTGCCGCCCGTGAAGCCGGCGGTGTTCGACGCCATCCACCGCGACCCGCCGCCACCCGGGCTCGACCTCTTCGACCTTGACGAGGAGTTCGCCCCGGAGCGGGTGCGTCTCAGTCAGCTCACGAACAAGTGCAAGGCGGACGACGTGGAGTACTACATCTTGCAGGCGGCAGAGGTGATGGGCGTCACGAAGAAGCTGCGCAGCCCACGCAACCGCGACCCCCGCGCGCTGCTCGACTACGTGTTTCGGCAGGTGGTCGACTACAAGAAGGTCAACACTGGCCCCGCCGTGGCGAAGGAGCCCGGTCGCAGTGGTCCATCTGGTGTCGCGTCGGGCGCCGAGAACGCGGCTGCTGCTGCGGCGGCACAGGCCATGATGCGTGTGATCCGCGTCAACAACGACGGCAGTGGCGACTCGACGCCCTTTGACGAGAACCCCCGCTGGAATTTGTACCTGGAGGCGGACTTTGAAAAAGGCACGATCAACGGCAATCTGCAGCTGCTGGCCGACTCCGCCCGCTTCGGCGCGCAGGAGGCTCGCATTGAGGGCGACATCAAGCCCCCGGGCGAGCGTGAATTTCCGCTGGAGTGGGCGGTGGTGCTGGACGCGGTCAACGAGGAGCAGATCATCTACGTCTTCTTAGCGGTCATTCAAGGCAACCAACTGCGTGGGGTGTGCCAACAAGGCGAGAGTGGCAACAACACGCGCAGCTTCCTTTACACGCTTGAGGAGTTGTAAGGGGGAGGGGGAAGGCAAGTACCGTCGAACTCACTGCTTTCTTTTTCAAATGTGAGGGCGCGTGCGCGTTGCGTTGGTGCAGTCACACTTGCTACTCCACGAGACGGCTTTGAAGAAAAAAAAAAACACGAATAGAGAACGGGTTGAGAATGGTTGGGTGACGCGATGCGATCTACGGCGTCAGCGGTAGGATGTACACGTAGGGCGACGAGTTCTTCTTTCGAACTTATATATATATTTCTTTCTTTGCTTCCGCCGTTCCACATGCGTGTTTGTGGGCTTTAGAGCAGCAGAACGACGAGAAGTACGGCCATCGTTTTTTTCTGTCTCTCTCTCTCTCTCTCTTTGTTGGTGAGGCGGTCTTTCTGTGTTGCTGCTGCGTGCATCTGCATTCGAGCGTCGTAAACAACCACGCTGACGCGGATGAGCTGAGGCTGCGTGTTACGGTTCAGCTAGTCATTCGCATATTGGCAACGCAGTACGCTTTTCTTTTTCTTATAGGGTATTGTGTGTCCATGTTTTCTCTCTTCTGTTTTCTTGCCGTGAACAATGATGAATGTAAATCAACATCTACAAAGTCAGAACAAGAAAAAAAATATATATGTCGTTCGGATGCGTTCCTCTGAGCCGTCGACAGGACACACACGTTTTCGGAGCCAATTGAGGAGTGCTGCATCGTTCACTAGCGCGATTTGTGTTAATGTGTGTGCTACGGCGTCCGTGTTGCCAATGGACCACACACAGACACACAAACAAAAGCATGTGGCTCGCCGTCGCGTGGTGACGCGTCATTCTTGCGGAGAAAAACACGGCGCTCTATCATCGGTGGATACTCGTCAAGGAGGTGCAACAACTTCCTATTCTTTTTCTCCACACCGTCTCATTCTCTGCTCGCCACCTTGACTTTCTGAACGCGTGATTGCGGCACATCAACAGGAGCGAGAGCAAAAGCAAACGTGGAAAAAGAAAACACTCAACATAGAAAAGAGCGAGTAAAGCACACGGGACATTCGAAGGGCTAACTTGCATACGCCGCCACCAATCAGCGCTAAAAGCTCTGTTTCCTAAAACGGCATTCACGAGCGACGAGCACAGAAACACGCGTCGGCGTTGCGAGTTGCTCCTCACCAGTCTGCGACTCTTTCGCACCCGGAAAGCGAGCATCTCGATATTTCTTTCTTCCTCCCTTTTTGTTTTCTGATTAGATCTCCCTAGTGCCTGCATTGCAAGCCTCTTTGCATAACGATGCGTCTCAACATCACTTCGGCCAAGGAGCGCCACGACGAGGCGTGCACCACCGTCGCCGTGTCTCTCAGTGGCGACATCATCAGCGGCAGCGACGACTTCACCGTGCGCAGGTGGAACGCAAGTGGGGAGGCTCTGGGCGTCGTGAAGGAGTTCGAGAGCTGCGTTACGTTTTTGGCGTGGGTGCCGGCGACGGGCCGCGGTACTCGCCTCGCCAGAGGAGCCGCCGCCGAGACGCGCGAGGGCCGCGACAACTGCCTTGTGGCGTGCGCTGACGGCAGCTTTGCGTTCCTGAACACCGCCAGCGGCCGCGTTGAGCGCACTGTGGAGGCGCACATCGGCAGCATCACCGCCCTCGTCTACTCCGCCGACGGCTCCTCCATCATATCGGCTGGCGAGGACGGCTGCGTGAAGGTGTGGTCGCAGGCCGGCATCCCGCGCGCGACGCTGGCCAACGCAGGTTGTTGCATCAACGCCCTCTGCTGGGGCACGGAGGCGACCGAGCTGGGGGGCGATTGCGTGCTCTACGCCGTGGGCAGCGACGTCGTCATCAAGCCCCTGAACCCTGCGATGAAGAAGCAGATCAAGTGGAAGGCCCACAACGGCGTGGTGCTGTGCGCTGACTGGTCGCGGATGAGCGGGATGATAGTGACGGGCGGCGAGGACGGCGTGTACAAGGTGTGGGACCCGTACGGGCGCAACATCTTCACGTCTGGCGCAGGCGAGCACCCCATCACCGCCGTCCGTTTCGCCGCCGATGGCGAGAGCTTCGCCGTTGGCTCGTTTATGAACGTGCGCGTGTGCGACAAGACGGGCTGGAGCCACTCGTATGAGCGCACCACCGAGGGCAGCGCGATGACGCTCGACTGGATGCCGGATGGGACGCAGATGATCATCGGCAACGGCACCGGTGCGCTGAGCATCGCGCAGATTGTGGACCGAAAAGTGACGTGGGGCCCGTATTGCGTCACCCTCATCGACAGCCGTAAGCTGACAGTGCAAGATGTGGTGAAGGACACCGTGCAGGAGCTGGAGCAGCCGGACAAGGTGATCAAATTAGAGCTGGGCTGCGGCCACTTGGTGGTGTGCACCACGACGCAGTGCATCTGCTCCTCGATGGACCGCTTAAACGCGCCGGTGCAGTTCGACCTGCGCGACCCCGTCATCTCCGTCGTGCTCGGCCCGCGCCAGTTCCTCCTCGCCGACTGCGGGCAGGGACTGCAGGTTTACTCCTACGAAGGCAGACTAGTCAGCGTGCTGCGGCTGCAGGTGACGCTGAAGCCTGAGATTATGGCGACGGACCTGATGTCGCTGTCGCCGGACACCGTCGCGCTGCGCAACCCTGCCGACATGAAACGGATTTTGTTGTTTGACGTGAACAGCGGCAAGCAGTTTGACGAGGCGACCATTGTGCACCACCTCGACGTTGTCTCAGTGCACCTGTCGCAGTCCGGCACGCTGAATGACCGCAAGGTGGCCTTTGTGGACCGCAACAACGACCTTTACTTCGGCTCGGTGCACACGAAGCTTGGCTTCCACAAGCTGTCCACCATGACAACGAGCGTGGTGTGGCACGACACGCACGAAACCTTAGTCGCCATCGCCGACGGGCACCTCACCACGTGGTACTACCCCTCCACCGTCTTCTCCGATCGCGACTTGCTCTCGCTGACCAAGACGGTGCGCGACGATGGGCACGAGGAATTCACCCGCAACGATCGCATCACCCACTTCCACCACACCCGCGTGCTCGTGCGGCGCGGCAACGACGGGGCACTGCTGACGCTGCCGGCGTCGCCGTACCCGGTGATGATCTTCCAACTCGTCACGGAGAAGAACAACTGGGACGGGGCCACCCGCTTTGCTCGCTTTCTCAAGGACAACCTCCTGTGGGCGGTGCTGACGGCCCTCGCCCTGCGCGCCGGCGAGTTGAACGTGGCGGAGATCGGCTACGGGGCGCTGAGCGACCTCGCCAAGGTGCGGTACATCCACAGCATCAAGAACATCCCCGCCCCGGAGGCGCGTCAGGCGGAACTGGCGCTCTTCCAGCACCGTGCCACGGAAGCCGAGCGCATTCTCCTGCAGGCCGGTCTTGCATATCGCTGCATCGACATGAACACCCGCCTCTTCAAATGGGAACACGCTCTGGAAATCGCAAAGGAGCGCAAGACGCACGTCGACACCGTTCTCGGACGTCGGGAGCGCTACTTGCAGGAGGTGAACCAGAAGGAGACGCTCGCCCCGTTTAAGGAGCTGTCGGGTAAATTGAAGGTGGACTGGGCGGTGATCGATGAGAAGGTGAAGCAGGAGGCCGTGAAGGAGTCGGAGCGGCCCAACGCGAAGCCGTACGTGTAGAGTGTGCGTCGCGCTCTATTGGACTTTTCTTTCTACCTTTTCTTTAGCGCTGTTGCCGCAACGTTGTGGCTGTTTTTCCCCTTCCCTTTTCTTGCTTTCCTTCACGTCGAGTGTTGACCACTTCTCCCATTTTTCGTTTTTGTTTTTGAGTTGCCGCCGACGGAGCAAGAACAGCGGCGGCGATGCACCATGTACACAAGTCTGTTTCCTCTAGCAACGTCTACCAGCAAAGAATAAAAGAAAAGCGGAACAACACCACCCGAAGCAGCGGAGAAGAAAAAGTGGGTGGCGTTGCCGGCACTCTCAAGTCTTCGTCGCTTTTGCAAAGCAGCGCTCAATTGCTGTCTGCCCATATAGAAATCGACGCGTTTTTTTGACTCAGCGCAGTAAAGCAAGACAAAGGCCTGCCGCTCTCAGTGCGCTGGCTGGCCTCGTTTGACGTTTTTTTTTCTTCTTACGTTTTTCTCCTACAGCAGATGCCCGCTAAACTGCAAAGTCGAGTCGTAGCAGTCCCTTCGAGCTGCTGGGGTTTTCCTACTTGCCGCAGTGACGCTCTCCTACGCAGTCAACCTTTAATCTCATTGCATCACATCTTTTTTTTTATTTGTATGCTTCCTGGCACTTTTTCGCGCATTTCTTCGCCCACATAGTGAAATCCCGCAGCAACAAGGAAAAATAGAATCAGGCGAGGAGTGCGTCTGCGCTTTGTCGCCTTTACACCCCCTTCTTTTTTTCTTTCCTCTCCACACTCGCACACCAACAACAAGAACAGCGAACCAAAATGATCGGCGGTGAGTACAAGAAAGAGCGCTTCAGCGAGCGGCTGACAGCGTCGCAGAACCAACCCAAGAACCGTGGCTACCTACCTGGTACGCAGCCCAAGACGGGCGGCTACGGAACCGGCACATTGATGGGCAACTGGAGCGAGGAGAGATCAGATGCGGGCTACTACGATGGGAAGGCCGTGGTGAAGCCGGGTCTGCGTGTGTTGCCGACTACCACGTATCGGGAAATGGTGCAGAAGGTGGAGTCCGCTTCTTCTGCGTCTCACGTGCCGCCGGCGGTCGGCAGCATCACCTCGGCCACGTCCTCGGCACTCGCGGCGTCCCCGTGCGACCGCCGGCAGTTTTCACAGGCGACCTTTGTGGAGATCGAGGACCGCACTGAGAGCTCCTATCCGGCCCACCAGCCTCATCTCGATCCCGCCTACCAGAACACTGTGAAGACCGCCTACCGCAGCACCTTCCAGATGTCGTACATCTCTCCCGAGGAGCGGCTGCAGGCGGAGCGGGAGTGTGTGCCACGAGTACTGAGCGGGAACCCGTCATCGCCTGCGGAGGCGGTGCTGCGGCGACTGCGACACGCGTTGAGGGTCGCCCTCGATGGGGGGGAGTTGACGACGCCGTCACTTTTCCCCGGCAACGTCATCCGATCCATCCGCAAGACGGTCGCCGCCAGCTGCACCGACCCCAAGGGCAACATCAACGCCGCCGAGTTGCACGAGGGCTTCGCTGCCGCAGGCGTGAACACGTCCGCGGATGAGTGCACGGTGCTGGTTCGTCACTTTGACCAGGAGGGCTACGGTACAGCGGCGTACACGGTCATCGTGAACGGACTCCGCGGCAACATGTGCGAGCGTCGTGCCAACCTGGTAGAAAGCGTCTACGGCCATCTCAAGGACCTCAGCAAGGAGGGCGTCGTCCGCTTGAATAACTTGGTCGAGTGGATTGACCTCTCTTATTGGCCAGCGGTGGCGTCCGAAACGGTCTCCGAGGACGCTGTGCGGTGCGACTTCAGAGATCAGTGGGACTTACCCTTTCCGTCTTCCCACGTCAGCCTTGAGCGCTTTATTTCCTACTTTGCCGATTTCTCTTTTGAGGTGGCTGTCGACAACGTATTTGAGCTGACGATGCGCAACATGTGGCACTTCAGCGGTGGCGTTGGCTGCTGCGAGAATCAGTCGTGCAGGCGCGTCCTGGTGACCCGCACTAACGGTCAAACAACGCGTGAAGTCATCAAAGACGACTTACTGATCAAGGGGGCCGGTGCGGAGGTGGAACCGCTCTTGCTCGAGCAGCTGACGAAGCAGGGCATCAAGAACGTGAAGTCTATTCGCGTCGTATCTTGAGGCTGTTGTGCTCATCCGGATGGAGCGAAGCAGCGGGAGAAGGGGAGAGGGGGAGAGAGGAAAGGAAAGGTACGAATGTTGCTGCCGTCGCCGCCTTCATGTGATGAAAGCCTGAGCGTGGAATGAATGGGTGGGAAAATGGCTGAGGCGAGTTGGTCTAGCCGTCTTTTGTGTTTCCTACCATTTTTTCCCTTCTTTTGTGTACCGCCCACCCGAGCCCGCACCGCACCGCTTTGGGCGCCAATGGGGAAAAGGCCGTCGGCGCACCTACCATTTTTGTTTCTCGGACCGTACCTTATCCTGTACGTGAGTTTCGAAGCATGGGTCTATTGCATGTATTGCTCATCTTCTACTTCGTCTTCTCTCTCTGCTTCCTTCTTTGCCAGCCTTCGACTTGGTGGCATCAGCAACTGCTCGTTCCGACGAGGGCGGACACATATCACTCAAAGGAAGAGAGAACAAAGAATGGTTGTCATGTACAGTAGCATTATATTATCCTGTCTTCTTGTTCAGTAATTTTGTGTGTTTTTCTGTTCGGAAAGGGACTTTATCCTCCCACTTCACGATGTGCCAGAGAAAAGAAAGAAAAATATATATAGTTGAGCTGCAACGGAAAAGGGAAAGCATTTGTACGATGCAATCATGAAGGCATTCGCGCACGACTCGGGTCTGCCGTTTTCAGTTTGGTAAAGCGCTGTCTTTTTTTGTTTGTTTGTTTGTTCTGTTTTTGCGGCGCGTCTTCTCCTACGAACGGCATCCACAACACGTGCCTCGCCTTTCTGCATCTTTTCGTCGTGCGTTTGGTGATCTCCATGAGGAAGACGTGTCTCGTGCAGAACTATTTTTTTACGTCCTCGCAATCTCACCTCTCGCTCTTCCCCTCGACTTAGCTTTCTTCTCTGCTTTCCTTCTCAACGGCAACGCGTCGTGGTTGCCCTTCTCTCCCATAACGTTTGTAAGCAGTAGTGGACAGCTGTTGCCCATCTCGTCAAAACCGACTCATTCGGTGCCCGATACTGATTGTTGGCCACGCGAAGCGCCGCCACCATTTTTCTTCTTCTTCTTCTCTTTGCAGCGCAGCCTGTTGATCGCTTTTGCCTTTCCTTCCTTTCTCATATTTTGTTGTTTTTTCTAAGCTGCGTCTTCTTCCACGTCGAGGTCGTTTTCAGTGACGTGGTGTTGTTGGTTTCCCTGAACGTACTCGTGCAAACAAAGTACTCCTTCTATCACGATCCGTGAAACAAGGAATTCCACCTCTGATTGCAAATAGAACATGCTCCGCCGTTGCACCGCTCTGCTGTGCAGCTCCGCTGTGCCAAAGCGCGTGTCCCCCGTTGCGGCGGCGGCCGCCACCAATTCCACCCGAAACCTCATGGCAGACGTGGACAAGAGCGATCCAAAGTACAAGCAAATTTTCCTTGAGCGCTTCCGCAACAAGCTGCAATCGGACAGTACCGGCATGAATGACTTAGACAGCTTCGTGGATCTGCCCGAGGGCGTGGCTCCGTCGGCGGCTTCCGTCGGCCCTATTAAGCGCGGAGAGGCGCCGCTGCCACCGTGGCTGAAGCTGAAAGTGCCGAAGGGCATGACCCACCGCCCGCGGTTTAACCGCATTCGTCGCAGCATGCGCGAGAAGAAGCTGTCCACCGTGTGCGAGGAGGCGAAGTGCCCGAACATTGGCGAGTGCTGGGGCGGCGACGAGGACGAGGGCACCGCGACGGCCACCATCATGGTGATGGGTTCGCATTGCACGCGTGGGTGCCGCTTCTGCTCCGTGCTGACGAGCCGTCGCCCGCCTCCGCTGGACCCAGAGGAACCGGAGAAGGTCGCGGCGGCGGTGCGAGAGATGGGCGTCGACTACATCGTCATGACGATGGTGGACCGCGACGACTTGCCGGACGGCGGTGCCTCGCACGTCGATCGCTGCGTGCGCACCATCAAAGAGAAGAACCCGTCGTTGATGCTGGAGGCCCTCGTCGGCGACTTCCACGGTGATATGAGCTTGGTGGAGCGCGTGGCGCTGTCTCCGCTGAGCGTCTACGCGCACAACATTGAGTGTGTCGAGCGCATCACCACCCGCGTGCGGGACCGGCGTGCCTCGTACAAACAATCCCTGCAGACACTGGAGCACGTGACCAAGTTCACGAAGGGTCAGGTGCTAACCAAGAGTAGCATCATGCTGGGCCTCGGGGAGGAGGAAGAGGAGGTGCGACAGACGCTGCGAGACCTGCGCACGGCCGGCGTGTCAGCCGTGACGCTGGGGCAGTACCTGCAGCCCTCTCGCACTCGCCTGAAGGTAGCCCGCTACGCCCATCCAAAGGAGTTTGAGATGTGGGAGAAGGAGGCGTTAGAGATGGGCTTCTTGTACTGCGCTTCTGGTCCGATGGTGCGCAGCTCCTACCGCGCGGGGGAGTACTACATCAAGAACATCTTGAAGCAGCGTGACAACGCGGAGACGGCGAAGATGGCTGCTCCCAACCCCACAAACACTTCTGCTGCTGCTACTGCGTAATGATGCCGACTGAGAAGCGAGCACTGCGATAACGCAATATATTTCTGTTTTATACTCTCAACGTGATGAGCTGCGCTGGAACGGGCAAACAGAGAGAACTCGCGGAGTACCCTACGGACGCATTCTGTGTTTCCGTGTCGGTGGGCTTAGGGCTGCACCTGTGTGGCGTCGCACCGAGAGTTGTCAGCGGAAGGGCTCCCACAAATTAGGAAAAGACGTTCGGTAAAAGAGCCACACGAAAACACAAGAGTTATGCTTCATTGTTGTGCTAAACGAAGTAACACAAGGACAGAAGGAAAAAAATAATACGGGCTTCGCAGTACCAAAGCGCTTTCCGCGATGGCGGTATCAAAGGTGGCCCCCGTGAAGCTTTTACGACGATTCGCCACCCACCGACCCACCCACACCGACGCAATATGTATTTACCATCCGCTTGAATAGAGTTCCACCCTTTTTTTTTTTGCACTGCTGTTTTGTTGTTCGCAACGCCGTCCGACTTTCAGCGGTGCCGTCTTCGCTCACTTCCTCGCTGCCGAGTCAATATGACGGTAAATAGGAACTACTTATCCCCCCCTCCCCTCTCTGTCTGCGTCTCCCTCGCCTCTCATCTCGGTTGCCTGCTGCACGAACTCCCGCGTTAAAGAGAAAAACACCTTTTTCTGGGTTTCATCGTTTTTTTTTCTCCCGATATTTTCGATTGTGGACGACACTGAAAACAACAACAGTATATATATATATTTTACAACGCAACAGCGCTGCGGGCATTCTCCAGCACCTCACCTTTCCCCTTTCTTCGTGGTTTGAATGTCTTTCCCGCGTAGAGTGAATGTGCAGACGTAAACGAAGAGAGTGTAAACTTTGATCTACTTAGCCGAAGCAACAGCCAAAAAATCTCTTCCTTTTTCTCTCTCTATCGTTTGTACGCAAGCTTTTCGGGCTCGCCCTTTCTCTTGCTCTCTCTCTCTCGCTCGCTCGCGCCGGGACAAGATCGTTGATTAGTAGCAGTATCTAGAGGTGCACTGGTAATGGTCGACGTCGGATTACCTACAGCTCTTTTTATTTCTTGCATTTCATCGAGGAAAAAAAAAATAGGTTTTTTCTTTGTGTAGATTGCTTCGTATTTATTTGTTTTATTTGCTTTCGTTTGGTCTTGTTATGGCCTAAAAACGGCGACTTCAGGAGGAAAAGAAAAGTGCTGCCGCATCTCGCTGCTCTATTGCGTTCTCACATCAAACGCTCATCACATTCGTTGCCGTGTACAAGTTTTAGGTCCAGCGTAGCGAGTGCGCAGCCCCACAAGTCGCCTATCTTTATTATTATTTCTTCTCTTCTCCTCATTTTGCGTTCGTGTATAATACGTATGTAAATCGTCTGCGCAAACCTCCTCACCTGTGCCCCTCTTCAGTTTCTTTTTTTTTCTGGATTAGGTTTTTTCTCTCTTTCCTCGCGTCGCCATCACCACCGCGACGGCACCGCGTTCTTGTAGTTTTGTGCTTTCCCCGAGGACGGTAATTACAGTTCATATCTTTTTTCCCTTTTCCTTTTCGTTGCTTTTTGCATTCACCTTTCGCCCTTTTTCCCCCTTTTTTTGAAGTTCAGACGAGACATCACCGCATCGAGAAGAGGCTTTGAGGCGACGACAACCACGCCAAAAGATCCGTTTTTTACACACGTTGTTGCTGCTGGTGGCGCCGTCGTGGTGTAGATGTCTACAAGCGACCACCTTACGACGGTCCACCTGCGTAATGAGTCCTCATTCAAAACGCTGCCCGCGGCCCTGACAGACGGTACAAATAATGGCGATCAGACGCTAAGAAACGCGGACGTTGGAACGAACTCACCGCACGCCGGCAACGTCATCGCGGAGGACCCTCACCTCCTCTTCCGCGCCAGCGCAGGCGAACCGACAGATCTGGTAGACGACGGAGTATCGGAGGAGATGTATTTCCACGAGGCCCCCCTCCCTCTCACCCGCGCAGGTCACTCGTACGCCACACCCGTGGTGGAACTGCAGGACATCTCCGTAGCAGACATTTCGCAGATGCGGCTTGAGGGCTGCCGCACTCACCGCCTCACGCCGTGTTCCTCTCACCGCGACAGTTTGTGTGACGCGGTCTCATGTGCAGCGTCACACGGAGGACCGCCGCAACGCGTGAGTAGCGGCTCGAGTCGCCACGCGGAGGTGCAGGACGGGGTCAGCAGTGTCTCGGTGACCTCAATGGGGTGCGGTCGCTCCATGCAGCCCCGGTCAGGCGCACCGTCCCCCGGCGCCAACGCACTCGACACCTCTGTCGCTATTCTGCAACGCATGGCCTACGACACGGCCGCCCGAGTGGAGGCGACACGCAACGGGCAGACACCGGCCGACTTCCCCTCCGCTGACGCCTTCTCAAACGTCTCCCCGTTGCCGGCGCCGCCTGTTCAGCTGCGCACGTCGGCGCCGGTCATAGGGGGTGGGGGCGGCGGCGGCACCTCCGGCCCCATTGGCTTTGCCGTCGACGGCGACTCGGACCGCCCCAGCTCGCGGCTGCACACGGCGGGCACGCGACAGTACCGCCGGTCTTCTGCTTCGTCAAACTCCATTCTTCATTCGTTGTCAGAGTCAGAACTGTGTGGAGCGCAGGTCCGCCCGCTGGGTGCCTCGCGCAACGTCTCGGCTCAAGCGTTGAGTCAGATGGCGGATCAAACGGACGACACCGCCGCCGCCGCCGCAACAGCAGGAGGAGGAGGGACGGTATCGTCGGTGGCGCCGCGTTCTGGCGAGTTGCTGGACGGGGGTCGACGTCGCTTGTGTCTGGCCGGCGTGGCGGTGACCGGGGGCGAAGAGGAGAGGTCAAAATCCGACGCCGCCGCCACACCGTTCCCCACCCCCTCCCCGGCGGCCCAGCCTGACACGGTGTCGCCCATCACCGACGCCACGGTGTACAACCACGACTTCCAGCGCATCATCTCTCACGAGGTGAAGGAAGCCCTGACGCGCAACATGCGACCCAGCGTCGACGACGACGAGGACGAAGACGAGGCGCTGCTGAACGATGTGCTGAGTGGGCATGCGTCGCCGACGCTGCAGCCGCGGCAGAAGCGCGAGTTCACCCGCCTGAGTGAGTCGCACAACTGCACCTTCGCGCCCATCCAGATGCCGATGGTGACCACGAGCATTGGCCGCCTCGACTCCGTCGTTGGCACGCCCTGGCAGAAGTCTGGCGGAGGCGCCACGAGTGGTTTCCCTGAGCCGCCGCCCGCACGGCAGCCGATGAGTCTTTCCACCGCGGCTTTGGAGGGCGGGGCGGCGGCGGTACAGGGTGGCGGCAGCAGCGGCGGTGGCAGTGCGGCCACAAGCGCAGCCACCTCTCGCGGCAGCAAGACCCAGAGTCAGCGGGCCGTCTCGGCGCAGACGTGGCGCTTCCCTGTCTTGGGCAAAGAACCCTCTGTGCTGTCGGCGGTGCAGCGTCGGTCGTCGCTGGAGGACGCCGAGGAGGAGGACGAGACGGAGCGCAACGCCACCGCCGCCACCATGGCGGGTGGCGCCACAGTGAGCACCTCCCGTCACACTCACCGCACGGTACTGCCAAACTCGTGCGAGAGCAGCACTGGCCACCAGGCGGAGCGGCAGATGACACCGTTGTCCGGCTCGCTGCGGCAACGTTGCGACAATGACGCGAGCAGCCCGGCTCAGGGCCGTCCGCCGTCGAGCAGTGGAAGAGACGTCAAGGCCGGCGCTGCGGCGGATGCAGCGCAGCCAAATTACGGGAAAAATGCCATTTTGAGTGCTGGCGGCGGGGTCGTACGCTACGAGGACGGCCGCCTCTACACACACCCGCACATCTCCGCTCAGTCCTCCTCCTCCTCCCTGCCCGGCAGCGGCGGCGTGCCAGACGACAGCTACCCGCGGAAGCTGGAGATGATCTACACCGTTTACGAGCGTCTATCGCAGCAGCGCCGCAATGCACCGACGCCGAAAGCGGTGAAGGAGCTCGTGGCAGCTATGCCAGTGATTCGGAATCTCATGGAGAACGACCCACTCACGTCGCCGGCTGCCCATCTCGCCCAGCAGCAGCAGCAACGCGGTCCCGCTATGGCAACCGTGGGCACGACGACAAGCTCCGGCGCGAGCAGCCACGTCCGGCGATCACCGTCGCTGTCGTGCTCGGGTGCGCTCGGCCGCTCCGCCGGCTACTACAGCTTTGGCAATCGAGTGAGCCTCCGCCACCCCAATCGACAGGCGCTGCCGCAGCAGTATCTCGGCAGCTGTTCCACGTTGACCCACGGCACCCCGTCGCCCCGCACCGCCGTGCTGGGAAGTCCGGCCGTGGTGGAGTTGGTGGTGGGCGGCAGCGGCGGCAACAGCAACGTCGGCGCTCACAGCCACCACAACCCCAACGGCGGCGTCGCGATGAATCCCAGCGTCCTGGACAGCTGTCGCACGCACGCCACGTCCTCGGCTGCACGCATGGCACGCTGCAGCCTCAACTCAGTGCTGGTGCGCCGCATCGAGCTGCGGCCGCTGCTGCAGTCCACGCTGTTTCTGAAACACACGCTGCGCTGCATCCGCGAAGCGCCCGGCGGCCAGACGTGCTACTTTGGCACCTCCAAGAACAGCAACACAGCCTCGCAGCTGACGTTGTCTGGCGCCACGGCGGTGCCGTCTGGCGCCTACGGCCCCTCCAAGTTCAACGATTCGACGACAGGGAATTTGGTGACGTGCGTCTCTGGGAACGAGAACCTTGCCTCCATGGCCACCCCGCTAGGCAGCGCTGCCAACGTGGCCTTTGAGGACCCGGAGCTGTCCAACACGAGCACGCGCGAGCCCTCCTCACGTTCTTCTCGGTTGTCGTTTGTTGGCCAACCGTTAGCGGGCCGTCGAAGTAGCTTGTCAGCCGGGATGGACGGCGACGCTTCTCAGAATACCGAGCCGAAAGCCGAACACACAGGTGTGTCGAGGCAGACCCACGTGGACCCCAACACCGCATCAGCCGTTGACGACGCAGCCTACTCGGCAGCGGCGCAGCAGCCTCGGCCAGTTCAGCCAGACGCCGCTGCGCCGACGCCGACGCCGCACAAAGCCGACGACGCCGGCGGACCCGCGCAGCGTTACTACCGCGCGCTCACGGAGGCGGAGCAGCGGGTGCGCCACGTCCACGGCGTCGACGGCGTAGAGCGTGAGGTGGACAACGAGTCGCTCGATTTGATTGTATACGTGGGGATGCGCCTCATGGGGTGGCTGGAGGTGGTGAGTCTGCTGGGCTGCGGCAGCTTCGGTCAGGTGTTCCTGTGCAAGGACCTGCGCATCTGCGACGGTCACTTCGTGCACCCCAGTGAGGTTGGCGGCGTGGACTACGAGTACTGGAACTGCTCGCACGCCTTTTTGCCGTTCAGCAGCGTTGAAATCCCCCCAACTAACCCGCCCCTGGTCGCCGTGAAGGTGGTGAAGAGCGTGCCGCTGCTAGAGCAGCAGTCCGTGCTGGAGGCGGAGATGTTGGTGCTGATCGGCGCCCAGACGACGGCGGCGCCTGCGGCCGCGTCAGAGGGCGGCAACGCACCGCCCCCCGAGGACCCGCGGTGCGCGAGTGTGGCGAAGGTGCTGGCAGACGGCATCTGCTACGGCCACCACTGTATCGTGATGGAGCGCTACGGCGCCAACCTGTACGAGTACATCGCGTCGAACGAGCACCTTGGGCTGCCCATGTACCAAATTCGCTCCATCGGACAGCAGCTCTTCACCGCCCTTTCTCTCATCCACAACGAGTGCCACATCATTCACGCCGACATCAAGCCGGAGAACATGCTGCTGACGCTGAATTCGTCACGCGGGGTGGTGCGCACCAACGAGGCGGCCGCCACGGCAACCAAGGCGGCTGGCGCAGATGCGGTGGCGGTGGCGCACGTGCCTGAAGCGCGAGACCGTTCCCCCAACTCCACTCCACCCCGACACGTGCAGCGCACGGAGGACTCTATCGGTGCCTCGACCACGTGCTCACTTGAGCGGTCGTACATTACGCTTCGCACTGGCCCCACCGCTGCCTGTCGACACCGGCACGGCCAACTCAGCAGCCGCTCCTCTGGTGTGCCGCTGGACGTCTCCACCTCAATCATGAGCAAATCGAAAGGGCAAAGCTTCTGCCACTTGCGCTCCAGCGTGACGAGCCGTGTGACTATGGTGGAGATGGCAACGGTGCCAGCCCCGGAGCCGCGGCGGGTGCACTCGTTGAACCAGTCCGCCGGCATGCTCCCCTCTAAAGCTGCGGCCACGGCTGCTGCTGGCAAGTCTGCGCTGACCTCGCCCCCCTCCATGGTCCCGCGACTGCACGTGAAGCTCATCGACTTCAGCTCCAGCTGCTATGATGGCGGCCCCTTCTACCAATACATTCAGTCCCGCTACTACCGCGCACCGGAGGTCATCGTGGGCGCGGCGTACGGCTCCGGCATCGATATCTGGTCCTCCGGTTGCCTGCTCGCGGAGCTTCTTTTGGGCATGCCGTTGCTGCCCGGCTGCAACGACCACCATCAGCTCTGCCTGATCGAGGAGATGGTGGGCCCGCTGCCCGCGTCAATGGTGCAAGAAGGCGTCAACACCCAACTGTACTACCGTCGTGCCAAGGCCGGGGAAGAAAATGCTGCGGCGCCATCGGCTACTGCTACTGGTGCTACAAAGCCCCTTGATCCTCCTCCTTCTTGCCCTCTTATTCTGCGGACGCGAGAGGAGTACCTTCACATCACGCAGAGCGAGCCGCAGCCCTACCGACGCTACTTCACGTATCAGACCCTGCAAGAGCTCGTCCGGCACTGCCCGCTGACGCTGGAGGAACGCCGTATGAGCAACGGATTGCAGCCGTACGTGCCCGCGAATGAGTCGTCGGAGATTCCGCCCAGCGCTACACCGCTGCCGTCGGTCCGGTCGGAGATGATGAAGCAGCGCTTTCTGCTTTTCGATCTGCTGCGCCGCCTACTGCAGACCGATCCAAAGCAGCGGCCTACCGCATCACAAGTCTTGACGCATCCTTTCTTCACCTCTGCGCCGCCGTACATGAAGACGTTCATGCTAGAATGAGTGTGGACGGCCTGCGTGCGAACGCCTTTTTTTTTTAAAGTAGTCTTTCTAAATAACGTTGTCTTCTGTAGCCCAATAGCTTTTTGCGTTTCGGGGGGGGGGGGGGCGTGCGTCGGGCACGTGCCCACCGGACAACTCTGCCGAGATTCATGTGAAGAGATCAACCCACCATTATAAATAACCATCCATGGAGACGATGGAAGTACTTTTTCAGCATCTTTAAGGTGACGACTGCTGCGATGAAGTTTGAGGTAAGGATATGGGAACCAGAACGACAGCGGAATCAATAATAATCGCAAAACAGAAGGAAAAAAAAAGAAACGACCGCAACCAACAAAACAAACAAAAACGTCGTTGCGTTCTTTAAAACGGCTGCTTAGTCTGTCCGTGTCGGTAACTGAAAGTAAAAGGGGAAAAGGGAGGTGAGAACCTGCCCCGGAAACGTTTCTCAGCTTTCAGAAACGGGAGCAGCGTCTGCGGCTTTTGTTTTGCTCATGTACTTCTCCTTGAGGAGCCTTGCGTGGTTGTTGGAAGTTGTGCGAATGTTCTGTTATGTGCGGTATGTTCTTCCGCTTTTCATTATGACCGCAGTTGACTGGACGACAATTGCTACTGATCTTCTGGTGCCGTTGCCAACATCTGTCCTTTTTTTTTGTGTATCTTCCTGCTCTTTTCTCTTCTGTGGTTGTTGTTTGTATGTGACATCTGTTCTCTGCTCCTGTGTGTGTGTGTGTGTTGCTGGCATCACTGTTATGCAAACGCTTTTTCCTGGTCATATCGCGCACGAAGTCACAAAAGGGCGTGAGTGAAGCAACAATCTCAGTAATACACATCAAAACAGTTTTATAACAAGCCCCGTCATTCATTTATCGGCGCGTAGAGACAAAAAAAAATCACATTAACATATAAGTAATATCTTGAGAACAAAAACAGAGAGGATAAGAAGGGTGTCTGCCAACGCAATTTATTAATATCAGTGTTGCGGCGGTGACGACTGTCCCTCCCCCCCCCTCCCTCCTCCCCCTCCTCCCCCCCCCCCTCTTCGCGCACCACCACCACTTTCCAGGTCCTCCACCTACTTTTCTCTTTTCTTTTAATTTTCGGTACTTTCTGTTTTTTCGTGCTGTTATTGTTGACGACGAGACGTAAGCATCATTACTGTCCTTTTCTTTTATGTTTTTCCCCCTTTTCTTTCCGTTCTCGTTATTTGTCTCGCCAACAACCACCGCAACAACAACAACAAAAACGCGACCCCGTCAAGTCCACGTGCTTTTTTTTTCTGTTGTTGCCGTTGTTGCCGTAATCCTTCGTTTTCCTTTGTACGCTACTTTGCTTCACGGAAGCCATCACGGCTCCGGTTCCCTCTCTTTCTCTATCCCTTTTCATTTGTGCTGCTTTTAACTGTTTTTTTTCTCTCCCCCCCCCTCTACTAATCGGAGCCAACGCGCTACAAATTGTCTTCTTCGTGTGCTGCTTTAGTATTCCTCGTCTTCCGTTCTCCCTCTTTACTTTGCAGCATTGTGGCTTCGTTGTCTCGCGCGCCCCTGCCATTTCCCCCTCGAATTAGTTTTCTGCGGGGCAACGAAAGGGTAGGGGAAAGGAAACGGCTCGTTGCGATATACATATTAAGGAACGCGTTCGGAAAGGAACAGTGGGTGCACATAATCTCTCTCTCTGTATCTATCTATATGAAACATCTTTCTCTTGTTTTTCTTTTTTTAAGGATCATTTTTGTATCGTGTGCTTCATACCATACATATATGATAATTTGTCCGCGCTTGGCATTTCCTGTTGGTCTATTCTCCTCTTGGTCTTTTTGATTGTACTCCAACAGCTTGCTTGCATTCTACCCTGTTTCTCGCTTGTATAGGTTTCTTGTTCTCTTCCTCTTGTTTTCTTCTCTGTTTTCTTGTAAATTTGCTGCTTTTGATTTCGCCACAACTAAGTTGTTTGTTTCCGTCGGCTCTTTCGTTGGTTTGTTTGCTTGTTTGTTGACGCCCTGTCGCGCGCCTTTCCGCGCGTTCTTTTGGTCTGTAGAAGCACCTGTCCTTCTTTGTCTGTTGGCGTCGCATCTCTTTTTTCTCTGCTGTGTTTTTTTCTTTCTTTGTCTTCCTTTCTAACTGTTGTGTCCGTCTTCTCCCCGCGACGACGGAAAGACGGGAAGAAGTGTAAGAGCAGCTAGTGTAGAACATTCTATCATGCCATCCAACTCTGGAGGCGCGGCGGTGGGCACGTCCTCACCGCCACCGGAAACGACGCGGGTGGACAAAGGCGACGATCACCACACCTCCCGGCGCGGCAGCACGGCATTGTGGGTCTTCCCTCGCTCCTCTGCAGAGGCGCTCAGCGCACATGACAAGGGTGTAGACGCGCCGCAACAGAACAGCGGGCAGCCGAACGACTACCACATTCCCACCTCCGACTCGTCGAGCGTTTTTTCAGGCTGCGAGACCGTCGCCCCGCAAACGCGGGGCATCTCCTACGAGCAGCCAGACCAGAAAGCTTCGCACGGACTGCTGACGGGACTACTGTCCCGCCGCGGCGGAAGAGGGGAAGGTAAGCCGCGCAAGAACGACTCCAACGGGCGCAAGCAGCGCAGTTCCCTTTCCTCGCAGATGTCGCTGACCAGCGCCGCGAAGCACAGCAGTAGCAGCGCTGCGCGAAATCCGCTTCTAAAGGGTTTCGACGGCACCGCAAATAACACTGGTGCCTCTCCTGTTGGGCCGCATGTCGGTCGGGGCAGCTACGACTGGCCCACCCCGCCATCCCCCATCAAGAACTCTGAGATCCTCCACCCACCCGTCAGCAGCAGCCGCCACGAGCTGTCCACATCGCCCATGTTGTCCTTGCAGTCGCACTCCTCGCCAAATGGGACCCTCGTGCACGGAGAGCGGCGCGACAAGCGCAGCGCCAGCCGTTTTCCCGAGCAAGGCGAGTCGCACTTTGTGCCGCTGGGCTCCACCGATTTGGCCAACCGCGGCGATAGCAGCGCGAGCGGGCGGCGACAGGAAACTGACGAAGTCAGCATGGATGAGGCACTCAGCAGCTCCTGCGTAAACGGCAGGACGGTCTTCGTAGGACGCCGCAAAACGCACAACCACGGCGGCGTCGTCCCTGGAGCTTCACCTTCCACCTCGACCAGTCAATATAACGAGCTCCTCGTCCACACACGCAGCTCACCGGTGCGGCTGTACGGCGGGGACGAGAACGACGCCTCCGTCCCCTCCTCGTTCTTCCACCCAAGAAGCATGCGAGATGCCAAGGCGGTGCTGCTGCGCCACGCGCAGGGCGCCAACGCGTCTGTGCGCACCTCCCACGCGCAGAGCCTCTACCGCGCCCCGAGCAACGTGGGCGGCGGCGGCGCTGTGGACAACGCCGGTGGGGCGTCGCACCGCCATGCAAAGACGCGTGGTGCGAGCCGTGATCACCGCAGCTTCAACTGCAGCCGCAGCGGCGTAGGGCGAGACGAGGGCGGCTCGCTGTACTCGATGGGCTTCGACGATGACGCGGTGCGCACGAGCATCTCCCCTGGCAACGTGGAGTCACTGACGTTCACACGCGCGGGCGTGCTGTTTCCCGCGACGGCGGCCAACCAGGAGGGCAACATGACAAGCTCGAGCACCGTCAGCACCTCGCGCCGCCTCAGCCGCACCGACGACGGCAGTGGGGCGATTGTGGAGGTGATGGAGACCTCGGCCCTCACCTCACGTGGTAACGTCGCGGGCGGCAGCAACAACAACCGCGGCAGTTCCGCACAAAGCACACGCGGCCGCTCCACCGGGTCCATCGCCACGCTGAGCAACGGTCGCCACGGCAACAACGCCAGCGAGGATGATACCTCCTACCTGCCCTCCACCACCACCTATGCAGGGTCCTACCACCCGAAGCAGCGCCAGATGCTCAGCTCTGGCTACTCCCTCAGCCGCACCGGCGGCTCCGACGGTTACGGCGACAGCGAGGACAGCGTCGAGATGGAGGAGCGCCACCGGCAGAAGGTGGACGAGGTTCTGCGACGGTTGAACCGACCACAGCGGGCCAACGCCGGCCCCAGGCAATCCGCCACGAGCCGACCCGCTGCTTCAGATATGGGCGGCCCCCGCAACGAGGTGATGTCGGCGCTGAACACGTCAACGGGCCCGTTGACCGGCGACATTGGCACCTCCGGCACGAGCGGCGACAACAACAACAACTACGACGCCAGCGGTGGGGGCGGCGTGACGTGGCCTTGCATTGGCGGGCTGGGCTGGGGGAGCCTCACTGGCTTTGGCGCCGCCGCAGCGGAGTCGGCTACCGACGAGATGGGGACCGCGGGATGGCCGGGCCTGGGCGGTGAGGGCGGCAGCGAAGAGTGGTACGCCCGGATGCGCAAGAAGGCCGCGGAAGAGGAGGCGGCGGAGGCTGCCGCTTATGCGTGTACCGCCTCCTCCGCCATTGCGGACGCCAACGCAAGGTTCTTGTCCCCCGGCACCATCTCCATCACAGCCGGTCCGTCACTGGCGCCCAACAGCAATCCCACACCCGGTATTGCTGTCACGTCATCGTCCGCCACAACGGAGGCGCCAATGCCGAGTGTCGATCATAGCCCCGCCGCGCCGCATCCGTCGTCGAGGCCCTCCAGGCGGATTTCCGCCCCTCGCTCCTCCCTCACTCCCCAAGCAAAACCGACCACCTCTGCAAACACGTCGCTACTGCCTGCACGGCCTCCGACGTCGGCGCGCACGCCCGCTAAACCGGCCGCTCCGTTCACAGGGTCTGAGAAGGGCGTCGCCCACGTTTTGTCCTTAACAGAGCACTTCATGCGACGCCCGCCCGGTGTGGCGAGGCACCCGGAGCAGCCGCAACAGCAACGGAACACGCGCAGCTCGAAGTCTTGTAAGTCCCCGCTAGACCCACCTCAGATGGACATCGAAAGCTTCGAGGCCCATGCGCCGGCTCCGTCAGAGGAGGCGAACGACACGGCATCCGTGTCGTCGGGCTGCCAGCCATCGCTGCCGGCCGCCAACGCCACTACCGCACCCCGCACTCGTCGGGTGTCCTGTGATAGCGCCTACCTCGACGCGGTCGCGACGACAAATGTGAACGTCGACGTCAGCGGTGGGTGCAGCAATGACAAGAACATCGACAACTCGACGGGCAACGGGACAGGTGTGGTGTTGCCTTCGCTTTCCCCGCCACGCACTGAGGCGTCCACCCCACTCTCGTGCACGAACATCGGTGCGACCACGCCGGGCCATCGCCGCTTTGACTACCACAGCCGCACCTCGCTGCCACGTGTGCTGCCGATCTCGTCGGGGAACACGGGTATCGTGGGTAGTGCGAACTCGACCTACAGTGAGGCCAGCTCTGGTTCACCGAAGCACAACATCAAGACGGCCGAGCGCATCTCGATGCTCTCCTCCACGAACAACGACACCTCTGGGAGAGGTATCACCAGACCTGCGTCCCCCACCGCTTCGACGTCGCAGCCCGCGCGAGGGACACCGCCGCAGGCGTCCGTCAACGGCACCTTCACCGCCGCAAGCGCCACCAGCTCGGCCGGCAACGAAGTCGTGCCGCGCAAGCGACGGCACATGCCGAACAAGCGCCCCATCGCGCCCGCCTCGGCTGCCGTCCGCGCCGGGTCCACAGGGTTAGTCCGTCCAGGCTTGCCGACTGGACCTCCACCGAAGAGGCCGGAGAACTCTGCATCGCCGACGCGGGTCGTCACGGCGTCCACTCGCCGCCGCATTACGTAGTTCGGCAGCGCGAAGTACGCAATCGACGTATCAGAGAAAGTGGCTAAGGCAACTGAACGCCGTTGAGATGCATGTGCAAAAAAGATGATGATGATGCGTTGTAGCGGAGTGAGGAAGAGTTGAGGTGATTTTCTTTTCTTTTTTCCTTCTTCTTACCCCCTCTTCTAAACAAAAAGTCCCAGCACACCTCCCCTCAAGTTCATCGCTACCCGCTGCGTTACTCCCTTGTCATTTCTCGCGTTGTCTTTTCCTTCACTCCCTACGAATGCTGTTGATTTGTACATTGATGATTTGTTGTTGTTTTTCACCCTTGCAGCACCAAACGAGAAACAAGGATTTTTCTTTTGGCTTTTGCTTTTCCATCTAGCTTTTCGTTTTCGTGTCAATACTTTGGTTTTCTTGTGGCTGCTCTCTCTCTCTCTCTTGCGTGTCTGCTTCACATTCATCTGTAATTGGCCGCTTCGTCTTTCTTTCCTTCTCCCCCTTTCTCCGTCGTGTTTTGGCCTTCTCCACAGGCACGGACCCTTTTTTCCTTCTTTTTTCTTCTCTTCTTATTTGTGTGTGCGTGTTCGTGCGGTTTCCCTCATGCCTTCCTTTTGCCACAGCAACACCTACAGCGGTATTTGTTACTATTCTGGTTGTTTGCTGTTTCGATTTCCTCCTTTTCTTCTTTTGTTTGTTTTGACATCACGGAAGCAATTATATTTCGCAAAGTCTGTACAGATCAAGTTCACACAGACTTGAGACGAAATCACAACGTACGGCTTATGGTTTTTTTTTTCGATGCAATGCGCAACTGTACGTGTTTCTTCCTCTCTGCGCCTATGTGTATATAAAGATATTTGTATTATTTGTTGGGTTTCCTCTGTTGAATTCCGCAGAAAAGGTCGAAGTTGCCTCGCGCGCTTCCTCTCTCTCTCTCTCTCTCGTCATTGTGTGTACGCGCTCTCCTTCCCCTACCTCGAAGGGCACCACGACCGCGATTGCGACTCCTATTGTTCTTCCTTCTTTCTGTCATTATTTTGTTTTGTTTTCTCACGGCTCTTCCGCGAGCAATTTATTGAAGTGATTTATTTCGTTTACTAGCCAGCGGAGTGCAGCGGTTCCCCTCCCTCCCTCCCTCTCTCTCTCTCTAAAATTCAAATGAATAATAAAAAAACGGTAGATGAGAGTGACCGGGCGAAGGCAGAATCCTCCTAAATATCGGGATAGATGTACAGTATCTTCCATATTTCAATATATAGTTTTTTTCCCCACGTTATGTAAAGCATAACCATCCTGGTTGTCGTTGTCGTTGTTGGTGTGTTTCCCCTTCTTCAGAGTTTCCTGTTATCTCGTCTAAACGAAAAAGGAACCATTTACGTAGTCCTTTATTATTATTATTACTGTTTTCTTCTTACTATTTATCACTCCATTCTTTTTTTTTTCTTTCGACCCAAATCTTCTAGCCATTTGCTGTGCCTACCTTGCTGTGTTTTTTCCTTTTTCGCCTATCATCATTGGTATCCACAACAGATCGAAAAATAGTAATCTCCACTAAAATGGTTCGCATGGTCTCGCCGCTGGTGTTTTCCTCACGATACATATATATTTGTAAATTGAGAAGGCCGCTGTTGTTGGCGTTGGTGACACCGTGTACGCGCTCCGTGCATTTTACTGTCCACTTACCACACCAAACCGATGCGAGGCGAAAGGGAACGGCATTTGCCTTCATGTCGATCGATACGTAAATGCTGTCCTCATCTCAATGCGCATTGGAAAGCGAAACGGCGTTGTTGGACTTTCTCTCTACTGCTGAATCGCTTCTCTTTTTCTTCTTTTTTTCTCTCGCCTTTATTCTGGTAATTTGCGTTTTCAGAAACCTCCCACTCGTAGCGCAGACGTGCGAACCCACACAGCTCACTTTACGCCGTAGTGCCCTGCGAAAAGGCAATAGTTAAAGCAGTCGACAAACAGCAGGACGCGGCCCCCTCCCCCGTCCCCCTCCCCGTCCTTGCATCACTGCATTGATTTATTCTTCCGGCGGCGATTTACGCTGCGCTGTCGATAAGAGAGAACGGCGGAAGAAAAGGGCACGGAGAAGGGGCGCATCGACACAACGACAATATCAACGGAAGTGAGCGCTGTGTATCGTTTCAAAAGCATACAAACATACAAGAAAAAGGAAAGCCCGGAAAGAGAATAGCGCACGTTCAGCAGACTAGGTACCACACTCACAACAACAGTTACATTGGAAGGTGTTGGTAGAGGTTGACCTGCGCACGGGCAAGGTTATCGTTGTCTTGAGTTTATTTCAAAGCTGAACATTTCCGTGCGCCGTCCATATAGACTTTTTTTTGTTTTCACCTCCTACGCCGGTAAAGTAAAGCTGTGAAGAGAGTTCTAGAACGGAGGGGAAAAAGCCACGAGAGCAAGCGAGCGGAACAGGGGACAGCCGAGAAAGCTGAAACGCATTTTCCGAGAAGCAGTTTGTCCTTTTCCAACTGCCTCTCTTTCCATCGACACGCATGTCACGTATTTAGCAGCGGACTCTCTCCCTGTCGTCTTTCTTTTCAATTCTGAAGCTCCATCTCTGATGGAAGGTGTCGTTCTATGCACCATCAAGGTTCGATTTGCACTGTTTCCTGCGTCTTTTTTAAAAACTTTTAGTGTCAGTTCTCACTTGTCATCTTTTCGCTGAGATTTCTAGCAGTTTTATCGGCTCAGCGTCTTGCGCCAGTGTTTTCTACGTCGTCTTCGGAGTTACTCACTTTCTGGCGTTAAAAAGGAAAAAGACAAGATTGGTCTTTTGCTCTTTCTGGATATCACACATTTCCTTTGTGCGTCTCCTCTTTACGTATTTGTGTCTCGAACGGTTTGCCGTGCGGTGGAAGGTTCTATTTTCCCTCGCTTGCTTTTCAATTGAAACCCTGTTCTATCCGTTTTTTGTTCCTCTTGTACGTCAACACAAAAGAGTTGTTTAATTCCTATCTTTTCTCCTTTTTTGAGATGCCGCTTTCGTCGTCGTGCCACGATTTCGGTGATGCCCTCCACGCCGGTGGCCGGCAGCGTTCTGCTCCGTCGTCAGCAGCGGTGGCCGGAGCACCGACGCGGTCACCTGTGCAGCAGGTAGGCCGAAGCAGTACACGTCTCCGTTACGGTCACTCGCTCGCCGCACCACGGCAGCGCCCGGCATCTCCCGACGGCACACACTGTGTCACAACGGTGCCGCTGGGCACAGCAACGCTGGCAAAGCAGGGGGAGCGGCACCCGTCCAGATCGCTGCCCATGTCCCTTCCTCAGCCCCAACCGGAGAGGAGGGCAGTCTCGACGTCACCACGTCATGAGCAACAAGAGCACCTACAAGGTCTTGCATCTTCGACCGATGGTCGCTCTTCGGCTGCGTTGAACCGATACCCACGCCGGTCCGCGCAGTCGCTGCCGTCGCATGTAAACCCCACCTTTCAAACAGAGGCGGGCAGCAACGCCCGCCTGTCACAGTTGCGCAGCACGACGCCGAGCGCCAGCCTGTCGAGAGACACCGCAGCGCTGCACTCTATCCCTCCCAATTCTACTTCCAGTGCCGCCGCCCCACCTCCGTCGGTGCCGTCCACCTCCCCCCGCCTCGGCCATCTCCGGCCCCTCTCCACAAGTCGTGAGGCGGACTACGTGAATCTCGCCTACCAGCGTGGCTTAATGGGTCGCTTCCGATGTGCCATCCCAGTCGTGGTGTGCACCCCCGCTGCTGCGACGCCACACGACAATGCCGTGAAGCAAGAGAAGCTGCCCAACACGACGGACGCCGCGGGAGGGCAAAACGACGAAGGCCATGTCGGTGCTTCTCTGATAGCCACGCACGCACACGTTGAGGACGCGAACAACACAGGAGCGGGAACAATAGGGGCTGCGGACACGACGGCACCTACGCCAGCTGATCTGCCGGAGCGTCGTACCCACAGAGAAGCCTCCCCTTCTGTTGCCGCAGACGCTGCCGTACCTGGGAACTCGATGCTGTCACGTCCGCGCCTCAGCACCTCCAGGTCAGCGACCTCTGTGGTGAGTGGGTCGACGGCGCGTCGCGGCCGTGCCAGCGGCCAATTCCCATCCTCCGCCTCCTCCCTGCCACGCCGGTCCGTCCGTTCAACACCGATGTCGACGGGCGTGCGCACGAACAGTACAGGCGGCCTCGTTGCCACCGCCTCCTTTGGTGGTGGTGGAGGTGGAAGTGGTGTGCCGGCGGCCAACATGGAGCCCCTCACCAGGTCCGGCCTGCACACGTCGCTCTGGGCGGCGGTTCAGGACGGCGGTATCGAGGTGCGCAGCATGGCGAACCCAAACCTGGTGTTGGCGAGTCATCCTCGCAAGAACCCGCGAGCGATCATCACGTCGTTGGTGGAAATGTGCGGCAACCGTGTCGCTGCCGGTCACACCGACGGCTCCCTTCATCTCTTCGACGCCGTCACGTTGAAGGAGGTCGGCGAGCACCAGCCGCACACGGCAGCGGTAACGAAGCTCCTCTACGTGGAGGCAGCGCCACGAATGTCCCTGTTACCCGACGCAACCAGGCGTGCGACGGGCGGAGACACCAAGAGCGGGCCGGCGCCCATGTGCTCGCTGCTGGTGACGGCCTCCCTCGACCACACCATCACCGTTTGGGAGGCCGCCGCGATGACACTGATGCACCGTCTGAGCGGCAGCGTGCGCAGCGTGTGTGCGCTGGCGGCGACAGCTACTGGCGGTTACGTCTTCAGCGGCTCCGACGAGGGCACCATCCGCATGTGGGACGCCGTGCGAGGGCAGCAGTGGGAGGCCACGAAGGACGAGCGGGCACAGCTGCGCAGGGGCTCACGGGAGGGGGTGCTTGTGGAGGGCGGTGCGGTGACGAACCGGTCGTCGCAGCGCTTCGTAGAGTACACCGAGGCCAGCATCTCAGCAAATGACGCCGATCACGACAGCAGCAGTGAGAGTCTCTCCGAGGATCACCACGCCGGTCCTCGCGGCCCCTTCCGTCCCCACGCACTCGCTTCCCTGCGCGCCAGCGGCGGGAGCGCTTCGTCACACCCTATCGCGCCGAGCCGCGGCCCCTCCAACCGTCGGTCCCTCCTCAACTACGGCGGTGTAAAGGTCGTGCCACACGTCACGTGCCCTCTCAACAGGGGCATCTTGACGCTGCAGCGGCCGAGCGCGCTGACACGGCCACGCGATACGGCGGGACTGCCGTGCACCTCCTCCCGCTCGCTGCCCACCACGGAGGACGTCTTTGCGCCGATGGACGCGGCAACGTCCCCAAGCCCTTTTCGCGAGGGGGACGGCGTGCTGGCAGGACCGGGCGGCGACATCTCCCCTCTGCGCACCACGCTCGATTACGAGGCGGAGGTGGCTGAAGTGGCTGGTGGCCATGGTGGCGGCGGTGCTGCCGTTGCTGTGCGAGTGAGCCCACTCGACGACGACTCGCGCGTGCCCGCATCATCGCGGAAGCACCGGATCGCAAAGAAAAAGACGCGAAAGGCGGGCAGAGGACAAGTCGGCACCACCACTTCCACCTCTTCCTTTACTGGCGGTGGGGGCGAGGAGAAGGGCAAGGACAAGACGCCTGAGACAGGCAAACGTAAGAAGATCAAGAAACCGAAGAAGCGTTCTGCGGCAACCGCGTCCCAGACAACGGCGGCAGCAGCGGCGCGGCTCCCGGCGAATATGCTGGAGCAGCGGCTCGAGACATGGATTCGTCTATACAACGAGCGTGTGTTGTTCTCCGCTGCGTCGCAGCAGCTGACAACGCGCTTTGCAGCTGGCTACGACGCAGAGACGGCGATGAACTGGCCGGTTGAGTGCGCTCACGCGGAGTACATCGCCGCCCTTGCGGTAGTGGAGGACCGCCTGCTGGTGAGCGCCTCGTGCGACGCAACGGCGAAGGTGTTCGCCCTGCCCTCTGGCCAATACATGCGCACCCTCACATCGTCGCGCCGCATGCCGCTGTCCGGGGTGCTGTACGACAGCAGTGTCGGACGCATCTACACAGGCTCTTCCGACGGCACGGTGTCCGTGTACGACATGACGAGCCCCGAGCTGCCGTTGTTGTCGCAGCTGCAGTCGCCGCAAGTTACTTTGTCGTGCACCTTTGTCCCGTTGTCGATGGCGCCGATGCAGCGCTTTGTGATCAACGGCGCCGTCGAAGAGGCGGACGCACAGGCAACGGAGGCGGTCACGCCTCCCTCCAGCACCGCCGTGGTGACGACAGTGGCGCAGTTTGACAAAACAACGCCGGCGCACGGTCCGAACCAGACGACGTCGAGCTACCGAGTCGGACAGCCCTCCCTGCGCGAGCTGAACGCGGCCGTGTCGCTGCAGCTTCTGCAGCAGCAGCGAGTCGCGAATTTGACGGCGGCGGTGCGGCGAAAGGTGAAGGGCACGGTGGAAGCGATGGAGCTGCGTGGCGAGCGGCAATGCGGCATCGTGCTGGCCCAGACGCACCGCCGCCGGCAAATGTCGCACGCGTGGTGGCGCTGGCAGCGGTGGGCGCAGCGGCGGGCGGTGCTGCAGAAGTTTTCTCAACTTGCGGAGACGCGTGCGCACAGCGTGGCGCATACGCTGCTCGGGCAGTACATGCTGCGGTGGGTGAATGCGACACGGCAGCACAAAAAGGCGGCGGCGAGTGCGGTGTTGCGTGCGGTGCAGCTGAAAGGAAGCGACGCGGCGCTACTCTCCGTGCCCGCGGAGGTGCGGTCTGGCTTGCGCTGCACGCTGGATCTGATGTCGACAACCATGATAAAGTCCTTGAATCGGTGGACACTACGATGCGTGTATCGGCGCTGGCGTGAGTTCCAGCGGATTCGCCACGCAGAGCTGCAGCAGTCCGTTGGCTACAATAAACTCTTGTTGTCGATGAACGCCAGCGCCGATGCACCCAGCTGCTACACTTTGACCCGTCTTACCCGCACTGCGACACAACGCGCCCACCACGCCCAGGCCCTGTGGCTGCTGACGGAGTTGACTGAGCGGTGGCAGTCGCAGCGACAGCGCCGGCACTTCTTTGTTCGGTGGCGCGCCTGCGCACGGCTGCGTCAGAGCATGCAGGTGCGGCGCGAGGAGGATGCGGGGTGGAGGCTGGTGGAGCCGCTGTCTTCCACGTTGGTGCAGCCGCGGCTGCTGCGCCGACGCTACTTCGATGCGTGGCGCAACTTCGCCCTCTACCTCGCACGCGGCGGTTCACTGGCGAGCGAGCGGGACACGCTGCAGCGGGAGTGGGCAACGCTGCAGCGGGCACTGGAGGCTCCCACCACGGTAGCGGAACTGACGACGGAGGTGCAGGAAACGGAGGCCAGTGTTGCACAAATGGCGAATGAGAGGGCGACGCTGGCGGAGCGCGTGCAAACCTTGGCCGATGAAGACTGTACCTTGCGTACCGAGGTGGCCCTTCGGGTGTTGATTGCGGGGTACTACGTGTCGGATGCCGTGGCTACGATGGCGACCACGGCGACCACGACACCACGAGCGCATGCGGGCGTCACACGCACCGCACTGAACGCGCGACGCCCATCCATGGCCTCTTCGGTTGAAAGCGGCACGGCAGGTGGTGGGGCATGTCGGGCGGCGGTGAAGTCGCTTGCGTCCGGCGCCGCGTCCACAGGGAATACGGAGGACGGGCTTGCCCGGTCGACGGAAGAGCAGCGTGACAAGAAGCTGCTCTTGGAGGCCAGTGCGGTGCTACGCGCGCTCAAAGGCAACTGCCTGCAGTGCGCCCGTGACGACAAGCTGCTGGCTCAGGCCCACGCGCTGTCGCTACGGCTGCCCATTTACGAGCCCCTCGTGAATGATCTCATGACCAGCGCAGAGACCACTCCCAGCCGCCGGTCGGGGCAACAACAGCGACGGCCGCCGCCACCTTCTCAACGGTCCACCACCGCGTGGTCCGTGTCGAACGCGAAGAAAGCCGCTTCGACTGCCACCTCCGCACACACGTCCGCTGCATCGGCTTCTGTCTTCCTCTCAGCGCAGCAGCAGCAGCGACGCCAGCACTCGACGCTGTCCGGCTCCGTTTCTAGCGGCGAGTGTATCGCAGGTGCCACGGGAGCCAGTACGCCCAGAGCAGCAGCAGTAAACAGCAACAACACCATCCGCGCCTCGACAGCGGCACAGATGTGGTCGGCGCAGCCGGTGGAGGAGAACTACCCTAGCCTGGCTGATGCCTTCAACGCCATCTACTCGAATTTGCTGGCGCTGTTGTACAGCGCAGCGCGCGAGTGTGGTGTGGCCGCCAGCGCCACCGCAGACGTGGAGAGTGGCAACAGGTGCACCCCTGCAGCGACGGACGGCGCCGCCGTACCCCTCTTCAGCGAAGGACGACGAGCGAAGTCAATCGAGATGGAGGACGACGACGAAGGCACGCTGGAGGAACTGCAAGCACCAGTCGTGGCGCCATCGTGGCTCGCGCAGGTCCCACTGAAGCAGCGCCGCACCATGGTCGGCGAGGTGCTGAAGCTCGTGACGCTCTTCGATAGCTTCGCTGCGCACAGCGATCTCCCTGTGGAGCGGGCAGGCAGCATCTCGTCCAGGGGCACCGCCAACACGCGCGCCTTGCCGCTCTGCAGCTTGTGCAGCCACAAAGCGGCGCAGTCGCTGCTCCGGCACGCCGCGGTGTTGCTGGAGCTGGTGGACCCGCGGCTGTGGCAGCGGCAGCTGAAGCTGAACTATTTGCAGGCCGCCTACGCGGCGGCGATTGCGGAGCTAAATGCGACGGTGTCGTCCTCGCACGTCAGCGAAGCCGGGCGGTATTCCTCGACGGTCATAACGCGCAGCGAGAGCGAGGACAGAGCCGCCTCGGTGCCGCTGCCGCCGCCTGCGCTGCGCCTCTCGGCGGAGGTGCTACAGCGTGCGATAGACAAACTGCGGCCGACGTCGCACACACCGGCGAGGGCAGTGCCTTCCTCTCAGCAGACAGACACGCACACGTCGCCGACGACCACCAATAGCGGCTCTGATGCGCTGTCGATGCGGCCGAGTGCTGCGCCCGCGTTTTCCACCGCTGGACGGACCAGCTCACCGCCGTACCCCACGGCGCTGCTGGCCAACCTCGAGACACTCCTGGAGAGCCGCCACAACAGTTGCGGGGAGCATCTACACGGCGCCACCAAGAGCACGGAGGAGGAGGGGCAGACCTCGACGACGGAGCCGCAGCGCGCACAGAGCATTAGCTTCTCCCATCGCACCTTCTCCGGCGTCTCCACCCCACGATCCTACACCCCACGTACCACCACGTCATCGGTGGCCGGGGCCTCGATGGGGTTGTTGAAGCCGTACCTCGGCTTTCGAGTGAATGTGACGCGGGACGCACACACCGCACGGCGCACCGCGACGGCCATCACCATTCGCGACGTGGCAGAACAGTACGTGAACGCAGACGGCGTGGAGGTGGACAGCCCTGCGCTCGTCGCTGGCCTGCAGGTGGGCGATCAGCTGATTCGCTTCGCCGGGTACGCCGTCACCGACCTCGCTGCCTTCAACGCTGTTGTCTCGCGTCACGTGCACAGCGGTGCGGAACTGCCTGTCGTGGTGCAGCGGGGTGAGGAGCTGCTGAGTACCACGATTGTCGTCGGCACGCGTATTGCGTAGGTTGCAGATGATGCCGGTGAGGGAGCACAACTGGAAAGAATGCACTGCGCTGCTTTCTTTTTTCTTCTTCTGTTGTCAACCATGTGCGACCGTCGCTGGGTGAAGGGACGAATTGCTGAGGAAACTCAATACAGGCACGAAAGGCGCTGAAGTAGCGTAGTAAAAGTGTTGGTATGTTTCTGTGTAGGCTTGTCGTTGTCGTTGGTTCTGTTCTCCTCCGTATCTTCTATTTTTTTTTCCTTCCAAGGTTATTCAGTGGTCCTACGTGCAGATGGGCTGTGCGAGTGAACTCGCTCTTTGTTGCGTTCTCACCAATCTGTCCGGCCAACAAACGACGTAGAGATGTGTAAAGTAAACCCAACATCGACGGCAACAATAGTATCAGCAAAAACAAACAAAAAAGGATTTGATAGATGCTGTCTGCCGTTTCGAAGTTTTTCTAGGCTACATCATTGTTCTCATACAAAAATCTATATTGGCGGCGTTGCAGGCTGTAGCGTATCTCACGGCGTCAACGGCGCCGCCTAGATGCGATGCATAACGCTCTTGGAAAAGAAATGGCTTCTTTGGTGGTGGATGCTGTGTTTGTCTTCTCATACTTCTTCTTCCACCCACGAACTCCTCCTTTGCTTTTGCACTGTTTTCCTTTCTTCACAGCCATATAGGGGAATTAGTTATCAAACATGGTCCGCATGCACGGTAACGGCCGCGGCAAGGCGTCTTCTGCCCTGCCCTTCCGCCGCACTCCGCCGTCGTGGCTCAAGGTTGCGAGCCGCAACGTTGTGAAGATGGTGTGCAAGAGCTCCCGCAAGGGTATGATGCCGAGCCAGATCGGCATGGAGCTTCGTGATTCGATGGGTATTGCCCAGGTGAAGAACGTGACGGGTCGCAAGATCCTGCGCATCCTCAAGCACAACGGCCTCGCCCCGGAGATCCCGGAGGACCTGTACTTCCTGGTCAAGCGCGCCACCGAGATGCGCAAGCACCTGGAGCGCCACACCACCGACCGCGACACCAAGTACCGCCTGATCCTCGTGGAGTCCCGCATCCACCGCCTGGCCCGCTACTACAAGCGCGTCAAGCAGCTGCCCCCCACCTGGAAGTACGAGTCCGGCGCCGCGGCCACCGCGTAAGGTAGCACGTAGCTGCCGTTCGCGCTTCCCGTACCGTGATCGGTGGCGGTCTCTTTCCTTGTCACATGGCTACTTTCTTTTCTTGCTTCATTTTCTTTTCATGTGTGCCTGGACTTCTTGTTGATTTCTTCACGGACGCAAGGGTCTAGCGAAGAGTTTCTTTGTCGGACCATTGCCGCCTGTGAAGGACATGAATACAGCGATGAACTCACACACGTACCATCAACAACGACAAAAGACACGCAACTACAACGCGAGGCTGCTCGGTTTGTGGTCGAGTATCTCGCCGGGGGCTGCGGACCTGCGGTAGGACCGTTTTCCCCTGCTTCTCGCTCTACTGTGTCTCTCGTAGATCTCACCATGTCAACGGTCGCAGAGACGAACGCTTTCTCATGGTTCGTCAACTGCACGTTCGTTACCCAGTTTCTAAGATGTGCAGAGAGGAGATAATAATAGCCGTACTCTCTCTCGCGCTGGAGTTCCCGCTTACGAGGAAACCCAGCACGCACTTCGGTTAGCTTGCGTTGCTGTCCCACAGCGACTTGACGAGTAAGTGCACTGCGCTCTCCCCAGGTCATTGGAATGCTCGACTTCTACATTTTTTTAAACACGATGTGTATCGGCCCCTCTTTCTCCACCGCTCCTCTCCAAAAACAAAACCTCTCACACATCTATCATCATCGCCGCTGCATCTCCGGCCACTTGTTCTTTTCAGCAGGATTTGTCTCGAACTTGTTGGGATCCACGCAGCTGCTGCACTCATCGAATGCTAACGGAGAAAACCGTGTACATCTACTCCTTCACATTTATTGCGTCATTACTCCACTTCGGAAAGTGAGAAGAGAATGGCGTCAAACGGCTGCTTTATTGCGGCCCTCATCGCACGTACCCATGACCGTCTGCCGCTCTGCAGCTACACCGACGAGAACTATAGCAACGCCAACGTTATCCGGCAACAGGAGCAGCGCATTGTTGAGCGGATGGAGACGCCCGCCGGCGGGACGGACCGCGCCGCGGCGAAGGGCAGCTACTACGAGAGTTTTGATCACAAGGACAACGTCTACTTTGCCTTCCAGGATGCTGCGACGGACCTGACATTGGTGGTGGCGGTGAACAAGCTGTTACTGCGCAACTCGGGCGACATCAACGGCACGAACAAGTTAGCGTGTGGGCTTCTGGATCTCATCTTTGCGGAGTTCATTCAAATGTACACGACGGAGGAGATCACGGCGCCAAACCTGCGCGCTTATCAGTTCATCAAATTCGACACCACCCTGCGCAAGTGCGTGACGCGCATCATGCAACAAGACCGCACGACGGGGGACGGCATTGTGGTGGGTAACGCGGCGGCCGCGGCGGGGCACAGCGGTGGTGGGGCCAACGGTGCGGTGGGTAGCGGCGGTGGTGGCACCGGCATGACACGCAGACAGGTGAACCCACATTACGATGCACTACGGCAAGAGATTACGGACGTGCACATGGTGATGCGAAAGAACCTGGAGGACCTCATGACACGTGGTGAGGGCCTCGACACGATGACGAACTACTCCGCCGAGCTGGTCGATCAGAGCTCCCGCTACTACCGAAAAACGGTGCAAATGAACCGCATGCGACTGTTGAAGACGTACGGACCACCGGCGGTGATCGGCACCTTTCTGATCCTCTTCTTTTACTTCTACTTCTTCTGAGAAAAAAGAAAACGGAAAAAGGAGAGAGGGCTGTAGGGAGAGGAGCTGATGAAGGTCAAATACGTGGCTTTTCTTCTCGGGAATGTGGACAAAGAGCAATATGTGCTTCGCTTCTTTGCTCATATGCCCGTTGCACTTCAGACCTTTTGCATCCGTCGGTCGCTCCTTCGCTAAGGCTCTTCCGTGTGATATGCTTCTGCTGTTCGCAGCATCGTGTAGACGGCGTTTGGGTAGCAGCGCCGCGAAGAGGAAGACACAGAAAACACAACGCCGCCAACCTACAGCAGCAACTAAAACAAAAGCTGGCTACACTTCATGTTGCAATACATATACAACTATAATAACATACACATTGCGATGGGAAGCGTTTGTTTCTCTTCCATTCGCAGTATTGAGTCCTGCTGACATGCTATTCACACAACTCAGTTTCTTGCTGCTGAGTCCGTTGCGCGATTGGTGACGGTGTGCGCGGAGCCACGGAGCTCACGGTGTTCAGCAGTCCTCTTCCTTTGCATTCGTTTGTCATTTCCGTCTTCCCCCCCCCCCTCCTATTCCTCTTTCATTTTTATCCGTTTCTACTTGATGGCCCGCCTGACCGCAGCACTGCGCCAACACACCCAGTTTTACTCCCTTTTTCTTTCTTGCGTCTCACCCATTAGGAAAGTGATTCGAAGCAGTCGTCTTGTACCTTATATCCACTCACGAACACCGATCCATTCATCGCCATGTACAGCGAAATCGGCCTGGCCCGTCCTCGGGGACGTGAGGAACGTCTCATGCACCCGGTGGAGTTCATTCAACGTAGCGCCCCCCGCCAGGAGGAGGCGTTGCGCATGAACAACATCCGCACCACGCACGGCCTCGGCGCCGCGAGCGAGGTGGCGCTGACGGAGATGACGCTGCTCGGTAGCCGTCGCCTCGGTGCGCTGCCAAGCAGCAACACCCTCTACAATGCCTACCGTGGTAACTTTACGGAACTGACGCCTCATGACGTGTACGGCTTGCCGGAGAACGATCCGAATGTGCAACCGGCGCCGCGTACCTTTGTGGAGCGTCAATTCTACGGCCACGAGCTGACGATGAAGACGATGGGGCTGTAGAGGAAGAAGGAGAGATTACAAAAAGGAGGGACATCAAAGATTCTTCCGTTAGTCTTACCTTGATGAACCTCTGCTGATGTGAGGTTAGTCAAGCTAACACAGCGAAGGTGTAGAACGCATCTTCACTGCGGCGTACCTCGTGTCTCAGCACTCGTCTCCTTTCTGTTGCCGTTGGTTTATCGCGTTGTACGCACGTAACGAAGAGACGTGAAGAAAGGAAAAACGTGTCGTGAGCCGTCGATCGAGGTAGACGCTGCTTTGTCTCCGCGTTGTTCCTCGTTGTTCCTTTTCCCGTTGCGTCGACAGCCGCCTGTCGGCTTCTACGGATGCGTGTTATTACGACTCCTCTATTCTCATATTGCCTTCTCATGGCGCTATATGTTTTGTTGTGGCTGCACACTTGAAAAGAGAAAAGGAAGGGAAATAATGTATAACGTGAGGGACGTCGGGGGCGGCTCAAATGACGTCCCACGACAACAAACGGTGGGAACTCCGTGCTCTGCTACTGGTAAGACTTTGCAGACTTCTGATAGCGTAAGAAAATGTTAAGCGTTTGTTTAGGAGAACAATTTTCATCTTCTCACTGACCACCTCCACTTTGGTGTCGCTTTCGATGATCGCGCCACCCTGCCGCTGGCGGTCCGCTTCAGTGGATCGTGCTGGGAAGAGCCTTCCACGACAGCTGCTGTGGTCACCAGTTGCCACGAAAGGAAAGAGGAAAGAATACAAAAGACTCTTTTATTCGACCTCCTCTTGTTTCCGAAGACTCTTAAACGCCGGGTTTTGCCTTTCGCCTCTTTTGTTCATCTTTTCCTCATCTCCCTCTCTCTCTCGTCGTCACTAACGGTGTTTTTTTTTTTAATGTCTTTTTGTGTACTACGGACTTGTGGGAAAAGAAGGAAAGCGGAGAAAGCAGCTGGCCCTCCCTCCCCCGTTCACCCGCAATGTTCTTCTGCCCCTTTTGCTCCACCCTCCTTCTCGTGGAGACGCTGCCGGACGGCAATGCTCTTCGGTGCTCCACCTGCCGCTACGTCCACAGCGTGGCTAGCACGCAGGGCATCGTCGACACCAACGCCCTCGGCGAGCCCGTCTTGACCATCCACCACTCGTTTGTGGATCAGAATAAGAAGCTGATGGATGCGGAGGACGAGGCAGGTGGCACGGCTGCTGCCGCTGCAGTCGGTGCCGCCTCCGCATCCCCCACAGTCGTCACCGTTGCTGCCACTGCGGATGAATGGGTAGGTGACGGCTCGGCGGAGGGCGGTCAAATTATGACGATTCCCTGCCAAAACGAGGAGACGCCGTGCGACAGCACGAAGGCGTACTACATTCAGTTGCAGATGCGCTCCGCTGATGAGCCGGCGACGGTGTTCTTCAAGTGCGTCAAGTGTGGCCACCAGTGGCGACAGGACTGAGGGTGTTGTTGCAGGGGGTCATATCTCGATTGCGTTCTCTCTTCGACTGTGGTGCGTTGCCGCGGTGAGCACGATTTTTTTCCCCACTGATTGCTGACGCGCTCTGCTAACTAAGCCTAACAAATCGACCAAAAGGAAAGCAAAGAAAAACGAGGAGCGCCAGTTACGCACGACACGAAGGCTGCTCATCTGAATGAAACTGAACCTTTTCTTCGCGTGTGCGTCTTCGACCAAGCGACTATCCCACTCTGTATTAAAGGAATAGTAAGAAGCAGGATCACATTCAGCCGAAGACCGCGTCGTTGAGTCTTATCAAGCGGGCGAAACACAAAACTGCTTCCTCGACTTTCCTCTCTTGTCCTTCGCTTCGCCCCCATCGCGCCTGGTGCTTTTCCCCTCAACCGCACCAACCAACGCAGAATCCACGCTGCACACTCAACTGCGCCGCTGCTTTCGGCTGCTGCGTCGCTGGATGGATATTAGCGCAATGGCTCGTCCTCTGCGTTGTCGTTGAGAACATTGAAGTCACTTTGTGCCGCCCCTGCCGATCTTGTGAAGAAATCGAATTTTTTCTGTTGCGGCTGCTTACGAAGCGTATTTAAACACGGGAGACGCAAAGCGTTTACCTCGAAGCACCTACGCTCTTTCTGAGCTGTTGCTGTTCCTGTTTGCGGAGACCAACCAGAAGCCTCCGCGTTCACTGCAATGCCTGCTGTAGAGAGTCTCTTGCAGCTGTACAGCCTCGACGAGAAGGATGGCACCATTACAGCCTTCGACAGCTACGGGAGCGACGTGCATCTCGGCACCAGCACCGGAAAGCTGATTCGCCTGACCATTTCAGAGACGTGCCAAGGCGGGGAGGCGACGTCGACGGAGTTCTTTAAACCTACCACACCTCCATCACCGACGACTCCCGCTATTTCTACTTTAGCGCCGCGCGAGCAACAACGCCGAAGTTCAGAGGCGTCGTTGCGCACGATCGTGTCGCGGCGGTGCACGCTGTCGAATTCAGGGGCAGCGGTGCAGCAGCTTCAGCACAGCCGCAGTCAGCGCGTTCTCTTTGCGCTCTGTGAGGGGCGCCTGCTGCTCCTACACGCAGAGACCTACGCCTTGCTGAGCAGCATTGCCACGAACATCGTGTCCTTCTCCGTTGCGCAGCCGGTGCGAGGCAGCAGCACCGGCGCGGCGCTGCACGATGGAGGGTTTACGCCATCGGTGCTGGCATCGTACCCGTCTCACCCGTCCCGCCCACACCCTGGCTGGTCAACGGGTACCGGTGGAGACGACGAGGTGACCAGCCAGCAGGGCCGCACTGTCGCGCACACCCGCACCTCCAGCGAGGCGAGTCACGGCAGCTCGCTGCCGTGGACGCCGCGCAGCTCCGCTGCCAGCCCAGTCGGTGCCCCTTTCGCAGTAGCGCGACGCAAGCCCAGCAAAGCACACGTGGTATGCGTGGCGGAGAAGAATAACAAGGAGTTGGCGGTGTATCTTGTGGATCGTGTGTCCACCGCGGTGCGAGGAACGGCCACTGTTCTGCCTCTTCACGGGAGCACCTCTCCATCGCTGTCTACAATAGATGTGGCAAGCGACGGTGGTGGAGGGGGGAGTAGCGACACACCGCGGCTATCGACACGATCTGCCGCGCAACCGCCGCGTGTGGTGCTGCGTCAGCGCTTCGTCCTCCCAGAGCCGGCGCAGCGGGTCGTCATGTGCACACCGTCGCCGGTTGTCGCCCGGGTGCTCACTTCCGGCTCGAACGCCAACACGCCGCGTCCGGGCACAACCGCGGCATCCGCAACCGTGGTGGAGGCGGGATTGACAGTGTGTGTGGGCATGCGCCGGGAGGTGAGTCTGCTCCCGCTGCTCGGCGGTGTGCCGCGCTGTGTGCTGCGTTTAGACGGCAGCCGACCGCCGCTGCTGTCCATCGGCAGTGATCCCAATACCTACCTGGTGCGTACGCAGGCGCCGAACACGGTGATGGAGGTTGGCGTGCCGCCGTCTGCCGCCGCTGCCGGGCTGCGAACTGGTGTGGCGGGCGACGTCCACGTGGAGGCGGCGGCGAACCCCATCCTACTGCGCATGGACTACCACCGGATGGCCGCGGGGGGCAAGGACGTGAAGGGCCCGCTAGCGGCTTCGTCGAAGGTGCAGCCCGGCAAAGAGGACGAGCTCATCGTCGGCGACGTGTTCCAGTCTGACGGCGTCGTCGAGCTCGTGCTGGGGCGATTCCCCTTCATATTTCTCTTCACGGCGGAGCACTGCGATGCGGTATCGTTGCTGAGTGCGGGCAGCAGCAACAGCGGCGATAGCACTTACAGTAACACCGGCTCCTCCTCATCGTCGTCGTCGTCGGCCCAGCGCATCCCCCTCCCCGGCATCCGCCACGGCGCCCTTTATGGCCACGGCAGTTCGCTGTTCGTGGCGAGTGATCGCACCGTGTGGTCCCTGCAGCTCTACCCGTTGCGTGCGCAGCTGGCGGAGATGGTCCAAGCAGGGCGCAGCAACGAGGCTTTCCAACTCCTGGCTTTCCACCAGCAACGTGCGTTGTCTCTTTTACCCAGCGGCACTGGACTTGGCGATGGGGAACAGCTTCACCTGCCACGGCATCCTCATCCGCTTGCCCTGTTGGAAGGCGACCTACACCGCATGGCCGGTTTTGTGAGTCTGTACAAAGGAGACGTGGCGGCTGCCATCGACTCTTTCCGTGGCCACCTCGACCCTCGCGAACTCCTCCTCTCCGTGCCCGACTGCATTCCACCTCACGCGCTAGCATTCAAGCCGTCACGATCGATTTCCTCCGCTACTGCTGCCTCTCCGGATGTGGAAGAACTACCTGAACCACTACCACTGACCTCTGCCGTTTCCCTTTCAAAAACTGTCGGTGGTGGGCATGTGCTGCACCACGTAGAGGCGCCTCTCTCCGCCGCAGACGTCCGCAGCTTTCTGTTCTCAGACAGCGCAACAACTCTAGCGGAGCAGCGAGACATCACTGCAGAAGGGGCGGTGACGAATACCGGTGAGCCTTCGGTGCATGTGTCGTACTGGGATCAATGGAATGGGCCGTGCGTGTACAACAGCGGGACGGGCGACGTGTCCCGGGCGTGGCGGGCCGCGTTCGACTCGCACAGCCTCACCTCCACGCCGGACGCCTTCGCCGCACGCTGCTACGAGGAGCTGAAGGACGAGCTGCGCCGGTGGTTCGCCGCGGCGCTGCTGTCTCCCGAGGCTGAGGCGCTTTCCGCCAGAGCCGGAAAAGAGGCGGCGGAGGAGAGCTGTGGCGGGCCGACGGCGACGCCGCGGAGAGATGCAGACGACGACGGTCCTCTCTCCCTTCCCACCTCTGTGCCCGCGCATGCCGACCCACCCACTCATCGACGGGCGATGGCACACGCGTCGTTGGTGTTGGCCTGGCAGGCGCGGGACTTCCACACCGCATACACAATTGTGGCACGTGCGACCACGACCGGGTTGTGCGTGGAGGACTGCGACGATGTGCTGCGCTACCTGCGCGAGTTTCGGCTGTTGGCGCTGCTGCACTTCCAGGTAGGCGACGGAGCGGCATGTGAGTGTCTCTTGAGGAACTCGGTGTGCTTGTCGACGACGCTGCCGCTCCCACCACCTGCTGCTGCGCCATCCGCTTCGTTGCAGCGGCCCGACGACGTGCAGTTTCAGCTGTCGCAGTTGCGTCGTTGTCTGGGTCGGAAGTTCGAGCAAGGAGAGGCGGGAGGGAGCAGCAATCTTCGCAGCGGCTGGGTGGACGGTGCGCGACCTCAGTCATCGTCGCCGTTTTCTGACGAGGTCGCCGAGGCACTGATCTGTGGTCGAGGATTACTGATGCAACCGTCGGTGGCGCACGTGGCGCGTGTCGCGCATCTTCTGCTCGGCGCTCCCTTGGGTGGCGCGATGAACTCTACCTTAGCGCCGCGACAAGCTTGGGAGCAGCTTTTGGACAGTATCGTCGCCTGCTACGCTTCTCAAGTGTGCCCGCCTTCCCTTACGACGGGCGACGCTGCAAGCTTTGTACAGCTTCATTTCACTTCGTCAACCAACACCCGCAGCGGCACCATCGCACTACCGCACGCCGGGCCTGTTCTCACCACTTTCGTATCTCCTTCTTTCTCCGTTGTCCCAGCAGTGCAGCGGGGCAGCAGAAAGGCGACCCCGCCCTTGCAGGACAGCAGCCACGGTGTTGTCCTTCACGTGCTGCCCTCCCCTCTTTCCGAGTACTTCTATGCAATCGAGAAACTGGACGTGTGCGTGGTGCGACATCTGCTCACACAGCAGCCACGACTGGCGCAGGCGAGAGATGTGGACGGCTGCACCGGGCTGCACCTTGCCCTGGCGCAGGTGCGTGTGGTGACCTTTGCGGAGGAACGCACACCATCAGGCCTGCAAATGCACGAGCGGGCGCGCAAGGCAGAAGGGCAGTCGGCCACGCTAAAAGTGCTCTGTGCTTTGGTGGGATTGCTGGTGGGCTTTGACTGTCCAGCGTCTGTTCTCAGTTGCAATGGGTGGAGCTGCTTGGATGTGGCGGCTGTCGCGTGTGGAGGAGACGAGACGGTGTTTGACATCGTCTCGGCTGCACTTCTCGCGTCTTTGGAGATGCGCAGATCGGAGCGGGAAAACGCGTGAAACCGCTAAATTTTTAAGCGTGGCCGCCGAATCGGCAGCATCGTCAACTCTCCGGTTCTTCGTTTTTGTCCTTTTTTTTCTAATCGTCCTCCGCTGCTTCTATGGAGTTGTTGAGTGGCCGTGCAGTTACCAAGAGATCCTTGAAAGAAAAGGAAAAGCAATACATACGATCTCCTTCGTTTCGTTCACCGAGGCATCACCATGCGACACAGCAACAACCTCGGGTGATAGAAAAGCACGCAGAAGCTGCCCTTGTTTCCCCGTTTGTCTGCGCTTCGAACCCTCTAACAGGACGCCATAGGCCTGACTAACTTCGATCTCCTTCGCTCCTCCTTCTTCATCCCCTCGCCCCCCCACCCCTTCCTCCGTTCATTTCCTCGTGACGTAGAGAAGCGTGAATTCGAGTTCCTCGTCTTTTTCTTTGTCTGTTTTCCTTGCCTGTTTTGACTGCATCAACGCGCAGGAAAATACACACATATCTTTCCCCTGTCGACACGGTGTACGCCCACGCCAAAACGCCACCACACATTCCACCGACGTAATTCCTCTCCTTTTACGCGAAAGATTCAAGAAGACAAGATGCCGCCGAAGCACCACCGCGAGCCTGTGGTGATGCCGCCCGTGGAAGACGAGGAGGACGATATGATGGACATGGACATGGGCATGACGGACTTCCAGAAATACCTTGATCCCGACTTCTCCAAGAACTTCATGGCGAGCCTGCCCGAGAAGATCCGTCAGCGGGCGCAGGTGCTGTCCGCCTACAACGAAGACTACCTCGCGGTGCAGAAGGCGTGCAAGGACAAGGAGACGGCAATCCTGCGCCGCTACGACGCCCTCTTCGCTCCGCTGCTGCAGCGCCGCCAGGAGATCGTAACCGGCGCCGCCGTCACCGACGAGGAGGTGAGGAAGGGCATGCCGGCGGAGCACGAGGAGCAGGTGTCGGTTGAAATGGACCCCGCCGCCAGCTCCGAGGATGTGAAGGGCCTGGAGGGGTTTTGGCTGCGTGTGCTGCAGCACCACGTCGTGATCGGCAGCACCATCGAGGAGCACGACGAGGACGCCCTGCGCCACCTCGTCGACGTCAAGTCCTTCGTGGCGGAGGGCGACTACGGCAGCTTCCAGGTAGCCTTCACCTTCTCCCCGAACGACTACTTCGAGGAAGAGACGATCACCGTGGCGGTGGCCGTCAAGGACACCGACTCGAAGCTGACGTTGCCAAAAATCACGTGGAAGCCGGGCAAGAACCTAACGATGCGCACCATCTCGAAGAAGCAGCGTGCCAAGCGCACCGGCCAGACGCGCACCATCACCCGCGAGGTACCGCAGCCGTCCTTCTTTTGGCTCTTCTGCAGCAAGGCGGAAGTCGACGGCGAGGACGACGAGGAGGACGAGGAGGACGGCGACGACGATGAGCAGCGCATCAGCACGTTGGAGGTGCTGCACACCTGTGTGATCCCTAACGCAGTGCGCTACTTCACCGGCGAGGCCCCGGACGGCTGCAGCGATGCCGACGAGGACGAAGAGGAAGAGGAGGAGGAGGAAGAGGAGGAGATCCAACTCCCGCGCGGTCGCGGCGGTCGCGGCGGTCGCGGCGGTCACGGTGGTGGTCGTGGAGGCCGAGGCGGTCGCGGCAACTAGGAGAAGAAGACGGAATTCTGCAAAGCGAAAAGGATTGGTGAGGAAGTGCGACAGCAACGTTGCGTGGATCTTCTTTGTGGTACTTCAGCGGTCTAGAAACTATGTTTCTTTTCCCCCTCTTCTTCTTTTGCTCAACTGCGCCGAAACCAGCTGGGCAAATATTTGTCCATCGCCGCGTCGTGTGTCTCACTGTGTGTACCCTTCTTGTCTTTTTATCGCCCCCTTTTCCTGACGGTTATCGAGCACCAACGACATTAGACAATTCTCGGCCCCCCCCCCCCCTCGTATAAAATCAAGGAGGCAGCTACCTGTGTAGAACGGAGGTGACACAAAATAGACGCGTGTGTGTGTGTGCTTGTGCGTGTTTTCTCCTTTTCGTTTTGCGTGCTCCGTTCTCCATCGATTGGGCTGGCTGTCCGTGAAGCAGGCACTAAAAGACTTAAATGTTGACTCGCGAAGAGGAAATTTCTCTTTAAAATGACAGGATAATATCTCTAATAAAACAAGAGAAAGTTAACGCAATGCAACAACAACGCACGGGCGAAAAGCGACGCTTGCTTTTTTCTTCTTCTTTCTTTGCTGAAACCGAACTTCGCCCGATAGACGTTTTCGTCCTTTCGTCGGCGGCGAACGATGCCGCGATGAGTGTACGTTGCACGACCGTTGTAAGTGAGCGGCGAGCGCGCACATGGCGGTGTGCTCATCAATCGAAGCGGCATCATGAAAAACTCAAAAAGAGAAGCGAAGAAACAGTTGCGTGGGTATTTCCCTCAATGTGTGCTCGTACGCGCGCGGACACACACACACACGCCTGGAGTGACAAATACGCACCGAGACGAGAGGGAAAGAAACGGAAAAAAGACTTGATAAATTGAACCATTTCTTTTTGTATCTCGCTGAGTTCACCTCCTTCTTCTTTTTTGTTCTGATTCCTTCCGACTCACGCCACCTTCGCCAAACATCCTTCGTTGTGGAGCGCTACGTTTCGGTATCTGCATCAACAACAGCAAAACAGTTCCGAACGGTTCAACACATCCTGGGGACCTTCCAGAAACCTTTACACATAGACAAGACTGCTTCTGCGGGTTTTCCGCACGGCTGCTCTCCCTGTCCTCTTTTCTTTTCCTGGACATCAGTGCGAACGAACAAAGACATTGCTACTGCTACAGCGCCATACACAAGACGTAAGCGCTTGCTTCAATAGATTCCACCCTTTCACTCACACCGTAGGGAAACCCTGAGGGCTCTTCTTTCTTTCTTTATTGAGGTTATTCGACTTCTCCTGAGCAGTTTCGAGCTGTCCGCTGTTTTGTGTTCGCTTTCGTAAGTTGAGAGCGCCGAGCCACGAACACAGGCGAACGTGCGGCATTTTTCTCCGTCAAGTTTGAGGGTTTCTGTTCAGTGGTGTTGTGTTCTTCCCTCTTTAGAAATACTTATTATCCCACTTCCATGACGTCATCTTCGGCGCCCCTGGCGTACCCGTCCAGCGGGGAGTGCAACGTTCTGATACAGCGCTTCAAGCTACTAAACCTCGTGCAACGCGTGGCGCACCGCGATGTGAGCGAGATGATCGACACCGTCGGGCTGGAGAGCTTGGTACGAAAGGGAACGCTTGCAAAGTGGGCGTGGACAGCGGGCGATGATTGGAACAACGACGATGGTGCGTTTGGCGACCGTGGAACTGAAGCAAGCTACGCTGGCTACGGCAAGTACACGGCCCGGCGCAGAGCGGAACGTCAGCGCCATCGAGCCAACACAGAAAACGCAGCGGCAACAAGATCCGTCTCGCAGCGCACCACCTCTCCCCCTGGTCCCGCGCGAATGGCGTTTGGACGGTCCACGACGGGCTTCGAGGCTCGCGTTGCCGCCGCGCGGTGGAACAGCGGTGTCGAGGAGGACAACGAGGAGGAGAGCCGCAAGTACGGCCTGACGAGGCGCGTCGATGTCGCGGCGCCGCGGACCACCAGCGATGGGCGGGAAGAGAGCGCAACACGACGGCGTTACGTGGTTCGACGCACGCAGCGGCTCCTGCGCAGCAGCCCCGCCGACCGCGACGCATTTTTCTCACGGCTGGCTGAGCCGCGTGAGCGACCCGAGCCGGTGGTGGAGGACGTCTTCGTCTACGATGCGGTGCCCGACCGTAGAGGGCGGGACGGCGGTTCATCGCGGTCCAAGCTGGGAGCGCGGGAAATTTACTTATCCGGAGACGGGCAGCGAGGTGAGCAGGACGACTACTATGCCGCACAAAACCGTCGCCATGCGCCACCCTTAAGCACCCTCTCCCTGCCATCACCACCACCTCTGGGTTTCTCGCACTCATCCTCCACCTACGTGAATCGCCGCGGGGGTGCTGAGGGCCACTCGTTTGACGCGGACGATATACGGGCACACTATCAAGGCACGTCGTCCATGTATCCGCCCCCATCCCACGCCTTAGCCGCGCCAGGCGGCGTGCCGTCGCAGCCTGGCGAGGGTCGATACCGCTGCGGCTACTCGAGTGTGCAGGTACGAGGCGAGTCGGAGGAAGAGGTGGAGGATACCGCACTACCCTCCGCGCTGCCTCCTGCGCCGTCCTTGCAAGGGCGGCAGCAGCAGCAGCTGTCGTCTGATACACCTGCACCGCTGCACAGCGGCGGGCAAGAGGAGGCGGAGGAGTCAGTCGAAATGCAATCCACGCTTCTCCCTACGGAATCAGCTCCTGCGGCACGTGGCGCAGTCCCGGATGTGAAGCTGGCCTCGTTCGCCGATGGCCCCGCCCGGCGCCGCAACGTGAACTTTGCCCTCAACAAGGCAGACTTGTACGACGGCATGCCGACGACGGGCAACGACAACGCGACGTCCATGGACTCGAATGCGTGGGACGTGCCAGGGGCGACTGCATCTGCAGATTGCGCACGTGGACCTGAGTGTGATGACGCAACAAGCCCCGTTCTCTCGCATTTGCATTTTCCACGCGCAGGCGGCAACGCTGCCGGTGCGCTGAATATCACTGGCAGTGTCCGTGGTGGGGGTGGTAGCAGTCTCAGCTCACCCGGTGGGCTGAAGACACGCAGCAGCTCCGGCGTGGCCGGCTTCCCGAAGTCTCCACGGATGGGTCGCGGGTTGGCCCCCAAGGCGAAGCCGAAGGGTGCTGTTGTCGACTCGCAGATTCCTGTGGAGGCCGTGCGCCATGCCGCTGCCCTCATCACCCGCGCCAACTCCACCCCCACCATCGAGCCCTCCCCGAACACGAGTACACCGGGCAACAGTTACGTAGCGGCACACGCCTCCCCACAATCGCAGCAGCCACCGATGTCCAGAATCCGCTCCAACCCAGTTGGCTTTGCCCACGGCGGCAGTATCTTGCTCTCTCCGCGGCCAAGAACGGTGGAGGTCAGTGCCGATAGCCGACAGCAGCACATGGATGGCGGTCAACACTCCCCCGAAGCCCCTGTTGGCTCCGCCGTTTCCGCACCCATCACACCACGCTTCTCCACACGCACAGGCGCCGCCGTTGCCGAGGCCGCTGCGGCGCCCGCGGGTGTGTCCACCGCAGCTGGCGCGTCGACGGCGGTGCCGGTCAATGAAGGCGCACAGCAATCCTTTCAGGCGGTTTCTTCCAAGGTGGACCACATGCTCCAGAATCTGCAGCGCATGCTGCGGCGTGTGTACAAGGACGGCGGCGACGAAGTGCCCGACAAGTTGGTTGAGGCGGATCCAAAGACGCAGCAGCGGACTACGCGTGGGGGCGGGGTCGGGGCGAGGACTCCGTCCGAGGATGACGCGTACAGCTCCTCCTTCGAGGAGTCGGACAGCGAGAAGGACACCACCGGTGCGGGTAACGACAGCTACAACATCTACCGTGAAGAGGATGGACTCGGCGTGGACGGCGAGGACGACGAGATGCTGCTGTACACCCAGATTCAACACAAGGTGTCTCGCCTCGGCGCAGCGATGAGCCGACTCACGCTGCCCAGCAGCAGCGAAGACGGAGAGGGGAGTGTGGCGCGGGAGGCGGCGGCGGCAGCGGCGGCAGTTGCGTTTCGTCAGGCGGAGCGGAGCAGCACCGCCCCTGCCGCACCCCCGTCGTCGTCTGCGCTGTCTCCTGGACGCTCACCGGGCTCTCGACCTGCCGCCGCCCGCCGTGCTCGCGGGGACATTCCTGATGGGATTGTACAACGCCTTTGTGCGTATCGCATGGAGCACTTCCAGTACATCGCCTACAACGAGCGGCTGTGGAACACCAGCACGACCTCGCAGTTTGTGTTTGCGCAGCGTTTAACCGCCGCACTCTTGGAGGAATGCTGGGCCGAAGTCATGGCTGAGGTGGATGCGAATATGAGCGAGTACGTGGAGGGGTTGGTGGACCACGAGCTGCAGTAACACCGATGAGGCGGATCGCGTGTTGCTCATTCTCCTTTTTTTTTTAGTTAGCGGAATGCCCTCAACGCCGCTGCACACACGCACCGAGGTGCGTGCTTTTTGTCTACGCGAGAAAAATGAAGAAGAAAGCAAAGCAAGTGTTATGGAGGTTGCCTGCCCATTCGAACACAGAAAGCCACTACAGGAATGACACAGACGGACTTTGCCACCAAAACAAGAAAATAGGGCGAAGTAAGAACCAGGGGACTTCCAATGAAGTGAACAACTTGCATTCAGGGCCCTATCGCAAACATCAACTTTTTGTTTTTACTTTCCTTACCTTTCTTCTCTAGTCTCTTTTTCGGAAGGTCTGCTCACGGGACGCGGCTACCGTAGTAATGTGCTGCCCTTCTCCTTACCGCCAAACGAAGTCGAGCCACTGATTCTACGCGTTGCGCATTACCAATCAACGACACATCATCTCTCTCGTTGTCGCTTTGCTGTTTATTAGCGTTCTCAGCGTCAGCTCTTGATAGTCCCTTCTATTAGTATTATTCGTTGCATTTGCGTATTTGCCGCCTCCCTTCGATTCAAAGTGGCAGGCGATGCCCGCGAACGGCGCGCAGTCCCCACGCGGGGCGGCGTTTCCTGTCGCGTCTGTGTCTGCTGCCGCCGCCGAGGCGGATGCCGATACGCAGCAGCTGGTGAACCTCGTCAACCGCTTCGTAATCAGTTCCGTGCAGTTCCTAAATCGATTTGCGGAGGAGTGCGAGTCGAAGCTCATCCGCACCGACGCGGCATTGCGGCAGCTGGAGCTGCAGACGCAGCTGCTGGAACACATGCTGCTGTCCAGCGGTGTCGTCTACAGCGAGGGAGAGGACGGTGAGGAGGAGGGCGAGGAAGGGAGGGAGGACGGCGCCGCTTCGACTTCACGCCCTAGCGACGCGGAGGGGGGAAGCGACGACGAAGACAGCGAAGCGGCGTACGCGTACGACAGCGACGACCATCAACACAGCCGGCGAAACCGCCGCCGCCGTCGCCACCGTTCTCGAGACCGCAGCAGCAACTCTGACAGCATACGCCGCCTCCCAGCGCCGCCTGGTGCGTACAGAGGCGGCGCGTCCCCGCCAGCGGCCCCCGGTGCCTACCGCAAGGGACCGTCCATGCCGCCCCCGGGTGCCACGCGTGCGGCAGCTGCAGCGCAGGAGGCAGCCGCAGCCCGTCTGGCCACTCTCGCTATCGTTGGCGCTCCCGTGTTGCTGCCGCAACCGTCTGAGTCCGGCGAGCCCCCCGCGCCCCCGCCACCACTGGAGCTGCGACCGGGCCGCCTGTCGATGCGCACCCACCCCAAGCTGAAGGGCTACTATGAGCTGCTCTCCTTGCGCGTACCGGCTGCGTTTGTGAAGGCCAAGATGCAGGCAGATGGCTACCAGGCCGACTGGCTCGACACACCCGATGCTCCTGCGCCGGCTACGCTGTCAACGGTGGTTCGCGCTTTCGCTGACGAGCCGGATTAATAGCATCGCCTCATCAACTTCAACGAGTGGTGCTTTTATATTGTTGTTGCACTGGAGTGTTCCGGTGGCGGAGTTCCTCCTTTCTCTCTCTAGCGCAGTGTGTGTCGTGCGGGAGCTGTGTGAGAACACCATGGGTGAAAAATGCATATACGATCGAACACCAACACTGAAGAGCCCACACGCCCAACAATGCTGAGCACCGTTGCAACGAACTCCACGGAGAAATTGGAAGTTTTTTGTAGGGACCTCAACGCGGTACCTCTAGCAACAACGTTAGCTGACTGTGGTCTTCTCTGGCTTTCACGTTTACTTCGACGCTTCCGACGGCTTTCATGCCGATGAGCGACTTGCGTCTCCCTTTGTGAAAGAAACATATTTTTGACGTCCTCCTGCACGCTCCTTACTTCTGTCTTCTCTCGTGTCAGCAGCTCCAAGCACATCCAACACGGACGTTGCGCGCGCGTAGCGGCAGCACCCAAAATCGTACCGTTAGCGGCATTTTTTTTTTTTGACTCACATTTGTTTCGCGTTCATCAAAACGCGTGCCCGCAGCTCCCTCATGTCTGGGGGAGACCAGAACGGCACGCGAGGGACGGGGTTCGTCCACCTCAACACCCCCGCAAGCATCCACTACACCACTGGGCAGACGCTGTCCCTCTCCGCCCTGCGTCAACGCAAGTCTCGCGTGGAGTGCGTCGTACTGCCCGAGTCGGTGGCCGTGTGGCGTCGCGCCTTTCAGCGATACGTGAAGGAGGAAGGCTACAGCAGCTACGCCGCGGATGTGGAGGATGAGCGGGCGGGCAGCGGCGTCGTTCTGCCTCCGTTGGTGCCGCAGCGCAGCGGCCCGGAGCGGCGTCGTGCACAGGACGGCGTGTCGGCAACGGACGCCTTCTTCTGCTCTCCAACTTCTTGTGGGGCAGCGGAGGCAGCAAAGAAAGCGTCCACCGCTGCAGCGAGTGCCACGTCATCCGCAAACGACGCTGCGGCGCCAGTTCAAGCCGCGGCGACGGTGTCATCGTCCGGCAGCGCGGACGCGTCGTCGTCGTCGTCCTCTTCGGCGTCTCCGCTCGCCCTGCAACCCGCCAAAGGCATCACCATCGTGAGCCACCACAAGGTGGCGGGCCGCCAGCAGTTCGTCTACCCCGACTACGACGGCGTGCTGTCGGCCGGAGTAGTGCCGCAGGTGATTGTGACGGAAGAAGAAAAGGCCGAGGAAGAGGCGGCGAAGGCGTTTTACATATCAGCACTGGACATGACGGAGGAGGAGCTGGCTGCGCTGGAGGAGCTGCAGGCGCTGTGGAAGAGCCGCGCCCGCAGTCACTCGTTTCTCGGCGCACAACACCGCAACGCGGCGAAGGGATCGACGGACCCGTCCACACCAGAGGAGGAGGAGCACGTCTCCTCCGGCAGTCGTCAACACGCCAGTCGAGAAGATCGTCCGTTGAAGTCGCGTCGCGTCGATGGTGGACACGAGACGGTGGAGGACATCGCCTACGCCGAGGCAGAGACTGCGGTGGATGACGCATCAACGCTGGATAAGGAGCTGGCCGAGGCCTTGCGTTTGGCGGACGATCTACTGCGATTTGCGTAGGTGCGAACATTTTTTTTTTTCTTCACTAAATAGGTCGACGCTTGACAGCGAGTCGCAGAGACTGTCTCGCCTTTGAAAGAATCTGACCTCTGTCTCGTTACACTTGGCGGGCTGCGGTTACTTGAACTTCACGCACTCCAGTTCGCACGACTACGCGAGCGAAGAAAGAAGGCAGTCATACACAACTGGTGTGTGCTGCTGTGGAGTGCAGCGCGGAGATTGTTTTTCGTTTTTCTACCAATCATGTTGTTTCCATGCAAACGCGGCTTTCTCTACCTTACTTGACGGGAAATCATCACGCCGGACAAAGAGGTCAGAATCTCCGGCTCCTTTCCCTGATTGGGTTTGAACAGCAAAGGTTTCGGCTTTCCATCCAGCATTATTCCTTCGTACTACTTTCTCTCTCTCTCTCTCTCTCTCCCCCCCCCTCTCCCGCTCCCCTCCAACGGTATCGTGCTCCTTCTCGCCCTTCCACCATAAATAAGGGACCGCGCAAGCCGTGGTGTGCGTTTTCCGGTCTGCAATCACCATCTTCCTCATCTTTTTTTTTCTCGCTCTCGTACATCTCTGTCATCACCTACATATATAGTTACATTATAAGGAAAAGAAGAACATAAGAAGAAAAGAGTTCCACTTTAACGCAGCAAGGAGAGCACACACACAAAGGAACAGGCAAGCTCCTCTCCGCTCGCTTCACGCACTTCTCATGCTCCGTCGGTGCCTTCTTACGCCCGCACCTCGCCGTGCGCCCCTCATCGCCGCCCTGCCGTTCTGCGATGGCTGCCGGCGATCCTATGCCACCGACCGCCCGCACCAAGGCACCCGCTCCTCAGCGAAGGAGCGGCGGTACTACACCGAGCCCCTCCGTGCCCCGCAGTCCGGCGTGCGCACCGTCGTGGGTCGCTTTGCGCACCCGTCAGGTGTCACTGCGCCGCCTGCGTCGGCCGGTGTCTCACGTAGCTCTGGTCCCCACGCGGGTGTGACGAACACGGCGGTGAACACCACGGCACGGTGCCTGACGACTCGCTTGAACCCCAAGACGCAGCTGATGAAGGTGCTTGCGGCGCACGGCCGCACAGTCCGCTACGACAGCGCTGGTGTGCCGGTTGAAGGGTCGTGGTATCTGCTGCCGTGGCACGAGCAGATGCGCATTCTGGCCGCGGTGATTAGTGCGCTGTGCATCACCAAAGCCTTCTTCGACGGCGTGCGCTTCGAGCTGCTGTACTACGGTGTGTGGAAGCTTGGCTACCGCAACAACGACTCCTTGATGAAGCGCGTGCTGTACTACGGCTCCACCGCGCTCCTGGCAGCTGGCCTCTTCTTCAGCTTCAATTTGAACTTCTTCCTCTCTGCCTGGTTGGTGGGCAGGCGACAGATGGCTGCACATATGATGAGCCGCGGCTTTTCTCACCTATTGCCGCAGCGTGTGATGCAGTTGATGGAGCGTCGTATGAAGTTCAGTCTTGTCTAGGCAATCGAATGGGCGGCCTCAACTGTTTCTACGCTTCATGAGGTTAACGAGTACAGCAGATTTTCTAAGATAACAGGTTTTTTTAAAGTGTCCTTTTTCTTTTCTAAAAATATACACACTTGACCGTTTTTTTTTTATCTACTCGTCTTCAAGTATGTGTTGTGGCTGACCACCCGAAACAGAAATGTATCAGGGCGAGAAAGCTTATCTATATCGCACACAAGTGAACGTTTTGGTGCCCCTTTTCTTTTTCTTTTTCTTTTTCTTATTCTCTTCTCTCTTCCAATGAGGGGAGAAAGTATCATCACATCGCCGATTTATTGTGTGCAGCGTATACAAATAATTGGGATGGGCTCTCCTCCTTGGAGCATCTTTTTGTTCTGTTTTGTCTCGCCGAGAATTTCCTCTTTGCTTCTCAGTGTCTTTTTACTAATATTATTCTTATATTGTGCGTGTCGGTTAGCTTGAGGCTGATGTCGGCGTCTCCCAAACGTCGTGGGAGGTATTTTTAAACAACTGCGGCGAACAAAGAAATGCAGCTTGTTTCCGCCTCTTTGGTTTTCTTTTCGTCTTTAGCCATCTTTCGCGACGCCGAATCACAGCCGCCCCTCCCCCCTTTTTTGCAGTGTCTATGTTCTGCAGATCTCTGCATTCGTTGGGTTACTATTCTTGTTGCTTTCGCTTCTTCTTCTTTTAAAACTAACTGTATCTGCTTCTTTTTCCTTTTGTTTTCTTTCCTGTGTGTGTGTGTGTGTGTGTGTGTGCGTGTGTGCGTTATGCATAGGAATACTAAGTGAAACTCAAGTGTGCACGCTTCATGTGAGCTGCCTCTCAGCAGCGATGAACCCATTAAAGCACTGATGTTTATTGTCAGCTTTGATGTTTTTTTTTTCTTCCAATGTTGAGCTGCTTCATCCTTCTTTCTCGAGGCTTCGATATTCCGCGTCAGATGCCCTCGTTGTTGATTTTCCTCCTCGATTCGCGTTCTGTCGCAAGATGGTAATAATCGGGCGTCAGACACATGCTGTCTCTCCCTCCCCTCCTACCCATTAAAAGGGTACACAATTCGATGCTTTTACGTTTTTGGGGGTTCTTTTTTGCTGCTTTTTCTTTTATCTGCTCAAGTGCTTTCGCTTTTCGTGTCTGGTACTGCGAGTTTAGCGAGAGGGGGAGTACGACCACGACTGCTTTCGCACGTTTCTTCTTCCTCTTCTCCAAGCAACTTCAGTGACAAAACAGTGCATCCCCTCAGTGGTTTTCATTTTTTCTTCTGAAGCCCCCTGCTACGTTCTTTTCAGGTTTTGGGGCTTTTCGCCTTTCTGCTGTGCAATGCGTACACGGCGCATTATTGTGATGCTTTGCCGAAGCCTCGAACCTTTCTTTCTTCATGAAAGATTCGCCTTGGTGGCGTATTTACCGCTTCTGTACTCGCGTTCTTCGGGATCTTTTTTTCTTTCTTTTTCTTTCTGCGTTCATTAAATGCTTGGGGTTTGATGAAAGACGCAAACACCAGGGCTACCTTTGCCGGAAAGAGTAAAACGAAAGCAGTGAAATAAATTGGTGGGGAAGAGGCACCTGCCGGAGCTTATTGAAGACAAGGTAACACAGTTGGGGTGTCACGATCTTCGGTAACACACGAACGCAAAAGATTTTTTTTTTTCACGGCGGTGTTTCTGCATCTGACAGCTGCGTTATTTCTCCCCGTCAAGGATCGCCTCACGGCAAAGACAATTTCTTTTTTGGCAAGTCTTGTAAACAGCTTGCACTCACTACTGTGTTCTCTCATGCCTTCGCCTTTTTGCTATTAAACCACTTATCTTTTTCACATAAACGTACGCGATACTGTACCGTCTCCACATCAGAAGGTACTTCTCCCATTAGTCCAGTAATCCGCTGTTTCTGTTTTCTTTATCCCCCCCCCCACTCGTCCACGCAATGCTCTGCCGCCTCAACCTCAACCGCATGCTTGTCTCGCCGGCAACGACGTCGTCACGAGCGGCTACGTCGTCGATAACGCGCCACAACCCCCTGCGTGTTGCGCAGCGACGGTGCGCCACGCAGGCAGAGGCAAAGGCATCTACAGAAACGGCACAGAAGGCCACGTCGGCTGCCGGCGGTGCGGCGGAGGCGAAGGCCGCGCCACACGCCAATCCCGCCTCGCACAGGCCACATCGCAAGGACTGGCGGACGCACAAGGACATCGTGTACGTCAAGGGTGTACCGGCGAAGGGCAGTCTGTTCAAGCTGCCCCTGACGGAGCAGTTTATCATCTGCCTGGTCTTCTCAGTGGCCGGCACCGGGGCTGTGTACCTGGTTCGTCCGCAGATTCGCTACCTCTGCCACCACGGGTTTCTCGGGCTCACAGATGAGGCGGGGTGGAGGAACGGCCCGTGGCTCTACCGTGTTCTGTACTGCCTCATCATGTTCCCGTGCTACTCGATGATCTTGTTTGTCTGTGGTGGATTTTTTGGCCGTCGCATTTGGTTCTCGTTTATGATCCACAAGATGTGGTCGCGCTTCCTGACCCGCAACGCCTCGAAGCGGCTGGCGTACATGCTGGACATTCAGCATTATTGAAGAAAGAAGATAATTGATCGTCGCCGCGTCGGTGGCACGGTGCTCGGGGAAGGCGGAAGTCAGCAGCGGAGAGGTTGCGTTCCCTCCTTTTGCCCTTTTCTTTGGTTGCTTTCTCCTTTGCTCACATTTCTAATCGGTGTACGTTGGCGGCCACTCTTTGCGCTGCTGAAGTGCTGTTAGCGCGTTGTTGTGTTTTTGCTGGGTCGGTCGTCCTGCTGGGGACAACGCGTCTTGTGTAACCCATCAACCAATCAAGAAGAGACTGGACATGCATACGACTTTCAACGTTTAGTTATCGGTGTTGCGTGCAAGGCCTTCATGTACACACGCGGCGCACACGCTACTCGACAGCGGTCACTTCGTTGGGGTGGGATGATCGGGATCGCACTGTGCAACCACAGAAGAAATGCAACGTGGAGGCTACTGTTTGTGTTGGTTGTTGCTGTTTTTGTCATCTGGTTTTTAGAGGCTGTACGTGGACCAAGACGGACCTGCTCGTTCTCGCGACGGAATGCGAAGGTTTTTCTTCATGCCTTCAAGGCCGAGGCAAAGTTTTTATTTCACATGATGGTCACGTGGTGTGCCCACTTGCGGGACCATAAAGGATTGCCCTACGATTTGTTGATACCGGTACTCTTTACGACGCTATCGCTAAGTGTTGTCCTTTCAGTCCTCTTTGTTTCTCTTTCTCTCCCTCTTTCTCTTGACGCTCCGGGCGTGAAGAAAACACCGTACGTTTGCGCGTTGTTTGCGGCTTACTTACAGGGTGAAAGCGGTAGCACACCTGCGTTGAAGCTGTCTTGTCTTTTTTCTTTCTTTTACGTAGGCGTTTGCGTTCGTCCACTTGTTCACGTGCACTTCTCCATATCTCCTATCTTTGCTTGGCGTGTAATTCCACCTGGTTTAAAACTTTCAGGGCACGTGCGTCTCCTTTCCTTTCTTTAGAGCTTGTTGTTACATATATATCAACTCAACTTCATGGAGGACACAATAAACGTATTCGGCCGTGGCACCCCCGCCGGCGAGGCGATCTACCGCTGCTACGTCACCCCGTCGAAGCCGAGCACCTTAGACCCGCAGCTGGCCGCGCTGTTGGCGAAGCGCCGCCAGGAGCGGGAGGCCGCGGAGGCGGCACAGTTCCACCCGAAGTCCATTCCAAAGTCCCAGGCCCCGGTGAACCGCCCACGGGTGGGCGTGGGGAAGCGACCGACCGACGAGGAGTGCGCCAAGTGGCGCCTGCAGCAAATCCCGCATCGTCGCTCAAAGGCGACGATTGAGGCGGAGGCACTGGCGGCCACCGCGCTCCCCCCACCACGCAACGGGCGTTTTGCTAAACCCCCGGTGACCGAGGCAGAGAAGGATCGACTTGCGGATGTGATGGCCTACGGTGCGGAGCTGCCCAAGCCGAAGGAGCTGACAGGAGCCCAACGCGTGCGATACAACCGGCTAAACAAGCGAGCGGAGCTGGAGGACCGCTTTGACGCGTTGCTTCAATCCGCGCAGGACATCCAGAAGGAGTTGGCGCAGCTGCGTAAAGGACTGCCGACTCCCGCAGCGGTCACGTCGAGTCAGAACGGAGAGGCCTCCGCACCTTCGCAGGAGCTACCTGCCGGGCGCAACCTACGTAGCGCCGACACCAGCGGTAAAAGCGCATCGTCCGATGTGCCGGTGAGGGGGGTCGGGACCACCTCTCTCGCGGTTGCGGACGGGCTCAGCGTCGGGGGCACCCGACTGGCCCGCCAGGGCAACGGCCTCACTAAAGTGGAGCACCGCAGTCGCGAGCGTGAGCTGCAGGAGCACCTGACCACCGTCATCTCAGAGATGGAGGCGGTGGACCACGAGCTGAAAGGGCTCCCTACAACGGCGTAAGTAAAGAAAACGACTAGAATAACACAAGCAACGTGTGACGGCGAGCAAAGGGAGACGCACTACTGCATAACTCTGCCGATGGGAAGCTGTGATCCCCCCTCCCCCTTCGTTGCTCTCCCTTTCATTCTCGTATTACGGGGCGGGTGGAATGCGGCGCGCTAACTTCTTTGTGATGTACAGATCTGCTTCAACTTTTTTTCTTCCGTTGGGTTTCTTTTCCGCGCTGCGGAGGGTGGGTGGGTGGGGGGGGGGGAGCCGGTTTCGCTTTTGTGTGCGGTGTTCCTCCCCACCTGCTGAAAGATGTATGTTTTTGCTTTATGCTGTTTTGTTTTTCGTTGTTCGCGTTACCAAAGCCGGCACTTTTAGGGTTCCTCTTTCCCTCGGTTGCGAGGTATGAAAGTACGCACTGTCAGAAAGGGTAAAAGGAGAAAAATGGAAACGGCGACCGGGCACAACGTTGTCTCTGCGGCCCCCATGGGACGGATCTCAGAAGAGCCTTGCTATCCGACAGTAACATAAGGCAAGTGAAAGCCTGCAAAGAAAGGTAGTAGCCGCCGTGAAGTTCCAAAATGACGCTCATGTTCGCCGATTCAGCTTCTTCTGCTTTTCTCCCGTTTCACCGTACATGCGTATCTGTCTAACAAGTGGAGCTTTTCTTTTCCTTCTGTCTTCGTTGGTGCATCCACTTCGATCCGTCGAGGGAGGGCGAGTAGACACAACAGCGCCAAGGTATTTTTTGTTGTTGCCCGAAATCAATTAGCGTGTCGTACTGCTCCTACCGACATACAACAGCTTACACGCGTTCCCGATGCGTCTCTGCGAAAGGCTGGTGAGCTCGTGCTCTCGCTTGAACCCTTTGGACGATGTCACGGACAGCCGATGTGGAGGCACTTCTTCTTGGTTTGTTAGACTGCGAGGGCAATCGTTCGTCGCTGTCTCAGTCAACGCAACAACGCGATATCCCGCTCTTGAATGACGTGTGCGTCAGTTTGGACAGAAACCCGGCGGTAACACCGCACTGCTCGCAGCGCTCTACGGCTGGCTGTTTGGAAAACTCAGGAGCGACCGCAGATCTCTCCGCAGGTATTGTACCGCCGACCCGCGAGCCTTCAGAGAGCAGCTTCAACTCCTCCGCAAGCAACGACGACTCGCTGGTGGAGGCAGCTACCCCCTCCAAGCGGCAACGACCTCGAGGCCCCTCCGTGGGTGGTCGAGTGTCAGCGGAAAACTCGTCCTCTCGCACCTCCCATGAGGCAGGAAAGACGGAGGCTCCAGGGAGAAGGCCGGGTGGACCGGGGCGGCTGTCTTCCCCGTCCTCCTCCTCCATCTCGTCCTCACCGCAGCGGGTGCTCTCCCTCGGCCATCCAGTAGTCGAGTTTCTCGCCAGTGTGCAGATGCAAGGCTACGCGTCACACATCATTGAAGATATCGGCCTGCGCACGATGCCGGCCCTGCTCGGCTACGCGCGCTCGGAGACAGACGTGGCCGGGCTGCTGGGGCCCTACGCTACACTGCAGCAGCAGAGCGAACTGTGGAAGGGGCTGCGTCGGTGGGAGAAGGAGGAGTTGCGACGCGTGAAGGCGGCAGCGGACGAGCGGCGTCGACGGCAACTCGCCGAAGCACGCGCGCAGCGGAAGGCGCACAAGCAGACGAAGAAGGCAGAGCCGCCGAAGGCGACGAGCCGTGCGAAAGCGCAACGCGTCAACGGCGGCGGTCCAGAACCTTTCACGCCCTCGACAGTGCTAGGAAACAGTCACTTTTTTAGTCTCCCAAATGTTTGCGAGCGCACCCCAGAAGAAGTCGGAGTGTGGTCGTCACCCGATTTTTCGATGTGGCAGCCGCACGCGGCTTTCAGTGAAGCAGACAACAGGATGCGGGAGCAGGATCATCTGTCGAATGCTTCCGCATCGACTCAGCGACAACCGCCATCAGGGCCTTTGTGCGGCGACTCTGCTTCATCTTGCGCGTCGCTCACCACGAGCGCGACGCAGCGCATGCGCGACCTCTCTTACCGTTGCACCCACTCCTACCAGGTTCGGCGGCGCCGCCTTCGTGGTTGCTGCCGGTGTTGCGGCAGTGGCGCGTGCAGCGGTCAACAAGACCGACAGTCGAGTGGGGACAGGAGAGAAACGGTGACGCCGGCTGAACCGTACGATGTGGATGCAGAGGAGGATGGCGAGAGGCAGTGCGAAAGCAGTGGAGAGGACGCGCGCCACAAAACGGTGGAGAGGCACGATTCCTTACCAACTGCCTCCTCATCGCTGAAGACGAACAACGAGGACGACGGACAGAGCGAGGTGCCGCCAGAGACCCGCTCGCCCTCCCGTCAGTCCAGCGAATCGCATCTTTCTTCACTGTTGTGCTCTCTGCGCGAGTGGTACAGCGACGTGCGCGGAGAACGCCGTCTTCACGGGGGCATCGAAGAGAGCGGTGTGCGGTTGCCTGACAGCGAGCAGGGGAAGCTGACAACAACGGTAAGAGAGACAGACAATGCATTGAACTCAGCACGGACACACCAAGCGACCGCGTCCACTCGCACTTTAGCCGACGCGGCCGATGCTGCGTGCTCCGTCCACAACGAGCTCGCTGCGTCACGCTATGTTTCTCTTGGGGCGCTCTCTGCGCATGCAGAGCTGGAGCAAGTGCCTACGCCGCCGCCATCACGACTACCTCTTCCCCTCGACACTTCGACGGAAGGCCACGGGAAACATTCTTCAACGGTGGAGGTCGAAACAACAAAGGAGCTGCCTGCTTCGGTAACCGTCGGGTACGATGACGCAGTCCATGGCGCCGACTCCGTCGGTTATAGTGCAGTCAGAGACTCCCGGCCTACTTCATCGCCTCGAGATGAGACGGCGGGGGCACGTGAGCGACTGGAGCGCAGCTTGCGTGAGGCCATACAAACGTACAACAGTGAGATTGCTGCAGCTCTTCGCGGTGTGGTTGTGAACCAAACAGGTGATTCGTCGGAGGAGGAAGAGGAGAAAAAAGACGGGCCGTTGACGTCCGTGTGCGCGGTTTTATATCCTCTAAGTGGACAAATGCAGCTGACTCTGCCGCCGTTCATCTTCGCGGAAAGCGGAGAAGGGGAGTCGAATCCAGTCCCGTTGGTGTACTGGGCTCAAGCTCCCCTCTCTGAACACCGCATAGCTGCCCCACACCGACTTCCTCGCTCTCCTCAGCCAACGACAGACGACGCAGACGACGCGTGCATCGCATCACGGCAGCCGGAAACTGACGGTACCACGCGTACCGAGACGCAGCTGTCGCCTGCTGCAGCTTCCACAGATCCGCCTTCGTGGTTTCCTTTTACCTTGAGTGCGCCACCGGGGTCCGCCACTTCTCCGTTCCCACCGCCGTCTAGCGGGCGGACTACCACTGCCGACGTTGTTCTCTCTGCAGTGTCCGGCGAGGACGTCTCGGCGCGCGCCACCGCACGCCCCCCCGCCGCTCCTAGTGACGCCTTTGGCTCGCAGAACGAGAATAAAACGACTCGCAACGATGCCGAGTCCATCGACCTGGCTGAGAACGAATTGATCTGTGCAACAACAACGTACGGGCCGCAGCAACCAACACAACTACAACCAAAGGAGAAAACGCCTGTAAGTCGCTGCGAGAGCGTCGCGGTGCTGACGGCGGGTATGCAAGGAGCACGGCACCGTCTCATTGGCTTTGAGGAGTTGCATTTGCACCAAGCGCCTCCCAATTCCTCTCAAGACTACAGTCGACTGTCTGCACACAGCAGCGACACCGATGAGCTGCGACGCTGTGAGAACAGTGATATTCGACACGATGAGCGCCGTTGTGTTGAGGGGCCGTGCAACGGGGAGCGGGTGTGGGTTGAGGAGGAGGAAGAAGTTGAAGCGGGTGATGTCTCACGTCCGTCTGGACCGCGAGGAATTCGTGGCCCACAAGACACACGCGATGAGGAGACGAACAAAGCTGTATCGGGGAAGCAGCACCAAGACGGCGAGGACTGGTGGGACTCGTACGGCATCGACGCGCTGAACTACACGCAGAACTGCTTAGATGACGTACCCATCGCAACACAAAACAACGAAAAGCGCAACGGTGTGGATGCATGTCGCCGCGAGGCGTCACCCGCCGCTAAACCGGCCGTATGCTCTCCGAGGAGCCACGTAGCGTCCCCTCCCCCGATGGAAGTAGTGGAGTTGACGAGCAGCGATGAGGAGGAGGCAGGAGTGGAAGAGGTCGACGCTGCACCGGAGGCGTCACGCCAGCGCAGTCGATCGCCAGCCACAACGTGTGCGGGCGGTGATGTCGACCGCCGTCCGTCTGCATCCGACACCACACGGATTGTTCCACACGACGCGAACAACCGCAACCACGGCGCATTCACACCGTCTTTAGCGCTGCGCCACTCCGTAGATCCCCGCCTACAGCCGTCGGCCTGGCGTCGAATGTCGAACGAAGATCTGCAAGGGCTGTGTCAGGAGTTCGGCATAGCAGTGCAGCCCATGACACCCACACCGGCCGTAGAATCCGCGCCGTCTCCCTTGCTGCCTCGCCATCCCTCTCGCAGCCCATCGAAGCCACCGAGCATGCGGTCGTCAACACCGGAGTGGGTAACGTCTTCTGGCCTAACAGGTTTCACTCCCGCCGCCGCCGCCGCAGCACCAGCAAACGAAGGAGGGGCTTGTGTGTCACCACGCACGCGCAGAGAGCTTTTTAACCAGGACACTTCTGGCTGTACCGCTTCGCCGCCGCCAACGCAGCACGAAACACCTTCACCACGGAGTCACCGTAGCAGAGGTGAGGACCTCGTTAAACAGGCAGCAGAAAACAGCGAACATGCAGGGTGTCCGAATGGCCACGGTGAGAACGCACGGTGCTTGGACGGGCGGACGGTGCGGATGCAGCGGGAGGCGATGTTGGAGGCCTTGCAGCTGCTCGCGGTCCGACTGCGATTCCGCCACGACGTCGCACCCTTCTTTTTACACCGCGTCGAGCGCTTCAGCGGCCTGCCCTACAAGCGTGTGCGTGCAGCTGATCTCATGGACGAGGGCTCGGTGCTCACCCGCGACGATCTTCAGCACGCGCGGCAACGTTACAAGGCACAGGAGCAGGCGGAAGTGGAGCGGTGCGTGTTGTCGGCCTTGGTAGGGGAGGCAGCAGAGTCAACCGAGCAATACGCCCAGCAGCACCTCGCGTCAGCACCGCTGGGCCACGAAGAGGAAGACCAGGACGCTTCCACATCGCACCACAACATCACCTCTCCTGGTTCGCCGTTGCCCCCGACCTCTGCAGCTGCCTGCGGGTTGTCGCACTTTGAGCAGATTCTTCTGCGCGAGCCCGTCAGTGTGGAGGCGACGACTGCGGTGGTGCAGCGGTCATTTCCGCACGTTGCCCACACGCGTGTACAGCAGCTGCTGACGTTGAATGAGGTTATTGCAGAAGTGGTGGTCGTGACGGCGCCAAGACGCTCCCCGTCTCCCCCACCTCCCCCACCTCCCCGTACCAGCATACCCACTGCAAAGGAGAGCTCCGGCTTGGGCGAGTCAACGGCAACGACGAGCGTTGGCACGCCTGCACAGCCAGCGATGCTTTCTCCTCCGCGGGGCTTTGCGGACTCGCCCGAAGTGCCTACTCTATCTCAAGAGGCGCAGCGCCGCGCCAAGACCCGGCGTTACTTTGCGCAGCATGGGTACATGACGCGACGCGGGGCGTGGAGCCGGGGTGGTCGTCGCGGACGCGGTGGCCATGGATGAGCAAACGGCATTCTCTCTCACCACCACCGCCACCACCAAAAATAACCTGCGTGAAGAGGTAGACGGCCACCCTCCTTTGATTTTCCTCCTTTGCGCCGACACGTGGGATTCCGACGCAGCGGCACTGCTACACGACCCTCCTTCGCCCAACGTCACTTCAGTTTTTTTTTTCCACTCGAGTAGTTTTATCTCTTTTCTGTTGTTGTTTCTTAGAGCACCCACTTGATAGAGGAGCGTTTCACAGCTTCCCCCCTAAGAAGAAGAGAGAAAGAAATAACCAACAGCAGCGCTAATGCGCCGCTGCGGACTCTGTCGGTCATGCAGCTCCTCACCACACTAGTTGCGGATGTTCAAGCGACTGAACAGAGGCGCATCGACTTCTTGAAGGGTCCAAAATGGACCCCCAAAAAGGAAAGAAAGAACAAATGGCACGTTGCGCTTCCCTCTTTCTTTTTGCGGGGCATGAGTTGCAACGCGTACACCATTGCGTTGCGGAATAAACGTTATTTCTCCCTCTACCTCTTCTTCGTTGCCTTGTCATTCTCTCACATACCCAAGAAGAAACTTGCGTCGTAGCGAAGACTGGCCTCTAAACACTTGCCGACACAAACAGCAAGCAAAAACGAACGCGGACGGACAGCTTACTTGCAACATCAACGATGAGCACGCCATTTGCGGCCAGTGAGTGGGGCACGAGCCCGCCTTTTAGGCTGGGCACAACACCACGGTTGAGTGCGGCGACATCCGCGGTCAGCAAAGGCAGCAGCGGGGCGCACCGCGGCAGTCAAAACGGGGCTGCGGCGACGTGGAACGGCAGCACCGACGCCTTTGACGCGATTCCATACGCCGCGGATGCCTTAAAGAAATCGCAAAACGACAACAATGGCGCTCTTGTGGCATGCGCCGCCGGGACGGGGTATGATGGGGCGCTCGTCAAGCCAACTCCCATGACCACGATGGCGGTAGCGGTCACCTACCCCTCCGCAGAGCTCCGCCAGAGCACCTTCTCCGGCCTCTACGACGATGTGGATTTCCCAGTGCACACCCTTTTTACACCTCCGCGGCCACCGGGAGAACTGCTACCACGCGCGCGGCGGCCCAACCGGAACAAGGCACTGATCTACGCCACCGACATCTCCCGCGCCGGCGCCCGCGAGCACAACGCCCAGCGCGAGGTCAGCCGCGTCTGGCGTGGCGTCCTGTGCCGCCGGCGACTGCGGCTGGCCCGCGAGCTGGAAAACTCGCTGAATGGGAAGGCTCGCATGATCCAGTGCTGGTGGCGCAGTCTGCAGGCGAAGTGGCGGTTCCGACAGCTTTCCTCCATCCGCAGCGGGTGGGCGAAGGAGCGGATGGCGCGGTACGTGGGGGAGCGGGTGCTGAACACCACGAACGTCATTTACTGGCAGCACAGCAAGTACGAGGGGGCGGCGCTGCGCATCCAGCGTGTTCTGCGGTGGTACCTGCGGGAGAAGGAGCGCCGACGGTGTGCGGAGGCGAAGCTGCCGGAGTCGGCGTGGCCCTCCGCGCTCGTGAAGCCGACCGCGGAGCATCCCCGCCCGTACTTTCCCTGGCGTCGCACGCAATCCGCGTCGGCCAAAGCGGCGGCGGGTGCGTTGGTGGAGGCGGGATCGACCGACGCTGACGGCGCCGTCGCGGTTTGCACCGCGTCGCCCGCGCGTCGCACTCTCCTGCAATTCCGCGACACCCCGCTGGAGGTGCTGCCCCCGCCACAAGAAGAGGTGGAGCGGATCAACGCGAAGATGCGCGAGAGGCAGGCGCAGCGTGCGGCAGCCCTGCAGACGCCGGAGGCGATGTCTCGCAGGGCGTGGAAGACGGAAGGGATGCGGCAGGAAGACTTGGATTTCAACGCCGGCGTCGTGCAGCGGCTCTACCGCACGAAGCGGGTGCCGGAGACGGTGCACACGAAGGAGCTGACGGCGGCGTACTTCAACAAGACGGCTCGCGTGATTGCCCGCACGTTCCGCATGTACGTCCTCATCAAACGCATGCGGGCGCATCGCGAGGCCACGGCGGCGGCAGTGCAGGCGAAGATAGCGCAGCGGAGTGCCGCGAAGATTGAGGAGCTGAAGACGGAGGCGGTGTGGCAGAAGGACCTAATGGACGCTGCGGCGACATCGATTCAGCGTTGTTGGACGTGGTACCGCTACCGCCATGACAGGATCGTGCCAGCCGCGTACCGTTCCACAAACACGGTCCCCGCTCCCCCGTGTTACGGCCTTATAGAGGCGCACATGGGGCGTGAGCACGCGCTGCGGTGGTCAACGATGAACTTGCTAGAGAAGCGCGAATACGAGGAGCAGCGGCAGCACAGGTTTCTCCGTTACACACCGAAGACGGTGGAGCGGTACGAGCACGGGGGCTTTTTTGTTGTGCAAACGCCATCCGAGGCTCTCGTCGAAGATGAGGCGGAGTTGTGATGTGCCCGGCACGGCACGGCTTTCGAACGCGCCTGTGCGCGTTTTTTCTTCGGTTTCGGAGGTCTGCTTGTATTTCCCGTATCCGTTGTCTTTCTCGTCGTCCTTTGTTTCGCTGTTTTCTCATGTTGCATTCACGTATTGCGGTGGTGCAGTCCGCTTCTGTCTTTTTTTTTTGTCTTTCTTCCGGCTTTCGTCATCCTTATGTATGTTTCATACGCACCGGTGAAGTCCTCTCTTCTACTTCTCTCACATGTGCAGTTCACACTCCTCACGCACTTCATGTACACTTGTGGAACTGTTTCATTTTTCTTCTTCCGTTTTTTCTTTTTTCATCACCGGATGTGTTTTGATGTAACTCGAAGTCTTTCTCCATGTTTTATTATTCCAATGGAACTGAACGCCGTCCCGGAACAACCAAAGAAGAAGCTACTCGTATTATTATGATATACTAGGATTTCCCTCTTCACCGCGAGTTAGGACGACTATCACGGCTGTGAGGGAGGCGATGGCAAACAAAACCGCTGCAGTGCGTGTGCGTTGTTGTGCACGTTGTGCAGCAGCAAGCCGCCTCTTCTCGGCCGTGAAGAAGCTCTCCATTTGTTTGAGTAACTTCCAAGGTTGACGTTGCGCTTCCGCTGGATGTTGCCTTACGCTTCCCCCACCCCACCCCTCTCCCTCCCTCTCCCTCCCCCTCTTTCTCCTTACCCCCCCCCCCCCCGCCCACCAACATCGGAACCTTCTATTCGGCAGTGATGATACAACCCTCATCCCCACCCATTCCACAGAAGCATTTACTCAACGCCGGAGCACAGCGGTAGATCTCGTGTCCTCAATTTCCTTTTCCCTGTCTTGCAAAAAGAAAAGAAAAAGGAGAACACGCACGTATAAATTTATTATTACTCGTAACGCGCTCCTTTTGACTCTGATTGGTGTTTCTTTTTGGGCGTTTTACGTTGTTGCTCCCCGCTTGTCTCGCGCCGTCTTCTTCCCTCGCTGCGTCAGGGTACATGTCTCCAAACGGCCGCAAGAGCCTCACTTCTGTTTTTCTGAAGGTGCTAAGCTTCTGAATACACATATACGTTTGCTTTTTTGACCTTTTCGTCTGTGCTTCCTCTCTTTCCATCACGAGGCCTTTGCAGGCTTAACGGACGTATAAGGCGCCTCATAAATATTCTTCGCAGCAACGGCAGTAGAGCGCACTCTTTGCCCTCTGGTTCCCCCGGTCTCGTTTCTGGAACATGTCCGGCTTTTTGACGCCTGCCGCGTTGCAGCGTGGAGTCGGTGCTCCGCCGCCGTCGCGGCCGCGACTCTTCTCCCGCACGACGGCCGACCACAAGTCGCCGCCTCCGCCAGCCCGCTTAGCCCCCATCGGTCCCATCACGCCAGTGGCGAGCCCCGTCATCTCTCCTCAACCCGCGCCGCACCTGTGGGACGAAGGGAATCAACGGCCGACCTCTGCTACGCAGGATGAGCAGGCATCGTACGGACTGCAGGCGTGCCTCTCTGATCGTCACCTCATTGAGGACGAAAATGAGGAGCAATCGCAGCCACGACCTGCGTCCGTGCGGTCCACTTCTAGCGCGCTCTCTCCGCCATCCTCGCAGCTCTTCAGCTCTCCGCTTTTGCACGGCGGCTCCGGAAATGAAATGCGGGCTGTGCACACCTCCCACGGTGGCAATGGGGCCCACCCCGGCATGGTACTCTACTCCGCAGAGCCGCTGCCACACCAGAAGGTGATGCTGACGCCGCCCCGCAGCGGCAGTGGTCTTAGCGGCAGTGCCGCGCGAGAGGGCAGCGCCGAGTACACCTGTCCCGGCCGGGTGGAGGCGTTGCCCACGGCCAAGCGCGAACGCTTCATCAGTTCCGCCGACACGCAGCACAGCGTCGCCAGCAGCAGCACTCCGCCGCCACGGTGCAGGCGTGCCGTCAACGACAACATCCTCAACCACGGACTGCAGCCGGCGGCGACGGAGCCGTATGCAGCGGTGCCTGAGGACAGACTTGTTGCGAATGGTACGGCGTGGCCCTCGGGGCAGCGCGAGCGGCTGCGGCTCAGCGGGGGCACGAGTCGCAGCAGCAGCTACCGCGGCGCCGTGAGCGACAACTCGTCCTCGGATGTTGCCGCCCCTGTTGCCGGCACCTCGATCGCTGCGTCGGCGGCCGGTGTGGCGTCGGCAGGCGCGCAGTGTCTCGTGCTGGATGACACCGTGGACAGCGCGGCGATTGTCCCACCCGATCAGCTGCAGTGCCTGCTCGACCAGGCATCCGGCACGAGCGTCAACGGATACGTGGCGGAGGAGCCGCCCAGCCCGTATGGCCGCCGTCTCATCACGGCTGAGGTGCTGCGTGACTGGACGGGGTGGGAGGACCTCGAGCTGGTGCTCGCCACTCAACTCCGCGTGGACGCTGAGGCAATGATCGGCGTGGACCAGATCGGTCGGCAGCTGCCTCGGCTCTCTTCGCTGAAGCTGAACGGCTCGCGTATTCCGCGCATGCGTCAGCTCGGCACCGGCTTTCACGCACTGAGGTTCCTGTGGGTAAACAGCTGCCATTTGGCCGACGTGCGTGGTCTGGCTGCGTGCTGCCCCGCGCTGGTCGAACTGTATGCCTCCTTCAACTACATCACCGACATCACACCCCTGATGGAGCTCTCCTCGACGCTCAAGGTGCTCGACGTGGAGGGCAACCTGCTCGACGACGCCACCAGCCTCGGCTTTGTCTTGTCGACCCTGCAGAACGTCGACTCGCTGTCGCTGCTGGGGAACCCCCTCACCTGCGAGCATCAGGATCGCGTGCGCGAGGCCTACGCAACCACCAAGGCCGACGAGGCCACCCAGAAGAATGAGGACAGCGTAGACGCAACAGCGGCGGCGTCCACGTGCGTTGGTAAAGTGCGCTTCACCGACGTCCTGCGTGCCTGGGTGCAGGGCTTGATGCCCAACCTGCAAACACTGAATGATGAGCCGATGCAGCAGAGGGGTAAAGGTGCCACGTCGGCTGCGGCAGGGACCGTGCGGGCGCCGACTGGTGGCAACGTGCACGTCGACCCATTCGACGACCGCCTGGCCGAGGAACTTCAGCTGGTTGAATCGTACGTGCGCGAGACGGACCCCTTCGACCCCCTTCTCGAGGCAGTCGAGGAGGCCAACCAGCAGGTCTACACGCGCCCATCGACGTCGTGCAGCGGGGCCCGTCCGCGGCTCACGCCTACCACTTCGATGGGCTGCTCGCGGCCGTCCACTTCCGCCCGTTTCAGCAGCGCGGCTACCTCGCATCGCCTCGGCAGTGCGTCGGCGACGGATGCGTCGGTGCTGACGACGGGGGCCGTGCTGGCGGGTAACGCGACAGCGAGCCTGCGCCGCCGGCTCGCGACGCCCACCCCTGTCGCGCTGCCGTCTTCCTCGGAAGGTGTGTACAGCAACAGTCACGACGCGTCGTGCTCTCCCGTCGAGGCGGCCGTGAAGACGACCAGTGCCCGACTCGACGAGCAGGCGCAGCGCGGCGGCGAGGCGTCACACACGGAGACCCCCGAAGACGAGGACGCGCGTGTTGACGCGTTGCTCGCCGACGACAGCGAGGAGGATGAGTGGGAGCGCTACAAGTCTTCGCTGCTGCTGTCCTCTACTACCAACGCCAAAACTGCTGATGCTGCTGTTGCGGATGCCGGTGATGCCCCCTTGGCGAAGTACTCCTCGCTGCTCAGCTTCTCGTCTGCCGCTCGCATCAGTGATATCGAAGCCGCGAGGCAGACAACGCCAGCGGAGGGGGCGCTGCCTACGGAGGAGGACGGCTTTCACAAGGAGTTGAAGAGCGAATGGAGCCGGCTGCGGCTGCGCATGGCAAAGGCGGGACGCGCGCTTTAAGGTTTGGGGAGTCGACGGTGGCCGACATAAAAAGGAGGCTCCCACCACGTGAGCGAGCAGCCGCCTCTGCGCTCGTTTTGTTTCTTTCCCCTCCTTTTGTCTGCCTGTCTGTGTGTCGTTGTGGGTTGGAACGCTGTTCACCATTGCTGTATTTTTACATTTATGGAAGATATATTAATAAATAGGTTTATATTTGGTTTTCGCCGTTATCCTTTTCGTTTTCCGATTCCCGCCTGCCCCAATTTCGTAGAAGAGGCCGTCACACAGGTGAGAATGCGTGTGCACTGCCGTCGCACGAACGTGGTCACGGGGTCGGCGTTTCCTTGCTTGTTGCTGTTGCTTCTTGCGTCACGTTCGGAGCGCCTCTGTTCGTTTCGAAAAGCTGTTTCTTTCTTGCGTTGCGAGTGGGCGAGTGGGTGGGTGGGGTGGAACACCTCTGCCGTTGCAAAGAGGAGGGAAAACTCTTCCGTCTCTGCCCGACCCCCCCCCCCGGTGGAAAACCATCTACGATGTATGTACTTTTTGGCTCAATTTTTCTTCCTTTTTTCCCCGCTTGCTGGCCGCAGCAGCGAACGCGCTCGGTGAACGGCACGCACTTTCTGAGTTGAGCGTCCGACGCGTGCATTTAAGCTCTATCAGTCTTCCGCAGCTTCTATTTCTCCCTTTGCCTCGAAGGGCTTCGATGTTGCAGGTTTGCAAAGTCAGTGTGATTGGAATCGATGTACATAATAAAGCAGTCGACGCGGCTTGAATTGCTGTTAATGACTGTTTTTTCTTTCACCCCTTTCCCCCTCTCTTTGTCTTTCTCTCTCTTGTTCATGTGCGCGTGACCGGATGGGAACAAGGGTAAAACAAAAAATTGTAAGGAGTGTTAAACGAATATGAATGACTGTATCACCAGCAGAATGCTGCTCTCGTTCTCCAAAATACTATTTTCATTAAACTACCTTTTCTTCTTTCTTGTTGTTTTTACACGAGACCTTTTTGTTTGTTTGTTTTTTACTGACGTTGTTGAGGCAGCGACTCTGTTTCTTTTTTCTTTCCTTTTCATTCACTTTTTTCCATTAGATGATTCTTTTTTTTTCCTCTGTCTTTGATGGAACGCCTTCTTTTTCTTGTTATTGGCAGCCACTTGCTTATGTTCGCATTTAATGGTGCGCTCGAGTGCATGTGTTATTGTCTTGTTTCCTTGTTCTGACGCAGCGGCAGGTGATATGCTGATTTGCTGCTGCTGCTGCTTTTGTTTGCGCGCGCGCGTGTGTGTGTGTGTGTCACCGTTTGTTTGTTTGCGCCTTGTTTGAATTAGAACTCCTCTTTTATCTCTTTTATTTATTTTTCTGTTTTTTTTTCCAGAGTAGAGCTCCGTCGTCCCGATTTCCCTCTTCCTTGCATCTGTACGTTCTCCGTGACTGTGCCCTGTCCTTGCTTCTACTGCCTGACGCGACGGATGATCTTTGCTCACGTGCGCACGCATGCGCCCGACAAGGGTTCAAAAGCTGATGAGCTTCTGTGAGCGTGAAGGACGTCTTTTTCCCCCATCGTCTGTTCGCCTCTCTTTTTGCTCAACAGCTGTGATAACTCTGATGCCTGCTGTTAGTGCAGTTGGAAGCTATTACTTTCATTTATTTATTTTTCTTACCTGAACACATTTCAGGTGCCCCGCTGTACCACCCTGAACCATTCTCCCTCTTGATCTCTCTCTTTCTTTTAATGTGGGCACCTGGGCGCTCTTGAAGCCTCTGAAAGTCACCCGGTCTTTGTTCGCTGTTTTCGTCGTCTATTTCCTTGTCTGCGTCAGTGGATAGAAACACACTTCTTACCGGAGCGCTGTTGTCGCTCTCGCCACCATGGGCAGTGTGCGGGCGCGTGTGTGGAGGTGATCTAAATGGTGCTGGCTAACATTTTTTTTTCTTTCTTTCTTGAATTTGCTGGAATTCGTCCACTGTTTTTTCCCCCCTCCTCCTAGCCTACTATTTTGCGTTTGATCTTGATGCTGGCATATGCCCCACTGAAGAAAATAAGTATTACAAGTGATGTCTGCGTAGATACACCCCCTGCAGCACCCTTCCATCTTCTGTAAGCGCTGTGAACAGCAATGCTGAGAGTTTTAATAGCAAAAGAAGCAAACCACAACCGCAGCAATAAACCACATCGCCGCATGCTGCCGAGACTTGCGAGTGACCCAGGTTGGACATGAAAGTCGAGCACGCGCGCTCTTCAGTGCTTTTGATACTCACATGTGGCATATTGTCTTCCTCGGAGCGCTTACGCCACTGCTGTGTCTTCCAGTTTGATGCGGAGCCGCTTTTCGCTTTCTTTTTCCCGCCTGCTCGTTGAAAACAAAAGAAAAGGAAAAGGCAGAAGTCGTGGAGCGCGCTGAAAGATGAAACGTGCTCGACGACGCGCTTTGGGGAAAAAAAAAACACGTCTCGTCATGCTGAATGTTCCGGCACCTCTGCTTTCCGTTCTGCATTGTTCCTTCCTTCTCTGCTTTTCCTTTCCTTTGTGTCTTCCGTTTCTCCCGGTTATTCCGTGTCAACTACGAACGACTTTCATGGCCGGATGTGACCAAACACAACAACAACGCCCAAGCATTGTGGTGGTGCTTTTCACTTACCGCATTTCTTCCTTCGAAACCGCCGCGACCTTATCTAGGGAGTAAAGGAAAGAAAAATAAGTATTGTATTTAACTTCATCGCGTGTACAACAGCGCACTTTATACAACAACACCGACGTGATCAACTTGCAAAAAGAACAAAATACATATCGAGAAGCCCACGATGCCGTGCGAAGGTTGCGGTGCGGGTGAGGCAGCGCTGCAGTGTCCCACCTGCAAGAAGCTCGGACTGCCGCCTAGCTTCTTCTGCTCTCAGGACTGTTTCAAGAAGCACTGGAACGACCACAAGCAGAAGCACGCGGATTCCAAAAACCTTGTCGCGAACATCCCAACCATGACCGCGGCGGACGAGAAGCACTTTAACTTCGCCGGACCGTTGCGCCCGGGCAAGATTACGCCGCGTCGCGCGGTGCCAAAGGAGATTGCGCTGCCCGACTACGCCGAGCGCAACGACGGCGTGTCCGAGGTGGAGGAGAAGGAGCGTGGCAGCAACCGCGTCATCGCATACCCCCTGAAGCACCTCCACGACGACTACAACGACGAGGCCCTGCGTGCCACCTGTGATATTCTCAAGATCAAGCGGGTGAACGCGCTGTCGCGGGAGGTGCTGGATATCGCCTGTGCAGCCGTGAGGGTGGGCATTACCACGGACGAGATCGACCGCATCGTGCATGAGGCGACCGTCGAGCGTGGCATGTACCCCTCCCCACTCAATTACTACAACTTCCCCAAATCGGTCTGCACAAGCGTGAACGAGATCATTTGCCACGGCATCCCCGACAGCCGCCCACTCGAAGAGGGCGACATTGTGAACTTAGATGTCTCCTGCTACCTCGACGGCTTCCACGGCGACCTGAACGAGACGGTGTTTGTGGGCAGGCCGGATGAGGAGAGCGTGAAGGTGGTACATACGGCCTACGCGTGCATGATGGCGGGCATCAACGTCGTCAAGCCGGATGAGTTGTACCGCTACGTCGGTGACGCTATCGAGGCGCGGGCGGAGAAGTCGGGCTGCAGCGTGGTGCGCAGCTACACCGGCCATGGCATCGGTCGACTCTTCCACACCACCCCGAACATCTGCCACTACAAGGACAACAAGACGCCAGGGATGATGCGGCCTGGTCACGTCTTCACGATCGAGCCGATGATTAACCAGGGCGTCTGGCAGGACGTCACGTGGCCGGATAACTGGACGAGCACGACGAAGGATGGCAAACGCTCGGCCCAGTTTGAGCACACGCTTGTATGCACCCCGGAGGGCTACGAGCTTCTGACGGACTGGAAGGACGGGGTGCCGTTTTATCAGAAGCAGCTGCGGGAGTGGGGCATCCCGATCCCCGCGGAAGATCCAAGCGAAATTAAGGTTTGAGAGCGCGGCGAGGGGGGTGAGTGAGAGAGCGAGAGGGGGACAGCCGCACAGCGAAGGCAGCGTAGCGCGTGTTCTTCTTTGCTCTCACACTCACAGATGAGTGGAGCCAGTAAGCAAGCCACGACATTGTTGAGGAGGGGGTACGTGTGCGTGTACTTTACCTTTCAGGTTTTTGCGCTGCGAACGCAGGCGCACGCACACACAGGTTAACCAATTACTATTATTGCCTATTCAAGTAAACGCAACATAATTGTAAAATCTGTGGCACTCACCAACTTCATAATCGCCGCTAATGTGTCTGCGCCCGAAGGCTCTCTTTACGGTGCGTGCCGGTCAACCACAACAAGGAGGTAAATTCTCTAGTGTGTGTAGGTGCGATGCCACGCTTTGCGTTGCTCTACCAATGCGATGCAGCGACTCACAGTAGCAAAAAAGAAAGGAAGAAAGAACGCATTTCTAATGTGATGCGCCTTTCGTGCTGTTCTGGCTTCTCCGTTTTGTTTGCCGCCAAACGTCGCTGTTCCTCTTCCCACTGCGTCCGCGTTCATCCCGTCTCAACTTCTTCTTTTTCTTGGTCACATATATGTATATGTATATATCTAGTTTTTTACTTTTCGTTTTCCCGGCACTGCCTTTCGTTGCTGTGGCGAAGCCGCGACGCTGCGTCGAAACGTTTTTGCGCAACAGCCACAGCGACAGCGACACGCACACACACACACACACACACAGAGACCGGTGTGGTTTACCGCTTTCTCCGCCCCACACGATTCCATGTACATAACAGGCGATCGCACGCTCTATTATTCAATACTTGCACCTGACTGAGTCATCTAAAATACAAGCAAAAGAAAAAGAGTTTTCCTTCGCCACATTAAAAGCTTTCAAGCGGTCCAGCGAAGATGCAACGGGAGGTAATTAAGTGGCTGCAGTCACTCGAGCTCTCCGACGCGGTTCAAAACCCAAAGCGTGACTTGGCCACGGGCCACGCAGCCGCGGAAATCGTCAGTCGATACAGCGGCACCAAATACGTCAATCTTCAGTTGCTGCCCAATGGCGCCTCTGCTGCCACAAAGCGCGACATCTGGCTGCAGGTGTACAACGCCCTGCAAAAGCTAAACTGCCAATCCGTCACTCCGCAGCTGATTGATGCGGTGCTGCGCCGTGAGCCTAACGCGGCGCTCACCGTGCTGGAATGCCTCTACGAACACTTCACCTCACACACGCTGCCCATGCGAGGCTTAGATGCGGTGGGCACCTCCCGCAACGCGTACGTGCAGCCCACAAATGCGGCGTCTACCGCGAAGCTGCTCGCTGTGGCAAACACCGGCGTGTCGACCAGCGCGAAAGGCGAGCCGTCGACGCTGCACGATCCGCTGGATGCGGGGAACAGCCCACGTGATGCTGCTGCCGCTGCCCACCCAAATGATACGACTACGACGAACACAGCCGAACTCGCAGCCAGCGAAGCGGCCCCGCCGGCGGAGTATGCCGCCCATGTGCTGCAGCAACGTCTGGCCCTCATCGACAACGATGAGCTGGCGGGCGGGGCGAACGCCTTAGGGGCCGTCCCCCGCTACGCTCGACCCACCGCCAGCACCCTCGTCCACACCGCCAGCGGCACACGGAAGGACGTCGTGCTAGACCGGGCGAAGTACGTGGCGGATGAGACGCAGCAGCGAGTGCAGAACGCGCGCATCACGCAGCAGCACGCCGTGGTCCGGCGCCTGCAGGAGGAAGCGGCTGCAACAACGCCGCCGCCGCAGCAGCAGCAGGGTGACGGTGTCGCGTCATCTTCGTGGCCGATGTTGAACGGCACCAGCGGGAGAGCCAACGCGGTTGCCGATGACCGCCTCCCCCTCACCACGCTGTACAGGGGGCGATTCTATCGAGAACCGGAGACCAACACGACGAAAGCAGCATCAGCGGCAGCAGGAAAGAAGAGCAGGTCTGGCAAGAAGAAAGCGAACGGAAAGGGCGAGAGCGAGTCGGAGTCGCCCTTCACGGCAAACGACGACTCGGAGGAGCCGGATGGTGGCGGGGCACACGCCGCTGACGACGCGCTGCGGCCGACTTCGCAGGGGAGAAAGAGCCGACCTGGCAACCCCGGCAACAGCCGCGCTACCACAAGGCTGCGGGTCAAGGTGCACTCCCCCGCACTCAGGACGGCGCTCGCACTGCGGAGCGGCTCGGGACAGCTCCGAGAGCGGGCCGCGGCTGTTTCGCGCGAGCTGTTTGCGAAGCACCACTACATGCTCCGTCCGGCGCTGAGCGAGATTCTCGCCGACGTCCTCGGTGCCCACAAGCAGTTGGAGCACCTGCTGGACTGCTCCACCGATGACGGCAGCGGTGAGGTCCTGGAGAACGTGCTAGGGCATCTGCTGGCGCATCGGCAGGCGTTTCCTCTCTCTTGCATGAAGGCGTGCTGGGAGACCCTCAGCCAGCACGTGGACGGCATCGTCGCCGCGTTGCAGAACTCACCGGACGAGTACAGCTACCTCCTCGAGTCTTTTTCGTTCGCCTTTACGCGCGAGGCGGCACAGGTGCCGGTGTTAGAGCCCCCAGCCAGCACCACCACCATCACAACGGTTATTGACGGCTGCTGCGACGGTGGTGGTCGTGGGGATGCGGAGAGCGCACGTGAAAACGCCGCTTTGGTGAGCGAAGAGCAAGAGGAAGACAACGGCGCTCTAGACTCCGCTGCGTCATCCCCGCACAGCTCACTGGTTCGAAACGCCGCTACGGCGACGTGCAGAACTTCGGAAGCGGCGGTAGGAAATCCTTCAACGGGGGGTGAGCTCCCACAGCGATCAGCTGTGTGTGCTTCATCGCAGCAGCCGCTCCCCATATTCGTGAACGCGCGTCAGCAGCTGAACGTGGCCTCCGTTTTTCACCTTCTTTCATGCGTCGCCCGTCAGCTGGATGTGCCGCGGGCAAGTTACGTGTTGAGGCGTTACGTGCTGCGTGCTGCGAAGCCTTTCTTGCTGCGCCACGGCACAGCGGCGGTTCGCGAGGCGTTGGCGCGTTTGGTGAGCGCCACCTTCGTGCCCACCGCCCCTTCACCGGAGGAGACCAGCACCAGCAACAATGGCAGCAGCAGCCGCGTTACCGTCACCAGCGCTGGCGCGGTGGATGGCGAAGCTGGGTTGGTTGACTTTCTCACGTCGGAGCTTGCCGTGTGCATGCAGGTGCTGCCGTACGTTTCGCAGGTCTTTCGTCCTTCCTCCCTCTCCGCGTCACAGGACACGCCTGGAGACAACAGCGAGACGGAAGCGACGGCGGACAAGCCCCCAGCCTCTAGTAACAGCAGCAGCAGCAGCAGCAGCGCCGCGCGGCAGCGACAACGGACGTACTGGCACATCTTCCAAAGTTCCATTGCAGAGTTTCCCTCGTCCGCGTCACACGACGAGATCTTGCGTGTACCGCCTCCCGCAAACGGTCCACTTGCCCGGTGCGTCCACGCAGCGGCCGTGGCGTGTCTGGACATCGCCAACGCGGTGGACGTACGCGCTGTTGGCGTACGACTCGTAGTGGAGTGCTGCGAGCGGTGGTGGGGACACGCAAAAGACGAAGCAGAGTCCAGCGGGCTGCCACGGCCGACGCTGCGCAAGCTGATCTCCCATGTTCTTGTTTCTCTAGACGCAGAGAAGGATGAGGCGGCGGCGGCGATGAAGGCGGCGTGGTGGAACACACAGGCGGCGGAGACGTGGGAGCTGCGGCTGATGGTGCTGCGGCTGTGCACCACCCTTCTGAGACTTTCATGCCGCGGCGCCGACAACGGCGACTCGACGGAGGCAAACACACTCGCCGATGACATCGAGAACGTGTGCCGGGTCGCAGATGTCGCGGCGGCTGTCTGTCTCGCCACTTTTGCCGCCACCGCATCCACAGCCACAAGTCGGAGTGCTCCTCTCTGGCAGCTCCAGCTGGCGTTGGCGTCCGTGGGAGCCGTGGTGGATCCTATTCGTGCGCCGTCTCTGACGGCCGAGTGGCGGCAACTTCTGTTGACCACTGAGCCTTCACTGACCACCTCTTCCATCTTGAAAAGTGTGGTGCTCCCGAATGAGGGCGTTGCCGTGGATCTTCTGCTGGCTCCACTGCAGCTGTTCGGCGGGGTGCGGGCCTTTCTGCCACTGAAATCGCAACTACGGCTGTCGTCCGTGGTGGCTGGAGCACCGTCCTCGCAGCGCACGGAGAGCCTGCTCTCCACGAGCCGCCCTTCCAAAAACGGCGCTGACTCCAGAGGAGCGAACGGTGCGAGCCGGCGCGGCAGTACACGCACGCAGCGCAGCACCGCGCAAACCGTGCTGGGGGAGACCGCTGCCTCTTTCGATTCTGTAGCAGATCACAGCTCGGTGTTTCAGCTCGTCTGCGGCAGCGTCCAGCCGATGTACGCGGTGGTGCCCCTGTATCAGACCTGGAGCACACACGGCGTGGTGGATGCGATGCTGTCCCCACCCTCGTCAAGCCGTGCCACCACAACACCCGCAAACGAAGACGAGTGTTACACCTCCCGCGCTTCGCCGATGCAGCTGCAAGTTACCTTGGCTGCGTTGGCCTCTTCTCCTCTGCATTCGAGGACCGAGGAAGGTGCGTACTGGAGCTCCGTCATGTGCCGCTACTGGCCGTTGATACAGGCAACGAAGCCGTCGAATGAAGCTCTCGAGGCCGTCGGTGCGCATCCACCGGCGTTTCTCCAGCCACAGCAAATTGAAGACGCGCCGGTGGAGGTCATGGCGATCTTATTGGTGGCTCTGTTCTTGCGGTGCGCAGACGAGACCACCGTGGCGTCGGCCGTGGCGGCAGCTGAAGAGGACTGGCGAGCCCTCTACGGTTCTGCGATGCGGTGGGCGGAGGCGGTGGTCGACCAGGGCGAGACCATTTGACGCGCATGGTTGGAAACAATCTTTTCTTATTACTCTTCTGTGCCGTTCTAAGAAGCTAGGAAGTGCGTGTTGATTATTACTATTTTTTGTTTGGGGTTTTCGAACCCTCTCATGTACACAGTTTTCTTCAATAGACGTAAAAGCTGAGCGTTGACGGCAGCCAGCTTTTGTTTTCTTTTCTTCTGCGTCTCTCCGGCTCGGCAGTGAGAGAAACTGAAGAGGTGCTGCTGGCGAGCGAGCACAAATGTACAGGGCAACACAATAAAACATTCTCTACAACGAGAGCAAATCAACCTCGAAGACCGAAAAGGAAAAGGGAAAAAGCACTATATATATATGTGTATCGAAAGGGCAATGGGGAGATGACACCGACGAAGACGTCCATGATTGTGGCACTCGTTACGCCACAACTGCGAATATCTGCGTTTGGGTTGCTGAGTGACGAGCAGTTGTCAGACGAGTCCTCTCCCCCTCAAAAAAAGGGAAAAAGCATCCCTGTCGTCTCGAGCTCGCCCATATCCAAGTTACGCATGCGTGTTGGCCGAGTTCACTGCACGTCAGTCCCTGATTGCCTTCCTTCTGTTTTCCTCCCATTTCTCTCCGCCTTTCTGTCTTTGCCACCTCCCGTCCCCGCGTCACAATTCTCCCCGCAGGGAGTCAACGTAGAAATAACAGTTGAAAACAAACACAAAAAACAGCATCGCTTTTTCTTCTTTCCTCTGCCTCCACTCTGTGCGGCATTCCGTTCCTCTTTCTTTGTTTTTGTTTGCTTGCTTCTCCACCTTTTCGCTTTCCCCGTCAAGTTCTTGTGATTTCTTTTCTTTCTCTCCTCCCCCCGCTTTCTGTTACCAGAAGAGATCATCGTGACACGCAGTGCTCAGCGAATTTGGCTGCTCTTTCCCTTTTGGACATACACCACCAAACGCGCACACACATACACGCTCATACCAATCAATTGGGAAAAAGCGCTAAAAACGTTCACAATGGGCAAGGCTGTCCTTCTTGTGGGGGCTCTGCTCTCTTTTGTATTGTGCATGACGGCGGTGACAGTCACCGCGCAGCGCTCGCTGGAATGCCAGATGGTCTGGACCGGGCCGTCCGCCAGCAACGACCTCGTTGATTGTCTCGGAAACAACAAACGTATCGGTGCAGAGTGGCGCTACTACCTCTACCCTGGCTTCGCCGCCCTCATCTTCATCTTCACGCTCTTTGGTCTGCCCATCGTCTTCTGCTGTCGCTGCTGCAGCTGCTGCCAGCGTTGCGTGCGACCAAAAGGGATCACCGACCGTGGCGTGGCGCAATGCTGGCTGTGGATGTGGATTGTCATCGCCGTCCTCGTCGCCTGTGCTGTGTGCGTTTTGCTTGTGTACGGCGTCATACTGCTCACGCAGTCGGCGGACAAGATTCTGCACGACGCGCGGCACGTCACGGTGGCCTACTTCGTCGACACGCGTTCGAACATCACAACTTTGCTGACAGACTACTCGAAGAATCCGCCGGTGTTGCCTGACGTGGACCTGAGCGCCTTTGACGTGGTGACCGACAAAATCGGCAGCAACATCGATACAATTCGCTCCGACTACTTCAAGTACTTTCGCCTTGCTGAGATCGTCGTGTGCTGCGTCGGCGGTGTCGGTGTGGCGCTGATGCTGTGCATGCTCATCTTCGCCTGCTGCCGCTGCACCGGCTGCTGCCCGGTGGCGTGGAGTGCCCTCTACTTCATCTTCGCCATCATCTTCGCTCTCTTAAGCGTCGTGTTCACTGTGAGCATCTACGCCATGTACGCCGGCTGCGGCGAGGTGACGCTGCAGTACAAACGTGAGCCTGGCGTCTTCCAGTGGTACCTGGTGCCGTGGTGCGACGACGAGTTCGACTTCAGGGGGCTGCGCACGCAGGTGTCGGATCTCGAGACAACAGCCGCCAAATCCGCCTGCGAGGAGCTACTGAAGTACTGCGACACCACCGACGTGTACCCCGGCACCGACAAGAATCACGTCTTCATGTGCGGCAAGGGCCTCACCAACGCCGAGACGTGCAAGACGCTGGACGACGTGGTGGAGGTGATTCAAGCCACGTACGCCAAGACCATTCTCACCAACACGCTGTGCAAGAACCAGACGGGCATGAAGTACCTCGAGAAGTGCACCGTCGCCGAGTGCGCGGAGCGCTGCGTCGACTACACGCATCCCGACATCGCCGCAAAGAAGTACGCGAACGACATCATCGTTGCTGCCGGCTACGCTGCCAACGTCAGCACGGCACTCTCCTACGTGCATCCGCTGCTCGAGTGCAACTTCATCATCGACAAGGTCGCCAACACTATCGAGATGCCTAAGTTCGGCAGCAGCTTCACGACGGACAAGGACGACGTGCATTACTGTTCCGCGGTGCGCTCTGCGTCTGTCATGCTCGGCACCGGCTTCTTCGTCGGCGCGCTCATGTTCATCCTGGGCATCTACATCATGCACCGTGGCAGCTGGGTGTGGGGAGAGATGCACGAGGCTGAGGAGGAGGGTGCGGGAGAGAACGCCGTGTCGGATGATGTGAGGAAGCATCACTCGTCGTCGAGCTAAGCAATGGTTCAGGTACGAGGAGCTCAGTAAGAGGGAAGGGGAGAACGAAGGAAAGAGGCGCCGATGTTTGCGTGACGGGCGCACGCCACTGCTCCCTTTCTCTCTCTCTCTCGGAGCCGTAGAAAAACGCTTTACGGCTGAGTGAATCCGCTGTGCTCTTCTCTCATTCTTTGTTTCTTTCCTCGTCTTCGCAGCGCAGTCGCTCTTTCGAGGGAAACGCGCGAAGACGGCAAATTAAATTTCCACGATGAGCTGTTCGGCTTCTCTTGTCTCTCGTCTGCACGTATACACGCTCGCCGCGTAGCCAAGATAAACTCTTTTCCCTCCGCTCTCTCGGAGGCTAAACGGCCAAACAAAGAAAAATACTAACGTAGGTTTTTCATGCCTTTTGTGTTGTGTTTCATTCATTTAAAAAGAAAAAACTTGCTATAAGTAGCACACATCAACGGCAAACGAGTAGTGAATTCACAAAGACGGATGAGAGAGTCATATGCTTTAGAGGAAGAGACGGCATTCGTGGTATTCACCCGTTTCCTTCGGGGTTCCTGCTCTTCTCCTTTTCTTCTTTTTTTTTCCATTAACCAATTGTTCTTTTGTTCTGTCTTCGTTGTGGTCGTTTTTTCTTCAATTGTGGTGGCGTCGTGCGTCTGGTGAGTGAAGATGTGGTGATGCCAAAGGGAGAGAAAGCAATGACGAGAAGGTTGAGCGTTGCGTCCGTCTCCCCGCCCATCCCCCCCCCCCTTTCCCCTTCTCCTTTTTCTTTTCTTTGTTTGGTACATGTGCTTTCTCCGACGCTTCCCACGTGCACCGATCTTGGTTATTCGAGTTGTCGTTGCCTCGTGGTGTTTCTTTTTTTTGCGTTGTTGTTGTTGCTAGACTGCGAGTTACTCCCCCCTTCATCGGTAGTCCAAGAGGAACGGAAAGGAGGGAAACGAGGAGGTAAGGGTTGGGCGACCAGTACGCAATGAAAAGAGGCGGAGAGAGAAACTGCCCTTTCTTTACGGGATGCGTGGGATGCGGGGGGCATCAGAGCCATGGCAGTTGTAAAGCCCCGCATGCGTGATACAAACCATACATATATATATTGCGCTGCGCACACCTTTTTGTTCTCGACAGCGACCCTCTCTTGAACGAAACGAAATGACCAAGTCTTTTAAACACTAATGGAAAACTAGGTTTGACGCTCATATTAGGTACTGCCGCTCTCCATTTCCCTCCTTTTCAGTGTCGTCTAGTTATGTAAGACAAGATGTATATGTTGTTGCCGTTTTTTTGTATTTTGTGATGTGTGACCGATGGTGCTGGTTTGTGCGAAGTTTTTTTTCCCTTCTTCCTCCTTCTGGTTATCTCGTGTCCGCGACGTAAATAATAACTGCCACCCCCACTTGATTCCTGTTCCCCTTCTTCTTGGTTGATGGTTTCATTCACGTTTGTCCCCCTGTTTTCATTATCCCCTGCTTGCTTGTTATCTTGTCGGCGGCTAAACACCGTCATGAAGTGAAAGCCGGAAACGAGACTCTTCCTTTTTTTTCCCTCTGGTTGCTTGACCTCTGCGACAAGGACACAGCGAGATGACGTGCCCTCCCATATGTACCTCCTTGCACCGCAGCTGCGTAGATGGGTATCTTTTAGTTTTCACATCGTTTCCTTTCCTTTCCGACGGCGTGAAGAGGGGAGTTTAAACGGTTGTATGTGTGTGGTGATGGTGGCGGTGCACACTCCTTTATTTTTTTTTTTTGAATTCTACTCTCTTCGTGGGAAAAAGAGATGGGGCTTTCTCCCCTTTAAGGGGGGTATTCTCACGCATACATTAATGGGTACGTTTTACTCCTTGTTCTTTGCTTCCTTCGACAATGATGTTTATATATTTTTTTCTCCTCCCCCTGTCTTGGGTTCTAAGGTTCGCATAGCGCCAACAGAGGTCGGATTGACGGCGACAACAGTGAATATAGCGGAAACAGCGTGTGGGTGTAAGTGTCTGCGTAGTTTCTTAACATCTATTGACGGCTACGGTGGCGCAAAGACAAAAAACTTCTTTTTTTTTTGATATCTCACCCCCTTCTTTCTTAAGCGCAGCATTGTTTTCTGACGGACCTGCAAAAGAAAAGAAAATAATGGTTTCTTTCTGCCGCTCAGGCACCATTACTATGATTCTGTTTTGTTACTTGGCAAAACAAGTGCAGTGTTGCCACCTGGGTGCTGTGAGCTTCCTTCGCCTCGCTCTATATATTTTGTTATTTTATATATTTATGTGATAGCTTTCCTTTTGACAGTGTCATTTTTCCTTCTTTTTCCCGATACGTATGTTGTGGTAAGAGAGGCACGTAGTGCTGCACATTACTCGATCACCCACCTTCTCTTCTCGGCTCTGCGATTCGACTCGTTTCGACGAGGTGACGCACTGTGGAAGGTTACCTCTGTTTCACAGAACTAGTTGAGCCACTTCGGCTACTAATCATCGTTACTAAAATCGGTCCAAAAAAGTGGCGAGGAAAGAAAAACGCGAGTGAAGAATTTGTAGCTGGAGCGGCTTTTTTTTCTTTGTCTGACACACAGTCCAACAAGCTGGAGAAAGGAGGATGCATGGAGCAGTAGATGAGCCTTCTTTCTTTCTTTTGTTCTGTCAGCATTTCCTCAGCGAACGTCCTGCATCTTCTCTCCTTTTTCTGTTTGCTGTCACCGGCATGTTGCGGCAAATGCAGCGGGAAGGGACGCGCATACCGTCAAAGCGGCGCATCAGAATTTCGAGTAGTGCTATCGCTCTACTGTAAGAGGGAGAAGCCAAATGAGCACAGAAGGAGCAGATTGCCTGCCGGACAAAAATGAAAAGATGCTTAACCGCCTCTCGTGACAGTGCTTCGTTTTTGCGCTTTTGAAAAAGGAGGGTGAGGGGCCGACGCGGTGTTTTGAGCAGTACCTATGCGTATGTGAGAGAGTGTGCGTGTGTGTTAATGTGCTTCTTGACTGTGTGCATCGCAGTACTGTTCTATATTTGTGCCGTGTCTTCTCGTTTGACTTTGAACACTATCTTACTTTTCTTTTGATGACCACTCAAAGAAGAAAAAAAAAAGGTGAAGAAAGCAGAGCAGTCGTTGTTTATGTCATCTCCTTGTTTCTCTCTGTTCTAACAGAGCGGCAAGGCGAACAGCAGAAAATTGTGACATCAGAGCAACGTGCAGCTTGTCATCACTTCTGTCCCCGCGCACTGCAAAAAAAAAAGTTGAAAAGAGAGAATCGAAACGATGATAACAGCGACGGAACCGTTGCTTTTTCTAATTTTTTAGTTTTTCTTTTGCTTTACTTTCAATTTCTGCGCTGATGTTTCGGCAGCAAATAAATCTGTGTTATACAGAAACCAGGTTAAGCACCCAAGTTGAAGAAGTTTATGTGATGCGAGGGAGGCCGGCGCCTGTACGCGTTACGGCAGGAAGGAGTGGAGGTGCGCGGTGGGGTGGAAAGAGCATATCTGCCTTCATTGAAATCCACAGCAGGGTCTACGCCGTTCTCCCTATGCGCTTCGTCGTATACACTTCTACTCTCCGCTTTCTTTTCCCGTGCCGCTGGCGAGCCTCAAGTGTCTCTGCCGATGATGGAGTGCGTGTGGGAGGGGAGTAGGGGATTCACTTTGGCAGAGGGCGTTGTCTTGCGGCTGAGCGAGAAAGCCTTGGTTGCGGCATCCACACGAGCAACCTGCGCCACCTCTACAACAGGGAGTGGTGCATGGAATGGAGAACAATGGTCCGCTGCTCTTTCATCCTGGCAGCTAACAAAAAAACTTCTCTCCTTGTTTTTTCCCCGCCTCTCTTTCACGTCTTCCTTCGCCTCCTTTAAGCAAAACACACACTCACACGCTCACATACAACAACCATATATGTAAGGGTGGCCCCTTCGGCTTTTGTTTGTTTGTTTCTTCCGCCACTGCTTTACCTGGAGCAACGCGTGAAGGGGCGAAAAGAGGGCTAAATCGTATTCATCTGCTGCGTACGTGTTTCTTTTTTGCCTTTGAGTCCGAGTTCGCGTCGAGGAGAGTACTGCAGCCGCATCAACGATACGTAAGTGAACTGGTGCCCTTGTTTCACGGCGGTTGTTTTTCATTTGGGGGTTGTCATTGGTCTGGCGGATTGTTCCGCGTACAGTAGGGGCTTACTTTTTTTTTGAAAGAGCATCTTTCCTTCTTTCTCTCTTTTTTCGCTCCTTCCTTCTTCTTTGTTGTTGTTGTTGAGTGCTCCGCGCACCTCAACCGGTTTATTGCCCTCCGCTTTTTGTGTTTATTACTGTTATTATTATTATTATTATTGAGCGCCGGTTCACCAGCGAAGCTAGGGCGTTCTTTCCAGCTGGTGCCGACACACCTTCTACAGGACATTCTTCATCTGTTATCGCACGGTCGTCGAGCACGCTGACTTCTCTTCTGTATCGGCGCAACCAAAACTTTACCAGCGAAGGCCCTGCACTTTTTTTCTTTGTGCTCGACCGGCACAGCGATTTTAACGGGAGTATTCATTTCGCATACAGTCACACATAGATAGCGTCAGGTCCTCTGTGTTTACCATCTCAATTGTGCACGAAGAAACACTTCACTGTAGATACAGGACAGTAGTCCTTCAGCCGAAAAGGAAGGAGACGAGAACGTACCATCACCGAGACGTTCGATTGAAGCCCCCATAGAAACAGCAGTCAAAACTGCGAAGTGCGACACAGCATGCAGTTCTCTGACTCCGAGTCCTCCGAGTCGTCCGCCGAGCCAACACCGGTAAAGCGACTGCGAAAGGCGTTGCCGCAGCGTCTCTCAGGAAATGGCCCAGACGCATCCGGTGGCCTCGAGAGCACTGTGCGTGCCTTCACTCGAACAGCATCTCCGGACACGTCTGCGAGGAGGGCAGAAGGTGACGGGGAGCGTGGCGACGGTGGAGACGGCACCCATCGCGGCAGCTCGCTGCACATTTCTATTACAGCTGGGACCCAGGGAAGCCCGATGACAACGGCCACGCGCGCGCGGGCGGTTATTTCCGTTAGCGACGACGAGGATGACAGTGATGACAGTGATGGTGCCGCCGCTGACATCAACAAGAGGGGTGGCATGCGTGCCTCTCAGCGGGTTCCGCCGTTTTTTGCGAAGAAGTTGTCTACCCCGTCTGACGCGGCTGGTGCCGCGGCTGCCACTGCATCGGCAACTCCAGCTGGCGAGTCAGCCCAAACAGCGTTGCGGCTCGCACAGTCGTCCTCGTCGTCCGTCTCGTCGTTATCGCTTGAGCTGTCGGGCGTACACCGTGCTGCTCCAAAGCCGCACGCAACGGAAGCGGGGTACAACCCCCCACAAAGTAGGCGGGCCGCCGTGCTCTCCACCTCCTCTTCCTCGCTGGACTCGTCTCGCGCGTCTTCGCCGCCGGTGGTGGTGGACGCCGTCGCCGCGCGCAGACCGGACCCGCGGCGCTCCTCTTCTTCATCGTCTTCGGCGTCGTCCCCCGCTGAGCTTGTGTTTCACCGCCTCTCCTTCCCCCACAGCACCGCCGCCGCCCACCCCGCATCGCCGGTTTCATCCACTCCCGCGTTGCCCCCCGGCGAGGTTCCCCGCACGTCAAAACCGACCACGACGGCGACGAGTGAGGCGAGCGCTGTTCTACGCCCTCGCGTGGTGTCCCCAGCAGAACGCAACGTGCACCATGGCGCCGCGGTCGTGTCCGACTTCGATGAAGGCGTCGACGAGGATGCGTTGGACAGCAGCGCTGCCAGTCTCACCGTCCAGGCCGCCCTCGACGCAGCTGAGCAGCGGCAGCTGCAGCAAGACCAAGGGGAAACGCCGCCTGCCGTGTCCGCCACCACACTGCACCCTCTCTCCACCACACAGTCGCAGGTCGGCACTCCGCTGCCCACGTCCCAGCGATCTCCGATGCAGGTCCATGTCGAGAGAGCGGAAGGGGAGGAGGAAGAGGCAATGACGATGCCGGAGGACGTACCTCGGCGTACCGCAGCGGGCAGACACGATGCCCACCTTGACGACGCAGACGACGCGACGGTTGAGAGCGTCATTGCAGGTTCGCAGCAGCTGCCCTACGATACGGCGGAGGTGGTGGAGGGTACTGCAACCAACACGGCGGCCGGCACCTTCTCGAGCATCGTCACAGGACCTCGTCGACAACCGCCACCGCCGCCGCCGGCGCTTTCCACCACCACCACCATGACGCGGCCCTCCCCTTCCGCGATGCGACCAGATGACGACGACGACGATGACGATGGTGTTGCGGTGGGCGAATGCGAAGAAGAAGAACACATTCTGTCCAAGGCGGACACGGAACTGACGGTGGAACAGCAGAACGCCCCCGCAACGTACGACACCTCCACCCACGTCACGTCGACCGAGGCGCCACAGGCGGCGGTGATGCACAGCACGTCTTTCCCCCTCCCGACTCGCAGCAGCAGCAGCGGCGGCGGCAGCACCCACAGCCACAAAGGCGGCGCACAGGGAGGGCAGAAGAAGCGGCCCCGTGCTGAACAGGGCACCGCCAGCAGCAACAGCAGCAGCAGCGACGCAGACACGGCCGTGCTCTCGCCTCCACAAACAGCGTTGGAGCAGAGCGGAACGCTGGAGGAAGATGACGGTGGCACGATGCGGTCTGTTGTGGCGATCGGTAGTGGTGGTGGTGATGGTGTGACGGCGGCGGCGCCCGTCGTGTGGGAGACGCCCACCGCGCTGGACCTCAAGCATCAACACTTTCTGCACCTCCCATCCGTGCACGGCGAGACACAAACGGCACCGCTACCAACGACAGCCACCACCGGGGATGAGTCTCCATCACGTCTCAGTGGGGTGCTGATGCCGCCGTCGCCGTCGCAGCCGCGTGTTTGTCTCTCTCCATACGCGACCTCGCTCAACAGCAGCAACGCGTCTAGTGCGAAGGCGAACCTGCATACAGGCGCTGCTGCGGGAGCTCTCCCCCCTCCTCCTCCGACGCCTCCACATCTTTCTAGCGGTGGTGCAGCTGGAAATGATAATGACAGGCAAACGTCGCGTGTGGAGAGCGGTGCCGGCGTGATGCGCATGGCTCCTGCACCGAGCTCGTCTTCATCCTCACCCTCATCTAGTCGGAGTGACAGCTCCAGAATTCATGAAGGCGCTGACCTCATACACCAAGCAGCTCGCAGCAAGCACGACAGGAATGAGGCGGCGGATGGCGGAAATCGAAACGCGGCGGTGGATCACAAGCCGGGCACTCGTGCCATGCCGGTGCTAACCAGTGGCGATGATGATGATGATGGTGACTTGATCAGCGACAACAAGGATGTACGCAGCGGCGCAGCACCGTTCGTCCGAAGCAGCAGCTTGCACTCGCCGACGAGCTCCTCCGCAGAAGCCCAGTCCGCGCCCGAGTCCGCACAGGTGGAAGAGGCGCTTCGTGAATACAAATTTGGAGGCGTCGGAGCGGCCACCGCGGACGTGCGTGCGGCCGCACAAGCACAGAGGAACGCCATGTATGACACCGAGGCAGGCGAAGACGAATTTGAGGAAGGCGAAGAAGGAGACGCTTGGGAGGACAGCGACGGCGCGGCGAGGAGCTCCGCAGAGGTGGACAGCCCCCACGAACTGCAGGAGGCGGGACGTTGGAGCGAGGTGCTGAAGGACATGGAGCTGATCGACTGCACGATGGTGTCTCAGGTGTATCAGCAAACGCTTCGTCGCCGCTCGCGCGAGAGCCACTCCGCAGCGGAAGAAAACGAGGAGTCCGGCGAGGACGTCTGCCTCTTCAAGGTCCTCTCCCTTTTTCCCCTCGTGGCGTCCGACGAGCGTGCACGGTGGAGCCGGCGCACAGAGGTGCAGCGACGGCTGCTGGACCTGGCGCAGGAAATGCGGAACACCCAGCGCGCACTGGACGAGGCCGGACTGACGGCCGCCGGCGTAGAGAGAAGCGCCTCCGTCTCGCTAGTCAGCAGCCACAGCGATAACGCACGCCCTACCCGCGCCACCTGCGCTGGCATCTCCGCGGTCTACGTCGACGCGAACTGCCGCCTTATCGCCCAACTCGAAGCCGAACCGTACATGATCCCGCTCCGCCACCTACTCCCCGCCGCGTGCGGCACCGGCCTGCAGGAGAACGAGATCGTGGCGCTGCTGCGCAGTGTGGTGTGCAAGACGGCGGTGATGCACAACGCCGGCTTCGTGCACGGGGCGCTGCACTCCGGCAACGTCCTCCTCTCTAGCTACGACGGCGACACCGTCCTCACGCAGCCGTGTGGGTTGATGAGCCAGTCGTGGTCTCTGCCTTCGGACTTGTCCGTGCTCAGCGTGGCGCGTGCGTGTGCGATGGCGGCGCACCTGCCGCGGGTGTGGGGTGCTCGCCGGTTGCACGTCAAGGCGCAGACCTCCGCGCGACTCGGTACCCCGTCACGGCCGGACATCAACGAGCTCGTTACCTATCACAACATGGCAATTCTTGGCTGGGACCGCGACGACAGCGATGCAGAGGATGGCGACGCACGGGGAAACAGAGGAAACCCTGCGGCGTACTCCCCGACAACCGCCGATGACTTGTACGCGCTAGGCTTGATAGCATTCCTGCTCTACCTCGGCGTACCACCGTTTCACACAACCTCGCTGTGGGCCGCAGTGGAACGGCTGGGCGTGCTGGCTGGCGACTACGAGGCGGCCATGAAGTCGTCGTCGCGACACGCGGCGCGGTACCACATCGCGGCCTTTTGCTTCGGCGAACGCGACGCACGCAGGAGCGACAGCGCCGCTGCGAAGCAACTCCCCGACTTGTTCACCTGCGGCTACGGCAATGTGCAGCGTCACGCCGTGGGCCGTCTTCGACCGGAGTTCGAGGAGGCGCTGCAAAACTTTATTGTGGACTGTGTGGAGGCGTCGTGCGTGGAGGCCGTCCGTAACGGCGGCGGAGCGAACTCCCACCGAATCAGCGAGGACGCCTCGGGCAACACAAGGAAGAACAGCCGCAGCTGCGGCCCTCATTACCGCACGGCGCAGGACCTGCTGGATACGCATGCGCTCTTTCAGCGCTTCGGCGTGGCCGGCGCGTCGGAGGCGGTGGAGGAGGGGGAGGAGGGGGAGGAGGACAACACAGCAGAGACGCAGATGCGCGACACGGTGCACCGCTTGGTCTACCCCGCGTTTTGCACGTGGGCGCGCGCGCGTGCGGAGTGCGGCTCCGCCCCGCACCTGGCGCGGATGCACAGCAATGCGCTCTACACGGCCCGCTGCATGGCCCTATGCGAGTCGCTGCATGCGGTGAATGCGGCAGAGCATCCGCCAGACCCAAGTGCGCCAGCCGCAACGACGGTGCTGTCAGTCCTCTGTCCGGAGGTGGCGGGTAGTCTTCAGGCGTGGCAGCCGTGGTTCCCCTCTGTCGGCACAAGCGCAGATGGGCTACACTGTGTGTACGGTGTGCCAGCAGGGAAAGGCATCGCGACGGGCGCGGAAGATGAAGACGACGCGCACACGCATGGAGCTCAACCACGAGCGTCGACGCGCAAGAGCGCCACGGCGGTTTTAGAAGGCAGAAGCAACGTCTCCTCGTTCATACGGCCCTCTGGTGGGGAGGCGCCGGCGTGGCGGACAGATGCGCACGACACCGACGAAAACGCCTTGAGTGACGACGCGGAAGATGCGCTGGCGAGGCAACTGCTGTGCTGTTCTTCTCCTTCCACCAGCTACTGTGAGTTCCGCCATTACCCCCACCTGCACGCCCTCGTGCTGGCCAACAAGCAAAGCGACTCCTTTGGCCTCAGCCGTGCGTTTGTGCTGTCGCGGCTGTCCGACGTGGCGGACACGTTAGTGCTGCAGCAGCTACGGGACTGCACTATCACGCTTCTCGCTCCCTTCCGCTACGTCGTGCTAGACGGCGTGGTGCGGTGTGAGGTGCGACTCGGCCCGTGTGAAGCATGTGTGCTGCGCGACGTCCGGGACTGCCCGGTCATCGCGGTGGCGGCGCACCACATTTGCGGTGCGGAGGTGCACAACACGCAGATCAGCTGGGCCGGGTGTAGCGACCAGGACGACGGCGCCCCTCCGCTGAAGGACAGCCGCAACGTGTCGTTTTCACTCTACGGGCTCGTCTACGGCGGCCTCGTAGAGGACTATAAGCGTGTGGGCCTGCCGCTGGAGCACGCGGCGGCGCTGCGCACTCTGGAAGGCCGTGTCAATGGCAGCGGTGCACAGGGGGACGAACAGCACACGGGCGACGGCGTGCACCGCCGTATGTTTGAGCTCTCCGCAACCACCGCTAACGTGGGCACACGCGACGAAGTTGGCTTGTGTCTCACGCCGGAGGCGCCCTACGCCCACGCCCTGCTCGCGTCGGGCACCCGCTACGTGCATCGCGGCAGCCCTGCTATCTCGTCAACCGAAACGGCGAATCGTCGGCAGCAACACCAGGAGGAGCAGGCGGAAAGCGATGTGTATCATTTCTTTGGTGAACTGCACGAGAAGGATGTGTTGGTGTGCGATGTACACGGCAGCAAAGAAGGAGAGCTGCCGAACGGCGAAGTCAGCCGTCCTGTTGTGTTTCTCCACGGCATACTGGGCGATGCGACGGTCGAGCGCTGCAGCTTCTGCACCGTCGTGGTCACCGGCACCCCGGGCAGCCTGCAGGTCGTCGACTGCCACCACTGCCAGCTGATCGTCATGGCGCGCGAGTGTGTTCTGGAGCGGTGCACGCAGGTGGACTGCGTAGCGCTGGTGACGGAGTACTTGTTGGCGAAGTCGTGTGAGGCAGTGCGGGTGCGGCCGCTGTTCCTTGACTGCCCTTTCAGCGACGAGGTGCTGCAGAGGGTGGTGATGGGCAGTCTTGGAGGGCAAGAGGAGGAAACGGTGATCGCCGCGTACGAGGACGGCCGGTTCGACCTCCTCAACGCCGTACTACGCGGCGTAGGCCAAGGCGTCAACGTCGAGGAGAGCAAGCTGGTGGTGGTGGAGGACATGCACTACTACTCTCACGGCAAGTACAAGAGCGGCGACGATCATGACACACAGGACGAAGACGGTGGCAGCGAGAGGTGGTTCTCCGTCTTCACGGTGCCGTACAGCGCGGTTCACTGCCGGGTGTTGAGAGAGGGTGGCGGGCGAGAGGCAACGCCGAGTGACGCCTCGGAGGTGATGGCTGCTGCGGCGCAGGCGTTGGCGGAGCACCTCTCCCTGCCCGCCTACACGGAAGTACTGCAGCGGTATGAAGACGCCTCGGACGCGAGCCCATCCGCTGAACAGCGGCACGTCCAGCACACCGTCGCCTTCCACGATTTGCTGGACTGCTCCGTGCTGCGATTGCGTGGTGCGGTGTGTCCGGTACGAATGGCAGAGCGGGTCGCCGCAGAAGCCGCCGGTGAAGATCTCACGGCACGTGCGCCGACGCTCAGCGACGTGTGCGTGTTACGCGTGCAATTTGGTGTGCTGTACATCGAGGACGCGGTGAACACACTGCGACTCAGCCATTGCGTGGGTCCGCTGGACGTGGTGGTGTGCGCTGCCACCACTGTCGTCATGGAGCGCTGCATCGGTGTGCAGCTGCGTACCGCGTGCGTGGACTTCCGGGCGACGGACTGCGCTGGCTGCCACGTAGCCCTGCACGTGAACAATGCTCCGCAGTACCAGCGCTGTACCAGCATGGAGACGTCGGTGCTGAACATCACGGCGAGCGGTTTTGACGCTCTCCTTGCGGCTGCCGAAGTGGATGCGTCTTCAAATCGATTTAACGCCCCGCTGCTGCTGACACAGTCGTGGGAGACGACGCAGACGGTGAAGGCACCGACGCCGGCGCTCACCGCAGCTGCCGTCCACGCGTACTGCACTGGGACGGTGGCCGCGGTGCCCGAAAGCCAAACCACGACCTCGCTGTGCGAAGAGCTTCTTGCCTTCCTTGCTCGTCCCGAAGGAGCGAGTCGTGGCCGCGCTCCACCAGCGGAGACGCCCGTTATTATGGCGCTGCTGCGTCAACCTGTGACGGTGGTGTCGCCGCTGCCTGGGCTGTGCGTGAGTCCGCGCGAGGTCCCGTTTGTCGAGGAGCTCGAGATGCAGGTGGCACGGTGGTCGCAGCGGCGGGCGCCGGCGTGCCGCAACAACGTGGTGGATGTGGCACTGCGAGCGCTGGCCGATGTCTCCAGCGTTTACCTCGACGTCCCTGCGTGGACGGCGGCGGCAGCCGGGGCCGCCGAGGCAAGCGCACAGAAGCCCCCCACCGTCACAGGGGTGTCGACCGCAGAAGAGGAAGCGACACCTGTTGTGCACAAGGACGTCGCAAGGCCGGCGCCGGCGGAAATCGAAGAACCACCGCAGCAAGAACAAAACGGGCGACGAGAAGTCGGGGAAGGGGAGGCGGCGGCGGATCAGCCCGCTGCTACCGTTGTTTCTGTCCCTCTCGTACGTGCCGCCGTTGCTGCGAAGGAGCGCAGTGCCGTGGTTTTGGCCAGTGCATCTGATAGGCAAGACATCATTGACGGGGAGGAGGGAGACGGCGCGGAGGAAATCGCGAATGAGGAAGAGGAGGAGGACGTTCAGCCGAACGCGGAAGCTCCGCAGCTGGAGGCGCCACCTCTCCAGGTGGCCACGACAGACCCCACGTCGCAGATGGCGCGAGGCCTCTCGGATGCAGCTGCGGTGGTCGCGGCGTCTTCTCCGTCCCTGCTGGTCGAAAAGCGCGAGGAGGAACCGCACGCAGAAATCGCCACGGCAGCAATCACCGTAGCAGCGGCCGCTTCGGAGGTGCACCGCGACCCTGCTGCGGGTTTGAACGTCGCGACGCACGCATCCCCGCGCACCTCTGTCGGCTCCTTCGCTCCACCTCCGCGCTACTCGGAGCCGCTGTCGAGTCACTCCCCGGTGGCCTCCTCGCCCGATCCCTCCGCGACCGTTCGCACCATGACGAGCGAGCACGACGATTACAGCAACTGTGCCAACGCCCTCTGCGCCACCACCACCACCATCCCCGCGCCCAGTGTCGACGAGTCGGGCGACTCGAGCGTCGGGACACCGCCGCTGGCGCCCCTCCCGGCCTACGCGTTGTCCGCCACCGACGTGGGCGCCTCCTCCACGATGGAAATCTTCAACCCCACTTACCAACGCGCCGTTGCTGCGACGGCGATGCGGCTGTTCGACGAGGCCGACGCACCGGCGCGACACGCAGCTGTCACGGGGGGATACCGGCCGGTGCACGGGATAGATTCACCGTCCGGCCAGCAGCCGACGCTGGTGAACGCGTCTCCAGTCATCACCGCCGCTCTGACCGCGGCGCGGGGCGGTGTGCCACCGCTGGTAACCACGGTCAACCGTTTTAAACGCAGCTCCGAAGAAGACTGGGTTCACTCCCCACCGGTGGACACGCCAAGCCGACACAGAGATGACGATCATGAGGACAGCAGGCGCCACGGCGGCGGTAGCGGTGCGGTGGAGGATCGACAGCCCACCGCAAACGCAGCAGCCATGGCGGCGGCAACGGCGACGGAAGCCGCGGCGTTTCTCACCGCGATTCCCGCCCCAGTGCAAGGGGAGCGGGAGGACGTGATGGGGTTTTCTAGTCAAACATCGTCGTCCGTGCCGTACTACCCCCACCGCGGGGTGCCGGCGTGCGACGACAACACACCACGCGTCGCTGGGTTGGAGGAAAACGATCTAGGCCGTCCAGCTGGTGCACCGCGGCAAACAACGAATTTCCTCCACTTCTCAGAAGACTCCTCGTCTCGGCGCGGCGACTCCTCGCACGTGCCGTCGCACGTGGCGGTGAGTGGGACGTCCCCGCCCGTCTCGCCCGGTGAACACCGCATACCCGACAGCGACAGCTTTGGGGTGCCTGCCGTTGATGCGGGCATGCGGGAGCTGCTGCGGCAGGTGGACGAGGCGCGGCAGCGCTACGCGCGTCGGCAGCAGCAGCAGCCACAGCGGCAAGGTGGGCGGCCGTCTGAGGCGTTGAGGGCGCGAGTGAAGTCTGCGGTGGCGAAGGTGCAGTCCGTGAGGGCACCTGCGGAGGTGGCCGAGGAGTTTACTTGCTAGGTGGAACAAAAGCAACGGGGCCTCTCCTTCCTTTCTTTTGTACTGTTGGCCGGTTTTGAAGGAATGTTATTTATCGCACCTCGCGAACAACGTTGACGATCTTAGGTTGCGCTGTGGCAAGCGGTTTACAGATCACTAAACCTTACTTTGCTGCTTCGCTTGCAAGGTGAAGAACTCTGGCCATCTTCGCGAGACAGTTGGCGAAAACGGCGCCCCTCTTCTTTCTATCTCTTTCACTGTGGCGTGCTGCCTTGAAATCTCTTCTCTCTCTCTCTCTCTCTCCCCCCTCCCTCCCCCCACCTCTCTCACTCTTTTCATCTCCTTCTCAAATACTCTTCACTTTGCTGCTTTTACTGCTGCTTCTGCGCCGGCCCTGACCGCTCTCCTCTCCCTTCGCCCCCTCATTGTTGTCGTCTCCGTTCAAGGTAGGAGCACCGAAGGACTAAACCACAAAAGGAAAGCGGTTCGTAGTAGGTCTGTTTTTGTATTTCTTCCGCTGTCCCGTCTTCTCCTTTCTTCTACCGAAAACCAAATATATCTTGTACTGTTGTTGGTCCTCCTCCTTTCTGCGAACAACGCGAACTGTGCACACAAGCAAGAAGAGGAACAACCTCCCTCGCGGGCCTGTGGGCTAGGAAGATCGCTGCCGTGGCCTCGCTCCACCGTTTGACGAAGTCCAGTGTGTTTCTCGGAATCGTTTGAGCATTGGTTTTCTACGCACATTACCCCAACCGAGCGAGAAGAGTAAATAAAATTCAGCTGTGCTGGGCAACTGGAGGAAACCATAGGCTTCATAAACAGTCACACAAGTGCACAGGAGAAAGGTGCGTTGTAGCACCAGAAGTGCAAGGTTATCTGCTACTCTAATTTTTTGTCCTTTCTCTATTTTTATTATCTGTTCTAAAAATAATCGTCCGCTTTGTTGTGTGGTGTATCCCGTTGACTCTCTTCGCAACGGAAAGCTGATTTTGCGCATTTCAAGCGCTCTCCATCGATCACCTCCTCGTTCCTTGTCTTTCTTTTCTTTGCTACTTCTCGTCGTTGCGCAATTCATCGCTCTATTCTCCGCTCACTGCTGGTTTTTTTTTGTCTTTTCTGAGTTTTACATTCTGTCAGCTGGGGTACGAGGGCTTTCGCCGTGTGGTAGTACGTGGTCCTTGTACGTTTCTAAAGCGCGGGCTGTGCCGTGAGGGGCGGGAAAGACTCTTGCCGAAGGAAGGTCCGAAACCTGCCTTGTTTTGCTTATTGAAACTCCTTTTCTCCCTCACTTATCTATCAGAAAAAGAAACGGACGTTTCACGAAAAAGAAAAGCCAAAAGAAGAAAAAAAACAGAAGGACCTAAATTATTTTCTTGTTATTTTTTTCAACGCATTTTGAACACCTCCCACTTGTCGCTTACCGTTTTTTTTTCCTTTCATCTCGTTTTCGTTTGTTCTTTCTTCTTCCTCAAAAGATTTCGCTCTTCACTTTCCCTTCCTTTTTTTTTTCATGTCGGTTCGCACCACGCCCATTTTTGGCTTTCTCCATTCGCAGCAACAGCGTTTATCACCACAGAGTTGGTCGTCGCCTGCCGTATTTAAATGTATGTAGCATTCGGAGGTCGCATTTCTTAAAGCAGTCGAAGAAAAAAAGAAGCATCGTCGTTTGTTCCGCATCTTGTCTCCCACCTTTCTTTCTTTTCTTCAGAGCACTTTACCAGTGTGTGTGTGTGTGTGTGGTGGGCGGTTCATTGTATGTATGTGCGCCGTTTTCGACACTTTTTCCTCTCTGTTCTCGTAGGTGTGTAGAGGCATTTCGCTCGTTTCTCTTCCTGATTTATCTTTTCCTTTCTATTTGAGACGTTGGAGCACGATTGAGGAGCCCTGTCATTTTGTCGTGGTTTGGTCTAACCATAATAAAGAGCCTTTCTCTTCCTCTTCACGTTCTCCGGCACATTTTGGTTGTTGCTGTTTTGAGTCGGTTGCTTGTTAGAGAGCCTCGTGGTGCAGATACACTGTCCTTACTTATATATAGGTAGGTAGGTAGGTAATCTGCGGTAGCCTACGCTGGTTTCTTCTCTGCTTCTTCTTTTTGTCGTCTCCCTCTCCCTCCCCCCGTGGGTACGTGCCTCCTGCCTTTGGTGGGCAGCTAGTACGGACGCTGCGAAAACTCTTTCTTCTCTTCCTGATCCTATTTTTCTCTTTATTATTATTATTAATTCCTATTTTTTATTGTGAGCCTTTCCTTTTTTGTTTGTTTTGTTTTTCCCCACTCTGAGTGTGCGCGCTTTACACATTGCGGCTGATAGGTGTGTAACACAGCCCGCACTCTTTGTCTTGCCGCGTACACAGAGTTTGTGTATTCTTCGATATATATATATTCTGACTGTGTAAGATCCCGCTGGTGTGTTATTCATCTGAGTGCTGTCGCTGCTCTTTTGTTTCTGGTGTTTGACTCTAGGTTTTTCTATATATATATATATTTGCTTTCCAGCCATTCCTCTGCTGTTTGTTTGTTTGCTTTTATATGGGCACGTGCGTACGTATAACACATATCTGCTTTGGCACGCGATACGGTATCTTTGCCGTAATTCACCTTTTTTAATTCCCCCCCCCCTAAGGCAGTTCTTACAACCGTTACCCAACTCACTTTTGTTATTGCTGTCATATTTCTTGTGGTAAGTGGCTTTTAGTTGATTGTCGTTGACGGACAAAGTAAAATAAGTTCACCACTTCTTACGTGCTACACGAAGAGGCTTTCCTTATCTCGTTCGTTGTTTTCTATTGTTTTTCGTCTTATTTACTGTTTTACTGGTCTTTGTTCCACGTCTACGTGTGCTTTCGTGCCTTCTTAATCGCATCGTTGGCCGTTGTATAAATTTGCATAGTATTCTATATTGAGTTTCCTCCCTGTTGGTTTGCACTTCGACTGCTGTTGTTGGGCTTCTATTTAGGTCACTGCAGCAATACAGCAAGCCATTCATATGTTTCTCCATCTGCCCGTCCGCAAGCTTGCTTTTGTATGTTTCTCTACGTTGTTGTCTCAAAGAAACACTTCGTTTCTCATTATTATTATTAATTACTTCCTAAAGTCCCCGTGAAATGAAGATAAAATGGCGTCGAATGCAGACGAGAACGACACACGCCACGTCGATCCATTGTCGATTGGTGCGCCGGCGACGTCAACATCTGCGGATGCTGCCGACAGCGACGCGAGGGTCGAGGTACAGGGTGCGTCGGTGCACGCTGTCGCGTCTATTCTTGCCCCTCACTCGACCTCCGGTAAATCCGACCGTCTGAGTGAGTTGATGTCGCCTCCGCTGCTCTCCACAACGCAGTGTCAAGACATCGAATTGCCGAAAACTAGCGGCGCGGTCCGCCCACCGCCTCCGGAGAAGCCGGCGACACCGCCCCTGAGTCCGGTGGCGGCAATTTGCTCCGTGCGGCTGTGCGCGCTCAGCGACGCCGTTGAGCTTTCCGCCGGCTCCTTTGACACCTTTACGCCTGATCCACCGCTGACCCAGCGCGACAGCAAAGGGGAGCCCTCGCCTTCCGCGCCACTGACGTCTGCCAGCGCTTCTTCTCCACTCGCACGCGTAACAGCAACGGAAGACGCGGCCGCATTGTTTGGTGATGATGCCTTTAGTGTTCAGAGCCGTCGGGCGTTCTTCAGCGTCGCGGCAGCGCCAGGCATTCCCCGGCAGACCTCCCCCGTCGCGGCCGTGCCTTCGGCGATGTGCGACAGCGCGGATAGCATTCAAAGTCAGTCCTGCTCCTCTAACGCTGCCGTCCCCACGATCGGGGAGGCCGTCGCAGATTTGTTTCACCATGACCCACCGCTCGCCCTCTCCGCCAATGCATTCAGCCGCGCGTCGAATGCGCCACTCACAGCAGAGGCGTCCTCCAGCTTCAACGACGCCACCGTTCGCAGCCTCCCCACCTCCGCTGCCCGTCGCCTGTCAAACCTCAACCACGCGAGTGGTCACGCGATTCTGACGCCCGCGGGTGGTGGAGGCGGAGAGGTGTCCGCGGCAGCGTTTGATGCCGTTCCGTTGGCCACAGCAGCTAATCCGTCGGCGATGCTGCCCGTTGCCCTGACCAGCGAGCACCTTCTCTCCTCCTTCTACCCGACGCATGGCCTGAGCCAGTCCTCCGGCTTCTTTCAAAGCGGTTTGTTTCTCGCGCTCGAGGACGATGCAGACACGCCGGCTGCGGCGATGGACGCGCCAATGACGCCGCAGAGTTACTCCAACTTGGTGCATTCCCGCAGCGACTCACCACGGCAGAGTCTCATGAGCAGCCGTCACCTCGCAGCACCGGGCGGAGACGGCAGCTCCGGCAGCACCACCAACGCGGCGGTCGCCAATGTCAGCGTCGGAAGCGCCTGTCGCCGGTCTTCGCAGCGGGGGAGGGGCGCCGCGCCGCTCAGCGAGAACGAAGGGTGGGCAGCGTCGGAGACGACCGACCTGCGCGCCCCCGACGAGAACGCCGACGGTGTCGTGGTCGCGCTGCAGCAATGGGAGGTGAATGGCGGCAGCTGCGGCGGCAGCTGTGGGAGCCGTGGCACGGACAACACCGCCCAAACGAGCATGAACACCTCCGTCGCCTGGACACTATGCGAGCGGCACGGTCTCACTGGTGGTCCTACGACGTCGTTCGGGAGCATTCATTTGATGGGCAGTCACGCACAGCCGTGCACGAGCGCCGTCGATCCGGCGGACATTCCTTCCACCCCCACCGACCTGGCGAACCTGCCCTACCCGCCGCCAGCGCACGCGGAGCACCGCCGCGGTCGCCACCACGGTGAGAGTGACGACGATGACGGCGACGAGACGGACAGTCGTGCATCGGACCAGGAGGACACGGACGCGGAGCCGGAGGTGGTAGAGACGAACACGCTGCTGCGTGCACGCGCCGTCTCCGCGGACGGACGCAGCTCATACGAAGTGATCAACGAGAAGTACGTCTTGTACGACCTCGAGCTCGGCAAGGGCTCCTACTCGCGGGTGCACCTGTGCTATTGCCTGCACGACAAGTGCTTCTACGCGGCGAAGGTGCTCGACAAGGTGCGTCTGAAGCGGCGCCAGCTCGGGTCAGACTACGATTTGATCAAGATGGATCAGGAGATAACCATTATGAAGCAACTGCAGCACAAGAACATTACTGGCCTACACGAGGTGATTCGTGACCCTAACGCCCGCTACGTCTTCCTCATCCTTGAGCTGGCGGAGTGCAAGGAGGTATTATCGATGAAGGATAATGGCGACGTCGTTCCCATGGCCAATGGCCGCACCGACTACCCCGAGGCAACGGTGCGGCACCTCGTGCGCGGTGTGCTGCACGCCCTGATGTACGCGCACTACCTTGGCATTGCTCACCGCGACGTGAAGCCGTCGAACGTGCTGACGACGGCGCACAACACGGTGAAGTTGTGCGATTTTGGCGTAGCCGTCCTTGTGGGCGAGTCCACCATGCAGCTGCGCCGCGAGGGCAGCGTGGCCTTCCTGGCACCCGAACTACTCCTGTCCAGCAAGGTCGACGTGTCGCGCTTCGTCTCGCTGGCGCAGTCCACGCACCAGGGGTCGCGAGACACGGCAGAATCGGGGGAGGGTATCAAGTCGGACAGCCTCCCCGCAAGCGCCTCCAACGCAGCCACAACGGCGGTCTCGTGCCACGCAACGGAGCTGATGGAGGAGGTGGTGGCAGGGCAAGACAGCGGCGACTGGGAGTCAGATGCACTGTCGAACCCGCTGCTGCCATCCACGGCACCCGCAACGTTCAGCGTGCAACAGCAGCAACAGCTCCGCCAACGTCTGGTGTCGCCTACCGTTTCGCGCCAAGTGTCGGCGGAGTTCAGTGAAGGCAGCAACAATTGTAACAATAGTAACAGTGTGAATATGAATAGGAGCGGCGTTGCTGCTGCGGCCTCGGCGAGCACCAGCGGCTTCCCTCCGCTGGCTGCTGTCAATGTCGCACCTCGACAGCGCAGCCGACCCACCAACAGGTCTTCTCTACGAACGTCGTCCCTCTCCCTCCGCGCCAGCGCTGCCGTCGCCTCGAGCGGGACGGGCGCGGCTTCGCAGTACGCTTCGTGGCTGTCCAACGCGTGTCCCTGCTCCACCGTTGACCTCTTTAAAGGTGACGTCTTCTCGTTGGGGGTGACGGTGTTCACGCTGCTGATGGGGCGCCTGCCGTGGCGTGCATCGAGCGCATCTTCGCAACTTGCCGCCGTGCTAGACGAGCCGGACCCGTTTCTGCGCTTGTACAAGCAGGCCTACGGCGACGGTTACACCTGGCCGCCGGCGACGCAGGAGGCGTACGCACCGTTTCTGGCTTTTACTCTGCATAGCGCCCCCCACACCAGCAACAGCAGGTTCGCTGCGTCACGCGTCGGCTCCTACGGATGCGGGGAACGTTATGGCAGTGGACGGAGCGGGGATCGGCGTGGCGGCGTGACGCCGCTGGAGACCCGTGCGGTGTCCTCCTCCGACGATGACGACGACAGCGAGGGTGGACAGGAGAGGTCGCCTTCCATGGACCCGGTGCGTACTTCAGCACCCCGCATGCCGGTGCTCACCCGCGCTGGCTCGTTGGATGCTGTGACGACTGCGCCGAAGAACACATCTCTGCACTCCAGCCACCGCCGCTCCAGCAAGGCGGGCTGCACCCCAGATACGGACTTGACGACGACCACGACGCTCAGCGGCACGGTGAGCAGCCGGAGCCCGCCGTGTGGCGTGGCGGGGACCGGGCTGGGCGTCGCTGTTGACGCCGGGTCGCCCTCGTTGCCACCGGTCGGCTCCGACGGCACGCCTCGTGGTCCCGCTGCCGCACCGCACGTCGCCTCCGGCCAGTTCACGCCGTCCAGCCTCATGCACAGCATGATGGAGGGCAACGTGTGCACCTTTCCCACTTCAGCGGTGCCCAACGAGCTGCCGTCGGCGGGGCCCTTTGCCGCCGGCGCTCGTCGTGGTGAAGCGCATACCCGGTTGAGCTCATCTCCCACAGAGCTACCGCGGCGGCACAGCGAGGCCGCACCGGAAGCACAACACGCGGAGGAAGGGGAGAGTATCACGCGGGACGACAAGAGCAGCCCTGCACATCGAACCTGCCAGCATCCGCTGCCTCCTTGCCCAAGTGTCGCCGAAAGGGTGCTCGAATCCGCTTCCGATCGCGCAAGCGCTACGGCCACCGCGAACACGCACACCTACATTGGGTGGATGTCGACGACGGCAACGTATCACCAGGGAAGGAGCGGCGCTGTGGGGAGCGTAGATCCTGAGCGTCTCTCTGCTGAATCCCGCACGGTGCCGCCTACAGCGGGTGATGCGGGCGAACGGGTTGGGGACACGTCGTTGCTGCGCTTTGCAGAGTGCAAAGGGGCCGAGGAGACGGAGCGGCGATCGGTGGAGGCGGTGCCGACTTCTGCGCCTCCACCCCCTGCCAGTTCTACTCGTGCGACCTCCGTCACCGCACATACACAGAGCGGCGATGACGGCATGCGTGTCAACTCCATCACGCACCTCAGTGAGGCAAAGACGGAAGCAGCGGATGAAGATCATGCGACGATAGAGGAAGTAGAGGGCGCAAATGCACGGTCGGCAGGCGTTGGCGCAATAGAAGACGGCATCGAAGACGACGAGGGTGCAAGGAGCGAACGGTCAACGGCGTCTGCGACGGCTTTGCAGAGCGCCGCGCCTCGCACTCACCACGAAGAGGTAGAAGAGGAAAACCGAGAGGAGCACGAATCCGACAGCGACCATGACGAAAGCCAACCAAACGTTCCGCGTGAGGGACACAGCTGCAGCGAGCACTACGACGCAACAGACGAGGAGGAAGGAGGAGTCGACAACAGTCCCTGTGACGAGGACGACGCAGAAAGCGACGGACAGGCCGACAACGGTCATGCGGGGGTAGACGGCAGCTCCGACGACGAGAACATCTACGAGCAGCTCTACGAGGAGGGCCATCCCTGCCGCTACTACGCCGTGGCCGAGACGTGTCCGCTGCCAGCGCTGGGCGGCGAGGGCGGCACGCGGGCGATCAGCGCCGCCGCCGTCGACTTTGTACGCGCGTGCCTGTCGCTGGACCCCGTGCAGCGCCGTACGGTGTTTGAACTCTTCCACCACCCGTGGATTTCTGGTGTGCTGGCGGACGGCAGCGGCGGCGACGAGTTGTCGGCGCAGGATCGCAGTCACGGCGCCTCGTCTTTCACCGACGAGGACGACGGTGACAAGGACGACAGCGATGCACACAGTACGCACCGAGACTGTCCATCTGCGGGGCAAAACGAGAAGAAAGAGGAACAGGAGGTCAGCGACACGAGTAACACCGCGAGGGATGCGGCTGCTGCTTCAGAGACCTACGCGGCCAGTCGACTCCGCCATTCGCCTGCTTCGTCGGGGGTGCCGCCGACTTCGCTGGATGGCAGCTGCCTCAGCGCGGCGAACGTGGAACTCGGCAGCAGCCGACGCACCGCGGAAGAAGGTGAGCGAGCTCTGCTGGACAGCACGGCGAGGGACGTCAACCCAGTCGACGTAGAGACTCCACGAACGGCTGACAGCAGTGCAGGTGTCAGGGCAGCGCGAGTGGCAAGGCTGCCCGACGGTGCTGCGTCGTATTCTGCGTCGGCCGACGCCACCACGGCGCTTTTCAGCGGCGAATCAGAGAACGTGATGATGACTGGCACGAACTCGACGCTGGCGGCGACCGCGACAATGGTAACCACCGCGAGCGGAAGTGAGCTCGGTGTTGAGGCAAACTCGCGCTGTCCTCTCCGCAACGAAGTCGCAACGAGCGCATCACCGGCAACCGTCGCGGGGGAGTTGCTGCACTCTCCACCCTCGCCGGACGCGTTGGCGCTTCCAATGAGTAACCCCTCGCAGCCGCAGGCACTCGTCGTCTTCCTGTGCCAGTCCACGAACGATCTCCTCGAGACGCTGACGGTGCAGCGCAGTTTGGAGGTACGTAACGCGCTTGTTCAGCCGCCGCCCGTCGCGGCCTACGACTTCGGGTCTTCCAATTATCCCCCGTTCCATCACGCCCGTCAGCTATCCTCCGCATCGTCGCGGCACCGCCTGCTGAGCAGCCCCTACGGTGACCGCAGCAGCGGCACGACATCGCCGTCGTTCGACTTGAGTGTAACGGCGACGCCGTTGGCTGGCACGCGTCATCACGATTCCCGTCAGCCCAGCTGTGAAGCACACGTCACGGTCAGCGGGTCCTTGTTGCGGACGCCGGTGACGGACGAGACGGCCGATCGTCTCGTGCTCTCCGCCGTCTCCCAGTCCTCGCACTCCACCACGACCAACTCGAACAGCGTGGGGGTGGGCGGTCCATCAGGCGGTGGCGTATGCGACCTCCACCGCACACCCAGGGTGGCACGGACGTGCAACGCGGACCTCCTTCTCCACCGTCGACGTCGCTCTGACAGGGTGACGGCGCTGCGGAGCCGCTGCACGGTGGGCTCCAGCAGCGCGGCGACTCCGTCCTGTGTGACGGCGCAGAGCAGGCCCATTCGTGCAGCCACGACGTCGCACGTGGACAGTCTGCGGTGGTCGACTTCCTCGGACCGTCACGACTCCTCGCTGGAGCACGTGTTGGAGGAGCTGGAGGCGGACGAGGGGAAGGGGGAGGGCGACAGTGAAGAGCTGAGCGCCATGACAGGGTCGTTGCCAGAGTTGCTGACTCCGGCGTCGCGTACGGCTGCCACAAGTGAGGCCGCCGAGGAGGCGCCATCGTCGCCTACGGAGGGAAAGCCGCCGTGGCATGATCAGGCTTCGTCTCCACCGTTACAGCCGCACGAAGAGGGCGCTCTTGCATTCCCTTTACGCCGCTTTCTGGAAGAGATTTCGCTACATGACAAGAAGAAATGACCGGGAATGAAAAGGGAGGAAAGAGCAGCGGTGAGCTGAGCTCACTTGCTCCACGTCGTGTGGTTGTTGCTCGGCGTGGATGCCAACTGATAGATAGGCATTTCTTTGTTATGTGTTCTATGTATGTGTGTGTGTGGGTACATGTTTCGTGCTCCCAATTCCACGTCGATTGCAGTTGCGACGTGCGTTAAAATTTGCTTGCAAGAGCAGCATTAGCTTTAGCAATACAAAGCTGAAGTGCGTTAACAGACGGAGGTTGTGGCTCCGTAATGCTGCGTAAGTGTGGCAGAGTGAAGAGTGCAGTCGGTTCTTCAGCAGTCTCTGGCTTTCTCCTTTCACCTCTTCTGCCACGCACGCCGTCTCTCTTCACCTACTTCGGGTTTGCAGAGGTCGCACTCGAAGTGCACTTTAGCAAGAGAAGACGGCGTTGTTGGCCTGTTCGTTTACAGGCTTCTCCAGCGCTGCTGCATCTCTTCGCTTAACGATTTACGGTAGTGGACGATTCTGGGCTGGATGGCTTTCTCTCCTACCGCATCTTCTCTTCTCCCTACCCCCCCCCCCTTCTTCATCTCATTACCTTCTTGTGGTTGGCATTTAAACCGCATGACAGAAATTTCCACGTGTCCGTCGTGACTCCTGCTGAGCACGTCAACGACCCCAACCAATCCTCAAAGCTGTAGAGCAATTCAATAATCACAAAAACCAAAATCATATATATATACATATATCCTAAGTCAAAAAAGTGCGAGCAGCAGGCACACCAATTATAAAGGAAAAAGGAAAGCAGCAAAGCAAAAATTAGTTTTCAATAACGTATTCTACGGTCGGTACTTCCCCTAACAAGTCCTTGTCTCACATCCGCTTTGTATTCATAATTTTTTTTAATTAGATGCAATTCCTCAGCTCTTCTTTTCCCTTTTCGCCTTTTCCCTTTTCACCGTTGTAATACTCGGAGCTCGGATACGAATCTCTTTCGGGTAACGTACGCGAACGTATACGTAAAAAGACGACGAAGAAAATAAAGGCAGCAACGACAGCAACCGATTTTTGTAACTGTGCGATTTTGTGGTGTTCAGGTTTCTTTTGCGTTGCGATTCAGCACACACACATATATCTTTTTTTTTTTTCCCACGTCTCTGTGCGTGTTCATTTTGGTTCTTTCTTCTTCTTCTTTTGCTATTTAGTTAGGTGAGATTGTCCAACGTGACACATATACGAAGGCTTGTTGTGTGTGCGTGAGAAGAGTTGGTTTCGTGCACTTCTTTTCATTCGTGCTCGCCCACCCTATTACACCTGTTGCTATCACTACCATTATCCAGTCTCATTTGTTGTCTCTTGTGGTGGTGGTGGTTCAGGGATAGCAAGCGGCTCTCGGCGCGCATTCACGAAAAGAACTCAAACCGAAATCGGAGTCCAAAGGAGGCAGAGAGACGTTGTACGCCAAGCTCCACACCAAGGAGAAAGACAGCTACAGAGAAAGACTCACGCTTTGGTAGGTACACACTACGCAGTTAAAGAGAATTCAAGAACACAAAAAAGTGGCTAAAACTATCGTCAGTATTCTCCATCATTAAGAAGAAAACGCTACGGTCTCTTTTTTTTTCATGTTGGCGTCATCAACCGTGGCTGTTCCTTGTCTGCTCCATTCAACTCAGCTTTTAAAACTCCCTTTACCTTTTTTCCGAACGTTGCTTTTGTTGTTGAGGAGCGCATTTTTTTTTATTCTTACATCGATTGTCTGTTTTTGTATTGCGTATTGATACCTTTTCATTGTCTCAACGAAACAGACACCACCACCCTTTTTTTTTCTGATACCTATTTTAGCTGAACAAGCGTCTCGTCATTTTCTCACTGTGCTTTTTTTAGATCTTCGTGTTTTTGCAGTGTGCGCTCTTCTGGAATCATTATTTGTCGTTTCGCTCGCTTTACGTAATGCACAGGTGCCCAGGGAAGGCCTTAACGATTACCGATTGCAGCTGTCTTTGTTGCCTTTTACTGGTCTGGTGCTGTCTTCTTCTTCAAGATAATTTCGCCGGCGCACGGCACTTGAATTGAGCTGGCTCTGCCGTTTTCCGTTCCCCAGGTGTCGTAATCGTAGTTGAAACTTTCGTGTTGCTACCGTTGCCGCTGTGCGGTTTTACTCCTTTTTTTTTAACGCAGCTAATTCCAGCTCAGCTTTTTTCTTTTAGTTTTTCTTCTCTTTACGTATAAAGGAAAACGGTGACTTTACCAAAACGTTCTGTCTTCTTCTTTTTGTCCCCGCACGGCGTTTGCCTAGTTTGATTCCTTGCTACTACTATTACTATTGTTGCCGATTGCGCTGCCTTGCTATCTTCTTTTCCTTCCTTCTCTCTGTTCGACGCCGGCAGCGGAGTTCTTCATATTGAACTTCACTGCCCTCTTTGCCATTTCGCAGGATTTCTGTGTCTTCTTTCTCCAGCGCAGCCGTGCCCAAACCCTTTTTTTTTCTTCTTTCTATCTCGTCCCCCTCTTTTCTTTCGCGAGTTTTCCCCATTTGTTTGTGTTTCTGGACGCGCTACTTTCTTTTTGGCGTTTTTCACCGTTCAGTCCGTTCGTCTGTCCTTCGCACCGCTATCTTCTTCCACTGCCATCGACCCGTCGAATCCCTTTGACTTACTTTTTTATCTTTTATTGTTGTTCCTCTGTGCCTTTTTACGAACGTTTTCTTCTTCTCTTCTGTTGGATCTATCGGGCTCCTGCCCAAAGTTGCTGACTCGTCCTCTCGTGTTTTTTCTTTGTTTTCTACCTGAGTATTTACGCTCACACTCACACAAAAGCCGAGTCAAATTTTGCTTCGTAGATCACTGCTCCCCTCTTTTCAGCTCTTTTTTTTTCCTGGTCTGTCGGGAACCTGGCAGAACCGGTAGGAACTTCTTCTTGATAACTACTTCGACACAATGTACCCACGCGGTCGCGGAAAAGGCACGCCGTTGGGCGGCAGCAACACCGACCCAGAGGCGCCGTCCTTCAACGAGAGCCCGTCCGCGAACACAAATTTGAATACACCGGACAGCGTGAGCGCTTCCGCCGCGGCAGCGCCTTCTTCAACGCCTTCGCTGCAACAGCAGCAGCAGCAGCAGCAACCGTCATACTCACAGCAGGCGGTACGACCACGTCGCTCACCACAGCTGCCCTACCCGTCCTCTGGTTACCCCACGACGCACACCGGCAACGTCACGATCAACCTCAGCAGCAGCAGGGCAGACACCAACTTCTACCCGACGACGTCCCCCCTTCAGCTCCCGCCGCCCCCACCGCCGCCGCCAGCCATGCCGGGTGCGGGTCCCGGGCCCTACCACGGGGGCAACACAAATGCGCCCAACATGAACCACATGTATATGCAGCGTGGCGCGGCGCCAGCGTATGACCAGACCGCCTTCCCGCCGCCCCCGCCTCCACCTCCGCCCCCGCCGCCGCCGCCGCCGCCACCGCCGGGGACCTATGAAGGCGATATGAGCAGCTTTCACGATAACGTGGAGTTGTCCCCAACGAGTTCGCTGTCCTACAACGCGGCCGGCAACGCAACCGGCGGCTACCCGTCCTTTTCCAACCACAGCAGAACGAGCAGCACAAACAACAACAACGCAATGGGCGGTATGGCGATGGGGGGCGAGCGCTGTCAGTCCAACACGGGAGGGGAGTACCGCCCGCCGCCGTTTTATGGCGAACTGCCACTCGGCGGTGCGGTTGCGAACGCAAACAATAATAGTAATCCTACTAGCAGCGGCAACTCTTCGTTTAACCGGTCCGCTGGACTAGGCGTCAGCAACAACATCAACGTGTCCGGCAACACGCGTCTGCCGCCCTACGTTGCGACAGCGCCGGCGGGGGCCAGTCCGTTACCGCCACAAAGCAGCGGTGCGCCTGGCTCGACAAATCACCACTACGACGGCGCCTCATCCGGACCGCACGGCCCTCTCAATCCTGCCGCCATACCCGCAGGCGGAGCGGCCTCCTCTGCACGACTACCACGTGGAGCGCTAGGACTAAAAATCACTGTAGGCGGCAACGCGTCGGCGGTGCCGAACCATACCCCTGTCTCTCCGCTGCTGAACTCCCCGGCGCCCCCTGCGGTGTCGTCGCTTCAGGGAGACGCGAGCAAGAATCTCCGCAGACCACCGACGGAAAGCGCGACGCCGCCGGTGGGCACGAGCAACCAGCACCTCAGCAACACCAACGGCAGCAAAGCGAATTCCTCTTCCGGCCCCGGGAACGCCGAGGGGGATGCCGAGACTTCCCCCAGCACGTCGAAGCCGACCGTCGAGCAGGCGGAGGCGCGGTACCAGTACCTGTATGAGGAGTTCCGTAAAGTGAGCCGAGTGCGCACGAAGCTGGCCGAGGATGCGGAGCGTCTGAAGCGCGAGCTCGCGGCGGCCACGGAGGAGGCGCAGTACTACCGGCAGAAGACCCTCACGGCGGCCGAGGAGCGCGAGGCCATCGTGCAAGACTACAACGACGACGTGCATTACCTGCTCAAACTCGTGGAGGTGCTGGCCGGTGATGTCGTGGCGGCTGACAGGCGGCGAAAGGCGGAGGCAGCGGCGGAGAGACACGATACCGCAGCGATGCCCTTGTCGCCGCGGCACGCCATCGATGCGGCGGCCTCGCGTCTCGCCAAACTCCTTCCCTGCCGGACCGCCGCCCCTGCGACTGCCACCCCGCTGGACTCCACCATCAATCACAACAATAGCACGAACACCAACCACGACAGCACGAGCTTGGCAGATACACTCTGTTTGGCGGAACACCTGGGTCTGCATCACGGCATGTGGACATCGCAGATATCCACCACAACATCCGAGTTGCCGGTCGACGATGAGCAACGCATTGCAGGGCACGACGTCAACGAGCGGAGCCGCTCCTCCACCTCGGCCCGCACGCCGGCGCAGCAGCAAAGCCTGCTGCTGCGAGATGAACTGCGCGACGTGCAGCGCAAAACCCACGCAGCGATGAATGCGTACATGACCAGCTTAGACTACGGCAGTGCCTCCATTGCGATGCAGCAGGGTTACGCGACGCGGTCGCAGGGTGTGCGTCACACCAGCAACGAGCGCTGTTCAAAGCTGCAGTTTAACAGCGAGTACCGCGGACTCCATTTGCACATCGACGTCCCCCGTTTTCACGCGCAGAGCGCGCCAGATGCGCTGACCGACGCGGACACACCGCTTGGGCAGAGTAAAGACGAATTTGGCAGTGTGAGCTCCACAGCGGGCCAGTCGTATGGGACGCAGCGCTCCCGCGTGAACTCAGGCTCCTCATAACGCGTAGGGGCATTGCCATTAAATATATGTATATATATATATATATATATATATACATTAGATGTAGAGACAGCAGAGCACGCTTTCCTGCTGCTCTCCTTCGGCAAACGCGTGTCCGCCAGGAATCCGTGGATGTGCGACATTTTCCGTGAAAAGAAAGGAAAAGAATTGATAATGAAATATGGGTGAGGCTGCAGACGAGTTGTTTCACCCGGTGCGTTTGTATGATGAGGCGACTCGATCTCTCGTAGTTGGCGCTCTTTTGCTTTTTAAGTTTTTTTTTTCTCCGTGTGTGTGTGCTGGTCGGCCTGTCGCGCTTTTGTGCGGCAATTTCCGTCGTTTCGGTGACTCTGATGCTGTGTTGCGGTAGCGCCGCGCTTCCGAATTGTGGCGACTCGCGCTGCGTGGGCACGGAGACCGCCGTGTTTATTACTGCCGTGATCGTTTTCGTCGCTTTCCGCGCGTTGTTCTCTCCACCGTGCGCTGACTCTCTGTCAATGCTTCCTCTAGACGGTGGAGAGCGACTTGTTTTCCTTTTTGGCTTGTGCGTGTCGGTCCTCTTTTCCTTCCCTCCCCCCGAAAAGCGCCCCATAGCTGTCGAGGAGATGCTTGCTGTGACATCCTTTCCCTTCTACTTTTTTCCTTTTCACTGTCCTTTCCAGAAAACAAAACAAAAACAAAAATCAGACACCCGATAGGCGAAGACAACACAGCGAGGTACGTTATTTCTTTCTTTTCTTTTTCTCCGTTCTCCTTACGGTGGCAAGTCAGCCGGCCTGCCGTGGAGTGCGAGGCCATACTTTTGCTTTGAAAAGGTCATCTGCCACCTCATCTTTCAGACAAGGGGAAATCTTTTCTCTTTCTGCGCAGCGATGCGGGTGTACCCCGTTGCTTTTATTTCTTTGTGTCTTCCTTGTTTCTCTCTTTCTTTTCTTTTACCTTTTACTCGGAGCACACCGTGAATTCCACTACTTTAATTCCAAAGGTCCTTTTATTTTCCTTCACTGTTCGTTGCACGATGCGGCTCTCTTTGTCTTGCCTCATCTTCTTCCCTTCCTTTTTTTTTTTGAATTTATCGGGTGTGTGTTTGAATGGGTTGACGAAAAACAGCATCTTGTTCGTTGAGCGATCTTAGCAATCGTATGATAGTCTTGGGCTCGGGTGTCATCTTTTTGTAACTATTATTTTCACGTCTCTTGCTCTTCCTTTTCTTTTATGATGGGTGCCCTTCACTGTCCACGATTGCGACGTGTAGGTTCATGCGTGTGTGTGTTTGTGTGTCCGTGTTGATGTTGTTCCGCTCAACGTTTTTACGAGAAAGTTGGGTCATTGGTGCTGTACGTTTCGTGCTCTTCTCTTGCAAGGCTGTTTATGTGGTGGGGTGGTAGCGCTGGGTTTCTCTACTACTTGTCGCACCTTCTTGTGGGGGAAAAAAATTTCAGCTGTGTCTCTCTCTCTCTGTGTGCGTGTGTGTGTGTGTGTGTGTGCTGTTGGACCTACTGATAACCTTCTTTAAAATATATAATTGATCTTCTTCACGTTCGCCAATGCGCAAATGTCCCGCAGCAACTGTCGCGTCCCCTCCAAGGAGTGAAACGTTGTCGTCGTCGAGGTCATTTGTACGCTACTGTACTTCTTTCTTTATTTCTTTCTTTGTTTGTTTTTTTCACTGTTGAGGAGACCCATTAATAATCTATATTATTCCGATGCGCGCGGTAAGGGCTTACTTGTTTGTGTGTTTGAGTGTGTGTTTGGCGCCATTCAGCGGTGGCTGTGTGGGCCAGGTAAAGGGAACAACAAGCCCTTTGTTTTTCCTGAATAAAGCGCTTTGCTCTTTTTCCTTCTTCTCTTCCGTTCTCTTATCTTCCGCTTGTCTAGTTGGTTCGTCACATCACTCACGTTGCGACTTGTGCCGTGGGCCCTGCAAAAAGAAGATGATGCGCTCTCCATCTTTTTACTTTCTCTGGGAAATCTTTTTATGAGGAGAGGTCGATCCTTTCCACCATAGGTAAGAAGGGATTTAATTGAATTCAAAAAAAAAATAGAAAAGAAAAAAGTTTTTTTTTTGTTCGACTGTGTGTCATACCGGTGCAACTTCCCAAACCAAAAGTTCTCTTTCAATGTATTTCCCCCCTCCCCCCCCCCCTCCCCATCCCTGTTTGTAGGTGTGTAATAACGACTCGTGCCCTGTGCGACTTCTTTTTATTCTCATTTCATTTTGTGTGTGTGTGTTTGTTTGTTGCCCGAAGATTTCGTTACATAGGTCTCATCAACTCCAATCCGGAAGAAAAGAGACGTACAAATGATCGTAGTGCTTCGCTGCTAATGGGGAGGACGAGTCCCCTCCGGTAGCGGGATGGTGTTGCGCTGAGAAGCACACTCCAAAAGGGGAAGGCAGAGGTGATCTCCGAGGGAGGGCGTACGGCAGCGAAGCCGGCGGAGAACGTCAACACTTACCAAGGGGCAGCGGCTTCCTTCACCCCTGCGCACTTTCCGCCAGAAAGTTTTTATGATTATTTTACGCTGCATTTGATCTCCTTTCGTCTTTGAGGTCACCTGGCCAACAGAAACGAGCGCAGCGTAGGAATTATGATAACTGAGCCATCAGCATCCTTTTTTTTTCTTTCCTCAACGTTTCTTTGCACCTCTTTCCTCGCGCCCTTCTATCTGCCCTTCTCACCACTCGATGCGGCACAGAAACAAAATAGAGATTCGGCAAACCTCTTGGTTAGCGGTGACCGTGCTCTCAGCAGAACAATTATTGCTCTTAAATTCGCTCCTTGCCACTCCAAGATGGCTCTCTCATTGCCTTCTACTTTGAAGGCGGTACTGGGTCTGATTGCGGTGATGATCATGCAGTCCGCAAGCGCCGGCTCCAAGAAGTACGTCGCCCCTGGTCCGACGGAGCGCCTCTCTGTGCGGAACCAGGAGTACCTGATCGGCGTGGTTTCGTTCGTTATTGTGATCCTCGCCGGCATTATGGGTGTGATGGCGATGGTGAACATCAACTACGACGATGATACTCTGCTCATGGTCGAGGTGCCAGAAGACACCCACCACGAGGAACAGCAGTAGGATTGAAAGAAGAGGAAAACGGTACTGCCGGCTACGTGTGTGTGTGTGTTTATGTCAACGGCGTGCTCGGCACACAAGATGTGTGTTACACCGCTACTTCCTTCCTTTTTCTTTTCCAGTCTTTCAGTTTATCGTTGTAGTGATCAGCTTTGGGCTTCGTCGTCGCGTTGAGCTTCTATTTATGCAGGTGTGAAGATGAGAGGTGAGAGAAAGGTTGATGGGGAGGGCACCTGCACTGGAGGACGGAAAGTCGTTTGTCTTTCGAGTTGCAACGATCTTTAACAGCACCTTGAGCCTCTTACAAAGCAAAAAAAAAAGCAAGCGCTTCACTTTTTAGCATCGTCGAACGAATTGATCTTGGGGCTCATCTCGCTTCGTTTGCATCGTTGAGAATCTCGTCTTCTTTCATATGGTGTACACATACACACCCTCGCGCATCCGCTGTGTTGTGTTGCCGTTGTGTGCTGGCCGTCTTCGCGCAATGGCACGTTCGCACGGTTTGCTGGCGTATCACTGTTCCTTGTCGTGCATCACTCGCCGTAGTTTACGGCCGACCTTTTTGATCTTAATCGACCGCGCCGCCAAGAAGAGGGAAGCGGTGAACTGGGGGAGGGGGGGGGGGTTGAACTG